ACCTTCGTGCTGACTGGTGGTAAAAGAAAAAGGACTTTCAAAAAATATGATAAAATAACAATATTAAAATGGTAATAAACTTGACAATCCTTGACAAGACTGTAACACACTAATTGGGTGCTCACACCAAGCGTGAGTAAAATCATCTACTCACTTAATCCGTGTGAATCTAGATGCGTGAATGAATCTTATTTACGTCAACAGTAATTTCAACGGTAATCCCTGCCAATTCAATCGGCGGGATCAAGTAATAGACAAAGGTTTTTACAATTTACCAGGTAATCCGACCTCCTCACTCACTTGCCTCCAGGTGAGCTCTTTTTTAATGCGGTTTCGGTAGTTAAAAGAAAAGGTATCATATAATTCTGGGCATCCACACACCGACACAATCAGTTTTACCTCCATTTTAGATACAAGTGAACAACCGTCCATTTTCATACATCACCTGGCACCCTCGTGCTGATTGGTAATCGCAACACGAATATCCGCACAAGTTGAGACATTTTCAGCTTCTGCCCAATTCACGTCATTCGCACCGCCAGTGTGGAGCGTTGAATCGCGTCTTTGCATTGAATTAACATGTAATTCATTCGCATGAATGATTCTACTCTCGCTTGGTGTGTGGAGACTGTAACACACGTAGTTAGCCTTTAAAATTCTTCCAGCTTTCAAAATAATAAATTTGGTCTCAATGTTGGTCAAAAATTTAAACCTGTAATGTTTCACTTTAACTTGTGTGAAATCTGGATTCCCCTCCTTAGTTAGGTGGTAAAGCTCAGACTCCCCCAGCAGTGAATCAATACCCGTTCTGCCTCCTTGTTCTATTGGTCATAACTGTGGAGGCGGGCTTTGTTTTATTATTACAGTCACACACCAGAGGGAGCTTAAGTATTGGCTTCACTTCTAGGTAACTGCTGTACTGCACATGCTTTTCAACCAGAGTCAGAGAAGAGACGTCTAACCTTGGGAAATGCAGTTCATTAATATGTCAGCTGACTTTATGGATTTTTTCTTGGCTGCTAAAAAGTTGACATCTGGAGGATGACATCAACAGTGTGTATTTTTTACCATGAACTGAAGAAGGAAAATATGTGAAATATTTCAATGGTGTTGCATTTGAGAGCCATGTGTTCTGCATGGTTCTGGGTTCAGGGAAAGGAGAGTGAAAGAGAGAGAGCACACAAAGACCACAAAAAAGAAAACAACATCAGTGTTGAGTGTTAGTGCCAGAGTAAGTGCAAAGAAATGTATAAAGATGGTGCCGCTAAAAGAAAAGATAAAGCAAAGTAACCCACGCTGGGGAGTTGACTCTAGCAGCTCTGCTTTTAAAGAGCTGTAAGCTGATCAGCCCAGGTGAGCCTGGCAGTCAGATTCCTTCAGGAAACAGGCACAAACTTGGCCAGCATATTAGACTGAACTGCATTTGAAGAACTTCCTACTATGAGGTCTATTATCAGTAGGTTTTTGTAAGGATGAGGGGCTTTTTAATATATAAAAGATGCATGTTGTTAAAAGATTTCTTCAGTGCGATAACTCACTCACTAACTATAATGATAAGCTCACCTACCAAAGCTACGGTGGCCTTTGGGGACAAGAAGCTCCTGCAATGCATGATCAGTAGGGGCCTTCATTTGTTGAGTTTTACAGTAAAACAACGTCCCATTAATACAATTTTGCACTTTACAACAACAATTTCTCTCTTCTGTACCCTCCAAATGGTGCATTTCCTTTGGCCACTCACTAAATATTTATACATCTATGTCACTTTGTGCTCCAGCAGAAACAACATAAGGTAAATGGTGCTTTCCAGAGAAGGGGACCTGCTCCTGTGTGGGTATAAAAGGCTGGTTCTAAGTTCTAACAATTATCCTATTCAGTTTTTAAATACTGCACACTGCACCTTTAACATCAGTTTTAGGTTTTGAATCATTGCAGCCCCAGAATGTCTGAGAATTAAAAACAAAGTGAAAATGTGAAACAGCATTTTAAAGATGTTTTGGACTGCAGAAACTATTCCTCATCCAACCACTGCTGCACAATCTTAAAGCAATGACTAGCAACCATGTAAAAATGTTCAATTAAAATACACAGATGTACTAACAGCTGGCATATTTTATGCTGGATTCAGCAGGAGTTCACTTAAATTATCATCTCTATCACTGCTCTTCAGCTCCTGTTTTTGAAAGTTAAGAGTGAGCTTTTATTTTTCCATGATCACAAGTCTGGGCAAGCTAAAAAGGTCAACTCTGAGATGCATATGAGCCCTGTTCAACAACTCCTCTTAATGCCTACTGACTGTGTATCATCAGCAGTAAGTTGTATATGATGTACTCACAGTGTTTGATATAGAAGTCATTATTTATACTACATATGAAAGAGATTCTAAGTCAAGAGGAACTATTGTTTATCTTTGGTTATCAAGCCGTGCCTTTGCTGCTTATAACTTCTTGTTTATGACTCACTAGAGACAGTTCAGTGGCTGTATAAACAGGATGCCTTCCAGAGAAAGAGACAAAAACAGCACACACAGGTCTGCAGATTCCTCCTTGACAATGCCAGGATATTATTTTGACAGAGTACCCTCTGACAGTAGGAAAAGTTCCTGCAGACGAAGACCTGCTGAAGGTTTAATCCTCCCCTGCACACTTTTCCTGTGCTGCCTTGATCTGTGGTCACCGTACAGAAATCAGAATGGAAAATGTGAAGTGGGGCGAGAGCTGTGCCAAGTGTATACAGTAAATTGGAGCTGATGAAGCAGATGGGAAGGGAGTGGGCGAAAAGAGCAGCCAAATCATCCGTAAATACTCAAGAGAGAGTCAGAGAGCAACAAAACAATCATGGCCGGATGAATGTGAATAGTTCTACTGCACTATTAAGAAAAATAAAAGAGCATGGTAAAATAACCCAGAAAAATCCCACTGACCTAAGTTTTACCCATGTATAAAAACCACATCTTGTAATAGCATATCTAACAACTGTACATTTACTTGACTATTGCTGAGTTTTTGAGAAATAGTGAACTACTTTGCCAAACAATGTCATTCTTGAATCAGCTTGAAGCAATACCAGCAACAATGTATAACCGTTTTGAAATAAAACCATCAAAACACTGAAAAAGTTGTGCAATACTTAAAAAACGCACATGGAGGAACATTTCCCATGCAGCGAATTAGGATAACTTATAACAGGCTGGTGGATAGGGTGCTCCAGAGAGGCTGAGTCTCCTCAAAGCACAGATAAGAAGAGATCTACCACACTGCAAAAGACTACTGTATTGATTAATTTCAGAATAATGTTCCTCAACACAAAATTGCACAAATATTGGGGGTTTCAGCACATACAATAACATGTACAGCTCAGGATATCATTTAACGATTCAGTGATTCTGGAGGATTCTCTGTACAAAAGGTGCAAGGCTGGACATCTATGGTTGAGGCTGTGATTTTTAAGGCTTCAGGTGGTACAACATCAAAAACAACAATGACTCTGTCACTGCATCAGCTCAATGTCTCTTCAAAAACCCATTATTAGTTTTTAAGCACAATGTCAGACATGCTCCTGTTTCACTTGCTAAACTGTATGATTCTTTTGTTGTGCTAAACCATGCTGTGCTATACTATACTACACAATACACTTTACTATATTTTACTATGCAGTACTATTCTATATTATACATTATTATTCAATATTATACCATTCTATATACTTTTTAAAAAATTGTATCGCTTTTATTTTTGGATCTACCTCCTACAACAACCATTAAATCTATGTAATCTAAAGGAATCTACCATTAGCTGTAACCTGAGTTTTTTGCTTTTCTTTTTTATGATGTGGAACTGAAACTGTCAAAGCCCACATTCCTACCACTCAGCACTGAACCATGATTTTCTGCGGCATTCTCAGCCATTGGCAACGTCTAATCAACTGATTCCAGTGTGCCTCCATAACCATGTCTTTGAGTAAAGGTGCTTTCTTGTGTAGTTGACAGGCAACTGTCCTCTTTCTAAAGTACCTGTACTATCACAAAGAAGCAGAGAGAAATGATTTTACTTTCCATGTGACTGACACACAACAGCACTGATCAAACTGAAGGATGCTGAAAACTGTAGGTCTTGTAAGTAAATTTTTGCTTTAAAATGCAGTTTAAACTTTTCAGAGTAGTTAAAATCACGACATCTAGGAACTACAGTAAACACTAGAATCAAGGTAGTGAGGCCAAGGCTTGAGTAAAATAGATGTGACACTATCACCTACTGGCCAGCAGTTGATCTTGCATCTGGTTGGAAGATTTTCCACAAAATTGCTGGATATTATTTCCAAAAAAGTATTTACAGGCTTTCATATTAAATATTTTAACATTTTGTATTGTCAACGTCCCTATTTTTCATTAATATTTATCGACTTTTTGTCCATTTTAGTTTTTAGTGACTTAAAATAAAAATATCGTGGATGTAAATTAAGCTCCTGCACCCAATAACTTTTTATTTATTTTTTGCTTAAAATCGTGGCATTTATCTATTGATTTGATAGTTACTACCTTATCTTTCAAAACCTTCCCCGGACTTTTCAGTAGTAAATAGACCCCTGCCCCGTCCTACGCGTACGTGGAAGTTACGTCATTCAAAGTTGAGAGAAAACGGCGCTTTCAAATGCAGTCGGAAATATTATAACTTCTTTTGGACCAACCACCTATTTTAGTTAAAATGCGTCCTTTGTTGTAAGAGAAGAAACTAGATTTAGAAAATTTAGTTGCTGGTTGTTGTTAATAGAGTTATATTCATAAGTTTGCCCAAATTCGTCAATCACCATGTCAAATGTGATTAGAAAAAGTTTCTGTACTTCAATCTGCTGATCCACCGTATACTAGCTATACTCAAACTATTAAAGTCAATCAAGTTTTAAATAAATACGTGTGTGTCTGATTGTTTGTTTAAGTGTTTGGATCGTTTGAAGGTGTTAATGACACATTTATTTGTAAAGGTAAGATTTCGGGGCTTAGCGGAAATACGTGAAGGCAGCAAAAGTTCAGAATGCAGAGTTGTGTCATCACTGGCAATGGAGGAAAAACAGACCGATATGGGCGACAATTTCAACCCAGGTACCACCAAGATTTCGTATAATTATTGCTCTATTGGCGGAAGTTGTTGAAATTTCTGAATGAACTGGATATTATTTGAGGGCTATCTCCAAACCGTTGTTCAGTTAACCTCGGTGGTAACAGCAACAGTCAAACAGCTGTACTGGATAAGTTAGCAGCTACATAAAGAGTTAGGTGTTGTTGAAAGTGAGTGGTTTCAGATGCCCAGGCTCTATTATGTGCCATAGCCAAGTAGAAAATAAGAGAAATCATTTGGGATTTAAGTATTTAAGCTGCATGTGAGTGCTCAATTCAGGTCAGTTCATTAGAGACAAAAACAGCACTGAAATAGACCCCCTGTAACCCACTTTAATGTAGCATTTTGGGAGACCAGAACAAAGCCAAACCAATCCATGTTCAGTAGACGGTAAGGTAAGAGTTCATGTCTGGTAGCTGCAGTTATATATCTTGTATATCTAAAGACCCCATAACAGTCTTTTGGGATCATTCAGCATGAAGGAAGTGATCCACCAAACAACACTGAAGTCACATTACACCATTTACACATGATGACCGTGTACTTTCACCTGGAGATTTCTACTTACCTGTTACCTGACTGTAATATGACTTAATGTGTCAACTGTAACTGTGACTTGCCTATAAAAGACTTGTACCTTTCAGTTAATGATTAAACTTTGTCCATGTATCACTTAGATCCAGGGGGTGCAGAAACCACACAAAGTGCCCCATGTGACCAAAGGCCAGAGGGAATTATCAGCAGACAGTTGACTGAACAGGGACGCTTTGCCTTCGCAGCTCTGTGCGGTGTCTCTCTGGGCCAGTTGTTTACTGGAGATGAAAACAGGTAACAGAGCCGTGACAGACAATGCCTATATGACATTAGCTGTGTGTGTCCTCCAACTGCCAGTCCACCTGACACAGGCTGAAGACATTTGGTCAGTGAGATTAACAACACACTTTATTTCAATAAACGCTGTGTAATCAGGTTGTACGTCTCATATAGAAATTATTCTCAACAGCACTCACCTGTACTGTAGCTGTTTTAGAGTAACAAGGAAGTAATCAGCAGGATAAACTGACTGAAAGGATAAGGAAGCAGTTTTGATAAAATCATTAAAAAGGTCCAGAATTACACACAAAAAAGAGCATTTAAAAACCTATTTATCAAGGACATAAATGGTTTTGAATAAAGGTAAATGAAAAGGGGAAGCTAAGAAATATTGTTTACGTCTGAAAGGATCTGCTGCTTCCAGAAGGAGAAAGGACCGGAAGAATCATTTACTGATACTGTGACTGTGTCAGGCCTGAGGATGAATCAGAGATCAGTCTCTTCCTTCACATTGATGACTAATAATAAAAGCCATTCTTGTGGCAGGAAACTCAACCAACCTTGGTTTTATTGTCTCTAAATATGCAACCTTAAACTTCTGCACACAAATGCTGTCTGGCATATCCTCCTTTGACTGGGCTGTATGGACTAGGAAATGAGTCACTGCGTCAGGCAGCTCTTTCAGGCTTAGCGAGAAGTGAAGGGACAGAGAAGCTCAGAGTTTATTGAAGAAAACTTTCCTGCAGGCAGATTACCTTCACAGTGCTTGTTACCAAAGCAACTGTCCCAGAGGAAAAATGACCCTGGTTCAGGATTTCCCTGAACTCAGGGTTCAAGCACTGAAAGTTTTTACTAATCTGGCTTTCTGAAACAGGGCTGTGGTGGTGTGGATTGTTTCATTCATTAACTGCAAAAAAAGAAAATCCCGTTCACTCCGGTTTTCAGGGATCTCAGATGCCCAGAAGTCTTTGTAGACCTTCTTTTGATGACTTGAATTCGTGCTGTGTGTGTTTCAGAGTGTTCAGGGAACAGTATCTGAAGGGCCTGGTTTGCTGGCTGGACCTGGATGAGTCAGTGATGCCAGTTATGGGGGCTTTTCTGTCTGGCCTTGGTTTTGAGGGCTCTGATACCTTCCTCTCCATCCTGCAGGCTGAACCACTGCTGGCTGCTGGGGCCACACCTATCATACAGGTATGTCTAAGCCAGTAAATGAGGGGATTTCATTTAAATGTAGGCTTAACTGTTACAACTGGGACTGCATCATAACTGCAACCAATATGAAATTTGTGCTTAAATACCCTGTTTACATTTTATTGAAATTATCCTGAGGTATGATTAACAGCACCCTGAAGATAAAACAGAATTAACACTTTGGTGACAGGAATGAAAGTGACTGTGAGGTAGAAACAACAACCCTTTTAGGTCATTTAAAACAGGCCAGATGTGACACTCACACATAGATCATGTGTGACTACTTCCTCAGCTGACACTCCCAATAGATATTTTTACTCTACAGATTCAGTTAGTGTAAGAGTAAGCGCTCCAAGCTGTCTTTGACTTTACCTTTAGTCACTTTATTGAACAAATAACCCGCTGAACCAGTCCCTACTGAACCAGTCCAATGCACAGTGTTGAATCTTTTTTACCTTTTCAACTTTGATAGCCTTTAATATTACATTTAAAATATGCTCATTTTACATGTTTATTTATTGTTTATCTTATGTTCTTAGATTCTCTTTGATTAAAATTTATGACCCTCAGTCTTTGTGTTATTTATGTTTTCATAATCAATAAACTTGCACTGAGTTATTTGTTCTTCTGCCTCCGGGCATGGTTAAGACTCTCTAATCTGATCAGATCTGATAGAGTAAAGTGCAAATGTTGCAAAAAAAAAAAAAAAAGCAAAGAAGAGATAGACAAGATTATTAAGGCTGTTGAAAAAAAGTCTTGGCTTTTATCTGTATTGAGCTGATTGTTGTGTGCCATCCTGCTTCAACCAGCATCTTTGAAATTGTATTACATCAAGAACTCCAAAATACTGTACGTGAAACCAGAGACCTCATTTTAAATGATTATGTCAATTTTCAGCTCTTTTTCAGCACATATTAAATCTGTTGTTTTGCAGAAATTATATGAAACTATGACTAAAGATGTAACACTTGAAGTATGAGAGCGTCAAGAAAGGATGCGATTAGGTTCAGAATATGACCTCTACCTCTAAGTATTCTCATTTCTACTCACTGTAACTTAAATGCTACAACTAAAAATCTACATTTAGATTCAGGGTAAGTTTACTCAGGTGATATGTGATGCAAACAGGAACATTTCAGCTATTGCATATATTTAATACAAGTAATTAAAATTTCTTCTAAAATTAAACCTGAACTTTCACTTTATGTTACAGGATCTGGTGTCTTTTTCTGTCAAGGATGGTAAGAAACCTTCAATGAAGCAATAAATATTTTGCTTGACACTGTGTAGATCTTTTCAGCCTGTTGTTTTGTAAATTTAATGGTTTGTAACTTTCACAGGTCAGTACGATGCCAGAGCGAGAGTCCTCATCCGTCATGTCAGCTGTCTGCTGCGAGTTCTTCCTCAGCAGCTGGAGGAGTTTGAAGAAACTCTGGGAGAGAGGCTGAGGGAAGGTGGAGAGGAGAGCGAGTAAGATGGATGATACATGAAAATGACCAAGTCACACTTTCATTCAAAATCAGTAATTAAGATACGTGTCTACCACAAGCAACAAGGAGGATTTTATTTGACATGCTGATTTTGATGCACCAAAAGAGTGGTTTGACAACTTAACCTCTGGGCATAGTCAATATTTGAACTAATACAGATGATCTGTTTCTACCTTTTCAGAGAGGAGTCCACTCGGCGGCAGAGAAGAGAGCGAGGGAGGAAGTTACGACGCTACCTCCTCATTGGTTTAGCCACTGTGGGCGGAGGAACTGTGATAGGTATTCTTCGTTTATGTGGGAAACAAAAATGTCTTTTAACATACCAACTCATCTGAATAGAATACAATAATAAACAAGCAACAACAGCAAACCAGGAGTAAAACAACAGTGTCATAAAACAGTAGATCAACACCTGGAATCATAGAGTGAAGCCGATAAACAGATCGAAAATTCAGCACGGAGACCAAATCAGAGTGAGCATGACATCATGTATGCAGATATAGTACTTTCCTCTGTGCCTTTGCCAGGTGTGACAGGTGGGCTGGCAGCCCCACTGGTGGCAGCAGGGGCCGGCGCTGTGATCGGGGCTGGAGGGGCTGCAGCTCTGGGCTCAGCCACTGGTATTGCAATCATGGCCTCCCTGTTTGGAGCAGCAGGTGCAGGGTTGACGGGTGAGATCGCTGGATTACAACTGTTTGAACTTGATGAATGCAGAATTATTTTGTGGTACTTATTGTTTATACCTGTCTATTTGTCATTCTTCAATCTGTCTCATCCTTTTGTTTTTTCCTTCCTTCATTTGTCTCTCCAGGTTATAAAATGAATAAATGTGTTGGAGCAATTGAAGAATTTGAGTTCCTGCCTCTCAGTTCAGGGAAACATCTGCACCTGACCATTGCAGTGACAGGTTGGCTCTGCAGTGGGAAATACAGTAAGTGTTCAGTCACAACATCATGCTGTTTCCATTTATTGACTTTCATCAAAATGTATTAATCTTGATTAGAGACTGGGGTTTATATACCTATTTGTTGATAGATATATTTCATTGTATTGCACATATCCTTTCTTTTAAAAGTTTCTTATCTGGGATTGACTTTTGGAGTTGGTATAAGGAGCTTTTACTTTGAAATTCCTGTTTATTTCTATCCTCTTACTTACCCTCTATGAAAAACAACAATTTTGATCCGACTGCATATTTTCAAACGGTAAAATCTATGTAAGAAAATGGTTGTGCAGAGCTGTGATGCCTAAGCTGCTGGACAGACGGAGAATGACAAGGTTCAAATAGTCTTGTCTCTAATGGTCTACTTTGCTTTTGTGTGGATCACTAAGATACATCAAGATTCATTTCGATCTGTTTCATAACAAAATATCCACTCTGGACTCAAGAATTTCTCACGCTTAACAAAGAGTTTCGAGGACCAGAAAACTCTTGATCAACTTTTACATATATCTAAATATCAAAAGCCTGGACTCTGCGGCTTGTTATGACATACAGCTCTTTTGGATGAATGTACGTTCTCCAGCTAGAAATGTTCAGTTGCTTCTGAGTCAGAACTTGCTTGTTCTTGAGATGACTGCAGGTGCAGAGCATAAAAGGTTCATCTTCCACCATGACATCAGGTTTCATAGAAATCAGACCTTTAGTTTTCCAAAATAACACACTGAAAAACATGCAAACCGCACTGACTTTATCCTCTGGGGGTTTTAAAAGAAAACATTGTTGAGATTACTGGGCAACAGCAAGCGTTTTTTTTTTTTTTTTTTTTTTTTTTTACCAAAAACAAAAAGAAATGTTATAAAATGTTCTTCACAAAATGTTCCTAAACTGCTCCAGTAAAGTGCCCACCAGAGATTATGCAAAAAAAAAAAAAAAAAACACTCAAGTCTTGCATTTGCATAACACAGTGCAATTCTCTCTCAATAGTAAATACACTTTAGTAATAAGCTGAGTACCCCCTTCACAAATAATGGCTCAAAACACTTAACACAAGTGTAGCTTAATGTTTTCCCTGCATAAAAACACAACCGCTGTGTCCCAGGTTCGTTCCAGGCCCCGTGGTGCAGCCTGGGCGAGTGCGGGGAGCAGTACTGCCTGGTGTGGGAGTCACGTTTCCTCAGGGATCTGGGATCAGCCATGGCCTTACTGCTGGACGGGCTAGTCAGCATTGTAGCCCAGGAAGCACTCAAGTACACAGTGCTCTCAGGTAGATGGATTTTCATATCTCTCAAGTCTGTCAAGTGGATGTGTATTTGGAAACACGAGTGTCTGTGCTTGATGCTAAGTATTTTCTAAATCTAAACTCTAAGCTAAAAACTCAATCTCAATCATTACACTGGTTACCAGTGCTGGCTTTCTCTTGCATTGATTGCACACTGTTTTTCTGGTCAGGCATCGTGGCAGCTCTGACATGGCCTGCATCTCTGCTAGCAGCAGCCAGCGTCATCGACAACCCCTGGAGTGTTTGTCTGAGCCGCTCAGCTGAGGTGGGAAAACACCTGGCTCAGGTTTTAAGAAGCAGACAGCAGGTATTGTAAAACATTCATGACACAATCTTACAAATAGCACCTCATTGAGTCAGCTGTTGCTCCAGAAGAATAAATTACTCGTTTCTGTAAATACTCTTAAGCGCGTAAATTCAACTACAGTCATACTGTTTCTATCCTGTCTGATAGTATGTTATAATAAAGCTGCACACGAATTGCTCTTGACAATTAGCTTAAAAACACCTATAATTATTAATACAAGAGTACTTAAAAAGTATGCATCTCTTTTCTCTCTGTTTTAAAGGGCAAGCGGCCTGTCAGTCTTATAGGTTTCAGTCTTGGGGCCAGAGTGATCTACTACTGTCTACAGGAGCTGGCCAATGATAAAGGTAGTGACACCTTTCTGTGAATAAATCATTAAATCAGAGACAGTTTATTCTTCTTTTTCTTCTAGCTGATTTAGAAGGCTGTGCAATTGACAGTACGATGCTGCTTTCCATACAACAGAATTTGCTGTCCCTTCCCTAATTTAGATGCAAGCCAGTTGAGTGAAAAAGCTGAGATTCCTCTGCCATTAAGTTGGAGCTGCTTTTCAGAGGAATATGTGTTGTATTAGGAATCATATTTGGAGGTTCAATTCCGTAGGTTTGGACTGTTACTTCTAATCAAAATAAGCAGATTTTTGTATATTTTTCAGAAACTTGTCTTTTCAAGGAATTGTATAAGTTTTATGCAACAGCAGCGTCCATGACCTCAATTTTGTTGTTCTTTTCACCTGAGTGAGAAAAGTTTTAAAAGTCGTCTGGTCTTTTTCAGTAGTTACCATTAAATATGTGTGAAAATGCTCTGTCTGCTTGATGTTTGATCTCACTTAAAGGTAATTTTACAAAGCATCGTGAGCAAAATTCTTTGAGATTTGTTCATCATATTAGCAGCAGCTCTGCACCTGGAAATGTATCTTCCCACAAACATGTACAGTCAGCATGTCCTCTGTACAGGCCTCCACTGTTACGGAGAGAACGTTGACGCCAGAAGCCTCACCGCTTCTTAATTTTGATGGAGAGGTGAAACTGGTGCGCCTCTTAAAGGTAGAACTATTTCAACCATAGACTATAGAATGGACAGGGTCTGCCTCCTTGCTGGGTGAAGCCACTCCGAGAACAGCACCCTCTGTTGATGGGCTGCAGTATAGGTCATAAATCCCGTTGTGCTTTTTCAGAAGATAGGCCCTGCAGGCAGAGAAACTGTATGTCGTGGACTCAGGGCCTAAGATTTTACTTAACTAAGTCAATCATAGGTGTGAAATTGTTATCAGAAAGTTCCTTTATCAGCTATCGTAACAAGATATTTTTCATTGTTTAAGCAAACATTTAAGATTGTTAATGTTCCAGATTTCTCCCAAATCCTGAAGGTATGAGTGTGTTACATGTTGAAGGAATTTAAAAGCCCTTTGAGTGCTCAGTCAGACTGGAAAAATACAAGTCTGCATACTGTTAATATCCATGAGTGTGATTGTGAATTGTATTTGGCTCACGTGGCTCCCTTTACTCTCAATTTTCTTACACTAATATATAACTTTTTTTAATTATTATTTTCAGTGTGTTGAGTTAGTGACAATTTTTTCGTTATAGTTACAAATCTTAAAAGCCACACCGACAGACTGATGGTGTTTTTCATTTTCCATCAGTTAATGTTTTCTGACGCACCTATGTCTTCAGGTAGTGAAGGAGTCGTGGAAGACGTGGTCCTCTTGGGTGCCCCAGTGGACGGCTCTGAAAGGGCGTGGGAGAAAATGACCAGAGTTGTCTCTGGAAAAATAGTGAATGGGTACAGCAGGTAAGCTGACAGAGCTTTACTCTGCAGTATTTGATGTTTAACGTTTTTAGTTTTGATATATTTATCCAGTTGTTAATTGTGCCTTAAGAATCACACAAAGTCTCTCTTAACTATCAGAGGAGACTGGCTCCTGGGTTTCTTGTATAGAAGTTCATCTGCACAAATGTCTGTTGCTGGGCTACAGCCAATTAACATCCAGGATCGGCGTTTGATCAATGTGGATCTTTCCTCCGTGGTGAGTCACAGCTTATATGTAAATTGTTATTGTTAAGCATCTCAAGGTCCTTACTGTCCAAATAAAAATGAAGCGGCGAGGTCAGGAACACTTTCAATGCAGGAAAATATAAGGTTTGCTAGAAAAATATATGAAACCCATTTTTAATTTATCAGTGTTGGCTTTCCACAGCTTCTTTGTGTAGCTTACTATGATGTGAATTTAAATCTGATGCTTTTGTTTGTACACAGTTAAATTATAATTTAATATGTTTTCCCCTGTTGAATACTAATTTCCTGGTAACAAACTTGATGATTTATAGCTGCTGTTGTTGTCTTCAGGGTGATTCAGCACTGAAGGAGATTTTCACACCAATAAGCAGCTTCTACATTATCCTAGAGAGGAGGAAAAGAAAAATAAGAAAACCTTTTGAAAGACCAAATATTTTATCAATATATAGAACGATTGTGCTAAGAAAAAACCTTAAGTAAAAAAAGGGAGGCTGTTTTTTAATACCTGCTGAATAAAGTCATATATTTAATACCTTCAAGATTGAAATCATCACATTCAACTGAATAAAATGCAAATGGTATTTATATATCATGAGAAGTAAAATAACCTGCCATCTGGGATAGACAGCTCTGGTAACAACTTTGATCTGTTTTTTTAGTAACGTACATTCACACATTATTACGCTCATTTTGTGCCTGCCATCTTCACACATTACACTCTGTGACACCATATTTCTTGGCTGCTTGACTGTTATTTAATGCATTGACAACCATTATCTTGAAATGGGCATCATAACTCCACCTCCACCTATTATAACTTGTACTAATTGTGGACTTTCACTGCGTCTCTCCATCTTCCACCCATCCAGCCGTAAGTGACAGCTCCGGCTCTCGATGGGTTAGATCCATCTATGGTTATATCTATGTCCCGCCTACAGTGGCACCATCCTTTTTTAAATTCGTATTGGTGTTTAAATATTGAACCCCAAATTTAAGATGATCAGTGATTTTAGATTTAAGGAAAAAATAGACGTTTCAAATATTAGGGTCAGGAGTTTTTTTTTTTTTTTAATTCTATCTTTGTTCCATCTCATGCTCCCAATTGGTTGCTCCGGCTCTCGATGGGTTAGATCCATCTATGGTTATATCTATGTCCCGCCTACTAAGTCATTTTTTGATGAAAATGAGTTTGGGGCTTAAATCATCTCTTGAGATGATTTATAGATGATTTAGGCCAAAAACTTATTTTCATCAAAAAATGACTTTGGCCATTATTTTAATAGGGTGACAATAATGTATTTTTATACGTCAAGCTAGCTGTGATCCGTCAAAGATTTCATTTCTGTCAAATACCCCTCTGTTCTTTTGCATGTTCTTTTTTCACATGTTGGTCTCTTATAGGAAGTGGGAGACTAAGCCCAAGCACCACAGTTGGGGCTGTAAAACCTGTGACAAAATGACTCTAAAGACTCTAAAAACAGAGTCAAACTGTGTGGGACAGAGGTGCAGGTGTATGATGCCATTGAGTTAATGTTGATTTAAAAGGATCAAGTGCAGACTTCAACCTTTTCAAAACTGGGCGTTTTGTGTTCTATATGATATAAATTTATTAACTGTAAATAAAATATATGAGATAAATTTCTTGTGATATAAATACGGAGTTTTATTAACACTTTGAAACAGACTTTTTTTTATCATTCAATTCAAAGAGTAAGAAAAAGTTAAGGCCCCTGCTAGCACAGCAACACTTTTCTGCCAACAACCAACCAGCTACCAACATGGTTTCATTTAAAACCCTAACCCTCAATATTTACAGTCATAGCTGTTCTGTTTTACCGGGAAATATCCCAAAGATTTCACATTTTACAATTACGTAACATTTCAAAAGGTATGAAAAACAAGGTTCATTTTTACTTGACATGTTTAAAGCACCATACGCCATCTACCTGGTCATGTACTGCATGAATAAGAACACTTTCTGTTCAAAAATTACGACCAAGTGTGTATAAAAAGTCTTTTCTTTGAAAACAAAATCATCACCTGCTGTTATTTACAAGAAAATATGTGTCCCTTTTTACCCTGAGACACTTACAATGTCCATGTTTTCCAGGTGAACGGCCACCTGGACTACATGCGTCAGATGGACACCATCCTCGTGGCAGTAGGTGTTCCCACTAAAGAAGTCCCTGGAGCCTCTTTTGCTCTTCCTCAACCTGAGACAGTCACAAAAGAGAAAGCGGACATACCCGGACCAAGTCCTGATGAGAAACAAGCGACTGAGACTCAAAATCAGACTGGTACTGAAGAGACTTGTGGTACTAAAGACATTGGAGACCTAAAAGAGGTTGAGGAGACAAAGGATGCAGCTGATGGTTGGGATATCCCTGATATTTCAGACCTGCTGGACTCTTTAAACGATACAGAGCCGGAGAGTCAAATCAAAGTCAGAACCTGTGAACCTTTAACTTCAGAGGAGGATGTTAAAAAAGACAACAAAGCCTCTGAATTGAATCATGTGGAAGAGGATCCTGACAGTGAACACATATCGTGGAGCTGGGACGATACACACTGGACTACAGAGCACACACTCAAACAGAGGCAACCCAACTTGTGAAGAGTATGTTACAGCACAAGCTGCTTTCCTCTAAAATCCTGTCCTCCCAAGTATTTCCTAAACACTGAGGCTTCATGGGAGAAAATAATCCATTCTCAACATGCTGACATGCCAGAGACAGGAACTTTCTGTCAGGACTAATTGCTGTTTTTAGACTGATGTATTAATTTATGAACAATGAAGAATTATTCCAATGAAGGTAATTTTGTACCAACTGTGAATAGTGTTAAAATATTTGTTTTCTGGTCTCGCTGTAGGATCTAGCTATAATATCTGTTTTGCGGGTGTCTGAGGCTGCTTACAAAAGGTGATATTGGTGATCCTTTCTCCCTGCAACTTTTAAAGAGAAGTCTCCGTTGCTATGGATTTTATCACAGTAGTTTGATATTTGAAAGGCTGAGGGGGCAATTCAGAGATTTCAAGGCCTTTTCTTTCAGTCCAAAGTGAAGTGCTTGCCTTACATGAAGTCTGTATAGACTTTATTTACATGGGTGATAGTCTTAACCCTGACTTCACTGGTTTGGTAACTCAAATCTCTTTTCCTGTAAAGCTCCTGTGAGGAGGAGGTTTTTGCAGGTTATGAAACAGACTGATATTAATGCTGGTGCTTTTTTTCGAACTTATTAAACCAGCTAGACCATCTGGAGAAGAATTACAAATTTCAATCATTACCAGTGGAACGGATGTTCAGAGAGATAGATTAGAAATGAGTCACAGTAAGTGGTACATTTGACTTCTGCTAAAAAACAGAATATACAGGATCTTATCAACAAAGAAATAAATCATGCAGCTCCTCCACAGGGGGCGCCAGAAACAACACAAACCTACAGTTCCTCACAGGAGCTCCAACCATGTTTCATTATTGGAAAAAAAAGTATAAAAGTAGATTGCATTCACTTGAGAGAAAAAAAATCATTTTTTTAAGGTAAATTTTTATCAGCATCTTAAAATCTGGTACATGTGATGCACTTTTAACACATTTTTTGTCATCTAAAAAGTGAGCTACCTAGTCACCAGTGCGACTGATACACTAGTATAAATTGTAGAGAGGTCTGTTTTTATAGTGTGGTATTTTACCCAGAAGATGGCACCTGAAGTGTATTTCAAAGTCATTTTCCTCTGTTAGAAAGCAGTGGTATTTTATAATGAAATATGCCCTGTGGAGTGCTAGTTTGATTCTTCCTCATCAGACCAGAACCTCAGCAAAACAGTCACCCACAGTGGGTCCATCTGTACCTCACATTTGTTCAGTGACAGGGTTGCAAACCATCGGCTCTTTTTTCTGTAGTCTTGTATAAATGTTGTCAGTTACAGGATGGGACTATTTGAGCTTGTTTCTAAAGAGTTGTTGCTTACTTTGCTTGCCTTTTCTCCTGTATGAATCCCTCCTGTCTCTCCCCTGGCTAATTCTAATACAACAAAAACACAATAGTTTGCACTATTGTCAGATCTTTACACAAAAGCGCAGGTAACAGACAAAACAATCACAGGATTCAGAGACTGTCTAGATTGAATTTAAAGATAGAAATGGATTTAACCTGCAGCTGTAGATCAATCAAAGGCACTTTTTTAATAAACACAGAAAAACTTGGCATCGTTTTGGTCAATGAGGCTGACGAATGTTGGATTCATTTGAAAAGCTGATTTACTTCTTTTGGGCTTGTTCCCACAGGCTTGGTTGCTTGTTTCTCTCACAAGACCTGGCAACGCTGGCAAACATTACCTCACAGGTAGCTGGCAGGGTGGTGATAATATGGTTAAAGACAGAGGTACACATCTAAACACAGTGGAAGCCTTCATGCAGGAAAAAAGGTTAACCTGTGCCATTACACTTCATGCATGTAAGATGGTGCATCTGATATGCATTTGGGTTACATGGTGGTTTAAAGGGATATTATCAGACAATGCTGAAATACAGGATACTTGTGGAGTGCAACTGAGGCAGCATGTTACATAAATTCAGAATAACAGTGATCTTTTTCTCTCAAGTGACTGCAGTATGCTTCTGTAAAAAACACCATATTTTAACCTTATTGAATACATCTCCATTGTGACTGAAATGGGACCAAATCAGACACATTAGTGTGCAGATATTAGCCATTATTGCACACTTGTATTACATAATACAGAAAAAAAAGGCAATGAGTGATTATGAATGCTCTTATTCTTTAGTTTGTGGAACAGAGAGTGTCAGGCTCAGCTCTATATCTGCAGGTTGTGAAGCACAGCAACACATCTGATAAGACAGTGGTCCACTTTAAACTTAGTTAATGAAGTATGATAGTGTTAAATATTCTTTATTAATTAAAGTTTAAAGGAGATAGCTTTCTGCAGACCTTTGCAAGTTAAGTTTAGGCATTACAGGTGCAAAGGTCGACTAGAACAGTTTGGTTTTAGCCCAATCCAGCTCAAAAATACCCAATTTGAGGTTCTATCTTGATAATCTGTGAGGTTTTCCTCTAAAATCAGTATCACTTAAGGTCTCAGAAATCCTATATTCAGTTTGAGTATCCATAGAAAACATTGTATGACATAAATGTGTATTTTGAGTGTGTACCAGTATGTCTCCTAGGTCAAAGCCCCTGAATTTCTGTTAAAATGATAATAAATTATGAGTCTTAATACTTGTTTTGATTCATTTTTCCTTCATAGTCCTTAACAGTAAACATCATCTGTCATTTTCCTTTAACTGCTGCTCAGTCCAGGCTGTCCACCTGGTTAGGCAGCAGCAGAGGCAGCTCCATGCCAGCATGTTCAGCGTCCAGCAGGTTGACAGCATCGGTGGCAGTGGCAGGTGGGTGTGTGGGGTCAGAGGCCAACGGAGAGGGGGGGCTGCTGGCAATGTTTGGCTCTCCTGAGTTTCTGAGAGAGAGGGAGAGCGCCGGTGAGGGTCTTCTCACTGACCGGGAGAAACAGCAGGGCAGGACCTTCCCCAGTGCCCGCTTAAAGTCTCTCATGAAGAGCGGGTAGATGATGGGGTTCATCGTGCTGTTGCAGTATCCCAGCCAGGTGATGGCGTCAAAGAGTGCGAGAGGGATGCATTCGCACACCGCCTAAAAGAGGACAGTAAGAGGAAATGTAAGGACTGGGCATCAGATCAACAGTCTGGTCAAAAACAGTGATAGCAGAAATAAAACAGGGAGAGAAAACAAATGGATAGAAAACATGATAAAGTCATACAGTGTAGAGAGAAGTCATGGAGAGTATACTGTAGCCTCCTTTGCAATATTGGACATTATTAACTTGAATATTATCTCATCTCTGTAATATTATCTTACTATTATCTTGAATGTTAGTAGATGAATTTGAATGTAATCTTAGCTGATGCTTTTCCACATTTTTTGTTAAAAAAAAAGAGTATGTGTGCCTGGAGATGATTACAGTTGCAATTGTGAATGTAACTGCGCACAAGGACACATAATTATGAGCATTTGTCTGATGCAATACTGACGCACAGTAAAATAAGAAATGCTATCAGCACATTTCTTAGCCCAGAAAAAATTATACAGTGCAACGCTATATATTCATATTGTTATTTTCTATACATTAAAACCCTTTTAGGCAAAATGTGTAAACTATTTTCAGCTATAATTCAACAAAATGAAACCAGGACAGTCGAACAATTATTCACAAAATCTATACAATACATATCAAGGATTTGTCTCAGACTGTGAGGGTTGTGTTTTGCATAATCTATACCCAAATCAAGCTGCATTTATAGGATTTTCTACATGAAAAGAAAATAAAAAGCAACAAATGTTTTACTTTTTGGATAAATTGGTACATGTAGCCATTATTCATTCATTCATAATCTATAGGACATATTTACGTGGTGTTTTCATTTACTCCCTCTCTTATTTTGGGTTGCTTCAGGAAAAAACAACATTATACATTAAGGTTTTTTCCTCTAGTGCTTTGAAATAAGAAACCATCTCCTTTATTTTCCCTTAACAGAGCTCCTAAACTCAAGGTTTTTTGTTGCTGTTTAAACTGTTGACATTGGACAGTCGGATTAAGATGAGGTTTAGATAAGAACATTGAAGGAGGTGACAGCTGTTAGAGATCTTCCAATACTATCAAGATGAGACGGGGAGGCGGTGGGAAGAAGACAGAAAAGGAGGGAGCGTTTCACACACCACATTGAGTGTGAAAGGGAGGGAGAGAGCAGACACAGTCGAGTCTCTGTGCTCTGTGCGGTGCAGGGGAGAGGCAAGAGGGCACAGATGGGAAATCAAAATGACTGGATCATTGAAAGCTTGAAAAACAGGACAAGTGTCATTACCAATTTAGATGAAGCTGTTTTTTGACATTCATTTACTCTCGCCCAGGTTTTTTGTGCCCCCTGATGTCTGTCCGCTGAGTAATGAGTGTAAAGCTATCTTATCAGATCAAAATCAACAACCTAAAAAAAAAAATGTACCTATTATAAATGGCACATCAGTGTTTGTTGTTTTCCTGGTTTTGGTATGAGTCAGCTACACAAAGCTGAAATGCCAGTCTATTTCTTTGTTGGATCCTTGGCAAGGATGTGACGCCAAGGCTGGCCATTACAAAAATAGACCAGTATCCAAGTGTTGTTTTTTTCTTTCTTCATTTTCATTATGTCATACATTTACATTTTCCTGTTTTAGTGCCCTTCGAAACAATGAGACACTTACATATGCATCAGGTAGGCAATTTAAAAAGGAAAATCAAGCTGAGCCTTTGTTTGTAAATGGTACTTTAAATCTTTTTAACCCCAGATACACACGAGTTAAAGCAGCCTGGATAAATTTGGGCTTATCACTCCTTTTGAGCTCATTCTTATATTTTACCAACCATGACTTGTGTTGCACACTAGATGGACACATATCATGTTTCTACAATAGACTGCAAAAGTGTTGAACACAGTTAACCCATCACTTTGAGAATTTGGCTCTCTGAGCATTAATTATCCACATTAATATAGAGTCAGATGGGAAAGACTCACTTTTGGAGCCAGCCCCTGGTGGCCATTCAGAGAACTACAGTTTACAGCAGTTGCATATTAGCCAAATTTTCCAGTCTCTCTTCACCTGCTTTTTTACTGTGTCAAGCTGTGAAGAGAGTGTCTGCTTCCTGTTCTCACCTGAGCCATGTTAGTAATGAAAAAAGGAAGCCAAGCACTGAAGAAAAGTCCCAGGAGGACTCCCAGCGTCAGACTGGCCTTCAGTGCCCTACGTCCTTGCCGATGAGCCAGACGTCGCTCACTGGTCACTGATGGCTGTAAACAGGAAACAGCAGGGGAAACAATTCATGCTGTTAAGTGTAAGCATAAAATAACAATAACTATAGAAAAAAATGTGGTACAATACAGGTGCAGTTTTACAATCAGCGCCCATATTTCACAGTTAAAGATGTTTAAGGTAAAACGTTATGGGTCAGTCATACCAAACTCACTCAGATAGAAAGATGCTGGAAGGCCTCAAAATTTGATCTTAAACTTTAATGAGATTTCTTGAATAGCCCATCAAAAACATTTTCAGGCTTTATTTTTATTTCAAGGACCTCCAGAAAACCCTTTTACTTTTACTACTGCAGCTGAACCGGTTAAAAGATTTCTCCCAGTGTGAGTTCTGCCTGGTTTCAGAGACTGATGCTGAATAATTATTATGAATGAAAATAATGACAGGATTAAAAGCTGCTTAATGGAACAACAAAGTGTCAAGGGGTTACAGCTAATGAGATTCTCTGATTATAAAATCAGAAGTGACTGCTGTAGAGTGTGTGTGATTTTACTGCAGGTGGATGCGACAGACGATGAGACGATGTGGCTGTGACCTTTTCGGACAAGGGCAGTACATCACAGGCACACTGTCTGTAATTTTCTCTGAGCTTTCAGCACAGGTTTAGACTTCTTCCCTTTCACCACCTCTTCATTTTTCTCTCACACATTCTTTAGTTAACTTGTGATGAAAAAGAAAAGACATCTCTGCCTCAAATCATGAACTAGCTGGAGTAAAAAAGTCTTAAGTTCTTCTAATAATAATAATACATTTTATTTAAAAGCGCCTTTCTGGACACCCAAGGACACTGTACAGGCATTAAGAACACAGTTAAAACACAGTTAAAATAAATAAAAACAATATACAGGTATGGAAATGGACAGTTAAAGGGGAATATGCAATTTGGAACAGATGTGTTTTGAGTTTTGATTTGAAGTGGGGTAGTGAGTCCATGTTTCTGAGATCTGGTTCCTTACGCATCCTCATATCAACAAATGAACCTTCAAAATAAAGGAATTTCTTCCTTCTTTTGTCCTACAGTAAGAGATTTGTGTTTACATTGTCGGTTGTATTAGGTTTGTACTCAGCGGCATGGAGTGTTACACCAGCCTTCCACATCCCCTCTCTTTTCTGACTAACCTTTGCAAACCTTCATCCAGTCCTCTTTGTTAAGAAACGGAACCTTTAACTGGCATTTCATGACACAAGTGTGTGAACACCTGCACTGTTTTCTCCAAGTAATGGAGGATTCAACAGTTTGCCTGAAATGCTGGAATGGTGTGGGCTAATTCAGACATAATCTTAGATGTATTTGCACTCAGGTGAACTCTCTGGTGCTTTTATAATCAAGCAAATCAGAAAAGTGCTCTGACTCTAGACTCAAAATGTGCTGTCAGTCTCAGAAAGAGGAAAAATATAGATCAAATTGGCTTTCCAGCTGCTTTCCTGTGGGCTCAAACATAAGAAATCAGCAGCAGCTCATAATCATAAAAACAAAATCTCCAGGAGGTAATTGCTGCACTCAGATGATATTGAACTCAAAAGTGGATTTCGACGGCATAATTGGTATTTGAGGAGCAGTTATGCACAGCGTTGTGTAAAACCTTCAAAATGTCAAAGGATGTAACAAGCCTGAAAATTCTTACAAAAAGGCGGACAAGTGTGATTTAGTTATGATACTTGTGTTATTTTCTCCTCTCACAACCTTTTCAGCTCTGACTGTCATTAAGTTCTGCTCAACTTTAAAGGCCAGTCGACTATTTTAGAAACAAGCGTAACAGTCTGACTTCTTTGGGAACTGTTCTAGAAACTGAAATCGTTCACCTCAGCTGGTTTGCTGTAGTCTTTGTTCCCCTCTTCTCACTGCAGGTTGTATAAATCATCTATGTAGTTAGCATCTGAAGAGCCATTACACAGTCCAAGGATGATTATTGCCATATTGGAAATGTCAATTCCACTTAACATTCTATTAGGACAGAAAAGAAGTCTGCTTCTCAGACTAAGAATGTGCCGGGCTGGGAACATATCTATTTTTGCCTTTATGAATGGTTTGTGTGGCCTCTGGTACATCTTGAACAAGCTCAAAGGGGGCACTTGAGGAACTGCAGTCTGTTTTGCTCAAAGCTCCTAAACTACTTCTTCCCACTGTACCTTTAAAGTGGCCTCCAGGCACAGATAGCTGTGACACTTAATTACTAGTCTATTCATATTTATAATGGATTTAACTTTAGATGTTATGAACACATTTAAATAAGTTTAATTTTCTAATTTTCTTTTTTAGTGAACACTGAGCTCCCTCATCCCGTAGGTTCCTCTGGATCACTGCTGCAGACGTCCTGCTGCTGTGGACCGACCTGCTTTTCCAGCTGCTTCAACTACATGCATCAGTCTCATAGTTTCAAAGTGTTTCAAAGCTAATGTTAATTGTAGAACTTTTTGACCCTTTCTGCTTTAAGTGATGTAATTCAACCCCCATTTCTTTACAAATTCTTTTGCTGCTATGATATTACCACAGACCTGTTGACTTTCTATGGTTTTCAATGTGGTGTTCCTTAGGTGCACATACATGCATCGCATTGCATTGTTTTTGCTCTGTAATCTGTAATCTGAAAAAAATCGATTCACTTAAGTATCACAATTTTTAGTTTTACAATCTTTAAATTGGTTTTTCTTGTTCAAAAATGTTTTTTTTCTTTTCCAAATCTAAAAATGAATTTAAAAAACTGACTTACATGTGATGTGTATTTTGGGGGGAAATATGGTTCCTGGAATAGTCAGTAGACAATCACAATCATTCAACTGTTTCACTGGTGTTAAAAATGCAGACTAAAAATTGAGAAAATTGACAATATCGTAGAATCACAATTTAAATCAAATCGGCATCCAAAAAATCATAGAAGAATCTAATCAGGATAAAGGCATATCATCCCAGCCCTAGTCTGTATGTTCTATTATTGCTGTCTATCCCTCTATTTCTGCAACTCTCTCTATCCCTCTCTAAGCCAAATACAGTAGCAGCAGATGACTCTCTAACATGAATCTGGTTCGGCTCAAGGTTTCTGCCTTGAGATCAGAGTGGATCTGATGTTACAAAATGAGACTCAATCTTATCCTCGCTTAGACACTTCCATATCGACTTTGATTTTTGACACCACTTGTTAGCTACTTGTTCCTTACCGGTACATTTTGAGACACAGGAGGCTCCTGGTGGCTGCAGTCATCTCCATCCTGTTGAGCTAACCCAGCTGCCATCCCAGGTGAAGGAGGCCTGGATGGTTCGCCTAATGAAGGATGGGGGTGAGGTGGGTGGCTCAGTGCTGCGACTCTCTTTGCTTGCCTTCTTGCTGCCAGGAGAATCCGGCAGTAGGTGAAGCAAATTGCACTGGAGGGCAAAAAGAAAGTGAGTACAGATGCCACCAGGGCAAAGGGAAGAGTGACTCTTAGGCGGCACTGGAAGGAAAGGCCTCCTGATGGTGGCAGCTGAAAGTAGGAGGCTGGGTAAAGTGTGTCTGAATAAGAGCTGGTGTTGCTACTGCTAAAACCAGGAGCTGATGAGTGTCCACTCCAGTGGCCTAAGCTGTGCCATCTCATCTCTATGGGTAGGAAAGAGGCCAGAGCTGCCAAACCCCAAGCAGCTCCTACCAGGAGTAACGCCCGAGGTGGGGTCATCCTCTGCTTGTAGCGCAGAGGCGAGATGATAAAGAGGTAGCGGTCCAGGCTGATCACACACAGGTTGAGGATGGAGGCACTGCAACACATGACGTCAAAGCAAAGCCAAATTGGGCAAAAGGCGGGCCACAACACCCAGGCCCCACACAGGACGTTAAGCATGGCAGGGGGCATGACCACAAGGGCCACCATCAGGTCAGACAGGAACAGAGACACCAGGAAACAGTTTGATGTACAACGTAAAGAGCGATGAGCAAACACCAACGCAATCAGCAGCACGTTGCCACAAATTGTCATGAGGATGATGACTGTGAGCATGAAGGCCAACAACCACGGGCCGCTGCCGGTGATGTTCCACGCACTGGTGGTTGAAGAGCTGCTGTTTTGGCCCCCCAAAAAGCTGGAAGTGTAAGAGTCGGCCATGGGGCTGGCTGGTGAGAATCAATGAACCAGCTCCTGGAGGTTCTTCTTTCGGAGCCTCTGAAAGTTACAGACCTTAACCTCTTCTTTTGTGCAGCAGCAGAATCTCTCACTTAAGGTCCAGTGTTTAATGAGGTGTTGTGCTGAAAATCCATCCACCTCTCCTGCTGTCAAAAGTGTTTTCCATTTGTAGAAATCTCCATTATCCGTTGGTTGGAATATATCCAAGTGACATGGATTTATTTCCTCAACTGAGAGTACAGTACTCGAAATAACCAACACAGTTGCACTCATCTCTCCATCCTGGCCAGCTTGTCCCTGTCTGATCCACAGCAAGAGCCAGAGTGAGCCATTCGATGAGTGACAGAAGGTTTTCAAGGCAGCATAACACAGTGATGACAGCCACCGGAGGAGGGCTCACGGAGAGAGAGGCTTGACTAGGCATTCGAGAGCTGTGCAGGGAAGAGGAACAACTAAAGATGAAAAGACCGAAGAGCAATTCTCAGAAATTTGTCCTCGTCTCAGAGAAGTGGGATTGTACAGCTTCTGCAAGTCCTCTGCTGCAGCTCTTCTGCCTTTCAAAAATCCTTTTATTCTTTGAGGCAGTGAAAAGGAAGCAGAACCCAACTGGAAACTGATCAGCAGTAATTTGTAGGCAAGGCTCTGTTCACAAGTGCTCCACAGGTATCATGGTCCTTGTAACACTGCTTCTTTTATTCCCCGCTCCTGTTAATCCCTGTGTCGGCCACTCCAGCGCGCCTTCTAGCCAGAGCGCACAGCTTCTGAGAAGGAGCGTGTCAAAGCATTGCACTGTTAATGCATAAGCATGCACAATCACCGGGAGAAATGCTAATTACACATCATGGGAGCTGGTGTGGGTGTTTTTATTTTACCATGTTTGGTCATGGTGATTTTAACAACTGAGGTACAATATCTTATTAATATTCTGATTGTATGAATAATTTAATCTGACTGTTTTTACTTCAGTCTCTGTAAAAGGATTCACTGTGGAAAAAAAATCCTGCTTTTTGTTTGCATGAAAATTGATCAGTTGATGGCAGAGTGAGTCAGATCTTGTACAGGGATCATCTCTTTTGTGCAGTTGTTAAAGGGTCCATTATAACACTGAAAAGAAGGCACCCACTCTGCAAAGACTAATTTACACAGAGTATAATTAAGCCTATTCAATTTTAAGCCCATGCTTTGTAAATTTTCTCGCAACACTTTTATTTGATTATGTTGTCTGTGATTTATTTCATCAGTGACAGCGATGCAACTCCACAAAGAGGTATAACCTCAAATTAAATGTTAATCTTTGATTTTATGAAGCTGATCTCTATAACTTTTTTTTGTCAGACTTCTATTACGAAATGTTACATTTAATCTAATATGAGCAGCATTCATCTGATTAGTCTAAACAAACAGCTTACCTGAGCACTCTAAATGCAAATATTACAAATGTCCTAGGGATTGCTGATGTGGTTTTGGACTGGATCTTAAACACTTGGTGGTGCTTCTTTCTCTTGTGCTTCACGGTTTTTTTGGGGTTCCCCAGGGGCCTACTTTGGGTCCCCTTCTGTTCACTGTTTTGTAACTCTGGCCAAAGGTTGAGTCTTTTGTTGCATGGTTTTTGTACCTGTTGGTCCCTTCTTATTACTGTGGACTTTAAATAACCTTTTTTGTGATGATGACAACAATGTACCAGGCTGTCATTCAAATCACCCACTCCCCTAATTATGCATAATTATGCATGGCTCTTTGCTCAGTATGATCAAAATGGATGATTTGTATGAAAATAAAATTCTGTCTCTTCCTGTGCTCCTCTCTGGTGTGAGATCCCCCAGGGGTCTATTTTGGGTCCCCTGTTAGTCACTGTCAACACACTTCCCTGGGGCAAATCCTGCTTAGGCAGGGTAAACTCTCAGCTTTATGCCCCGTTGAAACCTGGCACCACTAATGTTTCTTACATTTTGTGTTGTCTGACTAAATTAGATATCTATAATTTTCCCCTGCTGAATGACTCCAAATCTTCAGTTATTGTTATCACCCCTTTTTGCCCCCTCCTCTTATTCAGGTCTTCTTTTGCTTGTATTTTCTTGAAATGAATTTTATATCTGGGCCCTTCATGTGATTGTGGCGTATATCAAGACTAAAGAAGTTTTCTTTTTTTTCAGAAATATGACAAAAACACTTTCTCATGATTGAGTTTTGCAGTGAAGGCAATAATGTTTCATATTATCAAAAACCACAGATGTATGAATATTTTGGTGCTATTCAGTTGTTTTTTTTTAGGGGAATAATTGATGCAGTACTCTCACGTGACTCATACATGTAGCATCAGTGAATAAATTCACACTCTCTATTCAAGTATCTATCAGAAAATAAAAGAGCCCCTCACCACGCATTATTCGAAAACCAGGAATCTGCAAGACAACAGTAATTATTCATCTAATAATTATTCATTTCATTATTTTCCCCCCAACAGGAGCTCTTGAATATTAACAAACCTAAACCAGCACACATGGGGTAAAATCCACTGCACTCCTACATCTCAGGAGCTTCATCAAACGCTAAACCAAATATGCAGAGCTCTCCATTTCAATGCCCCCTCATAACTGACTAATCTGCTCCATCACTACGCCCCTGTCATCTGCCACATCAGATCAGCTGCTGCCAACCTTCTGACCCCCCCTCACCCACTCCAAGCCCACTACCTTATGGATAACCGTTATCATTGCAGCGTCTTTCTTCACGACACGTCTTCAGAAATAAAAACACTCCCACTCACATTCAGAAATAAGCTGAGAACCTCACCTTTTCAAGGCTTGCATTAACACTTGACTCCAATTACTCTCTCAAGCACAACCATTTCTACTTGGAGGGTCCACATTAGGATCCAGCAGTTTTAAAATTCATTCAGTGATAGATCCTTTATATATCCTTTAAAATGATTTCTACCTTCAGCACTGGAGGAGAAATAATCATTAGCATCACTTTTGTGGTCATGATTATTTTATTAAATAAACACAGACTGTCCTGATGAGGCACATACAAATTATACAGAGTCATACAGGTGGGATGGATCGTTCAACAGGGAGACGAGGATCTCACTGCAGAACAGTGCAAATGGTGACTTTCCCACAGACAAAACATAACAGAACAAGCTCAAAAAATAAAAAGACAGTCCCTGGTGAATCCAAGCTACTGCTCCTGTCAGGAAAAAGAAAAAAAAGTCAGTCACATTAATCTTCTTCAGTATAAACATTCACATGGCTGCTGGTCTGAGTTTTCAATAATGAAACTATGTATTATGTATTAAGTGTATGATCACATTGACTTACCTTTTCACTTCTGTGCAGCATATAATGTGATCTCAGGTCGTTCTGACAGTTGGCGTATGCCATGCCGAGTCCCGCTCCTGAGCCGAATGAGATTGGCCACGTGTGCCCTGCAAACGAAACAGGTTCTTTGATTTTTTTTTTTTTTTTTTTACAGAGATGCACTTCACAGTGTTATTAAAAAACACAGAAGGAATGGCGTGTGAAATCCTTTTCACACTCCTGTTGTGACACCTTAACTGTTTTTCATTTTTCTCTTCTTGTTAACATTTATTTTCACATGCTCCATCACTGGGGCTCTTGTCAAAATGAAGACACTCAATACCCACAGTCATAAATGCATATAAATAACACTTGAGCTACATATATAAAACCAGTCAAAGCAAACTGCACTATAAACAAGTGCTTTTAGCTGTGAGAGCAGGGTGACATTAAATAAACACATTTCCACTAAGACAAATACATCCATGCATTTTTCATTTTGGCCAAACTACTTTTGTCTTTTTTTCAGGAGTTAAAGGTACTACTGTGTGTAGGAAGAGGAATATCTAACAGTTAAATTCTTGACGAAGGCGCTCCCCTTGCTCACCCCTCCCTTTGGTGATGTGGCCCATTATTTACAATAAATGATATTTTTGACGTGAAAAGTCAGCAGTATGAGATTTTTGTGAGATGACAGTACTTCCACATGTAAAGGATAATATAATCAAAGCCTGCTGTCAAAAGTTCCTCACAGGAGCTCTAAGCCTGTTGATTTATATACAACCCTGGCTTTACCCTGTTTTGAATACAAACAAATATTAACTGCCAAAACTCTAAACCCAGAAGCCACTGTGTGTAAGTAAAAAGAAAGTCCGTTTCAGGCTCTGTTTATGACATGGATAAAAGGGCAAGATATTTAGGACTTTAAGTTCCTGTGAGAAACTTTTGATATGTGTTGATTTTGGCGCTCTCTTGTGGACAAAGCAGTCTTAATCTTATTCTTGACATGCTTATGCAATGTTATCTGGCAAAAATCACATCCTGTTGACTTTTTATGGCCAAATGTATCATTTATTGCAAATAATATATTAATATAATATATCTAATATCTTTAATGTAGAAACTGTAAAAATAGGGCAGCTTCTTTAGCCACACCCCCAATACTGGCACACTGGTTTCAGGTGTTAAAACTCAAAACTAAAAGCACTGCAACAAGATATTTTGATGCAGGTTTTTTGAATTTCGTATTTAAAGCTTCCTAACTCATCTGGATGTATAGAGCATGGCAAAACACTGCTTTCATTGCCAATCTGGATGTGCATATTTTTGATGGTGTAGGCTGCAATAAAAGCCTCATTCTGAGTTTAAAAAAAAAAGCCAATCTGTATATTCATGTGGCTATACATCAATTTTAACTCATATACAAGTATCATATTCCATTTCTACCTATTCTATTCTGCCAAGTCCCACTAAATAGTAACACTGTGCCTTTAACTTGGATATACTTCAGCGGCGAAAGGTTGTCCCTCTTATCTCTGCTTCTCTTGTCAAGGATGTCAGGGCTATTTAAAGGTTCAAGACCCAGAAGAGAAGCCTGTTCGAGATACTTACGTTTGAAGAACAGGACAGAAAGCACAATCCCTAACCCCAGCCCCGTACCTGGAAAAAGAGAGAAACAACATTTGATATGACATAACAGTTTGTCTTTGATTTTTTCTTACTTATAAAGCTATTACTTCATTTGCATTAATTCATTTTAGGTTTGTATACACTCCATGTTGTCCCCATATATGTACAGTTATATTATCCTTTGTGTAGTTTTCTTGCATGCTATAAATTCGAGTTATGAGGTTTTATTTGAATTATAAGTTTTAGCTAAAAGGATCAAATAGATCATTCTGAACTTTTTATTAAAGACATATCAGGCAATGATGGTTATGTAGAATATGTTATATTAAAGGTGTTCCTGACATTTTATATGAGGGGTGCAACAAAATTAGGAACATCTTTAAAACTAATACACTCCAGTGCACCAACAGCCACCTACAATTAATCATTAACAGAAAAATTATCAACTGTCTGACAAGTCAGAAAAACCTGACAAAGCTATGCAAATGCTGACTTTATGGCAGACTTGTTGATTAACACTGCATTATATTGCACAGGTGGTCATAATGTTATGGCAGAGGGTGCATCTGAATACATATGTCCCTCATTTCCAGTTCTCTTCTTTATAAAGCATGTGATGATCACCACACTGTTCTTCTGTTTTTTTCTGCCGTGCAATCTAGTGTGAGTTTATCCTATTGTCTCCAGGTACATCTGTTGTCCAGTTTCTTAAGCCTCCTTAAAAAAGTAGAGCACATATCTCCTCAACGAGCTAAAGCTGTCAGTGCCATTATGTAGACCAGACCCCATTCAAAAATCTTGTAATTTTGTCGTGCTGCGTTTATTGGTCATGTGCATATAATTGAAGTTTTAAATGTGTAAATATTAGGTCCACTAGCCTATAAAGATAGTAATTACACGAAATATACTAAGTTATATGGAATTGACTCACAAATACCACAGTAAACACTGCCATTTTCTTTAATTTCTGTCTCTTCATTACATTGTGTAGCAGCAAGCTGACGCAATGGAAAGTTTTCATAATATAAAAAACGAAATGTTGTCGGTGTGGAAATTGTCAGCCGAATTAATAAGCGATGAATAGAGTCTGGATTCGTGTCTAACTAATTCAATAAAAAGGTATAAAAATAAAAAGCAAAGCGGAAGAGCAACCCTTGACGTTTTACCAATAGGGCTTCCTTGCATGTTTAGAGAAATCACGCAAATTTTTCTGAGAAAGACTTACGTTTGCGCCAAATTACTAAGGGTTGTATTGCTAAGTTAAAGAGATAAAATCAGTCATGTTTATCTTTTTGGTCATTCAGTTGTCCTTTACTAGCTCTTACTGGCTAGCTAGTTAGCCTCGCCCAGTCAATGACAGATGTAGACTACAGTAAAAGCTGTTGCTCATTTTCTCGTCCAGAAATCACATTATAAATTATTTTTGTTAACAGAATCTTTTGGATAATTACCGAACTTAATGGCACCGTCTGCCAGGCATCGGTCCCACTTTTTCCCCAGCTCCTTTTCAGACATCCTGAACATTAGCTAGTGTCGGGTTATAAGTGTCAAACACAACCTCTCTGCTGCGTTCATGTATCGTCGGAAATATTTATGACTATACTCTGAGGTATGGTCAAGTTACAAAATGTAGACAATTAAACGCCGCCACAGTTATCTGTAATCTTACTGTGTCACCATTTCATAGATTTTCTATACAACAGATCAATGAAAAATATCACTTCACACAAAATATCAGTGACGCCTGGTTACTTGAACGCAGCATTACGCCAAGATTGCAAACCTCGCGACGTCTCATACCCAAAGAGGCTCGATGTCGCCACCCCGCGGTAAATAGTCAGAATCAGTTTAATGGGCTCTATGCACTGATCTACCACTTCCTAAATTTAAGGCTGCTCCTTTATTTCCTGTCTTACATTATTGGACAAACCGATTAATCCAGGTGTGACCACACACTTGGATTAATCAGTATGTTCAATATTCAAATTAATTATTGTAAAAATCAAAAATGATACAAAGGCAACATATCAGATGCTGAAACTGTTTTTTTTTTTAACTCTTTATTTGATCACCAGCACATTTCAGAGATCAAGTCTTTCAGAGGAAAAGACAGAAGAGATTCACCATTCTGTGAGTGGCTGGGTGAGGAAATAGTTCAGCGAATTATGTTTCAGGATGCAAAACTAAGATTTTGGGATTTTATCATCTGAAGTAGTATATTCACAGAATCGGTAGAAATCTCTGGACAAAAGGCTTAAAGCTAAAAATCCGTACAGGATTGCAGTGATCCAAAGGGTCTCTGGCCCTTCTCTGTCATGGAATTCACTACATGGGCTCAAATTCACTTCCAGAAATCTCAATCTGTGAACACACTTCATTCCTGCATCAGAAAATGCAGTATAAAACTTTAGGTTGTCAAGAGGAAACCTTATGTAAACACAATCCAGAAACGTCAGTGAAGTCTTTGGGCCAGGGCACATTTAAGATAAATGGATATGAAGAACAAATCTTTCCTGTGGACTTACTTATCAAAATTTGATATTCAATCATGGAAGCTGTATCTTGTGCTCTGAAGAAATGAGCTTGTTTTTCATGCAATGCTGAGAGGCCAGAATCTGTGATAATGTAAGGAAGGATAATTGTCCATTGCATGGATAGCTCACACATAACAGAACATGTGCAGCCGTTGAGGCAATGCCTCTTCCAGAGCAGACCTTACATATTTCACAGAGCCAATGCCAAACCACAGTCTTTGTGTAATAGCAGGATAGAAAAGAAGTGGAAGAGTCCTCCTGAAGTCCAGATGTTTCCCAGGATAATGATGGTATTACAATACAACAGTAATGAGAGCACTGATATTCTCAGACGATGACTTACAATGTATGATGAACTGCTGAATACAAAAGTCAGCAAAAACAGTTCATTGCATGATTAATGTACTTCGTTACACTCCACTACATTACATGATTTTTTATTTAAATATGAATATATTGAGCCAACCATACAATAATTGCATGTATTGGACGTGGTGTAAAGCCCCTCTGTCTTTTAATGCTCAATGTTGTTGGAAATGAGGGTTTCACTCTGAATGATCTTTAAGTCTTTAAGTCAGTGCATATCTGTTTTGGTGAAAAAATAACAGTAATATGCACATTATTTTTTATTTCAAATTTATTTTTAAGTGTTAACATGAATTTCATTCGACACACACATCAGTAAACTGTCATGAAGTCATTACAGCATGTCCATCTTTTAAACACTGATTTCCTGAGATGACAATATCTAATTTCTGATCACATATAGCCTGCAAACATTTGATTTCCATCACACTATAATAAACAATGTCTTTAATTTGTTGAATAAAGACGTTCCATTGGCTTGTACACTTGATTACTCTGTATCCAAATCTTTAAACTACAAAACTAGTGTTTAACACCCAGAATCAAAAAACTAAACATGGAAAACATGTTTTATGTGGACTCTACAAACAGACTGACAAACGTATCAAATTCATAAAATAATCACACCATTACATACAAATGATCCACTCTTCAGCAGGCATTCTGTGAAACAGCCAAAAGTCACATTGTTGGCAGTGATTATCAAGCACAGATTTGTAAATGGTGTCAAATACAAAGTGGCCTAATGATGAACAAAAGGTATGGGTGATTATAAACACACTGGGAGTTTGTGTGTGTGTGAACAGCAAAGGGGCACCAAAGAGGTAGAGTCTGTGTCCTTGAAAATCTTTCTTTGGCCAAAAAGAAAAGAAATCCCCTTTGCTTTAACTCTGGCACATTTCTGTGTCCACCAGTGATAACCAATATATTTCAGTTTAAATCAAAGTTTGTGTCAAATTCACTCCAACAAGACTGCAGTGACAAAACACATGCTGTACATAAAGGAACAATAGCTACCATCAGAAACTACTCACAGGTAGGTGCTTGCTATAGCCAGAATGCTGTGTTTAAGTGGCTTTCACTTAAAAAAATATGCTGTGGTTTGACGGTGCCTCCGTCTTATGTAAAAAAAATATGAAGTGGTGAATTCAGGTAAAGAGAACATCCACCCTGTCCCCTGGTCCTGAAAGATGCTCCATTAACAGCTGGTTTTAAGTTGTTCTGCTCACTCATCAGAAGCTGGCTCTGGGGTTTTCTGGCTTTGTTCTTGTTCTTGTTCTGCTGCTGGCTGCTTCGGTTCTTCTCTTGCTGTCCTCACTGAAGCTTTGCTGATGACTAAGAGGTCTCGCAGCTCCTTGTTCTCAATCTGAGAAAAATATACAAAAAAAAAAAAGGAAACTACTTTAAGACAGAAATGAAAAGTTAAACCCAAATACATAACATCACATCACATCCCACCTTCTCTTGGTATTTAGTTCCACCCTAATACACTTGAGGTTACTCAGTCTTTCTGTATATAGCACCAAATGTTATCTCGAGACTTTTAACAAAAGAACAAATCTAGACAAAGACCTTTATCAAAAGAGGATAAGACTGAGTCCCTTCTTGTAAGACCAGACCCTTCCAATCACATTTTAACCTACCATGAGTATGACACTATGCAGTGTTACGCAAGTGTCAAGATATTGTAACCAATATTGACCAATCTCGGTTTTATCGGTGTCAGCTCAAATGTTTGCAGCTTTTCTTTTAAGCATCAAAAAATTACAAGAAGAAAGGGGTATAGTTGACTCAAATATTGTTTATAGTGTCTCAGAATTGTCCGCAGCACATGTCGCACACCCTAAAATTGGCAAAAGTCAATGCAATATCTAATTAATAACAAATACTTTGACTTAATCTATACCTGTGTCTGGAATCTGTGGGTTTAGAAAGAGGGATTGGGACCAGTTACTTTGAGGAAAGGGGAAGACGTGTATGTATGTGTTATATTGCAACTGGAAGATACAATATCTTTAGTTAAGGCACTTATTTTTGTTTTTTTTGCACTGTGTTTTGCTCCGTTGGCCATATTCATCATAATATGACTGTGGGAAATCAATAAACCACATTTTCAGGGGGGAAAAGTGTAAAATGGTTACTTAGTTCTCGATATTGAAGAAAGAATATGTGTTTAAGACAGGTAATAATAAATAATGTCAATATATATTTATTTACAGAGGTCCACTGGTTCCATACAGAAACAGTAATGATAAGATAATGTTCTATATTTACACATAATCAGTTATGTTATAATTGGTATAATAAGGTCACAGAGAAAAATGCCGGTTTTTAAACTATAAGCAGGTAACTAAAACTAAAAAGAAGACTGGAAAAGAGGATTTAATAAATTAACTTTGGGGGCAATTAGAGGGCGGTAGTGTAGATTGTACCCCTTAAAGTTTCAGTTTTTCTTCTTCATGTTGTAGAGGTAAAAAAAAAATGGGTAAAACAATCATAAGGTAAAAAAAAAAGATTTGGAGGATAGGATGATTTTTTCTACAGTTACAATTTTAATGTTTGATCAAAAATTTTAAAGAAATGTAGCTTATTGGTGTAGGCATTACAGCCCAGTTTAACTTCACCAATAACCAACAATGCCAATAACAGATACTATTTATAATTATAAACAGTTAATTATTTATGCAATTTTCTGTTTTGTTTTTTCCCCCCACAAATGTGTGGAAAAACCCCCCCCAGCTGTCCCCGGTTCTAAAAGAGTACTGTACAGACCTCTAGTTGTGCCAGCCTCTCTCTAACAGAGCAGTAGTGCTGATCATCCACCTGCACTGCTCTCCTCATCACCTGTCCCATCTCACATATTCTCTCCAACTGGCTCTGCACCTCCTGCAGAAATTTGGAAAAAAAAACGAACAATTAATTTCCCAAAAACAATAAATTCAACATGATAACTTTCCGTTACAAGCAGCGGGTGTACTTTTGCGTGATCCTCGTGGAGGCTGAGCACAGGTTTGGTGTCCAGCTCTTTCTTCGCCATCATCAGCTGGAGCATCTGCTTACGGTATCTGCCCATGATCAGTTCAAGTGCATACTGGTGCTCCTCAAGAGATAACCAGAGCTCTGCAAAAACAGTAATACAGAACATGGCAAAGATATCCAACAACATCTGTACAATTCAGAGAGCAGGTTGAGTTTATTTCACCTTTATTTTCCTGCTGAAGCTCCTTGATCTGCGTGTTTTCCTGAGTGAGAAGGACATGAGGCTTGTATTTGGTCAGCTCCTGGATCTCTGAAGAGTCTTCTGTATGCTGGGAGGAGAGGGTAGAGGGAGAAGGATGAATCTGAGGAAGACATGAAAAGTCAATCCAAAACTTCCTGCTGTCAAAGGCTTGATAAACCCTACATTCTGGAGTAACTAGACTTAAATAGGTCCTGTTGTACCAGTGCAGTGTCTGTGCATGTTAATGAGTAAAGCAGCTTGATGTAATACTGTGTTTAAACTAGATCTCCTGTGTTTTTGTCCTCACCTTGTCTGGCAGAGCGTTTCCCACCTCCTTCATGGTCTGGACTCTGTGGTTCAGGGCCCCGGACTGCTCTATCAGACCCTCGGCGGCCGTGTCGTGCTCTTTCAGCCTTTCTAAAAGAGTCCGGGCATCACCCAATACTTTTTCTAGAGTACAGGCCATTGAACCACCTGGAAGGTATGAACACCTGAAGGCTGAAGGCTTCTCAACAGCAGCTCAGGTGGGCTCTGTAAGCCTCACAGTATCAGCTTCAAACAGCAGACTTTATCTCCTTTTTGGCTGAAGCAACTTCAGTACCTCAATAGCGACATGTGAAAACTATAGCATGACCTCAAATATCTGTAAGTAGACGGATTAGGTCGTTAATTAAATAAAAAAAATACTCTTCTCTCGGGTTTGTTGTCAAGACCTACCGTATCCGTTTGACAGTGAACGAATCGTCACTTCCGTATTTTCTTCTTCATGTATTAAAAATTATGTTCGGGATAATACCGCCATCTGCTGGGGAGTTTGGGTATTTGGATTTTAATAACAAGCGTGAGTACTGTATACGTGACTCTAATGTAATCAATCCAATATTATGAAGTGAAAATGAGCATTAACCATGTTCAAACATAAATATCGTGTTGTGTTTCCAGTAATTTTCCCTCAGCTGATTGTGACACCCACATGAACAGCGATAACAACTTGTTTTATTTATGTATTCATTAGTCTCTAAGATGGGAGACAATTTAATGCTTTATTTTTTGGAATCAAGTGAAAACGAATGTCCTTTTTGTGTATTTAGGCTATTTATGACGTTTTAATTTTAATCGCAGTGTAAGAAATCATCTTATGCACAATGTAATCATCAAACTAGAACAGACAAATGACGATTTCTCTTTTTTTCCCTATTAAATTTTTATTTCCATGTGCCACAGAGTACAACAATTTCATTTTCTGTATAAACATAAATTACACAAAATAATATACACAAAATCAGAGTCACACAATGAGAAAAAAAAGAAGAAAATAAATAAAATAAAATAAAATAAAAAACAAAACAAAATAAAGCCCCATATGTGCACAGTATTGTGGCAGACTTGTGGTTGTCCTCCATCTCAAACCGATTTCACACAATTCTTCCAATAATTTTTCTAATTACTTTTTCAGTTCGTTGAAAGACAGTAGCAAAAATAAATTTCTTACTGAAAATAGTGATATAATTCATTAGGCCCCTTTTAAAGGTGGATATAATGTACGAATAAATTGTGGTTGCCCTGTTTACACAAATATTCAAACTCATTCAAACTACAGTTCATAAATTCAGCATTTCCATTTAGTTCATAAAATATCTCTTCTCCCCCCGATAAAGTAGGTAAATTAATACACATTAAAAAAAAGATAAGGCATCATATATTTGGCCTTAGTTAACATTGGTCCAAAGTTGGCAACAAATGATGATTTCATTAAAAAAAAATTTAAAAAGATCAAATTAAATGTCTTGTTTACTCAAGAGAAGGCTATCTTGTGCATACAAAAAAGTACAAAGAGCCCTGCAGATAATTATCTTGTGCACAAATTATTAGTTTGCCCAAACAAATAATAACTCGTCTCCTTAAGATAAAAATATTTTGCACAAGAGATAAAAAATACACGTATGAGCACATAATCATTAGCCTGGCCGGTCCATCCTGTTGCGTGAATCACTTGATGAACATGAACATGAACTTGAGGAACATCAAGTGATTCACGCAACAGGATGGCCCGGCCAGGCTACATAATCATTACTAATTAGTCTACGTACATAATAAAATCACCTTGAGAAAAATCAGGGTTTTATTTTTCACACTATCTGTTACAAGTTGTGGTTATGTTGTTGTATTGAGATTTGATTTCCTATATTCACAGAATATCTTTTGGATATATATTTTTCATGACCTCAGATGAATATTAAAATATAGGCAAAAGACTATTTTATATCGGCACATATTATTTGGGGGTGCTTCTTTCCTCAACATTGTAATAGTGGCACATAATTAGTTTTATTGTTGACTTTTAGGAACAAGTTATTATTTTATTTGGACAGTATGATAACTTTTGCGCAGTATTTTCCATCCCACAACCTTCACTTTTTCGGATTTGCAGTCCTTTGAATAGCCGTCATGGGTTCAAGGGGTTGGAGCGGTGAAGAAGTCCTTGTGGAAGGAACAGGGCAAACCCAGAGGAATCTTGAAATCGGTGAAAATGATCGACAAGATGTTTAACAACGGGAGGTTCAAAACATTTTGCCTCTGTGTTTCAGCATTTAATATTACCATTATGCAGGGGGGGTGAATAGTTATATCCATAGGTAATGTAACCCTAAATGACATTAGCCCGACTCGATTTCATTCTTGAATACATCCCAAAGTTGCAACGTGTGGCTCCAGAAACTGTAACAGGAGCGAAGATCAGCCACGACCGAGAGCGTAAAGGTTGGACTTGTTGTGTTCAGATGAACTGCACTGATGCATGACGTGGTGATACATGAAAATACAAAACATTAATTTCCAGTTGCACGAGTATTGATGATACAACAATGAGTAATTCGCTATCATATTTCCAATCTCAAAAGGATCATTGCGCAATCACAGTCAAAGTTACCCATCAGGAGCAGCGCGGAAAGGGTTTACTCTCTCTTTCTAAAGGCTCTTTGGCAGCGCTAACCTTGTCAAATATCGCGATATCCGCTTCCCTAATCACTACGTAATGTGCCGTGCTGCTTCTAGCGGCGCTGGTGACAGTGCTGAAAGCTGTTGGGGTGAGTTTTAATATATATTCTTTAATCATTGAAGAACTAAAACTTTTTTAGAAATAAGTAATTTAATAACTATCTTTTCTTTGAAAGTTGGTCTTTGTAAGTGAAGGAGTTATCTCGAGCGGAGTCATACGCAGAGCTCGGGCCTGGGTGGGGGCTGCCGTGTTTTTCCTCTCCATAAATCACCACACAAGGACCAGGCAGCCCAGCGGCGTGCGAGCTAACTGTAGTAGCTACTAGCCACGTAGCTCTAAAGACGCCCTGTCTAAATACATATTTAAAGTCTTTACAGACAGCTCTGTGTTTCTGAAACGTGACTCGGCGTGCTAAATAGGCAGCACGTGTTTGTAATGTCTGTCTCTAGCCTTCTGACGGACGCTGTTATCGGTCAGAATCGAGCAGGAGCCTCCTGTCGGTTGTCATAGCTCCTTTGTTGTCCCGTCCTCGTGCTGTTAGCTACCATAACGTGATATTTCCGTTATCGGTGTACGAAGAAACTTAAGCCAGCGAACTCTACTGACGGTGTATTTTGACCTTGATTAAATTTGAGCGAGTATTATTCGCACTAAAGCAAATGGTCGTGGTTTAACCTGCCGGTTAACAGCCTCTCTAATTACGATCTGTCCGAACTCGGCCTAAGTCTGCTATATTAAACTACCACCAAGTGTATATATATAATTTTCAGAGGAAGGTCGCAGAGCCAGGGGCGAGTCTGAATAGGTGGCCTGGGGGGGCATGGACCCCTTTTTAAAATGTGATTGGTCATTCCAGGTGCCACTCCATAATCCTGTAATCCTGATTGGTAATATGCCATGTCAGAGGCGGGTCTCGGGTTAAATTGAACAATTTGTGCTGTGCTCCTTCAGACCCCATTTGTCCCTTTCTACATTTAAATGCAGTGTTGTACATGTTTACGCAAACGCAATAGTTATAGTTTATGGACTTTATCTTTTGAATTACGAACAATGTTCAGGTCTTAAATCAACTAGTTTACATGAATTTCATTTTGGCTGCACTGACATTGTCCAATTTGCAGTTTTGAAACCTTAGAAACAAATGAAGTGGAATAAAATTTACCCAATGGTTCTGACTTTTAACCCAAATACTTGAGAAATATCTGATTGAAATCACGATGTGCGGGGGATGATTTTCACATCCTCTCACTTCAGGGAAAAATAACTCATAAAATTGCACTGCTCTGAATCCAAAAAAAGTTATAATCCAGTGGGATTGGTCCTGGTTTGTTCATATTACCGTACTTATTAAGTAGTTGTAAAGTTCTGGTATCATTGGCACTGCTTACTACATCTGCGGGGTTGACAGAAACAGCATTTACTCTAGCACTGTACCACACAGCACTGCTTAAATGTAGCATAGTCTTTGTTGCTTATGCACTGTATAGAAAAATACTAGTGACGGGCAGATGATATCTGACCAAGCTCTGAGGTTTTCTTTTGAATTTTACTGAAAAAGAGCTGGTAAGCACAGATGTCTATCTGGTGGCCTATAAAATCAATGACAGCCCCCAAATGGTGGTCTGGAGCATCAGTAGGTACACTAGTTTTAGTCTTCAAGATGTAAAAATTGGTGATGCCCATGCGTTGTGTATTGATACTATCTGTATCTCCGCAGATCTGTCCCTTTTGTTCAAATTTACCAGTCTTGGTAGCTTGGTAGCAATACAAGCTTTGGAGCTGCGTAATCGTACTCCTATCTCTTGAAAACAAAAACAAAACAAAAAAACCCTTAAAATGTATGTTCAATAGAGTGCATGTTTAGGTGAAGCTCAGCTATAACTCTGACCGTACTGAAAGGAGAATTGGAGATGATACAAATGGATGTGGAAACATGATCCAAAGCAATCAGTGTGTGTAATTTGGAATTTAACATCTCTGTCAATCTAATCATCTCTGATGATGAATTGTGTCAGGGTAGCACAATTAATCATTTTTAGTAATATTTTTTATATTTAAGATTGTATAAATAGGTGCTCAGCATAAGTTATCACAGCAATCTGCCTTGAAGTGAAACAGCTTTGGAGGAACAGAAACCACAACGTTGATTCCAAAGTATCTCGATAACTGCAATTCCTGCATTGCATTGTAATACCCCCCCCCCCCCCCACACACACACACACACACACACACACACACACACACACACACCACCACATAAATTATATAATGATTACATATAACTATTTATGCATCTTTGTTTGGTTTCAAGCCATGAATTATTGTAGCTACTATGCTAACAATGCCTTATCATTAGGGTGGAGTAATCATTTAATCTGTGGGGAGATTTTCACTCCGGCTTTGTATGAGATGGTTTCTAGTTTTACAGAGTAAAAAAAAACAACACTGAAGTTTAGTCATGAAGCAAAAAACATATTCATCACTTTTTCAACTTGTCCAGGCTGCATCCCTGTAGCCGACTTGATGAGTCAGCTTTTTCCCTCCCATGTAAACTTCCTTTTCTATTTAGTTCTTGATTATAAAAAAACAACCCCCTGTTTTTCGCTTTGCTTCACATGTAAGATGCTCTTGTTTTCACAGCCATGCTTGTATTGCTGATATGTCACTTAGCTGAGCAGTTGGTTGGCAGCTGTTGTAAACCGGGTACGGCATACACATGCCACAGTATCCTGTCTTTTATAGAGTTCTTAAAGTAGCAAAATTGGGTGTCCCAAAACTGAGAGAGGTTTATCTGTGCTCATAAAATTGGGATATAATGTTTACATGCACAACCACAAAAACAGGATACATTTACTTGTTCGTCTGAAAATATTTTATTTATTTACATCGAGAAACCAAAATGCACTTTTGAGCGCCAAGAATTAGCTTGGAAGATTTATAAATTGCAGGTCTGTAACATTTACATTGATGCGACATCTAATACTTAAATATAAGTATTAAAGTTCATTGGATTACTGAAGAATAAAAAGTAATTATTTTGTGTGCGCCCAGATTTGAGAAAATAAAGCCTGAACACCACTTGCAATGGTACTCAGTGTTGCTCAGTTTTCCTAGCCTTACATTTACTGTATCACGTTTCCCTTTTTTGAATATGTCTCCATATATAACACTTTTAATTTAAATACTTAGTCAGTTCTCTGGATTCTGCCAGAAGTCATCTCTAAGTCACCACAAATGGAAGAACATGCTATCATAAGACTCTTGATATTATCTTTGGCTTTTTCAAACATTCTTTGGTTTGGAGTCCCCTACTCTTACTTGTTAAATGATTACCAAGCTAAACTGTAGTTTATTATTTCTTAGGAAGTGCTGAAATGGCCAATTGGCTCTGGTGGTTTAGTGGGTGTACTGTTTTCCTCTTTCTGCGTCACTAAAGCTACCAAGGGGGGAGCAGAAAAGTCCTCCTCCAAGGCTGTTTTCACTGTAGTCGTCTCTGTTCACAGCTCACAACCTTTAACCCACTTTGCCAACCCATCTTGTGATAGCTGACTACTTTGTTTTTTTTTCTGTCACTGGGCTCTACAGCTTAACTTCTTTTAGGTCAATATTCATCCACCTCAAAATGTAAACTTAATACTAAAAGTGGCTGTTAATGAAGTTAATCTGAATTAGATATTTTAATCTGATATTTAAAATTTAAAGCCCCTCAAAACTGCTGGGAATCCCTTTAAGCATTAACAGTGTTAGAATTTAACCTTCTGGGAAGTCCAAGGGTTGGGAGACATTGCGACACAGTCACAGCAGAATAGATATCATGTGTCCCGGGTTGGCTCACCCTGCTTGTTTTCAAAGAAGAGTATTTAGGTCAACAACACTCTGTTACTACCGACTGATGGAGACGAGTTTCTCACTAAGTTGAGCAAAATGCACACACGGTTCACACACTGACAAGCGGATCACGGCCTGAATGGCGAGGTATGCAGAGGACTTGTTGAGCTCTTACCTGCTTGTCAACTGCCTGACATTGTGGGCTGTATCCAGAAGCATATGAGGAAAACCTATTTTTATACTTGTGAGTCTGGGGGCAAAGAATGAAGTGATCTCAAACTGAAACTCACAGCTACTATGGTTGTTGTTGTACTTTCTGTAACAGAAACTGTATAATGATACGACAGTGTCAGCCAGTGACTCTGCCTTATTGCCTGTTTTCTATAGATTTAAAAGGAGAAGTCATAAATTCTGCAAAGCTAACGAAATCTGCTTTTCCCCTACAGTATGAAGTGAAACGGAACTGAATTTTTGTACCATCCGCAACTGCTTCAAGTTCAGATCACGACAAAGAAACTGAAGATCAACCTTCCAAAATAAGCAAAGTTGCAACACCGAAGACACGTGGAAAACAAAACAGAGGATCACTTCAAGGGTTTAAAAACACACGAAGTAACCAAATCCTGAAACGACCAAAGACGACGCACATCAGCCCAATCGAAAAACGCGGAAGAGAAGCAATCCTGCGCCCAAGCATACTCTGAGAAGACAACAACTGATCTGAAACCAGAAGTTTGTGCCTACTCAACAGCTTTGACAAAGCACACGTCCCAACGCTGCTCCTAGCCCTCCTCATCCTCACCACACCACCGACTCACCACCGGGGTGTGGAGTGGGCTGCTATCTGCTAGTTTTTTTTTTTTCCCCCCATAGTTTCCCCTGTCTCCCCTCCTCTTCTTCTCCCACTGTTTCAGTGTGTTTTTTTCTAAGCAGTGTTATTACACCTGCGTTTGCCTTTTTTTGCGCTCAATTTCTCCCCGTATATTTTTTTTGCTTTATGCAACCATCCAGAACTTGTGCCAGAAACTTGTAACAAGTGTGTGTGTGTTCAACTGTGTGCGTGAAGAGATCTGCAGGAACTTTGAAGAATCAAGACGACAAATAAAGGTGGGTTTCAGTCGTAGTCCCAGTATTATATGAGATGCATCAATGAAAAAAGTGCTTCTTTTCAGCGACCTGTGGTTTCACTTATCATATTTTCGATTACATCCTGATCAGAGATGCTGCAATCTAGGCACATTAAGAATCCAGATTTAAGAAGGGATGTCCCGATCAGCTTTAATCCCCACCAATCTGATTATATTCGTATTGAGTATCTGCCGATACGAAGTCCAAAGCTGATGCTTGTATTTTCCCTTCAAACTGGAGCTGTATGTAATACTGCACACTTAACTCAGCACTTGTAATGTCATGAAAGTAACAGCAGACAAAACACGTCTGAATTGTCCTTGGATATTGTCACGAACTTCCCTGCACAGCGCTGGTCAAACGGTGTCTGTACTGTTGTGTCAAGAATGCAGAATCCGAAACCTGCACTCTTTACCACAGAGATGGGCTGATGCACCATCTTCTGCTGCATGGTTGGTTTTTAGATGTCCAATCAAGTAAGTTGAAATCAACTCTACTGTTCCTGCATTTCAAAACAGTCATAAATATGTCGCAGGTGAGTGTCAGACTAATGTGAGTTTCTAGTTTATAATATTTCCTCATTTCTGAAATTTTAGCCACAAGAGTGCTAATGCTAAGTTACTTCCACATTTACAGTCTGCAGAAAACAGTGCTCTGTTTACAACAGCCGACATGAATGATCAGGATGAAATGCTTGGCGATCCTACACAGATAAAAACAATGCCTAGATGTGCTCTGATCCAATGATTGGGACATCCCTAACCATAAGTTTGACAGTGCTCAGATTCTGTATTTGCATGAACTTATTACCCAGATATCCAGGTGTACAAACATAGATTGTGAAACACATTTCTGATTTTGTTGGGCCAGCTGTACTGATTCGGAGTTTATTTTCCTTTTTGACTTTGAGGACGAATAAAAGTGAATTCTTCTTCAGCTTGAATGGCAGTCATCCTTGAGAAATACGCGCTGAAGCTATATTCATAACTGTTGTTTAGTCTTTTTGGCTCCTAAATTTCATTCAATGATTGCATGGCGCAAATATTGGATATCCAATTTCACATTAACTGGCTTAAAAAAACTGCATTCAATCATTACGAAAACAAACTTAGAAGTTCTCTTCCCCTTTGTTCGCCATCAGCTAAGCATCTTTGGATCTTTTGACCAAACAACACCAACATTGTTACCTTATTTTGACTCTACAGACCAAACTTCTCAATGAATGGGAAAATTTTAACACATTCTTAGTTGAAGCCCTTTTAATGCAACTTTCCTCGACTTAAAATGCTAACACTAGCTGACACTCTGACGCAGGAGTGTGATTTTTTTATCATGCCAGTGACCTTTACATTTCAATTTGCTTAAGAAAACTCAGTTGAACTGCCACCGCCTCAAACGGTTAAACTGGTTATTCAATTCAGTATTACAGTAATTTGATTGTCTTCCCACACCCAGCCCGCACTTTTTCCTTCTCTCTCGCTTTCAAGTCTTACCCCCACCCCCTGATTTGGGCCTTTTCTGGGGGATTAAAGCCCACAGCTGTTTTCCTTTTGTTTGTGACACTTGGCACACTGGCTGACCTATCTGCCTTACCCGTTATGTTTGTTCCTTCTCTTCACCCTTGCAGACATCCAGCGGTGTATCATTTGGGTGGTTACATAGGAATTAGTACTTGACAGTCAAGCAAAAAAAGAAAAAAAAAATCAAACAAGTAATCAAGTTCAGCAAGTGCTCAAGCAAGTTGGGTCCGAGTTTATGGGAAAAAATGGGCAGCCCCTGGAAAGGCTTTGTTGAGTTTACCTTGCCTGCGTCGCCACCCACCGCGTTTGTTAGCGCTGACCTGAGCAGCACCTCCCCTGTCGGACTCAGCCTGTCGCCATATGGCCGATCCGTAAGTTCCACCTTCCACCTCTTTTTTTTCTTCGTGCCCCACCCCATCGAAACACCCATCCACCCACCTTGCCCTGCATCTCTCTGCTGTGAATGGCCTAACCTCTTCCATCCCTTTCGGGCTCCCGAGACAAGCCTCTACTTAGCCTTTTATCGCAGGGTGAGGGGTGTTCTGCACTTTAGACTGTAAACGTGGCGTTTTTTAGAGGTACTAAAAAGTCTCTTGAATGAAAACATTTCTTGATCCTACTTTGCGACACAATCCATCAAATTCTTGCGCCATGAGATCAACAAATTACGTGGGGCTTTATCACGATTCGATAACTTCACTCAAATCAAGGCTTGACAAATGAAAAAACTAACATTACACCTTTTGGTCCCCATGTGAAAATTGACGTGTTTTCAGTAGACATTTCTGATAGGGCCGTAAAGGAGAGGCTGCTCTGGGACCCCCCTCATAACCCATTACCCATCACCAACTCTCTATCCACTGTAGATGCACCGCTGTCATTTGCATTTTCCGACTCTCCATCTTCCGTAGTTTTAATTTCACCTTACCTGGAGTAGACTTTGCAAGACTGCACTTGCACCACTTCCCCTTCACTGGCGATGCTGAGAGGTTGTTCTGCTTTCTTTTTAGTTTTGTACCAGTTAAACTGCACCGGTGTTTTCTGCTCTAGTTAGTGCTGTTGATACCTGTGTCAGGGTTGTTACTGCGTGATCTTGTGCTTTTCTGCTCGTCATTCGGTCCCAGGAATTCCCTCAGGGTTTGGTGGAGGTTATGACGGACTTAAACTTCCCTGTGTTATGAAATCTTTGTTCACAGGAGCATGGAGTAAGCTGCAATATTGCGAAACATATTATATGTGGGGCCTCCAGGAGTGAATGCGTTGGCAAACACTGGGCGATGAGAAATGATCTGGTTTGACAAAATACCTGGACGAAAGTAATTGTAGGCTCTGTATAAGACACAATCCGCAATGAAATATTTTTAAACTTTAAAGAACCTCCTCTGCCCTTCTACTCGCTGTTGTTAAACAACTGAAGTTAAAAAGAGCCACACAGATATGGAAAGAACTTTCAAATGTGTCTTAATGCGGCGCTAAAGAATTAAACATTTTTTTTTATTTTTTTTTTTCATTTATTGATCCAGTAAAAGAACATTCTTAGTTTGATCTTTCAAAATAAAAGCATATGTTATGAAAACAAAAGAGAAAATAACTTTGGCAAAAGCAGCTCATGTGGCAGCATTATGAGGCAATCTCACTTTTTGTTCTAAAGCTCATTCATAATCTGGGTTTCTTAACCCTCATTTGAAGGACTTAATCACAATTCATATTTCTGCATGTTTTTTTTGTGTGTGTAATACGGTTTTAGATATCTAGATCAATGTGATATACTAAGAGTAGTTTATCGAATCAGGTTTGACTTTATTAACAGGTAAATGGTGAAAAAGAAACATAATTTAAAACAATCATCTAAAGTTGTTATAAGATTTGTTAAATGTGATTACTGTGAACTGCTCTGCCTGCACTTTGGCAGTCTGTACCTATAAGATAAGCAGCTTGAACTCCTCAGACGCAGGTCAACTTGTACATCCGTCATGACATTGCTCCTTTTTCAAAGCCGCTGCCTCCTCCTCCCAACAGCATATCCCAGTCCTAAACCCTGTGTCAGAAATGGAAAGAGGCTCCTCTGAACCTCCAGTGGCTCGCAACACTGGCCCTCCCCCCTCATCCTCCACCGGCCCCATGCCTATCCCCCGCTCCTCTTCTGTCTCTTGCCATCCCCACCCAGGGAGTAAAAAACACAAACGGACTCCGCTGTATCAGAGATCAGTAAGAGGGCATGTTTGGCGGTGCTGAGACTTAAACGGCCCTGTGAGCAGATGTGGTCATGTGACTTTTGCTAACAGCATGGTGTGTAGCTGTGAGAAGTTAAACCAGGACGAAGTGGCAGATTTTGATCCGTTTCATAAATAAAGTTGCTTTAATTGGAAGGAAAGAGTTTTTGAACTTTTGTGTGTCTAACCAAAATGCATGAAGTAGCAAAGCGTTGTTGGTTTTTCGGTATTTCCAGACTTAATCACATGATAACGGAGTGAACTTTGGCTTTTAGTGCATGTCACGTCACATGTAAGGAAAGCAGAAGGTGCCACACTGGCTTGTTTTCAGTCACTGCTGCAGGTAAAACTGAAATTGTATTCAGGCATCGTCACAGTGTGTTCTCCACTGCTGAAGACCAGAAACCCCAGAAGACTCTGTAGCTTTACTTTTCTTTTATTCCTCCCTACTTTTCTTGAAATTTGCTCTACCTGCATGTTTGAAGTGTTTTTTTCTTTTAAGGTTGGCATTAAACACCACATTAAACTGCCTTTCTTTTTTTTCTTTTTTTTTTTTGCCTGCCTGTCGATCCGCCGCTGGACTCATTTTATCACTTGTATCTTCTTCCCCAGATGAGTTTTGATCCTGGCATGCTCCATAATAATGGGCACACTGCATACGCCAACGGCACAGGGCCTGGCATCAGGGAGACCGGGGTGGTGGAGAAGCTGCTGACCTCTTATGGGTTCATCCAGTGCTCAGAACGCCAGGCTCGTCTCTTCTTCCACTGCTCCCAGTACAATGGCAACCTGCAGGAGCTCAAAATAGGAGGTGGGTCTCTGAACTTGTCCTGTCATCGTAAATACTTTCAACACCAGAGCCATGTCACTGTTTATTATTGTAACACATGTGCTAAGCCTTGGTTGTCCTCTGCTTCTCTCTCCTCAGATGATGTAGAGTTTGAGGTTTCCTCTGACAGGCGCACTGGCAAGCCCATAGCAGTGAAGCTGCTTAAGATAAAGCCAGAGGTGCTGCCAGAGGAGCGCATCTCGGGCCAGGTGGGGCCAGACCTGCACGCCTATCCCTTTACTGTGCTGCATGGTTATATTCATCCAGTTAAGGAACACCATTTTATTTTTGGTTCTGTCCTTGTCTGTCACTTAATAATTATATGGCCCCCTTGTGTTTCTGTGGGCATTGTAAATGCATTGTGAAATTAGACCCGCCCCCTCCCTCTCCCGTAATCCCACATCTGAATTACAGATTCTCCCACCAAGATTGACAACAAATATTGATTTTAAATTGGCATGTTATGCTGACATGCACGAGTGCTGAAAACGATGAATGTCTTTTGAACAAATATGCTCAAGTGATCCCTCTAACTGGTGTATTTACGTCTAAAACAGCCAATTGATGCTGTTACTATGAAACGACCTAATAAAGCACAGATGGCTGTTGCAGAAACTTAAGAAATATCTGTCGCCATCCTGGTGCTGTCAGTTTGACTGCTACATCATAAATGTGCACTCAGTCAGGGCCTTCAGAGCTGCGCCATAACAGTCTTGAGTTGTAATTTACAGTTCATAGCATACAAGCAATGCCGCTTGTCTAGTTCTCTATAAACACAATAAATCATATACACATGCAGAGAATAATGGGATGGCACGAGGTTGGGTTGAGTGTTGAAAGACATATTTGACAGGGAAGCACAGTCCTGCTAACCTATGGATGCTGCACCACACCTGCTGTGACACTTGATATACTTGTTACTGTGACATTTAAATTCAGCCATTTCATCCATCTATGTGCATTAGTGTTTTAGTTAGGTTTTGTGACCTACAGTGAATATCTTCATCTTAGACCGGCCAAGCATTATGTTAATGGTTTCCACTGTTTTGCAGGTTGTCTCAGCAATCCCTGTGCATTTGGATGGAAAGTCTGCTCCTGGCCAGGTTCCCACTGGAAGTGTTTGTTATGAAAGAAACGGGGTAAGACAAGTGGCAAGGATTACAGCTTGTTTGATAAATACAGTTCCATTTGATGCACTTTACTGTCCCTGTAGAGGAATTCCTCTTGGACGTCTGTGCTACAAATTTATCAGAGAAAACAAGAAGTACACAGAGAGATTGACAAACTAAAGCAATTGCACACTGTCCCTATGGCACAAGCTCTACATACAAAGAAGGAATGCATAGACCATGATGTTACTGCACAACTAACGCAGCTTCATTTAGTAAAAGAAACATGATTTGAAACTTTAACCAAAGGAGGCACGAATGAGTTTTTAAAGTATTAATTGGGAGACTCAACAAAATGCCTGACAGATGGTGAAAGCTCAAACGCAGAGTGGGGGATGTGACATGTGGGTCAGACAACACTCTGTGCTTGCCTGTGAGCAGACTGCTCATTCATTCACTGGTGGGAAGAGTCTAGTCATTCCTACCCACAACCTTCACGGCAGTCCATCCCAGACAAGCAAGCGTGGATTTTCACTGTGCAGATGGGCTGTTGTATCATGCTGACTTCTCATGCTTGAGGTTGCTCGAAAGCACAGCTTGGTAAATAGGATTAAGAATGAAGCATATAGGCTTTATTCCACTAGAAAGGACTGCATCACACCATTATGCATTAAGATTTTTTAGAATGATACCTTTGACGGTCGGGAAGGATGTATTAAAGGTCAAGCACAGAGAGAGCGAGACTTTGGATGGGGGTTTGTCTCCGGCTTTATTCTACTGATCCAGACTGTATTTAAAATTAGAGACATGGAGGAGGCATACACAGGTGTGAACAAGATGATACGAGACAGTGAATGAGGGAGTGGATCAGAGTGAATGAGGGAGTGGGATGACTAGATAAAAGGAGGCTTAAACAGTAAACCGTTTACTTTTTTTCTCCTAATAACAATTTAATCACTTGTTCCATGAGTAGCTTGGTTTTGCAAATCTTAACAGCATAAACCATACTGTGGGGGCAGATGTTAATCTGTGGTATGCTGCTCAGAGCTGCATGTGTTGTGCATCCTGTGGCTCAGATAACACTTTTTAAAACCTCCACTGCACACTGCTGTTGTCTTAGATGTGTATTAACTCTCCCACTTCAGACTTGAATGCAAACTACATTAAGCATTAATACATTTGTCTTTATCTCCTTTTGACTGACTGTCCTCAGGAGGTGTTCTACCTTACCTACACTCCTGATGATGTGGAAGGAAACATCCACCTGGACACAGGCGACAAAGTCAGCTTTTACATGGAGACCAACAAGCAGTAAGTCCTCACGCCAGCTTTAGTATTGTTATGCATTGTAATTTAGCTCGCAAGACATTTTACACGCATCACTCTTGTTTTTCAGTACGGGTGCAGTCAGTGCTCGCAATATTCAGCTTGTGAAGAAAAAGCAGATGAGGTGCCAGGGTGTGGTGTGTGCAACAAAGGTACGAGAAAGACATTTGTTTTATAGACCTGTTTTTATTCAGCAGGTCAGGTTTTGGTCTGGTTTTCTGAGACGGATGGCCTCCCTGTTAACCTCGCCATGTGATGTTTTTCAGGAGGCGTTTGGATTCATTGAGAGGGCTGATGTGGTGAAAGAGATCTTCTTTCACTACAGCGAGTTCAAGGGTGATCTGGAGGCTCTGCAGGCTGGAGATGATGTTGAATTCACCATCAAGGACAGAAATGTAGGTGTTCGCTTCCCAAAAATACCGTAGTATCTATTGAAGTTGCCACAGATCCACTCTCTTAATCTGTGATAACCTCCCAAAAAGTGTATGAAACATAGTTCTATATGTGTCTGTAGGGTAAAGAGGTAGCCACAGATGTGAGACTGCTCCCCCAAGGAACAGTCATCTTTGAAGATATCAGCATCGAGCAGTTTGAAGGCACTGTTGTCAAGGTTATACCCAAGGTTCCCACCAAAAACCAGGCAAGTACTTTACACACCTGCCAAGAAGATAAAAACACTTACATATTTGAAGAGTCTAAGTGCTGAAAAACAAGAAAAAGTTGACAAATATCGCTGTCCTCGTCCCACAGAACGACCCTCTACCAGGTCGCATCAGTGCACGAATTGGCTTCACTGACAAGGAGCTTCCATTTGGTGAGAAGGACACAAAGTCCAAGGTGACTCTTTTGGAGGGAGACCACATAATGTTCAACATCTCAACCGACCGCAGAGACAAGCTGGAGAGGGCCACTAATATTGACATCTACCCAGACACTTTCAACTTTACCAAGGAGACTCGAGAAATGGTGAGGAGATCAAAAAAGAGTCTGGTGTCAGACTAAGGGAGGGCGTCTTGGAGGAGGGATAAAGTTTGTTTCAGATAATCAGATTTTACATTTTATGTGTCAGACTGAAAGTGTAGTATATACTCAGACTTAAATTATACATTTCACTTTAGCTTGTATTTAAATACAAACTTAATTTCCCAGTTTGTTTTACAATTTGAATTTTGGTTTTGCAAATGTTGTTCTTTTTCTTCTATTCAGTATTGATTTATTTTATACAGCCAGCAAAATAGGCTATTCATTTATAGATGTAGTATACTTTTATCATGATACTAAACGCTGATAACTGCATTTTAATTGAGGTACTCCTTAAACCTCCAGAACTCTTGAAATAACACAATGTTTTATGTTCAGTGTTATAAAGCTGTGATAATGGACTCTTATGAAGGGGCTACAGATTTCAACTGAAATGCCCTTTCAGACACCAACTTTGCATCACCCATTCTTCTTGCAGGGAGTGATTGCAGCCATACGTGATGGCTTTGGCTTTATTAAGTGTGTGGATCGGGATGCAAGGATGTTCTTTCACTTCAGTGAAGTTCTTGAGGAGAGCCAGCTGCACATCTCTGATGAAGTGGAGTTCACTGTTGTGCCTGTAGGTCCTTTTTATAAGCTTTTCACCCAAATATGTATTCTGTGTTATCAATGCAGGTACATCTGGATCATTATCAGGGTTCCCACACTTGCAAGAAAACCGTTCATTAATTCTCCAGTCATGGAAAACATGAAGAAAACAGGAAAAATGTTGTCCTGTCCTGAAAATGTATTCAAATGTTCACCTAATTTCATATTACAAGTCATTGTCATCTAAAATGGCTAAATTCTGGGGGTTGTAACAAATAGAAAAGATGTCATTTGAGTTATCATCTGAAGCGGCTGTTGTCTGCAGAGTTCTGAAAACAGGTTCCTATTCCAAAACCACTTTACGTAGGCTTGTCAGGTCTGGATTGGATTACCTGGAAGAGGCCGCAGACTTCTTCAAAAACCTGAAACTGTGGATTTAAAAAGTCTGTAGTCTCATGAGAATAAACTGGTCCAGCTCTTAGAGGCTCAGGTGTTTGGGTTCTGAGTCAGGACCTCATCTAATGTGGTCTTTGGGTGATAAAAAGCAGTGAAAACCTCCCTTTTTGGGGATTTTTACAAAAAGGATAAACATTTTACAAATCTGGAATTAGGTTTTAAGACACTGCAGTCTCTCTAGATTAATCAAGTCCAGATCTGACAATTCTAGATATAGTCCTGGATCAGAACCTTTTAAAAGAGAGGATTGCCCTTTAGGAATTAATATTTACCAGGTCTGAAAATTCTAGGTACTAGGGTTTTTCATCAGGGCCTTGGTTTCAAAACCTTCCTTTAATGTAAGCTGGGGGTTAGGTACGAACTAAAGCGCCTCACAACGAGCTTCACGCTGCGACCACATGGAGTCACTGCACACGAAAGACGGATGACATTCAGGTTGAGACTGAAACTTAAGGTAACGTAGGCTATTGTGCATATCAAATGTAAAACATAAATCTTTGCTGGCGGCCCGTCTACATTTTTATTTGGCGTTTTTAACAAACGAGTTTATGTCGCGAAAATTTAATCATGAAATTAGCATGGTGGTACAGTCGCCTAGCTAGCTTGTTTGGCATGGAAAGGTTTAAAGTTGGTTTCATAGGTTTAGTTGAGACAATTTTCCAGTGAATGAGACGCCGTGGTTGAAACCGTGAGTGTCAGCCGTACCGTAAAAAAGTCATAAAAGGCTTGAATACTGGTGAATAGTGCTTTCAGCCTTATGCTATTATTGAATGCTAAAATGCAGCACGTTCACGGTATTTGGGCGCGCGGCCGAGGAAGGTTCTTGCGTAGTAGTCGGTGAACACCTGATATGTAACAATAAAATTTCTGTTAGTGACTTCAACATGGAAACGGACACAGCCTGCCCTAGTCTGTGGTCTCTTCGTTTAAGCACAATTATATAGCGCTATTTCAGATAACTGTAACAAAACCAGTTTCATGCTCAAATGAGACCTAAAAAAAGCTAAAATTGGCTCAACAGTTTAATGATGCCAACCCCCTGAACCAGCCTAATGCCCATATCTAGAACAAGCCCACCAAGCAATGTGCCATATATTGCCTTTAAATGATAACAATATTGCTATTTCTCTCAAATGTATTCCAATATTTTCGAAATTGCTCTCTAAATGGTCAATTCATCGGCACAGCGTTGGCAAAGAATCCCTGTGACTCTGCCCTGACAACATAAGATAAACTTTTTGTAATTAACTTGAATTTGATTTAATTTCAACCATAAAATCTTATGGTTTTGCTTGACAGCATTCCTTAACTTATACTGGAAATAAATACATATCATTATATTACCTGCTAAAATTATGTCCACTGAGATGCACTTCAGGTTTTCCTCATATTTTCTACTCGGAGTCAGCTGAAGGGTGGGCGGCATGACTGTTGAGCAAGCAGGTGGAGCTGTGTATGTGCTCGCTGCCTGGCGAGACTGTGTATTTGAATATTTGTGTGACATTATCCACATGTACCTGCTTATAGAGACTAACATTTTGGAAAAGTGTATTAAAGTAGCTTACTTGTTAAATGAATTTTTACTGTTCATTTTCTGAAAAAAAGAAAATGTGTTCTTGGCAGCATCTATAAAGTAGTTCAAAAAAGGACCTGGCAAATCTGGTTTCAGCCCAGTAACTAAAGTTTAAGCCCTAGATGTATGCTTTGCTTTGAGAGCTTATTCAAGAGAGATTATCACCAAGGTTGTTGTTACTAAGAGTGATTTCTAATTTGTTTGTAAATGGATCATATGGAGGAGGACTACCACTTTTGAAATGATGCAGTTTTTTATTCTACTGTCTGTTGTGCTCCGTTTAAAGCATGTCATGTCAGAGTCGACGGTTAAACCTGCAGACTGTACATCTTTTGAGTTGGAAGCAAGGGAATCCTGATTATGGGTTTATGTGAATTTGCACGTCATGTAATGAGAGTCCTTTGTTTTCCAGGATATGCTGTCAGCTCAGAGGAATCATGCAGTGCGCATCAAGAAGCTGCCAAAGGGCACAGTGTCCTTCCATACCCAGTCTGAGCAGCGTTTTATGGGCGTGGTGGAGAAGGAGCTTGCAGCAAGCAACAAAAATGCCAGTCCCACCAAGGGGAAGGACAAGGTAAAGTTACACAATTGACGCTCTGTTGTGCAGGAAAATACTACTGTTACATAAAAACAGTACCTCAGCCCTCTACTTCTCTTCCCTACTTTTTTTATTATAAGTTCTAATTTTCCTCTTTGCTTTCTCCTCCAAATGACTTCATCCTGTTCATGCTGGTTAGAAAAAAGACAAGGTAGGACGTAGACCTTCTGCATGGAGCTGCAGTAGTCGAGTCTCTCTCATTCTTAGTAGAGATGCTCATAAGTTAGGAAGATTGCACAAACATATATCAATAAGCCATGATAAAAACTAACATTAATGCTGAGAAATGATTCCTAGACCTTCATGAACAATCTTTAAATCAAGACATTCAGTGTACAGCTGTCTCTTCCAGTGTGATGGATTTCTTTCTCTCTATTCTTAAAGGGTAAAGTTGTAGAAAAGGTCAGTCTTTGCAGACCCACTGATTGCCTCATTTAGATTTTGACTTGGCAGCATGGTATTTGATCTCCTTTGATAACCCTCACAACACGGACTCGAAGTCTTATATCTGAGCTGAGTGTGTTGTAGGGCTGCACAAATACTGACCAAACAGGAGCCACACTTACTTCATGCTGTTGAGTGTATTTTGTCCTAACCATCATTTTCTTTTGATTTGTCCTCCAGACCGTAACATCAATGAGTGATTTAATCTACTTTTACTCTGTTACTCTTTGGGCTTTGTTCTGCATTTGGGTTCAACTCCACAGTACATGTGGTTGAAGCGGCCACAAGATGCAACAACAAATCACAAAAGTTGTAGTCATCAATTGTCATGTTTTTGATTTGGATGAGTGTCATACTTAAATGCACTGAAATGCCGCACATAATTGCTGTTTTGATCCCTATAGTGAACAGTAATTATGCAGCCCTACATTGTAGGCAGTAACAGAGCTGTTGCAGTAGACTAAGCCAATACTAACCAACTAGGTTGTTACAGAGTGATGCCGGGGCCTCTCTTAAGCTTGTGTAGGCTGTCTGCCCACCATCTTTTAATCAAATTTATAACCTTAACTCATCAGATTTAATCACATGAGACATTTTTAGCTCACGCTAGTTAAGCTGAAAAAAAAAAAAAGTGCAGCACTGTTACGGCGATCGGCTTGTCCAGGACCAGCAGTAAGCATAAGAATAACTTGTGGTTAAAAAGACAATCAATCTTTGTTTCATTGCTGTTGTAGGAAAACGAGGAAGGAATGATTGCATATGAAGACTGTGGAGTGAAGCTCACTGTGCCATTTCATGCCAAGGACCTGGAGGGAGGGGGCCAGCCACAGGTTGGAGATAAGGTATCTATGAAGATGGTTATGATTTCCTTGCAGATAATGATAGGGCTGAGATGTTTCTTAAACGTCAGTGTTGCTTTTTGCCATCATGAGCAGCTGTATTTACAGTTTCAATAGAGTTGGTAATCAATGTTCTTTTATCTCAAGGTGGAGTTCTCAATCAATGAAGTGAAGCGAACTGGCCAGCAGAGTGCAGTCTCCATCAGAGTCCTCAATAGAAACTCCTCCAATGCAAAGAGACTGCATGGATTTGTCGCCACTCTGAAGGACAACTTTGGCTTCATTGAGACAGCAAATCATGACCAGGAGATTTTCTTTCACTACAGGTACAGATTCAAAGTGTCTGTCGCTGATTTTAATGTATGTCACTGTTAGATCAGTGGATTCATAGACGGTTTTCTCCTCAGTGAAATGTGTGGAGACTTGGAGAACTTGGAGCTGGGTGACACGGTGGAGTACACTCTCTCTAAGGGCAAAGGAAACAAAGTCAGTGCTGAAAAGGTTACCAAAGTGGCAGCAGGTATGAAGGGTTTCTATCCTTACAGTTATTTGTAACGATTGTTGACAAAGCAGGTGGAGGAGACTCAGGTAGATCAAGTACTTCTGTTTTGTACTTTTAGTGAATGGCATTGGTGATGATGTTACGACAACAGTGATGATGGGGAAAGTAATCCGTCCCTTGCGCAGTGTGGACCCTTCACAGACTGAATACCAAGGGCTTATTGAAGTCACTGAGGAAGGTTGGTGTGGATTTTTCTCCAAAGTTTCCTATAAACTTGTTTTGAAATTGTGATATTTTGAGGAATTAAGTAAGGTGTTGTTTTGTTTCAGGTGGAAATAAGGGCCAGAATTATCCCTTTGGAATCATGGGTATGGCAAACAAAGCAGACTGTCTGCAGAAAGGTGAAATTGTGAAGTTCCAGGTGTGCACAGTAACCCAAACTGGACAGAAGATGGCATGTATTATTGTCCCTCAACGTAGAGCCATGGTGGAGTGTGTGAAAGACCAGGTTAGGATCAGTTAAACTCAGTCTTAATGCATTTCATTTATCACAAACCCGACTATGATGGAGTCAGATTTTAAATACTGAAGATTTGGTGTTTTTCTCTCTCAGTTTGGTTTCATCACATATGAAGTTGGTGAAAGCAAGAAGCTGTTCTTCCATGTTAAAGAGGTGCAGGATGGACTGGAGCTCCAGACCGGGGACGAGGTGGAGTTCTCAGTTGTCCTTAATCAACGCACAGGAAAATGTAGTGCCTGCAATGTGCGCAGAGTCAGGTGAGGACTTGGCAGACTATGATAATACCTCCTTAACACTTAAATTTACCTCCTCTGATCTTCCCAACAAGCACAGTATTTTAGAAGTTCATGAGTAATGAAACAAAAATCAGTGTTTTGCCTGATGTGGATCCTGAATGCTCATTACTCGTCCTCATCTACAGCGAGGGGCCTAAACCGGTGGTGACTCCACGTCCTGACCGTCTGGTGAACAGATTGAAGAGCATCACTCTTGACGACGCCAGCGCTCCTCGCCTGGTCATTGTCAGACAGCCCCGAGGTCCCGATAATTCAAAGGTACGACTGTGCCTGTCCTGTTGACACAATTCAAACGAGGAAGACATAAAATCTAAGTTTTTCTACTTCAAAAACAATTATTTTTTATTCTTGTCTGTTTTTCTAGCCTGACTCTAATTTGGTCTTTCCCGTCTTTCTTCAGGGCTTTAATGTGGAGCGCAAGACCCGCCAGCCTGGTGTCATCGACTGAGCAATACAGAGCCCACCCTGTTTGGTGTTGTTGGATTTTGTCCTTAAGGGCAGCAGCAGGGTATAAGGGAATATGATTTGACACATGCTTGTACACAAACTCATACAGAAAACATACGCACACATACAGTAATCGGCATGTGTAATCTTCGTCCCCATTGAAACCTGCGTGGGAACTTTCTCATTCCACAGTTCCCAGCCCCCCGTGTACGCTGTACTTGAGTTCCAAACTGCGGTGCACATGGGGCCTCTGAGTGTGTGCGTGTGTGATGTATCCTAGAGTCATTATAGTGTGTAACGGAGGTATTTGTTTCTGAGGGCCGTGTCCCTATTAAATCAGAGTGATGACTGTGTGGCTGTCTACGTCCCAATCTTTTGAATCTGCTTGTCTGGAATTCTGCACCTGTAATCTGTCCCGTATGTTGAACGAGTGTGACTGTTGGCATGTCTTTAAGCGTCTGCTCCATTTTCTTCTCTCATATTTTTGCTTACCCTCGGAAACTTGAAATGGTTTCACTGTAGAGTTTCCACTACTGTATGCTTTCCTACAAGACGCATAAAGCAAAGTTCCCTCCATAAGGAGGATCATATTTCTCATACGTGCGAGCTTAAACTGAGGATTCTTCTCTGCTCGGTTTTTTGAGCAGTTTTTAAAATGCTTTATTGAAGAGCTGAAGTGAAAGCATGGGGTGTGTGTGTGTGCGTGTGATGTATGTGAATGTCAAAGTAGTTAATCTAATGGGATTTACTTCACCAATCTGGAGCCTTTAGATACCTTTTTGGTATTCACATGCTCCACTTAAGCAATTTTTCCCAGGTGCAGAATTCCTTGTGGCATCTTATATCTGCAGTTCTTTTATACTACGTTTTTTTTTTTTTTTTCTTTCTTGCACATATTTTTGCTTTTTCCATTGAAACTCAATCTGCTAATATTGAATTAAATAAGAATAATAAGGTGCCTAAAAACTACAAGCAAAATAAAATGAAAAAAAAAAAAACAAAGAAAAAATTAGATGTATCCTCTGTTCCCAGCCAACCGCCAAAATATTCAGAACAATCTTAGGGTGGCTTTCTTTTCTAGTAGAAATAATACTGATATGCATCCCAAACCTGTGGGTTGAACTATACTGTATGTAATGTGTGCTTTTTTTCTTAGTGAAAGTTCAAACTTGAGATATAACGAAACAAATTTAACTTAAAGGAGAGAGGTAAAGTATTAGAAATCCAGTTAAAAAAAATACAACAAAAAAAAAAAAGCATAAAGAATCAGGTAATCAGTTATTGTGCTCGCTCGGAGACTTGATGGGTATGCTGTTGTGCCTCTGCACATTAAGTTTCAGTCAAAATTAATTTCAACTTTGGAGATCACTGGGTTTCAGTTGAACCACGTACAGAGGTTCTCATGTTCTTTTGTTAATGGTCTTGAATGAAACGAATTAAAAGTTTTATGAAAATCAAGCGCAAATGTGTTTCTGTCCTTTGATTTTTGAAGTGTGCTTTCTTTAAAACAATAATCTTCAGCCTGGGTTAATATGTAATCAGCAGTAACATTGCTAAGTATGAGGTGTATACTTTTACACTGCTTAATAGGCATATCTTGTGACTGTTCAATATGCATTACTGTGTTCTCAATCTGAGGGCGTTTCTCCCCTGCTAAATTGTAAGCGATCAATATGACGGTAGCTCATGGCAAATTTGAGCTTCATCTGGCTGCATTAAAATTATAAGTATTTCCATTCCATCCAGTTCTTAAGAAAGGTAAAACCCAATTATGTTGACACAGAGTATTGCCTATTTCCATTAAAGTAAAAATACATTGCTGTAAATTCAGTCTTAAGGTTTTTATTGTAAGTGCTCAAACTGAAACAGTGACGAAATTGCAATTAATTGCAGCTCTGTTGTGGATAAAGTCGCTGTGAATGTTGCCCCCCCCCCCCCTTGTGGACAAAGAGCGGTCATCGCTGAACCTGTCTATATAAATAAATAATTATTTCTCCTGACCAAAAAAATCCTCAACATTCTGACTTTTGATGATGAAATTGATCATTGATTGTGAATGTTTAATGCCTAAATAAAAGAGTCTAATAATTACCTTTTCACACTGATTTCAAGCAAAAAAAAGTTACACACAAAAATTCAATCCTGTAAGTAATAAATGGCATGTATAAATTTCAGTTTTCATTTCATAAATAACAAAAAGCTTCTCATGGAGCTTTAACAATTTTTAAGAAAAGCCCTACTGTTTTTAAAGGTGTAAAAAAAACAGTTAAATACTTATTCTCCAAACTCAGAAAACCTTTCAAGATCTTTTGTGTTCTTTGAGTCCTGCAAAACAGAAAGTGATTCAGTCTTTTTTATGTGCCTTTAAAGACTGTACATCTGCCTTTAGCAACTAAAGGTAGACAAGAGGTGACCTCAGTCCCTTTGACAAATGATGCAGCATGCTTACCATGATACAGTTATAGACTCTGTGTAAACCCAGGACTAAAAACTGATCAGGAAAGAAGGAAAGCTGGAGGACTATCCTCAAGCACTTAAGCTGGAGCCGAAGTTTTGGTTGAGATGCCTTTATTACAACTGAACGGTTATCATAGTAAACATAGTAAACAGACTTTAGTGCTGATAGTCAGGTTTGATGATCTGGTTTGAGACATGGTCAAAAAAGGTGGGGAACTTCTGTTTTCAGTACATAGTGTTAAGGCAGAAGAAGCTGATTCAATGCATGAACTTAATAAGAGTAAAAGATGTTCAGTGTTTCAAAACGTGATGTGGATAAAACACTGAAGAGTGGAATCCTATTGTCTATTACCGAGATTTTAACTGCAACCTTTCAGTATTTATATGCTCGTCAATGTGTTTAATAGACATGTTAAATCGTTTAAACAGACAGTTTTTAGATTTATGCTCTACTGTAGAGGCATGTTGTTTAGGCATTTACTCCAACTTTAGATGGCTGCCTGCCTCTTACTCACACTAAGGGCCATCAACACGATATAGACCTTGGTGCGCAACATGTCTTGTCAATCTTTATTGTAACAGGAAGAATGTGATCAAACAGACCCCAGACGAGTTAAACCAAGAGGGTGCGTGTCTGACATTTGGAGGAATACAAGCCCAGTTTATGATCTTATTTACTCAGTCTAAGGTGAGTTATTCTAGACCTTAGTGCTGCCCAGATAAATGGTGAGCTCAGAACGGTGAATCATCTTCTTTTTAGTCTGTGACTGAGGGCTTTGAGCTTCAGACCAGCGTGTCCACCACTCCCTGAGCTCGGTGGGTCCTGTGGGCCGTCGCTCCTTTATCTGACTTGGTGTAACTAGAGCATGAGGAGGGTACGAGTCTTCTCTGGGTGGAAACTTCCTGTTAGTATTTACATTTACTTCAGGATGAGATCGTTGCTGATTTTGGTCCTTAACTGAAGCAGCTGAAATCTCAGATGCAGCTCCTGAAGCGGCCCCTAAATCCTCTTGATGGGCAGCTTGTGGTGCAAAATAGTCCAGTCCTCGCATTCGCCGCTTGTAGTCCTCCAGTTTGGCTTTGACCCCCACAGCCTTTGTCCTCATCTCGAGGAACTGACACTGCAGATCTCTCTCAAAACCTTCCTCTGCTCTTAACTCGTTCTCCCAAAAATGGATCTGCGCCATCTCCTCTTCAGCCATCCTCTGCTCTGCCTCTTGTTTGGCTTGTTTGATCTTCTGTCTTTCCTCGAGTTCAGAAATCAGCTTGTCTATGTGTGCAATCTGGACCTGTAAGTCCTGCAGATAGCCCAGCTGGTTTATTATTCTCTCTCTGAGTTTTACCTTCTCGTCTTCGGTCGGAGCACATCTAAGGATTGACACCTCATCAGATCTTGCATCTTGAGGTTTCTTGGAGTGTTTGCTTTCTTTCTCCTTCGTTGGACTCCCCATGCAGCAGGATGTTTGATTGTCCAAGTCTGAACTTAAACCTTTTTGGCCTCTGATTTTGCTTCTGCTGCTTCGACTTAAGTCCTCTTTGTCGACAGCAAGAGTGACGTTCAAAGATGCTCGATTCCTTCTGTCACTCTTCTTACTGCTTTCTTTATCGCCTGCAGTACTATAGACCTTTCCTTTCCCCAGACTCTCCAGCCACTCCCAGGCCTCCTCCATGAGTGTCAAAGACTTTCTTTTAGGTCTTTTCAGTTCTTCTTTTTGCGGATCTACCTCTTGTCTCGAACAGGACAACGGCGGCAAACTTTGACGATGCAAACTAAGTGAGCTGCTTCCCCGCCGCATCCTCGGGCCGGCATCCTTTCTTCTCATTGGTGGGCAGGGCTGGTATCTGCCAACTTTTGTCTTACTTAAATCATCCAAGACTGAAGGTCGGTTGTGGAGAAGTGTGAGTTGGACCTCCTTTGCTTGCTCCCCGTACTTCTTGAGGGTTTCCAGAAGGTGTTCATCAGGGGTCATGCACCGCTCAAAGTCTTTGAATTTCTCTCGTAATGTGTAGCGTCCTGGTTGACCTACAGGCGAAGAACACAGCTTGATTTTCAGCATGACAGACTGTAAAACCTCTAACCCTATAAGGCCACAGAAATACTGTACATACCCAATGCTTGAGCCAAGACTACAACCACGTCTTGGCATGTTGTTTCTTCAGTAATGCCACAGACAACACGCTGGATACCGTCCACAGACACCTTCACTTCCATTGTCCTGTCTGATAAATTAAAAAGAAGGCATTAATGTCAGTCTTGAGGACTTTTTTTTTCAGCATGCCTTTAGTTCCAGAGTCCTTTTAAACTCAAATTTACAGGACTTACCTTTAGTGCTCTCTGTACAGATGCTCAGACCTCTCTGCTCTGGAGGAGGAACAATCTTGTTGGGAGGAACATTCCAGCAATTAAGACCAATTAAAATTCCTGGTGGTATTTACCACTGGAGGACAGATTATGATCCCACCCACCTTACAATGTTTCTATTTATGCTGAGAAAATGAAGTGTACTCTTCTTTTATCTCGATTTTTATGCAATTGTACGGCAGAGACGAACTAAATGGGGAAAAAGGAGACACGTCGTCAAACCCCAGTCATTAAATAAAGGTTTTGTTTACAGAGACTTTTAGAACGTGATTGTTTTGAGTTCTTCAACCAAAATTCATTAGTCTTTTCAGCCAGTGTTGGATAAATACGGTAACACTTTATGCTTTGTTCTTGAAGATTATTCTCTTGTCTCAGATGAGTAGTGTGTAAGGGATCATTTTATCTCTTCTAAATGATGTGTTACCTATTTTTTTAATTAAAAAAAATAAGGAAAAATAGGCACTGGTTGAGTTTAGACATGAGGTTGCACACCCTACAAACAAAGGCTGTAGTGTTTGAAAGTATGGGAATCAGAAATTAACTCTTCACAGCCTTAGACAACATTGCAAATAAGAGAGATCCAATTTAGAGAGAAACCTCAATATCCATCTTAAGTTTGCAAACATCACCACACTGATCAGTTTGGGGTTGCACTGGACTTGAAGCTGGTGTTGTGTGCGTGAACACAATAGAATTGTACCAATTTGAATAAGAAACAGAATTTTGAATTTGAATGAAGTTATTTGTGTTTTTTATGTGGTCAAGTGTGACACAGGTACTCTGATGCCACTCAAAAACTAATAACTACAAGGGGTTGGAATCACCAGTGGCCCCATGATATGATATTATCATACTACTTGGGCCATGATACGATATTATTGAGATTTTTCACATTTTGCAATACAGTAAGTAGTGGAATACCATATATTGCTATACAATTGTTTCAACTGTTTAGCTAATTTGTCATTTGTCTTTCCTTTATGTTTGTCTTATTCACGCTGTTTTTTATTTTCATGTAGCACATCTTGCAAAATATTGTGATATTATGCAGTATCAATTTTTTCCCCGACCCCTATTAACTACATTAAATTAAGAACAAGTGGAGAAAAACACTAGACTTTAACTGCACTTATCTTTCTACTTAAGAATAAACTTTGTCTTTTGAAAGGTCTTACAATCCATTTTCAAGTCAGCATTCATATCACATTTACAGGATTGTTTGCTCTCAAAGCAGCATCATTTACACCCCAAACAAATGCCACTACCACTTACCAGGACTTACTTCATTTTTATATTACATAACTAGATTATAAAGCAGACGTTTCTGTATTTTTTGATGTGAAGTAGAGTCTAAAATATGACAACTAATGAAGAACGGGAGAAATACCAACAGTTCCTCAGGGAAGTCTTTAAAAAGTGATTGTGTCAGTGTAAACTGTCTGTGCAGTCAGTAGTGATTATGCGGTCGTGCTGTTTTTAGATCTGGGTGTTCCTCTTTATCTTTCTGACAGGAAAAGTGATCACAATCTAAACAGAACATGTAAACAGGCTGAACTCTATGACCACTTTCCTGTGAATCTGTGACGACTTAAGAAATAACTTCACCGATCTGCCACATTGTTCTTTTCCCCCTTGTAAGTAAACTCATGCTGACAAACAAGCATCTTAAACAATCAACAATTATGAGAGATGAAATGTCATCACTTGAGCTTTGTGAGATTGAAGACGCAGAGCACAACAAAACCTGTAAGCAGTGGATCATGACTTTAAAACTGGGCCTTCAGCCAGTACTACATTTCTACTGGCATGCCTGATCCTTATGCATACACAGCTCAGTGCATGATCAGTGCTGAATAGTCAGTCCACAAGACAAGGCACCAAATTGATAAGAACCAAAAGTTGCTCACAGGAGCTTTAAGGTGATATATTTTTAATCTTTAATTTCACACTTTTTGACAATCAAATCACTTCATAAAAGATGTTGTATACAACCAACCCCCAATTTACATCTGCAATCACCGCAGAGGGCTTACATGTTGTAGTGATTACTGCTTTCTGTCAGAATCATGGCTGCAGGAGAGGCTGAAGTTTCAAATTTCTTTGCACAAGCACCAGAGATCTGCAAATGAAAAATGGACAGTATAATAAATTCAAACTTAAAATCAGGGAATGTCCAAACACAACCAAATAGCTTGGAGACCAGAAGCCGGTCAGACAAGCACCTGTTGCAATTTGGTAGAGTCTGACAGTCCTGATGGTGATGATGGGAGTAATGTGAGACGGGGAACTTGGACTCTCTGCTCTCTCTTGCCTGTGTAAACCACATGTCCTGCTGCTGATAATCCCTCAGGTTCATAGTGAGAAACAGTCAGAGCTCTCTGGACCATGAAAAAGAAATTCTTCAGAGAGCAGTTCAATCATGTTTGTCCTATATGTGCATGTTCAAAACGAGATGTATATAAAGTTTCAAAGATACTGTAAAGTGGGCCAAAGTAAACTGTAGCATATAGACTACAGTTTTTTTCTGGAATTTTAAGTATTTAAAAAGTATGCACATAGGACATGTAAAATTTGAAACAGGTTCACGAAAGAAACTCAAAATTCCAGTCTGGCATTTTTATTTCTTTTGGCTGAACTGACTGTCTGACTGCCCATCTCCAACCTGATCTTTCAAACTATTTGTACTTTGTGGTGACCTTTGACATTTAGGATAACATTCCCTAAAAATAGACGGCTTGTTAAGTTTCTACAAGCTGCACAGCTTCTCAAGATGTCACCCAAGTGAAGGTGGCAAAGTCTGATATGTCATCAAAGCATCTTTCTCCCTGAAAAACAACAAAAAGACAACACTCTGAGGGTCTGACTAAAGGCGCACATTTCACTCAAATATTCTTCTATAAAGCTGAAGAAATAGTTTTGGTGTCGTTTCATTGGGTTCTGAGATACCTCTGAGATTCCTGTGTCTATCATAACACAGCGAGTTGCAATGGAGTTTTGCTTGAGGGGCTCTAAGCAGTCACATTAAAGGGTTTACCAGTGAATGAGTCTACAGAATCATAAAGAGTGCTGCAGGAATGAAAATATGCTGCCACTGCAAATTATACAAAAAAAAAATAAATAAAATCTATCTATCTTAAATTTAGGATTGTCGTCTAGAGATGTTTAGAAAAAAGGCCTTTTGAGTTAAAATTTCCTGCAAGTGTTTTTTTTTTTATACAGTCCAAGCCATGCTATGCCAGCACATGGATATTTCTAGTGTCAAATTCCAGGTGTTTCATTATTTAAAGAAAAGTATAAAAATGATGCAGTCCGACAGAGTTGCTCTTAATAAAAGAAGATAATTGACCCATATGGCTACTGATCTCATTCATTCATCCAATCAAAACCTACTCCAGTGAGACCCAGCGGGATTTTAAAGCTAAAGTAAGCGACTTTCTGTCAAGGCCATAGCCTAGTTGATCATAAAAACCTTTGATATGTTCATCTGCAGAGTGGTAACCTCAATGTTTAAACCCTGGGTTTACTTGGCTATGCATAACTCTTAAGGCTAAAACATACAGGATCCATATTGAGTGCTTATCATCAGCATCGCGTATCATGCAGCAAAAAGGTTGCCATTCTAATTAATGCAGCACTGCATACAGGACGCGTATCAGCTCTGTCGCAGCTCCATATCAGAAGCGTGTCGAGCACGACTCTGCTAAAGATATGTGGCAAGTCTATTTTTGCTGCTCTATGCATCCAATACGTTTCAATATACACAGGGAAGATCATTCTAGACAGGAAGTCAGGCACGAAAACCGTGCATGTCATCAGGTAAATTTCAAAATAAAACACCATATGCAAACTCCCGACTGCGTATCAGTTCATGTAGATTAGAAATACTTCCTGGTTATGAATTTATCAGTAACACAGAGCAATCTGATGGTCGATCCCTGATCCATGTGGACTCCCAATGGGACTTTTAACTGCTAACTCTGTCTGAAGGTAACAGCAAAGCATTAAGGAACATAGTTTACTTTATTAAACATGAGTAAACCTGCTAAAACCGAAACTGTAACATCATGTTGCTTTTGCACATACAGCAGAGGCTCAACAGTCACTGAATTATATCCAAGTTAGCAGGACATAGACCACGGAAAGGAAAAATAACCTGTTGTGAGCATGTTGTTTCGTCTATAATGAGCCCAGCTGACTGGGGCTGCACTACGCTGCAGCTACGGACACGCTCTAAACACGCATCCTGTATGTTCGTTAAATTCTTGCTTTTAAAATACACTGAACAAAAAAAAGACAAAAACACCTTCATTGTCCACACTAGCCAAGAAATGTCTCATTTGACTTGACTTTTGAAGAATCTGTTTTTTCTGATCACCAATACAAAGTGGATACTCAACACTGAGGGTGTTTTGTTGGTTGTCAGAGACCATTGCTTGGAATCATTTATGAAAGCTGCAAATTACCCATGCCATGTGCAAAAGTCACATGTTCAGTGTGGAGATTGTTGCACTTTTTAACCAACAAAAGGCCCAACTGTGTCACAGGTTTCCTCAAGAAAATTGACTCTCTTAAAGTTAAAAACTGTCGATCCATTTTTCCCCCAATGGCAGCAGAAACAGGTTTGCTTTCTGTTGCATTTGCCGTGTAAATAGCTCGTGCACCCACCTTAAACCCCACCTGCCATGTGAATAGCAACTACTGCAGCTATCAGGGTGTTATATAATACAAGTTCTCTGTCACACACATACCCACCTCTTTGTCTACACACTGTGCACACTGACAACTTAAAATAGAGTTGGACACACATATGCGTTGCCGTGTGGGCACGGCCGGTTCTAGTTACACTTGAGGCGGAGGGGGCTTAATATTGCACAGACTCAAGTGCAGGTCTCCACACTTCCCCGCTACAGTGGGTCCAGCGGCTGACCACCCTTTTCCAGTCCTCAGGGAGCGTTTCACTGAACAGCGTCACCATGCCTAAAGTCATTGTGCCAGGTGAGTATGGGCAGAATGACTCTGGGTTTGCACCTGCAACATGTCCAAAAAAGAAAGGTTCTGATAGGACTTTTGGGGGTTATCTTACATGATTGTACAGACACACTGTGTGAGGCTTTTACCATATGAGCACTCAAAAATAATACAAATACAAAATCTTCATTGTTGTGAATCTTGGCCAATACATGCAGAAGAACTTCCTGACAAATGTTTCGACAAACTTCTTTTTTTCTGCTTCTTGAGAGGTATAAAACCTGTTTGAATGGATTTATCTTTACACGGGTCACACCCCTCACTGCGTGCAATATCAACAACTGTTGAGGTTATAAATTCCCTCCTGTATACCAATAATACATGCTCTAGGCACTTGAGTGGTTGGTAATGACAGCTTCAATGATAGGTTCATTGCAGTTGAGTGCATTTAGTTCTTATATAAAGTCCATCCTGACTAATATATAGAATATCAAAGAGTTATCCTCGGATAATCAAGCAAACAAAAATCTATCATTTATCAAAATAGCAGATTGAAACCTCTACATAACTGTCTGGTTTTACAGTCAGATGAGAGAGTTAGCCCTGGCTCAAAAAAGTCAAGTGAGGATGTTTAATGGATTGGATTTGTCGGCAGATAATCAGCATGCATGCATCATTAGCTTGCACACTTTGTACCTCAGGTAGCAGCTCTTTTTGTGGTCCTTGCTGCAGAACATCCCCAGTATTACTGTGACTTAAACATTGTTGTAATGGTTGCTAATTTTAGTTTTACCTCCGCCAGTCACCAGACAAATGGCGAGTATGAGGTCATGTTTTGCTGCAAGAGTTTTTCAGGGGGTGAAAAATAGAAGTGCAACGATTTAACAGCTGCTGTTGGAGGAGTTTCATTTAAGGCTGAATGGGTTTGGTTGATTTAAGAGGCGATGTAGGACAACGTGTCAGAGACTGTTTGCACTTGTTGTGAAATTTTTGCAGAGATTTCATACCTGTGTTATCCAAGCAGTCATGCTAACAGGTTTTGGGAGCAGCAGGAGCTGGCATGAAGAATATGGGGATAATTCAATTTACAAAGCTCCTGTTTGAGAGGGCAAAAGTATCAAAACGCACAAAATTACAAAACTAGTAGGATTGTAATGAGACAACATGCAGTCTCCACATATAATCCTAACAAGTAATGACTCAGCAGCTCATTTGCTTCTTTGTAATTGTTGCTTTCATATATAACACACTTGTTTGTTTTCCTCTAACCTGGACCATCCCACCCTGACTGTGACTTTTTACTTACCCAACAGAGGGAGGAAGTAAGTATAGAACTGAGAGGCTACACAAGGAGCTTGAGGAGGATGTGAAGCATTTTTCAAATGCATGATTTAAATTCATGTCAAAAGTTCTTTCTTCACAGTGCATTTGAAAATGTTGCAGTATGGATCTTTGTCAATCCAAAACAGTGGATCTTTGTGTGCAACCACATGTCCAGAAAGGACACTATGTAAAATGTTAATAAAAACAGAATTTGATGGTCTGCAAATGAAATGATTTAGGGACATAATAGTAAATGATGAAACTAAAAAACACTGCATCAACAATTGGTATGTTGTCTTTGCAGACTTAAATATTCAAACTCTGTTTCTACTGACATTTAACACAGCAACTTTTCTAGGATCAGGGTTGTACGTGGACAGCATTGATTAATCTAGCTCAAATTCAGTTTTGAATTTTTGCTACATAATGCTGTGTTTGTATCAAAAAAAGAGCATGACTGTCCGAAACAGAACTGAAAGTGAACTTTTACATTAATAAATAGTTTTTTATGGGTTATTCAATGCTTTTCCACCATGGGAATATTCATTTGTATACAACACAGCATATAGAGTCTAGAGTCGACCGACTTTCAGACTTCAACCATCAAAGGAATGCAAAGAAGATGAAGGAAATGCATCTCTCCAACCAACATGTCCAAGTGGGGCCCAAAACAGCAGAGCCTGATCTGGCTAATACCCAACCAACCCCTTTGTTCGCTGAATAGTCTGCCCATTTCTGGCCCATGTAAGAACCAACACCAAACTACATAGGAGCCCACTAAAGCAAAAACCCAAATTGAAGTCACAAGAGGCTCATTTGAGCCTCACTTGGAAGTGCTGGTTGGGCTTGCATACATAGGGATGGTCGCAGTACAAAAACAGAATCGTACCACTTGAGTGTTGTCCATATTTGATTCAAAAACTGGGACCAGAATCATCTCTGCATGTGTCATGAAGATGCTACCACTAAGTCTTTGTCATGCTTCAGTGGTCTGATTTATTTCAGTGTTACTGTCAGTTCATATGAGTTATGTCTGAAATTCATCTCTCATCCTTCCATGTAATGTAATCTCAATCCATTTTATCCATTCATGATGAGCTGTATGAGCTTATTCATTTTTGCACATCTCTTTATCATATGTTCAGCATCTGTCATTGCATGTAGTGTATATCAGTGCATATTTAAAGATTTTCTGTTCGTGAAGTGGTCAATTCTGGGGTTGACATGATACAAGAATATTAAACTTTGATTTGGTATATCATATCGATACCTTGATCCTGGGCGTTCACAACCGGGAGTCTTTTACTGTTTTTTTTAAACCACGTTGCAAACAGCGCTGGTTCAGTTAAAATGATTAAACAGAGACTTATACCTGACCTGCTTATAATAATGTCTTATTTTCTGTTTCACAACCTTGATTTTATTAGCAGTGCTCGCTCTCTTCACTTAGTCTCTTTGTAACTTGACCACCTTACTTGCAGCAGCTTTGGGTTGAAAATATAATTGTATTTCTGTCTTTTTCATTAGCTTCTGTTCTTTAAAATAACATTTAATGTAAGGTTACAGCAGATTGTATTGTATTAAAGCTTGTGGCATTGGAAGAATATCAAAGTCTTGAAAATGTTGTTCCCAAAATGCCAAGTATGCATAAGTGGGAGGAAATTGTATGTTGTCTCCATGTATAGCACCTTTCTAACCAACTCTTTTCTAACAATCTCTTTTTTGGCTTTTTTATTCTGGATGGTGTTCTTTACTCTACGGGCATAATCAGGTCAAGAGAGTAAGTATGGAGGGTGTATCTAAAATGGCTTCAGTCTTGCAGTAGTCCATTGAGGAATTTGTCTTTGAGCAGAGAGCCTGGACTCTTGGCTAGTGCGTGCATGTAACATGGAGAGGATAATCAGGGTACTTCGCTCCAGCAGGCATAATGTCATTGTTGCTTGTGAAACTTGAATGCCATCAGAGGTTATGTTGTCTAAGGAGAGGACTGATCCAAAAATTCAGTCACTTCATTCACTCTCGACCCAGTTTTTCTGTCATTTCTTTCCACATATTAACATCTTCTAATAGAAATCTTTGACTAACTGGCTGCAAATAATAAAACGATGCAAAATGAAAAGAGAAAGATGGTAGAAAAACCTGGGTTTGGAGTTCAAATGATTCGTTAAATAATGGCTTTACCATCTTGTGTCCACATGAGTCGACTGTGTCTGTCTGTTCCTCTGTATGCATGGGACGTTATGTCTGCAGCCCGAACTGGAGGTCAGACTTGCAGGCTTACAGTGTCAATCTTTGGTCTTGTAAACAACGCATGTGCTGGAGTCTGTAGCCACCAGGTTTGGTAAGGTGTGTGCCTTTTTTTTACAATATAGCTATTGGGTGTTATGTGCATAATTTGTTCATATTTACTCCCTCATTCATTTTCATGCAGCTTGGATTAGATATCAAATTTTTCTGTTTGAAGCTCACCATGTAGCCTAAGTGCATGATATGATGGAGGCAGACTGCTTGTTTTAGTCATAAAAAAAATACATTTTATGGGTTTGACAGAGACCGATGACAAGATGCGAGCCTTCGCGGAGAGGGTCTTTGCCTCTGAGACCAAAGACGAGAACATCCGTGATGAGATCTCCATGTTTGATGTGGCTGAGGACTGTCCCATCCTTCACAATGAGATGGCTCATCATCTGCATCATGATGATAACTCTGAGAAACGGTGAGATGGAAGACAATGTGTTATCACTAAGTAAAAAAAACATCATTTCGTTTGACATCTTAACTTTTCAAGATCATGCATGTTACAAATTACAGAAGAGCACACTTGTTCACAGTTTTGTCAGCTGAATCAGGTTTGGCTCTTCAATATTTTCACATTGCTCTAATAAAATTGTTTTATGCCTGTTATCTCAGAATCAGCCCATAGTTTTATCTCCAAATCAGCAAAATCACGCTGCACTTATTTACATCCTGCTAGTAGAGCTTTAACACTTGACATAACTTTACCTCTATCCATTGTCATCCACAGTAAGAAGCGCTCCCGCACAATGGCTGTACCTGTAGTCGCTGCCAAGGCAGCCGCCGCCCCTGTAGTGTCAGTGGAAGTGGACACTCCCCTCTACCTGGAAGTGCCTGATTTCCAGAGGGTGGCCATCATTGGGGACTACGCCGCCGGGGTATTAACAAATACAGATTATCTGATCATTGTACTGTGATTAATGAAAGTGGAAAGAGCTTTAAATCTCTCTTACTTCCTTAAAAAGTTACATTTATAGATTACTTTCTTTTTTACACAGTTACTTTGGGCTGTATATGAAATCAAATTTCTAAGTCAGATCGACTTTAAGTAATACATGTAAAATGTGCTTATTTGCTTATTAGCTAAAGGAGGTTAGGTAGCTGGGTTTCCGTCTGAAGTTAACAGACTCAAGGCTTTCTACAAAAAACACATTAAGCCTCTTCTTTATATACTCCACTGCTCCACTCAGTAGACTCAAATGGACTCTATTAACTATAGATTACATAACACACTGTATACTCCGTAGTATCATATGATATTATGTAAGAGCTGTTAATTTTGGACACATATGTTGCCTTATTGACGTACAGTATGATCTCTTACTGACCGGTAATAGATGCAGTTTCTCCTTCTCTGTGACTGTATGTTAGACACAAATGATAAACTAGAGTCGAGCTGACCTGGAAACAAGAGTGTTGACTTTGAATTTCACTGACACCATATGTCTGTGGGTCAGTGCCCTCTCTGCCTCCCCCCACTAACAGATTCCCTTGAATGGAGCTCATCTGAGAGCAGGCGCAGGTTTAGGTTTCATGACTCAGGGTCTGACATTTACAGAGAGGAGAACACCTCTGTGGAGCTTTGTTATTTTTGTCTTTGCTAACAACAACAAGCAAACGTGATTTTAGTTTAGCTGACTACATCATATCTTCTATGGTGTAACAGTAAATGGATCAGGACAAAGGAAAACAAACACAAAAACAAACAAAAAAAACAGCTCCTTTCCCAGAACCCCAAATATGAGTGTGTTTCTTAAAAGCAGCACTCAACTTTAATGTCAGTGAATGTAACACATGCTTTAAAGCTGCAAAAACTAAAAATAACAGCAAGATTTGACAACATAAAAAAGCCTTTTTTCTAATGTCAATGTTTGAGTCGTATTTCAAGCAAAGCTAGTGACCTTTGACCTGTTTATTGTTACTGTGAAAAACAGATAAAAGATATTTTAGACTTAAAACTTAATATTTATAATCATTTCAACTTGAAAATGCATGATTTAGTTTTTAACAATTATATTTAGCGTTTAACGGATTTCTTTTGAATGTTTGGATTTAAATGCAGTATTTAGATTAACTGTTGAAATTAATATTTAACATGATTTGGTGTTAACTGATTTTATTTATTGCATGGACATAAAATTCAATATTTGGAATTAACATATACTCTTAACATTTCGTTATCAATGTCTAGTTGAGATTTTACATTCAACATCAATTTTATCACATTCACATTAACTTTGAGACTTTACTTTTACATAAGCCATACAACATATGTAAATTAAAAGTTATTAGTCAGATTTAACATTGAGATTTATGTTTTACATTTAGATGTAGCTTTTTACTGATGAGCATTGATTGATAGATTAAAAGTTTAATATTCAGAATTAAACCTAAAAATAAACATGACAAAATAGAAGTTGTCACTCTTGTTGTTGGTGGCCTCATTTGCTTTTGCATATCACAGATAGATGGAACACAATTCATTTCAGCCTTTTTCATAACCTTAAAAAACTCCATAATGAATTTATCCATGATAAAATGTAAGGCTACGGTTTGTACATGCTTTTGACCCTGAACTCAGAAATATCTGCTGTATTTTCTCTTCAGGTGACCATGGATGACTTTGAGCTGTCCTGTAGGGGTCTGTACCGGGCCTTGACCATCAGGGAGAAGTACATGAAGTTGGCTTTCCAGCGTTTCCCACGAACAGCCTCCCAGTTCCTGCGTGAGATCGAGGGGGAGACCTTCAAACCTGAAGATCAGGTGCAGCCAGGTGAGGAGCAACGCATTAATTCTGATCAATAAATACGTTTTTGCTATATGTTTTTTGTAACACTTGGTACCCCAAATGTTTAATTCGTATGTTACTTCCACCCATCAGTCTTCACATCCCCTCCTCAAAATGGGGAAGACCCCTTTGATACCCAAGACCTGCCTGAAGATCTGGGCTATGTGGCTCGTATGAAGGATGGTGTGGTCTATGTGTACAGTGATGCTGCAGCTGCAGACAAACATCAGCCCAAAGACCTGCCCTGTCCTGACTACGACACCTTCATCGATGACATGAACTTCCTCATTGCCCTCATTGCACAGGGCCCAACGTGAGTGCGGCGAGTATCCATGAACCAAATCAATCACACAGCTTTGTTTATCCTATACAGTGATATTAGTTTGGAGCAATTTGTAGAAAACATAAGAAGATTTAAAAAATGTCATGTTGGTGGTTGATAAATGATACAAAGATAGACTATTCTGTTTCAAACCAAAGTAATGGTCTGGGAACTGCAATATTACAGCTTTCTTTGTTGTATTTTAAATCTATTTCTCATTTTTATGTGACAAAAATGCATTTCTATACCTGCAAACACTTGTAAAACATGCCTTTCAAAGTAAAGCTCATGTGTTGGTGCGCTTCTCTTGATTCGCAGTAAGACCTATACTCACCGCCGTCTGAAGTTCATCATGTCCAAGTTCAACGTGCATGAGATGCTGAATGAGATGGAGGAGATGAAGGAGCTGAAGATAAACCCTCACAGGGACTTCTACAACTGCAGGAAGGTAGAAAACCTGGACAGCGCTTTGACAGGATCCATCAGATAAAACGTTCCTTACTGGAACTTCAAGTTTTAGTAGTTATGTGTTCCTCCACCCTTGTCTTGGCTTTCCTCAATTTGACTGATTGTGTTGATCTATAAGCTTTCCATAAATATTGCAATGTTACAGTGATACTCTACGGTCACAATTATCTTGCGTTGAAAATCTGATATCGTTACAGCCCTAATACATGTAAACACAATATGTATTTACCAACACACGTGCATTCATATCAAGTATCTGTAAGCATGAGTACAGTTTCATTTGAGAACATGATTTAATCCCCTAAAAGTGAGGTTAAGGGAAGTTAAAGACAGAGCAAAATAACAAGTGGAGAAATAAGAAAGAGCCCAAAGCAAAAAAATAGAGTGATGTGAGGTCTTTGTACAGCTGTTATATCACCAGCACCTATGTTCATGTCGTACTTTCTTCTTCTAGGTCTTTAATCAGTCAGTTTAAGAACGGAGGGAGTTTGTCCTTCCCATAGACTGTATATAGAATATACATAACATACACAATATACATACTATAGTATATACAGTCTATGGTCCTCCTGTTTAAACAGAATAAGTCGTCTAGAGTTACATGCAATTCATTACGCACATCCTTTTTTTCTGTTATTAACCTGATGTACTGCACCTCATGTGTATCACCAGCTCCCTCTGGTGATGAAGCTCAGTTAAAACATCTGTGGAACCCTCTCGCTCACAACATCCTCCTGCCTTCCCCAGGTGGACACCCACATCCACGCTGCCGCCTGCATGAACCAGAAACATCTTCTGCGCTTCATCAAGAAGTCTTACAGGGATGATGCTGAACGCGTTGTGCACAAGCTGCAGGGCAGAGAGGTGACCATGAAGGAGCTCTTCCAGTCCCTCAACCTGCACCCCTATAACCTCACTGTGGACTCCCTGGATGTGCACGCTGTACGTTACTCTCTTTTTTTTTTTATGAAAAAAAAAAACTAATTACACCAATGCGTCAAGAACACACATGATTTTTTTTATATAGTAAACCTGGATCATGTACTTCGAAGCAGGATTATGGTCATTGCTAACGCACCTGGGAAAATAGAATTCATGAAGCCATCTCACCACACCCAGTTAGGTGTTAGGTGAAAATCAAAAATACAGAGAACATAATTATAGGAAAATAAATAATTATATTAAAAATAACCAGCAACACTCAAAAATGACTGCATTGGTCTTGCTGTCCTGTCCATGATCTTACTATCGTTTCTGTTGTCTGTGTCGTATCTGTAAAGGGCAGACAAACCTTCCAGCGTTTTGATAAGTTCAACGCCAAGTACAACCCCGTGGGAGCCAGCGAGCTGCGTGACCTTTACCTGAAGACAGAGAACCACATCAACGGAGAGTACTTTGCCACCATCATTAAGGTCAGTTTAAAGCAAATAACTTAAAAGATGAACGACTTCAGAGACAAATAATGAAGGTGGAACATTTCCTGACACTCACATCACATTTATGCTGAAGATGTCCTACTGCTTCATGTTATCTGTTTTAGCATCCTGCTTTTCTACTTATTAGTTCAGCTGTCATGCACCAAATTTGACATGATGAGACTGCTTTGACCTTTTGTGTGAACCAGGAAGTAGCCAGTGATCTTGAGGATGCTAAGTACCAGTATGCTGAGCCTCGTCTGTCCATCTACGGCTGCAACCCTGCCGAGTGGACCAAACTTTCCGGCTGGTTCGTCAAGCACAGGGTCTTCTCCCCAAACCTCAAATGGATGATCCAAGTCCCTAGGATTTAGTGAGTGCTTTTTTTTTTTTTTTTTTGGTGATACAGATATTTGATTGTTTTAAGGTTTGACTAGAAGTGTAAAAGTTTCTAGGATGTCTAATTTGACTTATTTTTCTATCTCAGTGACATCTTCAGAGGCAGGAACTTTGTGCCCCACTTTGGCAAAATGTTGGAGAACATTTTCCTCCCTGTGTTCCAGGCCACCATCGACCCCAAGTCCAACCCAGACCTCAGCATCTTCCTCAAGCATGTGAGTTCTAAAACAAATCTAAAATATATGGTATGATATATGGTCTTAAGTTCAGTCTCTTTGCAGTCTCAAACTTGGGTTATTGTGACAGAATTTGGATAAAGGTGTGGATATTTAAGATAGTAATATAGTTGCTGTTTTATGTCAGAGAGAGGTAGCAAATCCTGAAAGTGCTTTTTGGACTCACTATTTTACTTAAAATTGGACCAGAAAGAGCAGAAAGAGCATCATGCTGTGATAAAGAGGGGCAACCATGAAAATATATAGTATACATTATTTATTTACAGAAAAATAAATAAATAAAATAAACATTTCTCATGGATATTTATACCCCTGAGTTGCAGATTCTGACAGCTCTCCTCCATGTTTACTCATGTCTCTCCTGGTATGTAGGTGACAGGTTTCGACAGTGTGGATGATGAGTCCAAGCACAGCGGTCACATGTTCTCTACTAAGAGCCCCAAACCAGAGGAGTGGGACATTGAGAAGAACCCCTCCTACACCTACTATATTTACTACATGTACGCCAACATCGCCATGCTCAACCAGCTCCGCAGGTCAGTAACCTTTTCTCTGTACACACAGTATTCCTGAGTATTTGATTTCAGAAGAGATCATCAAATTTAATCTGTTTTTGAGAATTTTTTATTCATTCTCTAAATTTAAAGTTGGTTTTCTTTTTGCATTTAGGCAGAGGGGGATGAACACTTTCACATTCAGGCCTCACTGCGGTGAAGCCGGTGCCATCACCCATCTGCTGGCTTCCTTCATGACCGCTGACAACATCTCTCACGGCCTCAACCTCAAGAAGGTCAGTCCTCTATTAAGAAACATGATAAGGCATGGTTTAAAAAGCGTTGTTTGGTGCTTCATTGTTCGATGGTATGATAACAAAAAATATTTCTTTTGGTTATCGTTCTTAGTGAGTCATCTCTGAATATTATCTTTTATGACATGCTTTTTAAAAGAACCCCTGACTATTATAAAAACTAATGTCATAGAAATAATTAAAGATTTTATGTACAAAAAAAATGTTGTTTTTTTTTGTTTGTTTGTTTGTTTGTTTTTTGCTCCAAATGGGTGCATAGTGACTCATTTAATGTATGCAAAAACACACAGGGGAGCTATTTGTTATTCTGTGCAGTTTGTGGTGCATCAACCTTTTGCACATACTTTTTGAATGAGACAATGTCTTTTCTGCATCTGAAAAGGCTGCACAATCCTTTTGTGATTTGGGCCTCTAGTAAAGACATACAAATTTTTCCAATGGAGAGAAATTTGGAAGATGAAATATTGAAATATTCCTCTCATATCCTCTGTAAATCCAACGTTTTTTGTTCCCAAGAAGGAAATAATTCATAAGACCAGACCTGCCCCTCCTGTTAGGAAAATATTACCTATTGATTTGTTCTCTTACCGAACACCAGAAAAGAGTTTAGATGTTCTTGCTGGATATATCTTGCTTTAACTGATGAAAATCAAATAAAACTCTTTTCTTAAAGAGGCACTGGAGAAAAGAAACACATTTCAAGCTCCACTCTCTAAAATGTGTATCTTAGACAGTTAATAAGATATAAAGCGGCTGAGGATGACAGTCAGAATTACTTTTATCTTGGATTTTCTGTTCAACAAATTGTACCTCACTTGGGTAAAAATTGTGGAACTATTGTGACAGGGATTCATTTTCTTAAAATAATGGGGTTATAATGAAAGAGAGATGTTTGTACAGATTTTCAGTAGCAGTGTCATGTCAAGAGTGATCTTAGATTTAACTTCCTTTGACTATGATTGCAGTCAATGCATCATATTATTGCTCTTCCTATTCTTATTTTATTTACAAAACAAAAGTCAAAGAAACAGTCTCACATGCCTGAGCCTATTCTTTTAAACTAATCATATCTAAAACCCTCCTTCCCATCCAGAGTCCTGTGCTGCAGTACCTGTACTTCATGGCCCAGATCCCCATTGCCATGTCCCCCCTTAGCAACAACAGTCTGTTCCTGGAATATGCCAAGAACCCCCTGCTGGAGTTCCACCAGAAGGGCCTGATGATCTCTCTGTCCACCGACGACCCCATGCAGTTCCACTACACTAAGGTCTGAGTACACAGAGAGAGGCTTTGATGGTCATGTACACAATAGTGCATTCTGTGTTGTATATAACCAGTATTGTATGATGTTTTTAGGTATTCTTTGTAAGCCTTTGTACCCATGTGGTACAGGAAACTTACGTTACAGGAACAATCAAACGGATAAAGTATTAGTTGCGTGAATGAAATACACTGTAAACAAAGCCAGGTTTGTGTGTTATCTATCACACTCAGATGTCAGTACATGACTGTACTTTTAGTAAGACTGATACACAGAAATATTGACCTCTTAGCAGCTCATTTTAAATGTGAGTGTCCTCTTTTTTGTCTTGTCAGAGCTATGGTAACTTGAGGTAAGAGTAATAATAGTAAAAAATGTAAATAACCTGGGATTGTTCATTCACAGGAACCTCTGATGGAAGAGTACGCTATTGCAGCTCAGGTGTTCAAGCTCAGCACCTGTGACATGTGTGAGATCGCCAGGAACAGTGTGCTGCAGAGCGCCCTGTCTCATGAGGTAACAAACACCTGACAGGGGGTTGTAACCATAGACATAATATACGTAGACGCCTCAAATCCTGACGCTGCCTACTGGAGCTCATGTATCAGCACGGCTGCCATCTTGGATTGTTCCCCATTCGCCTCTAGTGCATTAAGATAGGTGGGAATGCCCAACCATATTAATAATAACCCCCCAAATCTCTGCCCGATTTTCACACTGTTTGGTTTGTTACAACAGCAGGGATGTAGCCATCATACAGGACAATGTCACACATTAAAAATAAACCCAATTATTTTTAGATCCTATTTGTAATATGTAATCCTACATGGTTTCAATACTGTGTCAGGTTTTTCAACCATAAAATGCAAAAATACAGGCATAGTTGCTCATTTTCCATTGACCCCATTTGGCTCTATCCAATATGGTGGCGACGCTGGATTATTCTCCAGCATGTAATAAGGCATCTTCGTTTATAATGTCCATGGTTGTAACAGTGTTCACAATCATCAACTTCCTTATGTACCCACCAGATTATCAAATTCAAGGATTTAGAGAATCTGGAGAAATCTTTGCACAAAGAGGACTAGGCCAAAAACCAGTACTGCGTGGCTTTGATATTTGGGTGCACAGTCGGCATTGCCATAAAAAAAGACATGACTCTGTAGTAAAAATCACAGCGTGAGCTCAAAATTACTTACAGTATATGACCAAAGTCTGTGAACACCTTTTGGTGCTGCAACCGCAAATGCAGATTAAAACTATATCATGCAAAGAGGAAACTATCTATGAAGATGAACCAGAAATGCCAGCAACTTCTGTGGGACTGAGCTCATTTTAGAAGGAAAACTGTCCTGTTTCATTCAGACAACAGGTTTAAGTGATTTGTGCACCATCCAGTCCTGGTTTTGTTAAACCCTCTGAAAGACATTCAGATTCTGTCCTTCAATGTGCCTTGCATTAAAGCAGAAATACCTCTGTGTTTCAGGAGAAGGTTCACTTCCTGGGTAAGGACTACCTGAAGGAGGGTCCAGAGGGCAATGACATCCGTAAAACCAATGTGGCTCAGATTCGTATGGCATACCGCTATGAGACCATCTGCTATGAGCTTAACCTCATAAAGGAGGGTGTGAAAGCTGACTAAACACTTCAAAACTCATTTCTAACACATCTCTGCTGTTAAATAGGGATTTCTCTACAAACGTTTTTCATGGTAACTCTTAATAAATTAATCTTGAAAAAAAGACCTTCAATTACACTGATGTTCTTTCCTGTGAAGGATAAAACTTTTTATATCTTCACTGTTTACTTTGTGCACTATTTGTATTTGCAACAAATAGAAAAAACATCATGTAAAAGAATGAAAAGAAATAAAGGGAAAAATAACAAGTGTGTTATGATTTTAGTTGCCTCTATAATGCACCTTATGATTAAGTATGTTTTGCATAACACCTCTTTCCTCATTGTTGTTGTTTTTTTTTTTTTTTTTGTGACTTTGCAGAAGCATCGCTGCCCTTGGATGTTTCTTATAAACTCTGGCCTAAAAGTTACAAATCAGACTTGATAAAGACTCACTGAGCAATTTTTCTGTATTTATCTTTAACAGCACAGACATTAGGAATGCATGTTTGATTTTGTTGGTGTCAAGTTTGTTCACATTCAGTATCACATTTATCATATTATTATGCACATATCTATATATTTTACTCCATTTCCCCCCCGTCAAGTCAGTTCTCAATGTAGTTAACTCATAATAGTGCCTGCTCCAATTGCCTTATATACCATTTTCAAATTGTGACATTTGAGTATTCTGTTTTGCATGTGTGCTGTGGTTTGCATGACAGCAGCTGAACAGTCTATGTTTAAGTCAGAATGCAAAATCTACTGTTACATTGACCGTGTCAGCCAAAAGCCCCTATTTACATCCGCCCTTGGACATTTAGCTGTTTCAGCAGAATGAAGAGGAAATTCGAACATGATTCATGTATGTCTGATGAGGTTTTTGGCTTGGGTTGTTGCTGCATTTATTATATCACCACTGACAGAGTCCATATAATGTCTGCCAGCAGTTTAAAAATCAAAATTAAGGACATGACCACCTTGAATATATGCCTGGCAAAGCAGAGTGAGGTAGTTGTAACTTTCGTCAAAAAGAGTTGGCTTTAACTTCAAGTTTCAAAGCAGTCCAAAAGTCTTCTGCACCAAAACATCTCATCTCATCTCCTCTTTTTATTAATTATCCACAACCCCAGACAAATTTATGGGCTCGTGGAGGCGCGCAGGTGCAGCTCATAACACAGTGTCGATATTTCCCAGGACACTTGAAGACAACAGTATGTATTCATCGATGACAGCTGCAGGAGTGGATGTGATGACGTCTTCTCTTTTGGATCGGGAGGATCCAACCAAACTTTCTCACAATCAAAGCTGTGTCAAGCTCCATGGAAACACCCGGAATTACACCGGATGTGAGAATTCTACCTAAGAAAATAAGATTGATCGTGCGATGGCCGCATTCCACAATGGGGCTGCTAATATGCCTGAACAAAGCACAAATCTATATTTACCTTTTACTGAAAAATGCTTGATCCAAGATCGACTGAAAATGCATGAAGAGAATTGTGCTTCTAATAAATAATAATAATAAAAATCAATAAGTAATCTAGCTGAGAATTTATTGGAAACTTATTGTAAATTATTTAAGACCCAGGAAAAAAACATGATTAAAACATTTCAAATTTGAGAACTATATTTTTTCCTGTTAGAACTAATTCATTCTTAAATGAGGCTAGTCATTTGTTTTCATGTCCAGTATGTGGTCTAAATTAAACAACCTTTTGAGAATGCTTTTACTCTAAAAGATCAGTAATAGTCATCCAAAAAACAGCACATAATTTACTTTAGCACTCTGAGGGGATATTTTTTCTGCACTGAGCACTTTCAAGTAGCCACCATGGAAAATTTTGCTGGTAGGTTTAAAAGTTTACAATATTTTTGTACAAGGAAATCAACTTGTTTTAAGCAGCATGGTTCAAGAACATGAATTTAAATGAATAATTAGAGTTTGCAATCCAAGATTATTCTATTTTTTTTTTACATTATTTAAAAAAAACTCCCATCCTACAGTATAATGCAATGTAAAAAAGGCATCTGCTAAATAAAATTGTAATTTCATAACACTTTAAATAACAGAATCAGACAAGAATGAAAAAAAGCAGCTAGTCCGAGCACTGTAAAAAATGTAAGAAGGTGCTTTCCCTTAAAAGCCCCCCATAAACATAAATTCAAAAAGAGCTTTTCAAAATAAATGAAAGCAATAATGGAATGTAATAAGATTTTATTTTGAAAATTATAACCGGAAAATGAGCGTTTTCTAGCTAATCTAACCTTGATTGTCCCGAGAAGGAGGGCGAGGAGTGTTCGTCTGAAGTTTTCTCAAGTCACTGCACTCAATCTTTGTTGTTGCATGAATTTACCGGGACTAAAGACACGTTTTTTCTGTCTCGTAAAAGTTTATTCAGTGAAAAAGTAACTTCTAACGGACTTTGTACTTCCGCGCACGCGGACACTCTTCAAACAGCCAGCGGTAACTTCTCCAGATTTTAAACGATGCTAGCGAGCGGACCCGGATTTTGTCTGAATTTTATTCATTTAACTGAGGATATGGAGGACGGATAACGTTTTCTGCTCACTAAACCTTTGCAGGTAAGTGTGTAGAAGTGTCTTCAGTGTTTCTACTCATGTGGTTACTTGTTTGAATGCCTTAATTACTCCTCTGACTAACGTAATTGCCCCAACCATGTCCCGTGAACTCCTTTTGTATTCATACCAGAAAAAAAAAATCACATGAAGTTCTGTAAAGTTTAACTTTTAGTTTTGGTATGCATTTGTACTGTAGAAAAAAAAAGAGACCAACATGTGGTTACATGAAAGTAAATGCCATATTTTGTGCTTCACTGACATGTTTTTATTAGCAGAGCTCCCTCTCTTCGCTTTATCTGTATCATGTAATTCAGTCACTTGTTTCTCAGCAGTTTTGGGTTGAAAATAAGTCCATAAGTATGTCTTTTTTTACAAGCCTTGATCCTTTTTGATACTCTCTTATGGGAAATTTGAAGACATTGTTTGGTACTGATAATAGCAATGTATTGACATCTGTCTGAGCTTCTCTAAACATGTTAAACTGCAGTTACTGGAATCAATCAATTCAGCAAGGTTAACCAAGGTCAATGGTCTAATTTGCTCTAGCATTGTAACTGTATGGATATGCTGGGAAAACAGATGAGTTAATGAATAACTGACTGTAACTGGAAGTATATACGGTGTAGCTTTACTCCTTGGAGAAATCAACACCAGGAACTCTATGATTATGTGTAAAAGGTCTGTAGTAAATTATACCAGTACACTTTTTATGTTAAAGCTGCCCAAAGTATCTGGTTCTTGATGAAATGAAAACAACTTTTCAGCCCAGGGATATCGACAACAGCTGACAGCAAATTATGTAAATTAAAATGCTAAAATGGCCCATCACTCTTTCACCAGCCACGTGAAAATGAATGTTTACATGCATGCTGCTGCTCTAGTGGCTGGTGATGGATAGGTCATTTTGAGGCACTTTATCTTTGTGTCTTTTTCATCTTGGCATTTAGCAAACCCACATTTTTCTTTTATTACAGCTTTTGCTGTCACCGTTGCTGGTGAACCAGAGTCGTACAATACCTCACCTACGACATGTAGAGTCATGCCGTATTTCTGCGAGGGCGTTTTGTGGTGGTTTTGAAGGTGCAATTAGATTTAATTTGGCTGCCAAGTGATGACGGGGTATTTTAGCCTCACAGGTCCTCTGTCTGGTTTCAGCATGGATGAGTCAGTGAGTTTCACTAGAAAGTACACAGATACCTCTGCAAAGTTGACAGCCTCATAAACATAAGTGAAGTTCATTTCAATTCCCCCTCTAGCTTTGACATTCGATATCACAGGGCCTCACGGTTTTCCTCACCGGCAATAACAACAGCTGATTTTAACTATATGCCACAGGGAACAGAGAGCTAACGGCTTTAGATGTGTTTTCATATGAGACTGTAGATGGTGTAACTCTGCGTAACCAGGTTTCAAAGACTAAGTTTGATCACTCTAGATCTAAACATAGCTCAAATCAGTGGTTGCAGTTGGGTGCAAATCTCTCTGCACCATAATTATGGACAGTCTGCTGATCCGTCTTCCTGCATCTCAGGAAACGCAACTCATGCCTTCCTGTACGACATACCGCACACAGACAAGAAACACAAGTGGGTCAGTTTTGGGAGCTGCATTGTCATCGCAGGGTCTGGCATTGATGGAGCTGCGGCATTCCAGACCACTCATACATTTTGATTTAGGTCAAACTAAACAAAGGCATCACTTGGAAGACTGACTGACCGACTGTCTCTCGTTAAATTTATTCCCTGACTCCCCCTTCTTTTCAGGAATGCAGTTCATAGAGTTATTATGATCATGAGCTGTGTGTGCAGTGGAATTTTACCATGTCTCCCCTTCTCCGCATTCTCACAGTCTAATGTGCAACGTGTCCAAGTGGTTCGGTTCCAGTAAACTCGAGTTGTGAGTGTACAGTGGCTGCATTGATGTCGACTCAGGGAGAGGAAGACTGCATAAACGCTGCTGCAAAATGTCACATCAGTCTCAGTGTTTGATAGCTTCTGATGACATTAAAGCTCTCAACCATGCATATGCTAATCCTTGGACAAAGTCAGTTAGTAAGAGTCTGCCATCCTGTATGATTGATCTTTAGAGATAAATATTAAGGGAGCCAAGGTGAGTGCAAAGATGTGGTCAAAGAGTTTTCTATAATTTATTCAAGTCTGGATGATATACAGTACAGGCCAAAAGTTTGGACTCACCTTCTCATTCAATGCGTTTTCTTTATTCTCATTACTATTTTAATTGTAGATTCTGAGTGAAGGCATCAAAACTATGAATGAACACATGTGGAATCATGTGCTTAAGAAAAAAGTGTGAAATAACATGTATTATATTTTAGATTCCTTAAAGTAGCCACCCTCTGCAAACTTTTGCTGTTCTCTCAATGCGCTTCATGAGGTAGTCACCTGAAATGGTTTTTACTTCACAGGTGTGGCTCGTTATTAAGCCATTACAGAGCTTGATAACAAGCTGAGTATTTGAATCAGGTGTGTTGGAGCAGGGGAACATCCAAAACATGTAGGACAGTGGGCCTCGATGACTGGACTTGAGAACAACTGAGCTGAAACATTTGTTGACGAAAATGAGTTTTTGGCCTAAATCATCTCTTGATAATGCTGACCATCTCTGGAAAAATCGCCTAAATCCTTGTTTGGAAGGAACATGGCATGCCAAAAACTCATTTTTGTCAAAAAATGACTTAGGCCATTATTTTATTAGGGTGACAATGTGTGTCATGTATGTTAATGTCATCTGTGCACCAATATGAAGTTTTCTAAAGAATTAATTATGCATAACGAAGTATAAGTTGTGCTTTAAATATAAAAAAATTCACAGTTTGATACTTTGCACACATGTGGAAGAGCATAATATCGAAGTAGACAGTGGTGTTACCAAGGACTAGGTGAATAGTATAATTATACATAATTAGGTGAGTAAAATGAAGGTTTTAAAATGTTAAATTAAAATATAAACTCTTTGAAAAACTCTGTAATAATGACTGTATAAAAACATCAACCTCTTGTATACCTTGTCCAATCGGTGCCAAATTAATTCTTAATTCAAAGCAAAGTTCTGTTTTGATTCCAGCTTTTATACTCATTGTACCATTTGCCAGTCTGGTGACGTGAATTTTTCACCCCCCAAAAATTTGATTGGATGGGCTTTGCGACTGTTTATTGTTTAATGCCTCTTGCACCCCATGAACAGAAGTTCCAGTCTTTGAACCAGCAGATACTATGTAGATAGAAGACAACGTTTCTCTCTTCGCTGCGGGACAGAAAGATTCAGAAGAACTTTTGTACCCACAGCCATCAGACTTTACAACTTTTGTAAATAGTAGATGACTTTTTGACACATGACAACTGAGACTACAGACAATTGAATTTCCCTTCGGGTATAAAATAAAGTTATTCTTATTTTCATTCTTAAATCCAGCCCTTTCTGGTATGCATATCACTCCGCGTCTTTCTTTCCTACCACTATTCTTCTGTATTCGTTGCCCTATTTTTTGGTATAAAACACCACAACAAGCTGGCTTACTGTGTTTTCTTGCCTTTTGAGTCATTTTAAATCAGTTTATACTTTCTCGAGTCATCTGAAAGAACACTGGATTAGATTTAATACTTTGTTCTGACATTGGCATCTCTTATTTTGAAAGCTATGCAGTTAGGGACAGCAGCTACAGAGAAGCAAAAAATTTCCCTGAGGCGTCTCAAGGAGGGTTGGGATGGATCAGCACAGACACATAGCAGCAGAAATCTGTGCTTACCTTGTTCCTGTCACCATCCTGCCTTCTTTTTTACTGGATTTATTTTTAGAGGCCGACCCCTGACAGGAGTCTGGCCTTGCCCGACTTCCCACTCTTTTCCCTCTTTGCAAGCTGCCGACTGCTTCAGATGTGTGCTTTTCAAAAGAAACTGTGTCCTCCCGTGTTGCCTCATAAGTATCCCTGTGACCCTGCAGTGTTTTGTCTGGGCTTGTTTTTAAGTGCAGTGATTGATGAGTACTTTTCGTGCCTTGTCTTTTTCTTTTTAGGTTGTTTACAAAAGGAGACAAGGGGGAAATGGCACTCTGCTAGCACAACAAGAAGGTGGATGAAGACTACAAGAAAGACTTTCAAGTATAAACCTGTTTTCACTTACGATTTTTGGATTAATTGAGAACAGATTACGTGATTTCCTGTCCATCTTTACAAGGAAATTCCTAATGCATTCATCAATGGAGAACTGAGGCTGAGCTGTCACTTGCCCCCCTCTCAGCATGCTGGCTCTGAGGCTGGAGCAGGGCAGGCAAGGGGGCGGTGAGGCTGATCGCCTGCAGACAGGGGCCACCGTGGCTTGGCAAGGCCGCCAGTCGGGGAGGCCCCCTGCTCAAGAGCGGCGCATTAACATCAGGGAGAAGATCTCCCAGTGGGAAGGTCGCAGTCAGCAGGATGCCGGGGTCAAAGCTCACCCTCCGACTGTATCCCGGAGTCTCTCTGGGGATGTGTTAGGCAACGGGTGTTCCAGCGAGGGATCAAGAGGGGGACCTCATGCTAAAACAAACCTCTCAAAAGCTAAGAGCTTAGATTTTCGGGAATCCCCATCACCAGCAGGACAGACTGTGGTTGGTAAGGGGTCAGAGCCTCCACAGAAATACTCCACTGAAATTTCAACCTCAGGAAATAAACCACTAACAGCACAAAAACATTTTGAGTCCCCTAAAGTTGGGGCTAACATTGCTAACTCTACAATTAAACAAGTCACCACAAATGGTGACCATAAAACGCAGCGCATCATTGACATTGAAGTAGTTCCCAAACCTCTACCTCCATCAACTGATGACCAAGACGACAACATGCCAGCTGGAAACTTCTACACATCTCGGGGTTTCTGGCGTAAGCTTGAGGGGGACAGGCTGCTCTGGGAGAAAGGCAAGGACTCTTCAAGTGAACCTCAGCCTCCTCCTAAACCTCGGCGGACATTCCAGTATCAGGGATCCAAAAACAACAACAACACTAGGCACACATGTCGCTGGGACAACAAATCCCCTCAGAACAACCGCTCCACCCTGAGAAGAAGCAGGAGGGTAGCCCAGCCACCCAGCTTCCCACCTCCTCCGTGCCCAGGAGCAACAACCAACGGGCTTTCAAGGCATAAAAGGAACAGGTAAAGCTAACATCCTACTTAAACACTTGATGCTAAGAAAAATAGCTGTTCATAAATCAGTCTGAATCCTAAAGAGAAACAGTTAGTTCTGTATCAAACATGTCCTTCCTCTTACACTGCTTCAAACACTCTTTTGGTATTATTGAACATGAACTCAGTGTTTTTTAGGGCAGTGGGGAGGGGTACCTTGTCTAAAGCTGGCTGGGGTCCTAATGTGATGTCACACGATATTTGGCAGCATTGTTCTCTATTGTTTGGAAGTGGCCTAGTTCCTCAACAGCCCTCACACACACACACACACACACACTCTCACTCCTACTGTCATCTGTGACGGCTCAGCAAAACAAGACGAAACAGTGTAACCCCTGTACAGATTCCACTTTGGATGAAATAGTTGTTAATCATAATATTGTCTTACAACTCAAATGGATAGTAATAATAATGTGACTTTCTGTGACCCTTATATTTGCTTAGTGTCAGTAGCATCCAGACACTGTCCAGGATTTGGTGACAAAAATGATAGAATAGTTCAAAGTCTTATTGGTATTATGATTTTGAACGATTATTCCATCCATCTGAATTTTCACCTGCTTTACAGTCTCTTACTGTGAACACAGAGCAATGCAGGAGCCACAGTATAACAGGCTGGATGCATTACAACACTAGTCTCAGAGTCAACATTCAGGCCCTGATTCTCCAAAGGTTTATGAGTCTTTTGCGCCCACTTAACCCGTGCAGGTGAGACAGAAATATATCCTCTTATTCACAGAGCCAAAGCAAAAGGTTTAACACTCTACGAACTGTGCTGCAGAGAAAGTAGCGTCACTGTTCACCAGTGTTGTTTGCACACATTTAAATGAGCCATTATGCAGCATTAAATACGCCCATTTTATGCAAATGAGCCTTATTGTAAAATACATGTAACTCAGTCAAACTAGCGCTGACAGTTTCAGGGAAACTTTCACTGTCTGCTAAGAGCTGGTGGTAATCGCGCAGCAATATTCTTTAAGAGTTGTCACACTCATTTCTTCAGTGAGTGAAACAACATTTCCACCTCTGGATAACGAACGTAAAGTCTGTCTGTCTTTTGCCCGACCCCTGCACACTCAGGTGGTGCAAGCGTGCAAGACAGTCATTAGAATGAGGATGAGGATAGAATGAAACATCTTTGGGATTAGCGTGCACAGAGCAGCTCTGCGCAGCAGAGAGTGCAGGTGCTCATCTTCCTCACAAAAATAACTGAAATCCAGGAGCAACTAGACAGAGATTTGAACTTGGTGTGGGTTTTTTGTTCTGTAGTATCATTTGTTTGCTTCAGTGAATAAGAACTTAATATGAAACTGATAGCAGCGCAAACAATGCACAATTCTCAATGCCCTTGGAGGCCATCATACATAATTCATTCTTGATGAATTCCCTCCTCAGTTCACGAATTGACAGGTTTAGAAAAACTAGGGATGTCCCAATCTGATATTGATATCGGTCTGATATCGGCAAAAAATGAATATTGGATTATATCGGCCTTTATCTAAAATCTCAGATATCAGCACTCCGACACAAGCTGTCCATTCCAGACTCCACTCTAGCACCTATCTAGCAGTTCCTGGATCCAGCATGGAGAGCCCACATGATCACAACAACAGTGTGTACTAAGGTACTACCAAAGTAGCACGGAGTAGGAGTGATGTCAGCCATGTGGCAGTATTTTTCATCTAATTCCAAAAAAGACATTGCAGCAGAGTGCAAAACTTGTCATGCACAAGTTTGTGCCAATATCGGATCAATATTGGTATCAGCCAGTACTAAAGGCTACAATATTGGAATCGTATTGGAAGTAAAAAAGCTGCATCGGGACACCCCTAATAAAAACTGCTGGTAATTAAAACTGTTTGATATTTAAGTTGGTGACTTCCAGACAGTGTCACGAGCTTAATTTGTACTAGCTGAAAGCAGGTGGTAATATAAAACTCGGATGAATGTGCATCAACTTGTGTGCAAGGTAAAACCGAGAGATTCATGTGGATAAAAACAAATGTATTTAGGATGAATGTATACTGAACGTATACGGACGTTGCATTTTCTTGCCTACCTTTGTGTGATATCTGATACCAAATTGGGCTGAAAGGAAACCTACATTGTGGACCTAATTCAGGCAAATATCTCAAGCAGATAGCTCATGCAAACTTTAAAACAGACAAACCAAACATCTCAGGCACACCCTAAGACCACAATTACAGAAAACAAAACACATCTTAACTGAATCTCTTAAATAACAGGGGTATAAAACTATTCACACATGAAACCACATGTAGGCTTTTCAAAATATTCATCACAGAGAAAATGTCAGAGTAATAACTTCAAGATGAAAAGAATCAGCCTCACTGTAATAGAGTTGATCAATATTTGTTGGTCATCAGTGAGCTTAGATCTGGTGTTTTGTCACTGTCTTTGATTCTGCTCCCTGGGGAGATTTTTGTAGGTTGGGCGGCTCCCCATATTAGTGTGAATTATCACAAGCTGCCCTACACAATAGTTTATCCACCCAGTTGAATAGTAAAATATCCCAGTTGGATGGAAAACCACTTACAATGGACCAAAAGATTATGTATTTAAAACACGAAGACCCTGGGAAATGAAGGGTCTGTTATCCTGTAACTATGATTTTTAGCTACAGAGGTTTTTTGGAGACAAAGCAGTATTAACCCCACTGTAAGATACCTGAGTAAAAAGACTTTAAAAACCCTCAATGTTCGGCGTGTTTCTGTCCTCTTGAGCAGTCAGTGTTGCATATTTGTCTTTCTTTGCTGAGTTGATGTCTAAAGATTATCTCTCACTTACAGTCTCTCTGCATGTCTGTACAAAGTTAGCAATGCTCTCTGTCCTGGTTTGTTTACCAACTTCAGAGGAAGCCACAAGGTGTCATTTACTCTTGTACATTTTGAAATGCTTTCACGGGGATGGGTATTACATCACACTCAAATGATTCATGCTGCAGTCTGTCTGAGGCACTTCGCCAAATTAGATGTTATAAAAAGAGAAATGAGAAATGAGAGTCATGGAATGAAACTTGCACTGAACTCGTACTGTCTTAAATGACAGTGAATTTGCTGTAAATTGAAGGAAGTGTGTGTTTTTCTTTTGAAGTTGTTGTCAGTGAGGAAAGCTGCACAGTGACCTAATTTTTACTGGCAGTGAACATTGTCATACTGTCAGCTGCTATCTCTGTCAGAGTGTTGTCAAACTCTTTTTCCTTACTGTCTAAAAACTGTTGTACCATATGTTCAGTCATTTCCTCCACTGACAGTTTATCTCACCCTCTCTCTGCCCTGCTGTGTGTGATATCAACAAAAGGAAAAGTTGTGGTATTATGACAGCTTCATAGAGTGAACAATAGTATGGTGTCTATGTCTAGGACAGCAACCATGCCTCTCTTTTTCACTTCCCTCCCTTCCCTCCCTGTCACAGGAAGTCGTTTGAGTATGAGGATGCTGCGCGTTTGACGGCGAAGCAAGGCACTCTGGAAGAGGAGGCGAGGGAGTCAGGCCTTTACCACGCATACTCTGATGACAATATTTATGAGGACATTGTTTGTGAGTTAATGTACCAGCATCATTTAAACCAGTGGTTCTCAAGTCCAGTCCCTGAGGCCCACTATCCTGCATGTTTTGGATGTTTCCCTGCTCCAACACACCTGATTCAAATGATCAGCTCGTTATCAAGCTCTCAATGGCTTAATAACGAGCTAATCATTTGAATCAGGTGTGTTGGAGCATGGAAACATCCAAAACATGCAGGACAGTGGGCCTCGAGGACTGGACTTAAGAACCACTGATTTACACTGACGAGGGACTGAATGTCAGTGAAGCATTGATCACTGCTATTTATCTTTGAATATTACCATGAATTACAAGTTTCACACTAGCTTTGTTAAACAGAGATTAATGTTCAGTCTCTGCCGTTGCTTAGTTGTACAGTTCTTACACTGAACGCACAACCTGGTAGTAATTTTTGTAAAAGTTTTGTCATTTTAGTTTTTCTACAGTGTGTAGTTAATTATGTTGAATTAGCCCATCATATTCTATCATACTGTTCACAGACCTCTGAATTAAGCTTGATAAAAGTGGTATTACCGCATACATAAAGCACAAGAGACTCTCCACCAAGGCTTTTGTTTTTTGGCACCCACAACCTCAATTTCAGAGCACATCTCCCTCATGCTTATCATCAGTCCTTGGTTATGAAAGCTGTTCTACCATTAGCAGCAGCTCTACATCTGGAAAATGTAGCATGAAAAACCATTGTGGATAGTTCCCCACCATAGACTGTATATACTATGGACAACTTGGTTCCGCCTGTATACGGATTTGAAGCCAAAAAGCTCTCTATATTTCCGTGATTTTTCAGCATTTCCTGAAACCAACACTGCACAGTAGTGTTGTACGCATTCGATGAGAGAGTCGCTGAGAGTCACTGTGATGAGGCTCGGCTCAAACAGTGTATCCCCCGGGTGAGCTACGCAATCCCTGAACTCCAATAGGCTGTATCAGGTGTCAATCATAGAAAACATGAACCCCCTAATAACTTTTAAAAACGGAGCTTCACAGAAAAAATTGGACTTGAGCACAAACCAGTCTTACTGTAACTACATGTCAACACTGCAAGCAAGGGGAAGAAAAATCTATATTCTGTGTAATAAATTTTTAAAGTTTGTCCACAGCCCCATAAGCTTTGCTGGTGGAGGCGGGATTTATGACCTTTACTGCAGCCCATCAACAGAGGGTGCTGTTCGCAGATTGGCTTCATCCAGCAGGGAGGCAGACGGTGTCCATTCTATATACAGTCTATGTTCCCCACTGAACAGCCGCCATTGTTGTTGACAAAATTGATACAAAAGTCCCTTCTTGATTCTAATTGGTTGGTAATCAGTGCACGTCAACAGGTGTGTCAGTGTTCCAAAAGTTAATAAAAGTATTTCAGCGGAGGACATAGCATTTAATAGTTTCTTGCTCGGGGTTAGGGGGCACTTCTGGGGCAACAAACAGCTTTGGTTGGTACAGCCTTTAACAGTGCAATTATCCAAACAGTCAGCATAGTATTGTACTGAAATATAATGAAATGATAATTTAAGATATGATAAACATCCACTCATCCTGACTCATCCCTCTAAACACTTTGTTTTTTCCCAGGCGACGTGACCAGAGATAGCCCTTATGAGGACGTAAAGCTGTCTCCCATGTGTCTCCCTATTGCAAGGTCTCAACACCCAAAGGTGACTCAGGATATTCTTATGATGTCCCATTCACAGCACAAGTATTTTTGTCACCTGTGTCGCAAGTGATCCTTATCTAACCCCGGATTCTCAGAGGGAAGAAGGAAGTGTGATAATTTGATTTGATTTACTTATTTTAAACCAGATGACGACTAAACTTCTTGTCTTTCAGCTGCCTCCTAAACCCCAAACATTGCAGGGTTATGCTGGGAAAGTGGACAAGAAGAGGTCCCAAACTATAACTCCATCCAGATCCTCGTACCAGACAGAAACTCCCAAACCAGCTACAGCCCGACGAACGAGCACTCAGAAAACACAGAGGATGCCTCAGGTAAAGAATAAAATGATCTCTGTCATTAGTTAGTCATAAGTTTCCACTGTACTGACTGAGGTGATTTTCTATTACTACCATGTCTGTGAGAAGCAAAGTGGCATGCTGAATGATGAAACATGTGCTACGTCAGAAAGAAAAGAAAGGGGGCAGAGCTTTGTAGAGCAGGAAGAAGAAGACGCTGAAAAGAATAGATAGTGGCAGAACAACATGTATGAATGCGTCTCGAGTTCAGACATAAGTTTGGATAGACAACACATGGCTGTGAAAAGAGTGGGGACAGGATCCAACTTTGACGACAAGGTAGAGTAAAATAAAACGAATTATTCAAGTTCAGGTGAAGACTAGGAGGACAGTGTGGCTTGAAACCTTGTGTGACATTTGTATTTTGTGCACCAGCAGGTTCAGCAAATTCCAGTCATGTCTATTTTTAGAGTCTTTGTTGACTTTGTTTCTTGTCTTGTGTATTACTTTAAAAAAAAACAGTTTATCTTAAAGACCCACAGAGATTCAGAAACTTGAATAATATCAAAATGCAAAACATGATATTTAAGTTGCAGTAAAACTCGGTTTGATAACGACACTAACAACAGTAAATATCAATTTTTCTTCCTTACTACAGTCCAGTTTTCTTGGGGGGGTGGGAGGGTGTTATGGTTTCTTTCCTTGTACTATCCTTTGTTTGTCCTCTTAAAGACAAGTCTTGACTGTCATTGTGTGCCTTTGTTATGTGCTTGTTTTCAAGTCTTTGTATTAACCTGAGACGTAACATCTCTATTAAACACTTAGCCATGTTCTTTCAAAGCATAAAAGGCAAAACTACAGCAATGAAAGCATTAAAAAAAAGCTAAAATCTATGATATAATTATGCACTTAGTGGCTGTGATATCATGATTCCCTATAATCATAATTCTATAATGGCTGTGAAATTATGGGTCTGAAAAGTACCTGTGTTTGCTCTGCTGTGCAGTACGTCAACAAGATCGAGACCATCTTTGACGACAAGCGAGGGAGGAAGAGAGTAAAGAACCAGGGATTTTCAGTGCGAGGTAAGACACACATTTACACACAGATGGGCTCACGTCCCTCACATCACCACTTGAATGAGATTATGTGGAGCCTCTTGGTGGAAATACCCCTCTTTTGATGGTACGCACAAGGCCAGCTGCAGCCAGCAAAGCCACTGATTATGAAACAAAGGCTGACTGTCTGCATCTGATTATGGTTTCTTAAGTTGTTTCCATTCCCCTGCTTCTCCCTGATCTCTCCCTCCTTTAATTCATATCAACAGAGGAGACGAGTGGGACAGAGAGCGACCCCGAGGACAACACCAAAGGTATCACCAATGCCACTGATATGCTTTGTCTTTAATTTTCCTTTTCAGTGAAGAGATACATGTCTGATGAAACTTTAGCTTCATCAGTCAGCGCTTATTGTTGATGCTGCCACTATTAGCATTGTACTGCATCATAAATAAAATATTCTAAGAATCTGTGACCAATTATTTTTTTTCTTGAAACTTGTTATCTAACTTTAGAGATAGTTAATGCGGGTTAAGTTACATAATTCTGCCCAGTCAAGTGACAAACAACCACAGTGGGACTGGGATGTCAAATGTCAAACAAGCATAAAAATATTTTATTTGAATTTTTATTTTGGGTCTTTTCTTATTCTGAGGGGTCTTGTTTTAAATGGTATAGCTTCTTGAATGTAAACTTCTACTGTGCAGGGATTAACATTTAGGTTCGACTGTAGTTTAGGCAAACCAACAACTTGAAGATATAAGCTTTTGCTCAAAAAAAAGGAAGACAAGCTTTTATTAGACTATTACTGATCTTTGAACATTATATGATCAACCATGCTCCCTGCCAAAAGTGACTACTAGGGCTGTTACTTGGCAGTATGATGAATCTACAGCCACATATTGCAGTATGCTAAGTCAGGGGTTGTAAAGTCATCAGTGCCACAAATCTTTGAATGCAAACTGAAAGTTGTACATATTATTTTTTCAGAATCCGAACAGCCTCACAGAACCTAACTTAATAAGAGGTTTATCTACATTTCCTTTATTCTGTACTGTTGAGTTTTCGAGTTTAATATGCTGATTGTAATCCTACATTCTGTATGCTAATCTTTTGCAGCTGTAAATTAAGCCTTTAGCTACAATTTAAGCCCTGTTTTCACTTTCTTGATTTAACATTTTATTTTGCTCACAATGGCAAATAACAGGTAAAGGATTCATAATCCTTATGATAACCTCTATTTGAAAACGGTTGTGTCTGCTGAGCCCTATCAATGAATCCAATATGAAAGAAAGGCATATCCAAACAGACTTTTTAGTGAGAGCTGAAAAACATGGGTCATGGGACAGACGTTACAGAGATACATGCATGCAGTTATTTGTGATTGTCATTTCTGTTACTGTGTAGCTTTAAAACACTTGATATTAAAATTGAAAATCACATTCGCTGCTTTAGTGAGCTGAATGGGATACGTGTGAGAACGATCGTAAACATGCATTCATTGTGTGTTCTCCAGCAGGCTCCAGGAGATTAGTTTACAAACAGTCCACACTGAAACGCAGACCAGGCTACCGCACCCTGGAGAAGGACCTGATCCAACTGCAGCAGCAGCAGCTCTTCCAGATCTTTGTGGTGGTCTCACTAAGAAAAGGCTCCATGGGAAACACCTACACCCCTGAAATAACGCAGCAGTTCCCCAAAATGGTAAAAGGAGCTGTTCATGTGACTCCGTTTTTTTATCGAGGAGATAAATGCTGTTTCGTAATAGTATTTAAACTGGGTTGTTGTTTGCGTGCAGGGGACAATCTCCACCAAAAGTATAATCTTGTTTGGCAAAATGAAATAATGATGATTCTGATGATTCACTCAGGGGAATAACCTAGTTTAAATAAGTGAAGATCTTTCTTTTTTTTTTATTTCAATTTTTTTTTTTTTACATTTTAGAAACTTAAAAATAGAGTTGAACTGTTGTAAAACTTGGCTGTTAAAATACTTTAGATAAAAATCCTTTTAGAGGTATTTTTTTTATCCTCACACCCCATTATTTCTTTCCAATGATAGCATTATAAACCTGTGACCTGGTAGGCCATCCTGACTGGAGTAATGTAGGTTGCCAATGTTGTAACAGGACTCCCCTCTTTTCCAGTTTGAGAAGTCTTCTCGGCTCTCCAGAGAGGCTGAGGATCAGCTGAGGGTGATTCCTAAGTTCTGCTTCCCGGACTCACAGGACTGGAAACCTTCTGGACACATGCCAAGGTCTGGATGCACCTCATTCTTGTTTTACTATCCCAGCAGATGTAAACGAAAGAAAATAGCATCTTAAAGAAGGTAATACTTGAATGACTTGACTCTTGATCATCTTTCAAGATGTTTTCTTTTGTTGTCTTTAAACCTCTGATATGTTATTCAGGCAGTGCCCTCTGACTTTATGTCCTTAAACCTAATTTGGTTAAGTTTTACCACCGAAATTCAAGTTTAAGTATTCTGAGTAACTCTGAAGAAAGACTGTTAAAGACACATCCTGTAGGGAAATTTCAAAACCGCAGCAAGAAAAAGAAGACAAACCTACACACTCTAAGCAAAAGTTAAATAACCATCATGTTGACCTGACACAGACCTATGCACAGAAACATTGTGATCATCATCCTTTTCTGGGCTTTGAGACAGGCCTTTGTCTTTTTTCGTGACTCTGTTAGTGCAATGTCCTGATTTTCTATTTATATCCACAGCTGTCAGATATTACCCTGAAACTGTTTCTGCAACAACTGAATTTCCCCACAGGGATGACGAGAATCTCGGCTGATCTGATTAAATGTCTGAGTACTAAGAGGCACTGGGTCCTCTTCTTTTATTTTCTTTGTTCGGTTCATTGTGTAATTTAAGGTCATGGTTGTCAGACACATTGCTACACTGTTTTTCGACTCCTATATGCAGTAGAGCCCGTAAACACAGTTTTCTTAACTCATTAGGCTAGTTTCTGAATGGTTTACCCATGAGTTTTTTCAAGATTTTACCTTTTTTTCCAATTGTTACAAGGTATCATGGATATTTTAGACGTTTTGAGGCAGCAAAAAAAGAAATCAGTATTCATAACTGTGATCTCTTGTGTGTTCATGTCGTGTTTACAGTGAGACCTTCTCTTTTGTCCTGACGGGAGAGGACGGCAGCCGCTGGTTTTGTTACTGCCGTAAGATCTTGGTAAGTGTGGATGTGTTGACATTTGCTTCTGACTCATCGGCTCAAGTGCTTTAGTGTTTGTGCATATGTGTGTGTGTGTGTGCGCGTGTGTTTGTGTGTGTCATGACGTGGGATCCCGCCATGTGCTTACACAACATCTCAGAGGAGATGTGAATCAGTACATGTGAATCACAGACCATAAACCACTTCTGAATCAATGACAGAGTGCAACAAGAATTTTCCCCCTCTTTTGCCTCACAGGGAGAGCTGCTCCTCCATCTTTTTTTAAGACTCTTATAAAACATCTTTTCTTTTGTTGAAACTCTTTGTGATATCTACCTTTTCTATTTTTGTTTTCTGTTTGTATTATTGTGGATGTGATTAGGTTGTCTTGGACTTCGTTGCCCGATGTTATCTTTAGTGTTGGCAGGCAGACAAATCCCAACAGAGACCTCTGTGTTTTGACTTTTTGGTCAAGAGCTCACTGTTGCTGTCATGAAAATAGACTTTGGACATGTTGGCACTATCTAAACATCTATACAGCATGAGATAAAGTGCACAGATGCATTAAGGACATTTCAAACTGTCCTTGCTTGTGAAAAGGTGCATGATCCGGACACTGAGTATAGCACAAGAAACACAGTCTCTTAATTATTCAGAGGTGTGTTTTGGGCGTTTCTTTGTAACAAGTGGAGTCAAAGTGTTTTTAAGGAACCGCCTATGAAGGCACAGCTTTCTAATACAACTACGTGCCTTTTGAATAGCGTAAAAATACTGCGCTGTTCAAGATACAGAGTGTTGTATTTAACAAAACAAGCTAGGTAGAAATCGAGTTTGATATTCATAGTTAATTTCCTTCAATGAATTTCCCTTCAGGGATAAATGAAGTTCTTCTATTGTCTTGTTTTGTAGAAGATGTTTAGTGTATAATTACCTAGCTATAAAAATCACTCAGTTTTGCCAGCGTAGAATGATCCTTTTATACCGCCCCAAGCACTGCCCAGCTTCTAGAGCGGCACAGAATGATGGACAAACAAGTTACATACATGCTTTTGCATTTAGAGTGTGGGTTTTTTTGTCAATGCAACAGATGGAAGACAAAGAAGAAGAGACTGTTGCTGTGTATAAAATTTGTATTGATAGATATTGTTGAGGGTAAAAACTATAACTGTTATGCATCACAGGAGCTTCTTTTCCCTAAAGAACTCTGTCGCTTCACTAAGGCAGCGTTTTTGTCTAGACCTTGACCATAAGATATCTTATTTCTATAAGCTGTGCCTTTCACTAAAAAGTTAAAAAATTAGCTGAAAAACTCAAGAGCGGGTTGTAGCTCGAGGGTACAACTCCAAGAAAAAAATTCAGCAACGGTGCACCCAACCACAGCTCATTTTAAAACCAAAGATGAGTGCACCGATAGGCACAAGCAAATCTAGGTCTTTTCAATACTCTGTAACTGTTGTTCTGAATTTGTCATTGACAGTACTACTGTGCAATGTCCAACATAAAGATAGATGTGAGGAAAGTAGTTGATACATTTATGTCATCTTATCTACAAAGCTATCCTTTAAATGACCTTTGATTTGAATGCACAGTATCGGTATTAGCAGACAAGCGGAAAAACTGATTTGTCAGATATGAAATTGTCAGCCAATACATTATCACGATACTTGGGCCACAATGCAATAATATTATGATTTTTAACATTTTGTAATACAGTGAGTATTGTGATACAATTTGTTGCGATTTATACAACTTTTTTAACTGTTTAGCTAATTTAGCATTTGTCTTTCTTTTATGTTTGTCTTATTTACGCAGTATTTTACTTTCATGTAGCTCACCTTGCAAAACATATGTATTTGTTGTTCTAACTTTCTCCTGCTCTATGATGTCACCTCTGCCAACCTCACTGGACAAACAGTTGATTTTATTTTTCCATTATCACAGATTTGACGTCATATTAGCAATCAATTTGAAAAAATCGATTCTTGGTAAATGAGACGATACGATATATCACCAGACAAAATATTGCGGTACTATGCTGAATCAATTTTTTCTCCCATCCCTATAATACATACAGTGGATATGTTGAGACAATAATCATGCACATGTGACTAAGACTTCCACCCACCAACAACAAGCCTCATTATGTTGGCTGAATGGAAATAGTTTCAAGTGTTGGAAACAGACAGCGATCTAACAAGTGACACACAGGTGGTGCAAAGTGAGCAAAACAGCAGTCTTTTAACTCTGTCAAACTGATAGTTCATCTTAAGAACTGTTTACTGTAACAGCAGCAAAAGAAAACTTCCATGATTTATGGTCGAATCAAACGTTCTTTGTCATGTTTCATGTCTATTTCTAAATAGACTGTCACAATAAGAGTAACGAAATGTTATGAATATAACTTCTGTTCCCTGAAGGAGAGGAACGAGGTACAACACATATAGTATGGGATATCACGCCCCTGCGTGACCTGACTGAAGACACCTTTATTCACGCCTTTAAGGCAGATGATCTGTGGTGACGTCTGGGAGGCTCCGCCTGCACATATATACGTGTAACACCACAGTCATCCTTCAGTTCGATAGCCGCTCTTCACCGAGCTCTGCCGCGCAGCGGGGCAACCCAGTGTTGTACCTCGTTCCTCTCCTTCAGGGAACAGAAGTTATATTCATAACATTTCGTTCCCTTTCAGTCGATTCACTCGGTACAACACATATAGTATGGGACATATATACACGCCCCGCAGAGCAGCCACCGAACCGAAGTCAAACCTCCAAAACTTTTAGTGCATTGTAGACCCAGCAGAAAGGACAGCGTGAGCCACCGAAGGTGCTGTCACATCCAAACGGTAAAACCGAACAAAAGTGTGCGGTGATGACCAACTGGCTGCAGTGCAGATATCACTCACAGAAACCCCTTTAAACAAGGCCCAAGAGGCCGCCATTCCCCTGGTTGAATGTGCCTTCACACCTTGGGGCAACGGGAGACCCCTGCTGCCGTATGCTAAGGAGATAGCCTCCACAATCCAGTGGGAAAGCCGCTGCTTAGACAGCGCCTTGCCCTTGGCTGGATTAGCAAAACAGACAAACAACTGGTCACATAAACGCACACTCTGAGTGCGGTCTATGTAAGTGCGTAGTGCACGCACAGGGCACAAGGAATGCAACCTCCTCTGCTCCTCAGATGCAAATGGAGGGGGGCAGAAGCTCAGCAGTTCAAAACTCATAGAGCTATAGGCTGTGGGGATAATCTTAGGTAAATACGCCGCGTTTGGACGCAATGTAGCCTTAGATCCATCCGGAGTGAACTGGGTACAAGAGGGATGCACAGACAAAGCATGAAGGTCGCCCACTCGCTTTGCAGACGTCAAAGCAAGTAGCAGTGCAGTCTTGTATGAAAGAAATTTCATGTCTGCTGACTCAATAGGCTCAAATGGGGGTCCACCAAGAGCCTCAAGCACCAACCCTAAATCCCATGAGGGAACACTGGGTTTAAGAACAGGTCTTAGCCTGCGGACTCCCTTTAGGAAGCGCATAGCAAGAGGGTGAGCGCCTGGCGTCACACCATCAAAGCCAACATGGCATGCAGATATAGCCGCCAAATAGACCTTAATTGTTGAGAAAGAGAGACCCTTATCCAGCAGGTCCTGAAGGAATGTTAAAACATCCACAATAGAACTCTGAAATGGGAGTACATTTCGGTCCTGACACCACTGCTCAAACGCCCGCCATTTATAGGCATATAGGCCCCTAGTAGATGATGCCCTTGCACTCTGGATTGTTGCCACCACATTTGGGGGCAGACCCTGAGCCATTAAGTTGGACCTTTCAACAGGTAAGCATGTAGTTTCCACAGTTCTGGGCGCGGGTGAATCACCTCTCCTCCCGCCTGGGAGAGGAGGTCCCTGCAAAAAGGGAGCTGCCAGGGCCTCGCTACCAGCAGACTGATTATCTCTGCGTACCACGACTTCGCCGGCCAGCGAGGAGCCACCAGGATCAGGGAGAGCCCCTGCTGGCGCACCCTCTCCAGAATGGGCAGAATCATTTCCACTGGGGGAAAAGCATATAGCAGCGTGTTGGGCCATGGGTGAGCTAGCGCATCCATCCCCAGGGGAGCATTGCAGTCTGTTATGGAAAAGAACAGGGGGCAATGAGTATTTGCTCTGGAGGCAAAAAGATCTACTTCTGCCTTGCCGAAGCGGTCCCATATCTGAGCCACCACTAGTGGGTGCAATCTCCACTCTCTCACAAGAGGACCCCCCTGGAGAGAAGGTCTGGTCCAAGGTTTAAGTGACCCGGAATATGTGTGGCTCTGAGGGACAGAAAATGAACACTGCACCATAGCAACAGATAGTGAGACAGTTTTAACAGGGGAAGAGAGCGTGTCCCTCCCTGCTTGTTTATGTAAGAAACCACGGTTGTGTTGTCCGTCCTGATCAGAACATGATGGCCTGTCAGAACGGGACGAAAGTGCTTCAGAGCTAAAAGGGTAGCTAGTAGCTCCAGGTAATTGATGTGGAGTTTGCATTGTGCTGGCGTCCACACACCTCTCACTGCTGCGCCCTCGCACAGAGCCCCCCAACCCCTCAGGGATGCGTCTGTGGACACCACCTTGCGAAAAGACACCCTCCCTATCGGAGATCCCTGTTGTAGAAAACCGGGTTCTCTCCACGGGAGAAGAGCCGACATGCAAGACTGAGTTATCGTCAGCCTCCTCTGGAGGTGACGCTGCGCGCACAGCCGGTGAGACTGAGTCCAGCGTTGAAACGCTCTCATTTTTAACAGTCCGAGCGGCACTACAGCGATCATAGATGCCATCACGCCTGTCAGCTGTAAAATCGTCCGGAAACACAGTTTGCGTCCCAACTGAAATTGTGCAAGGCAGCGGTGAAACGCAGCCACCCTGCGTTCTGACAGACGTGCTCGGCTTGAAACGGAGCATATTTCCAGCCCGAGAAATGATACCTGTTGACTCGGAGTCAGTGAACTTTTCTGTAAATTTACTGAAAAGCCCAGTGTTTGGATGTGCGATAGGGTCAATGACAGCTGAGCCGCTGCTCGCTCTCTGGAGCTCGCGATTAGCACCCAATCGTCCAGATAGGCTAAGATGCGAACACCTTTCTCCCGTAGCGGAGCTAATGCCGCCTCGACACATTTGGTAAATGTTCGGGGGGCGAGTGATAAGCCGAACGGCAGCACCAGGTATTCGTAGGCTATGCCCTCGAATGCAAACCTTAGAAACTGCCTGTGGTCCGGATGAATTGCTACGTGAAAGTAAGCATCTGTCAGATCGATAGTTGTAAACCAATCTCCCGGTCTGATCGCGCCCAGTAGCTGTCTGAGTGTTAGCATCTTGAACCTGTAGGTTCGTAGGTATTTGTTTAACACTCGCAAGTCTAGGATAGGACGGAGCCCTCCTCCTTTTTCGGAACAACGAAATAGCGGCTGTACCAACCTTTGTTCGTTTCCGAAGCGGGAACAACTCGTATCGCCCTCTTGTTCCACAAGTTGTTTATTTCTTCCCTCAGCACTGCTGCTGCTTCCTCTGCTACAACTGTGTGTATTACAGAGTGAAAGCGAGGCGGCCGGACCCTGAACTGTAAGCGGTAGCCGATGGCAACAGTTCTCTCTACCCACGGTGAGACTGCGCATGCGCGCCACCGAGAGAGACGAACAGTCAGTCGACTGACCTCCAGTACTGTGGGGGAGGGGTTGTCGCCCCCTAGCGTGCCGGCTGGGAACGGCAACACTTTCTCGCCCAGACTTGATTGATTCATGATGTTTTGAGAACAAAACGAAACCTTTATTTGATTCAAAGAACATACATTTGTGACATTCACACAGTGAACAACAGGCGCCATTATTGGGGCATGTGTATGTGAGGGGGGGTTGTGCTTGGGAGACTGTGTTAAGGGAGTGCAGCGCCTCTCGGGACCGGACCCCTGAACGAACTTTAAACGCGGCCTCTTTGGCGGCAGAAAATGAAGGGCGGCAGTGTCTCCGTGCTGCTGGCCCTCTCGAGTCGATCCCGAAGCTAGGATGACTGCTGCTTCTTCTTCCTGGGCGCCGAGTCCCTCCGGAAGCTCGGTGGCGGACCCTTGTTCCAAGCCGAAGGGCGTGGGTTCTGACCGGGTACATATCGCTTCACCGGCTGGGGCCCCAAGCTGGCGGGCGCTGCAGTCCTCTTAGGGGGAGGCGCTGGTGCCGGTTTGTGCGGATAACCCTGTTGTTTGGGCCTCGCATCACGCCTGGGGATGATGCTTCTCAAAGCTTCGGTTTGTTTTTTCCTCAGCTCAAACTTAGCTTGAATGTCGTCGAGGGACTGCCCAAACAAACCGCTGGCCGACACAGGCTCGTCCAGATAAACCGCTCTGTCCCTCTCCGGAACGTCGGAGAGAGTCAGCCACAGGTGCCTCTGCGCCACCACCGTGGAAGCCATGCCTCTACCGAGAGACAGCGCTGCACAGCGGGACACACGGAGGATGTAATCTGTGGCGACCCTAGCTTCATTGAGGAGAGGAGTAAGCGGACTGTCAGGAGGCATACGCGAGCCGAGTTCTGCCAGACACATAGCTTGATATGTCTGAAGCATAGTGACGGAGCTCAGTGCACGAGCCGTATTTGCCTGTGTCCTGTAAATTTTATCCAGCTGTGACGCTGAAAATCTACAGTGCTTGGATGGGAGCGTGATGGGGCCACCGACACCGTGATTCTGGGCCGGGGCCAGATAAGCTGCCAGGGACGCCTCCATAGGCGGAGGGTTCACCAATCCAGCTTTTTCAGCTCCATCTAGATCCAGAAACTGTCCACAACCGGGCACTGTGGCGCGGGTGGACAGCGGCTTGTTCCATGTCGAGGTTAGTTCCGCGACAAAATCCGGGTACATGGGCAAACTGTTCTTAACAGTCGTCGGTTCGGGTGGGAGAAAAAACCCTGTGAACCGCGACGGTTTTTGAGCTGGAGGAGGAGAGGGCCATTCTACCTCCAGTTTCTCAGCTGCACGGCGGTACAGTGAGAGGAAGGATGTGTCGTCCAGATCAACCGGCGCAGCAGCGGCGGCATACTGACCTGAAGACAACGGCTCCAGCTCATCTTCCGAAAAACCCTGCACGTCCAGGCCGATGTCCAGCACGTCATCGTCCTCCTGGTAACAAGCTAGCCCGGATAGCGGCTGGCCAGCGCCCTCGGAGGGGCCCGGCTCAAACCCAGCTGACCCGTCAGCACACTCCACATGGTCTGCCCAGCTTCCAACTGAGCCTTCGACCAGAAAGTCCTCACCACCGGACTCGGACGAAGCCGGGTCTCTGGACTCGGAAAGGAGGGGGTCGTGCAGCGCAACAGCGGTTTTTCCAAGAATTTTCTCCACAAACTTGACCCGCCTTCCCAGGGTTGAGCTCCGAAGCCGGTGACAGGACTCACACGACTCGGGCTCAGTCAACACCCTCCTGGCGTGGACAATCCCCAGGCAAACGGGACAAGCCTCGTGAAGATCCTTCTCGTGAAGGGAGAAGCCGCACCCCTGAGGACAGGGGCGAACAGAAGACTTCGCCTTCACCTTCATGGGCTTAGAGCTCATAACGAGACTCAAAAGCTGAACGAAATTAGCGCTCCGCGGGTAGCCGTAGGCTAACACCAACAGGGGCAGTTGAGCTAAAGTCGATCAAGCAGTAGCCAGAGACAAGACCAGGCTAATTTAGCAGCAGCTAGTTAGCCCGACTCGGTGTAGGTGTTTTCAGCGAGGTGAAGAGCGTAAGAACTGAAGGATGACTGTGGTGTTACACGTATATATGTGCAGGCGGAGCCTCCCAGACGTCACCACAGATCATCTGCCTTAAAGGCGTGAATAAAGGTGTCTTCAGTCAGGTCACGCAGGGGCGTGATATCCCATACTATATGTGTTGTACCGAGTGAATCGACTGAAAGGGAACAGGTTTATTCTAGTACAGAGGAGACTAAGTGGTATTTACATAAATGATTCAAAAATATTTGGCCTATTAGATATTCTGCACCCCTATTTTTTTAACACAGGGAAAAAAACACTTTAATTTCTGACTCTGATTGTACTCTGTAAATTGATGTACATATTTTATGGGTTTCACTTGTTTATTTTTGTCAAAAGTTTCTTTTTTGCTACTTTTTTATAACATTCGAACCTGTACATGTCTTTTCAGCCCAGTGGCAAAGGGAAACGGCTTCCTGAGGTCCACTGCATTGTGAGCAAACTGGGCTGTTTCAACCTGTTCGCCAAGGTAAGGCAACTGTACAATGCATCGACTCCCCTGTGTCTGCTGATAGAGGCCTTTGTGGGGACATGAAAAGAGCAGGAGGTGCTAGAGTTCAGTGGTAATCCTCTTGAAGTGTATCATAGCTGCCGCCTTGAAACTTCGTGTTTGTATTTTGATTGAATGAGGCTGCACCAGAGGATAATCCTTAGAAATCCCCAGGTGTGTATCACCAAAAAAAAAGAAATTGTATGCATGTAACTTTGTCCTGCCCATTTTTTCAGTTGGCTGAAGGAAATTTACAAACAGTGAAGTGTGAATGTGGCAGTCTGGAAAACTTCATTAACATGCAGAGCTGCATCTTGCCTGTGTTGTTTTGTTTAGAGTTTAATCAGCATTAGTTCCTTCAGGACACAAACAATGATTTCTTTGCCCCCGTCTGTCCAGATTCTGGAGGAAGTGGAGAGGCGCAGGGAGATTTCCCCGGCGCTGGTTTATCCTTTTATGCGTAGCGTGATGGAGGCCCCATTTCCAGCCCCTGGTCGCACAGTCACAGTGAAGAGTTTTCTCCCCGGCTCTGGGAATGAGGTAACCCTGAAACCAAAAGAGGAAATGTTAATTAGTAGTTGAGTTCCTCCTAACCACTCCTTTCTGCAGAGTTGGAGTGACTCAGACTGTGAGGTTATCTGTGTAAACAATAGGGAAAGTTTTTTCAGCTTAGAAGGGTTCATTTTTGGACAGTTATACTTAACCAGTCAACAATAATCAGATTCGTCATCGTAACCATAAAGTGACTCAAATAAGTGGAGAAAGCGCCCCTCCCTTAGCGGGAAATGTAACAGAATGATTACTTTCTTGTGTTTCAGCAGTAAAGTCACAACCAGTTCAATTTTTAAGAAACTTTTAAACAAATGTATTTCAGTACACTCAAGTGTCTTTACTCACAAGCTTCAGGCATTCATTAAACATACAGCGTAGTGCAACCAGTGAAAACAGATAGAGCCTGTGATACTGTATTTACACTGTAGCCTGACTGCATGTGCTCTTAACAGGTATTGACTCTGTGTCGACCGGTGGACTCCAGACTGGAGCACGTGGACTTTGACAGTCTGCTGCAGTGTCTCAGTGTCGGGAAACTCCTGCAGGTGTTTGCCTCCATTCTGCTGGAGAGGAGGGTTATCTTCGTCGCTGACAAACTCAGGTACTGCTGCAAAAACTTTTTTAATGGTTTTAATGGAAAAGGAAAATATTGATGTAATGTTCAGAGAAGAGAGTGGCAGGCTAGCTTTTTATAGGACTTGACCCCCCGACCCCCCATTTATGTTCAATTATAGTTAATGCTTGATTACACAAAGGCTGAGGTAGGGCTGGGCGATAAACTGCAAAAACTTACCGATACCAAAATTTACAACAATAACTTTTGCCCATATTGGTATATTCGGTGTCAAAAAATTTAATGATTAAATAAATAAAAGTTGTTTTTGGATGTGTGTAGGTAGGCTATGGTCTCATGTCCCTTTAAGATGCTGTCCTATGTCAGAGACGTGACTCCACCCAATCCAGTCAGTAACAAAGAGGTAAAGACAGGTGAAGAGATGGAGGACGGTTCAAAAGTTGTAGCGGCTGAAACGGCAGCTGAAGTAGACAAAGTTAATGTGGGAGGGGCTAAGCAGCTTGTGGAGTAGTTACCGTCCATTTATCCTTATCAGGGTGAACTGCTCAATATATTGTTATATTGATTTGAGGCCATATTGCCCAGCCCTAGTCTGAACCGTGCAGCATGGTCTTAAAGAGCCACGGAACACCTTGTTGCCACTACTGTAAAAACTTAACAAATGATTTTAATGGAAAAGGAAAAGATTGATGTAATGATCAGAGAATGGCAGGTTAGCTTTTTATTGGACTTAAGCCCCCTCACCCCATATATGTTCAGTTAAAACTGATGCTTGATTAAACAAAGGCCGAGGCCTGGTGACATTTATACCTGTGACCTTTTGTAGGGCTGTGGCAATACCACAAAGGCAAGTTAAGACAGGCTTATTTGAACAGCCCAATATCACTTACAGAGTGTCACTGGGCTCTTTCGGGCCACAAGAATAACAGGATCTAACCCAGCCCAAGCTCCTTGACACAAAGAAATGAACTCTGCAAAAAGGATAAACTGCATCGTTAAAGTAGGAATGAGAAGGATCTGTTGGTTGAAGAGAGGGAGTGGTGTTAGTCAGGACACTGCAGTGACTCTGGGAAACAAATGTTATTTTGTGTCAGTGTCATGGCGGTTATATTGTAAACCACAAATCAACACCTTCATTCAAACCCAACCCATGCTGGATTTGTATTTATCCAGGTGATGTCACAAATCATCCAGACCCATGTGGGCTCTATGAGATACACAAGACAGAAATATGACCCTGTCAATCCTTTTTTTTTCCTTTGGAGTGTCATCCTCACATGAAGTTTACTATTCATGGTTTAGGTCAGCACACTTGAGTCCTAGAGATTTACACACAGAAGTTTTTCTTATCACTGTCCAAGTGCAAACTCTCTGCAGATACAGACTCAGCTGCTTTTTGTACGAGTCTATATATTGCTTTTAGGAAAAGCAAACTCATTAGTCTGTTAATTAAGGACTTTGACATGTTAAATAGGGAGGTTTTAGAGGTTAATTTTCAAGATGTTTAAGGAAATCAGCAGTGCAAGTGCCATGCCAAGGTCAGGATTAGAAGGTTGATTGGGAGTCAGCAGAATGATGGGGGAATTTTTATGCTTTAAAGTCTGAATCTGAGTCTGAGGATTGTTATAAATCCTGCTGTATGGAAGTATCAAACATGGAGTTTGAAGAAATTGGTTAAAAATAGAAAGGTCAGAGTTGCATTTTTTTCAAAAGAGCCTATTAAAAGCTGAAAGACAAACTTTGACAAATATGAGAAATGACTCATCACTTTTTCAATCAGGAGGATATAACAGGGAGTGAATAGGAGATGAGTGTGCTGTTAAAAATATGCTGAGTTTGGCAGAATGTTTTCCAAAAGTCATGAAAGAGTTGAACTTCTGAAATTGACCAATTAAAAGGAAGTAGCTGAGGTTTTTTCAAAGTATGTTGGCAGTTTGTGTTGAAAGGACATGGCGTGTCAGCAAAACTAGTTGCAGTTAAAAAAGTTCGCTGAGTAATAAAGACCAGTTGTGTCTTTGGAGCATTTAAGTGCATGTATACTGTTTGCTGAAAACCACCAGGGCCACTTGCTTTAAAATGAGGTAGAATAGTATTAAAATGTCACTCGCAGCTATGATTGATATCCATGTGTCATATGATCAGTGTGGGAACTGAGAAGTGTTTGTGTGATTAAGCCTCTCTCTCCTCCCTTGTTCTCTCCAGTGTGTTGTCCCGGTGTGGTCATGCAGTGCTGGCGCTGCTCTACCCCTTCACCTGGCAGCACACCTTCATACCTGTTTTACCAGCCAGCATGCTGGACATAAGCTGCTCCCCCACCCCGTTCCTCATCGGGGTCCTGGCACCGTGCCTGCCAGAGGTGTTGGAGCTTCCTATTGAGGAGGTCAGTGAGAATAGAATTGCTTCTAATATTTATTTTGTGTGAAGAAATAAAAATGTACAATTATCTATTTACATTTCTCCCTGCAGATACTCTGTAGGGGAGGGCGATGTAGCGAAAATATCTGCAAGAGTTTTCATGACAGAATTGTAATCTTGATTTCATCACCTTTTGTTTTTATATTTATTTTAAGACTATTTTGCAAGCCTTGTGTTACCCTTAGATTTACAACCTTTCTTAACACTCAGTGGCTAAAAACAGCCACTAACATTGACTGCTGTAAAAACATATTGGATTCATATTTTTTCCAGATTTTTTTATATATCTCTTAATTAACTTCTGCTCTATTCAAAACTAGTAAATGTTTAATTAAGAATCAAAATTTTAACCCTTTAAGGACCCATTTAAAACATAAAGTCACTAATATTGGGAAAAAATGGGAGGAAAATTAGTGATTTTCATTAGATTTATTTTCTAACATATCAGTGACATTGTGTTTTGAATGGACCCTCAAAGTGTTAAAAAAATGTTTTTAGATGAAACATTTACTAGTCTTGATCAAAGCAGAAGTTAATTAAGAGATATATGAAAAAAAATTGGAAAAGAATATAAACCCATTATGTTTTTACAGCAGTCAAAGTTAGTGGCTGTATTTAGCCACCGAGCGTTAACAACAGATGAAAATTTTTAATTTTTAATGTTTTGATACTAGTCTAGTAAATTAATAAGAAACCGTATTGAAAATGTCCCCTGCACTCTTATTGGTCACTCAGTCCCTCCTGTCCTTCATGGCCTCAATAATCAGAATTACCCTGTTCAGTCTCCTTCACTCAAAGAGAGAGTACTGAAGGAGAAACATCTTACAGAGACTCAGCTCAGGCTCACCACATGTTTGTATAACCCTTGTTGCGAAACAGTGCACTGAGTAACTGTCATTCTTTCCTCCCTCTGTCCTCACAGGTGCTCATAGTGGATCTGTGTGCAGACAAGTTTGTCGTTCAGGTGTGTACACAGAGCCGTGTGCAGCAGGGAATGATGGGTGTGGTCCCACAGGGGAGGATGGCTTTGCCCACACTTGTCCCTTGTTTGCATTTGGAATGTTTTGAGTGTGACAGAGGGAAATTTATGCAACACCCTGAAGCACAGCAGATATCAGATCACACTGGATAATGTCATGACGTCAAGAACAAGGCAGTTTTACAGCTGATTCAGAAGTGTTGTTTTTCATCAGCTGACGTCTTAAAAGTGTTATTAATGTTCAGCCTGTTGGGGGTGTCTGTAGTGACTGAGTCTGTCTGAACTTGACTTAGTTCCTGTTTGAAATTTCAGTTAGGAAAGTTAATCTTTTTTGTCTCATTCCCTTCCAAAATAAGACTCAGTTCTAGTATTTTTACACCCATGACCTTTTTACACATCCTCTGGGATCTTAATGACCTAGTAGTACCAAAAAAAAACAGATTGCTCATGTGGTGGATCAGTTACACTGCAGCTGGGACTCAATCTGTACTGGCTGTAATGTAATTTAATGTGGCAAATGTACTCAAACAAAAAGGCATCCTCTAAAAGTTTCCACTGACAGACATTGTTGATCTTTTTGTGATTAAAATGAAACACTTACTGATTTAATCTTTTTCTTCGTAGACCCTGTTGACCAAAAAATTTCATTTCACACAGGATTTTCTGATCCACTGCTGTCTGTGCTCGTTAGTTTGAGTGTTTGTGTTGTATCAGATCCAGCCTAACCCTTTAAAACAACACTCACACAATGACAAACAAAAAACACGCCAAGCCAGCAACAGGACAGCAGCTTCACAGGCAGAAGTACAAACAGTAACGTTAGTCAGCTGTGGTCACTCTAGTTCCTGGTTAAGAAGATTATCTTACCTAAAAAAAAAAAAAAGGTTATGTTTGTCGAGGTCCTGTGTGTTGTTATGTAATGCATTTTGAAACAGTGATCCATGTCAGTCTGTGGCACAAACAAACACTTTGAGTGGACTGGACACTCTTTGTTTAAGTGCATTTAGCCCAAAAGATAATGCTGCAGATCTAACAGTGAGTCCTTAAAGCTCTGGCTAACAGATCCACTGGAGCAATTACATGTCTGTCTTTATTAAATCCTCATGTGAACTCTAAATATGTTTAAAAAAAAAGGCTCAGGTTTAGTAATAACACTCTTTGTCTGTATTCAAACTATTCAAACAGAAACTTTTACAGACTGTCTTTAGTGCATCCATGTAACTGTTTTTCATTCCTGTGATGTGTGACAGCTTGGAGACGAAGATTGCATCCTGCCCAGCAAACTTCAGGCAGCCCTGCTGCAGATCCTGGAGGAAAGAGAGGAGATACTGAGACAGGATGATGCAGACAGATATGGAGGTTTGTTTGACATTTATCATGTACCAAACTTTATGTCACTCAGGTTTTTCCAGCATCCAAAGTTACTGATTACAGAGCCATGAAAGTCTCTACAGTCAATCATTTGGAGATAGCTTTTTTTTCCTCTCATTTGTGATGAATATATGAGGTCTTGTCTGATCACAGCAGCATCAGATCACACTTGCTGTTAGAACTCTTGTACTGCTCAAGAAGCTCTGCAGTTTTTGCAACAAAGAAAAGACATTTGAAAGTTTTGGTCAGCATCATGTAAACAGATCCTCTAACAGGTCTCAGACCGCTGCAGGAATGTATGAAAACACATCTGTTAATGATATGTACTGCCATGTTTTGGAGTTTGCTCTTAATCCTTTTGTTTTATTCAAACTGTGGTCTGCAGGTCAGCAGGCTGACCTGAGCTCTTTGGTGTCGGAAGGTTTCGTGCGGTTCTTCGTGGAGCTGGTGGGCCACTATCCTCTCCATATGGTGGAGACCTCCAACGGGGGCAGGGAGCTGCAGCGCGACAGCTTCCGCAAATCTCACCCCTCCCGTGGAGTCCGCCAATTCCTGCAGCTCTTCATGGAAACTCAGATGTTTGCCGGCTTCATTCAGGACAAAGAGCTACGCAAGGGAGCGGGGAGAGGTGAGCGTGCTGATGTAGCAGTGTTGCAACGGTCAATCCCTCACTACCCCTAAAGAAAACTTGTTTTCCTCTCCACAGCTTTTGTTAACAGCTAATTTGACAGTCTACAGGGGACTATTTTCTGTATGTTTGAGACTGAAGAGTTCTGGAAAAGCAGAACAAAGTTAAACACGATTTCTTCACACTCAGTTTTGACCATTCACTGCAGAAGTGGCCTCACTGTTACTCACTAGTTTGTGGACTAAAGTTTGGCATTGAGCACTATTTTGTGGTACATCCTATATTGCTCAACCTGTGCTATCATCTTAGCTTAGCAGGATAATTATTTACAAGCTGAACACCACAATTTATTGAAAAAGATTACAAATTACCCTCTGAGATTTTAAAGTCAATGCTTAAACGTTTACCAAGATGATAAATATATATACAATCAGGCTGTTTTTAAAAAAGCAGCTTTAAGATACATAAGTTTGTGATACTTGTCTGTCTCTTTCTGTGCCTGTAAATGGGTCCAAGCAAAGTTTCTGCACAGCAATGAAACCTCAAAAGGGAAAAGTCTTACTGCTAAATAACACTGGTTGCAAAAAACGCCCTGAAAAGAAGTTTGAAACTTGAGTATAGAAGTCAGATGTTTTGGCTAAATTATCTGCTAAATACAGTAGATGTAAGTTGTTGTGAAATTTGAAAGTATTCCCAACATATGGCTTAAGTTAAATGAGCCACCTCCTGCACTTGGAGAAAAACAGAGAAAAATGTATTTCTCTGTGCATGCAAACATCAGAGTAATGAACTGTGTTGCAGGGAATAAAATCTTTTGTTATTGTAAGTTTAACATCTGGTTTTGCATTTTTTTTTCCCCGTCTTGATGGCTTAACATTTCCATTTTTCCTCTCAGGTCTCTTTGAGTTCAGAGTAGCTGAGTATTTGGATGCGTGTCCTGAGCCGGAGCCGAGCGGTGTGAACAAGTTTCTTAAAGGACTGGGTAAGTGATCCTCTGGCGCTAAGTGTTTATTTGGAGAGCCAATTCACAACAGCTAATTTTCTCCTTGTTTTTTTCAGGAAACAAGATGAAGCTCCTACAAATTAAATGAAAATCACCTTAAATGATAAATGAAAGACTTTGTAATGAAAACCAGATCACCTGCTGCTGCTGGACTTGCTGGGGAAATGAACGTGGATGAGAGTTTAATGGCTGGATGTGAATGAGGTTGTGAGGAGTTTGGATACAAGAGGACCCAGCTCATCTTTTAGTCATGTTTGCATATTTGAGAGTGGTGCACTTCTTTTTGGATCAGAACTGGAAAAAAAATGACATTTACTTTCAGGCATTAAATGATGCTAAGAATGATCCTGCAAAAAAGACATTCCTGAACCTCAATCCAATCAACATGGATGTAAATGTTTTCTTGTTACTTCAAATGAAAAGATGTTTACCTAAAACATGTATAGGCTTGACGTTTTGAGTCATTGATTTAATTAAAATGTTTGTAGAGTACATGAAACTTTGCCACATTTCAAACTTGTAAATACTTAGTGAAGATAATGTGCATGGTTCCAGCCTGATGCATATATTTTATTTTTAAAGTAAATTCAAAAGGGTATGTTGCATTCCTCTCAGCACAAACTGTAAAAAAAACTTTGTTTACTATTTTTTATTAGAATATTCAAAGTGTTAGACATCTCAGTTAAACCTCTCTAATCAAAATGAGAGTTTAACATTTCGAGAACCTGTTTTTTTCCCTCTGTCCTTTACCTTCTCTCGAACTGGATTTGTAAATATTTTTTACGTTTTGCACAATTTTGAGAACCAGTGTACAGTATTTGGAGTATTTTTATACTAAAGCATGATGTTTCATACATAGACTACTTTTTAAATAAATGGGTTCCCAAGGACAATGTTGTTTGCGTTGATTTTTTTACACAAATTTCCTAAATATGACTGAACGCTGACCCTATACGACCAATATGTATTCATGTTTCAGGCGCCTTTAATTGTAAATGAGATGGATGAGGGAAAATCTTGAGCAGATCACTAAATCAAGCTCATAAATGTTGGTGATTTTTATTTCATGTCTTTAATTCTGTTTATTCTATCTTACAAGGGCATACCACAACTCATCATACCATAACTTTAAGATTTACGTATTGTTGCACTGAAGGATGTCTCCAAGTTTTCCTTTTTCACTTACTTTAAGGGATTCGTTCACAATTTATAACAAATTGAAGGTGTGTTAATCACTCTAAATGGACGTACAAGACCTCAGACTGGACCATTTTACTTAAGGAAGGTTGAAAGTGAATGTAATATCCTCCACATTTGCACTCACCTGTGTTCTTTATGAAAGTTTGAAAGATTTTACTAACTGAGACCGTTCAAACTTTTGCCCTGTAACAAGGAAAGTCATCTATTATGTTATTTAATGTAACATTAGTTAATAGATTGAGTAATTTTATTATCACCTATTTTTTTCATGGCAAACTAAAGTCTTGTTTTACGCGAGTACAGACTGTGTATATTGACCAAACATAACACTGTTTAGGTTTTTTTTTTTGTTGCTGTTGTTGTAAAGCTAATTGTAAATGAGCTGTTATTGTAAATAAGCTTGTAATGTTAATTATTGTAAATCTACATTGATTAGCTGACATGCTTTGACCTTTGACTTTATTGTTTCTAGCCGGGATCCGACGCCACACAAACAAAAGGTCACGTGAGTCTTTAAAATAACGTCTTTACGGAGGATTAAGTTCGTCTGAGGGTTACTGAATTAGTTTTAGACACACCCGAAGAGGACCGAGATTAAAGATTCTTGCTGGACAGGTTTTTCAGAATAAGGAAGGCGCAAGTTCCTCTTTGGTTTTATAACTCACCAACTTCCCTAAATGATTTCCCACACGAATCATAACCAAAAAAACAGAGAACCGCTGACCAAAACCTCAGCACTTGATCAGTGAGGCTCGTAAATGTGATAAACAGGCTCACAGTAAACCTGGGAGACAAATATGAGGTTAAAAATAACTTTATAGTGTCCCTGTGAGGACTGCAAGAGCAGTCGTGTAAGGTTCTGCGGTATGTCCTCTCAGTGACCACATGAGGGCGCTGTCTACCCGCAGAGTCACTCTTAGAAAAGAGGCGTCAGAGCCGAGTCTACAGTCTCTAATCATTTTTTTAATGCATCAAATTATTGAATCACTCCGGTTTGTATTTGTATATCCTCATGTTTATCAATCACGCACTCAGTCAGGCTTTACTTCATCTATTTTTTATTTTTTACTCATCAAGAAGACTTAAATTGATCTTGGCCATATTAATATGAAACGTGCATACTAATAACAGCATAAAAGGGGAAAAAAAGTCTAAATAAATTGAAGCATTAAAACAAAAATAAAAGCTGTTAGGATAAACAGCCTTGTGTTATATTGGTTATAATAAATTAAAGTGCCAAAAATATTATTAAAAAAATGTGAGTGATGAGTAATGCAATGTAAATAAGATAATATTTAAGATAATACATTAACTAATTCAGCCATAACTTATTGCTTTTAAAAACCCAACACTTATTTACAGCCAATGTTTGCTGAAGCAACTTATATTAAACAGCTTTTAAGCAGCCATGGCTTGATGTAGAGGCATCATCTTCGTGTTTTAAAAAGATGCTGCAGCATTATTAAACAACTTAGACTCCTGTCAGTTAAATAGATAGATAGATATACTTTATTGATCTCAAACTGGGAAATTCACATGGTGAAGTTGGTGACATCTTATGGTGAAAATCATCACCATAAGATGTGCTTTTACATAATTTGGGGATCTCATCCTTCTTTTTTACCCTCTTTTTCCATGACTATTAGTAAAAAGTAACAACTTTAAGTGAATTTTGAATAAAGAGCTTTTTTAATTTTACTTTATTTTTATTTCACAAGTTGGCATTTCTACTTCAGGAAAATCAAAAGTAACCTTACCTTGACTTAAGAAAAAAAAAAAAGTTTCAACTCTTTTCACCTCTATTAAGGGCCTGAAGCTTTTTCACATTTTTAATACACCTTAGACAAAAAGAAAAATAAGCAGTGTCTTTCACCTCAATAACTGACTGTGCCCTCCTCTTGTTAAAGACTCATCATTACATAATAAATCCTGATGATAGTGACCTCATACTTCACATTTCGGGAAATCAATATTTCTACCTGATCAAATATTTGAGTAGGACTTTAATTTCCTCTTTGATTTGAAGTGTTGACACTACAATCATCTGTTTCAGAGTCTGCACGTGCTTATGCAACATCAGACTGCAGAGAGTTGCTGCTGTGAACCCCACAGATTCAGAGAAGTTCACATTTCTACTGTGGTTGGATACAAGTACACCCATAGTAATATCTCAGACTGACCGTGACAGAGTAGCATCTTATAAGATCAGATACCTCAAAGCTGTGATTTGTTCCTTTTGCAAATAAGTTCAGATAATTACATTAAAAATAATGAATTAAAGAGGAAAAAACTCACATATGAAGTAGTGCCTGTGGGAGATTTGGGTCTGGAGACACATGAACTAACAACAGGGTTAGCAAGAGAGCACCTGAACACACCTGGAGACATTTTTTCTGATCAGTCATGCTGGAATGATGAACTTTTGACCTTCAGGGTGCAGCAGAGAGAGACACACGGCAAAAGTGATCTTTAGTCACTCAGCGTAAAGACCAGACTACATTCATTATTATACTATTTATAGGGACTTCAATTCGATCCATAATAAGAGAAATTTGCAAACTTCTTATTAAACAGGCAGAAACCTCGAGCAGAAACAGAATCAGCTACAGATACAGTAGTGACCTCTCCCTGGCCACTTTGTCCAGCTCTTCTTAGGGGACTGGAGATGTTTCCAGGCCAGCTGTGAGTCATAGTCTCTCCAGTGTGCCCTGGGTCTTCCCTGTGGTCTCCTACCAGTGGGACGTGCCATGAACACTCATGAACACATGGTGAAACGGACAGAGATGTAAAATATGTAGATATGCTATATAATATTCCCATATATGAAATATATGGAAATATGAGGTAAAAAAAAAAAAAAAACTACAACATATGTGCTAATGTATGGACAAACTTTACATAAAACAATTTAAAATTGGAACAACATCACATATGCACATACATATATGTATGCTCCATACACATATATAGGTTTTATATATTTTAACACATATGGCCCATGTATTTCCTTTTATATAAACATATAATGCCATAGTCAGATTAAGTGTTTACAATCAATGTATATAACCAGCACATATAATAACCTATATGAATTTTTGACATAAATGGACTAATCATAGGCTACCATATATGAATTCAACATGTAACTTTTGTAATCTTGCATTCTAACATCTACTAATGCTATTAACATTTTATGTAAAAATATTTTTAAAGGCTATATCAAAGGGTTTTTGATACATATAATAAAAATGTTTATGGGTATTTTGATGTATGTATGTATGACTTTGACGAGCGTCTGGTGCTGGTTTAATCCTTGACAGTGTTGAATAAAGCGCTGTATTGAGGAGTTGGTGAAATGTTTTACTGATAGTGTTTACTGGTGACATCACCTTTAGCAACCAAATACTGCATGCAGCCAGCAGGGGGAGCTCTAAAAGCTACAGCTTCACTTTATTGGCATTTCTGTCCATATTCTCATACAGTTTATTCCTGAACTGTTTCATTTTTGACACTTTTTTAAATGAAGTTTCTGAATAAAATGCTTCCAGATCTACAAAATGTTGGTTTTGCTGCTGAGAATGCACACATAAATCCGAAACCAATCGATTGACCGTGTGACTCTGGTGCCTCGAGGGCCCACATGGAAATTCAGCCTCTGTCATATTTATCTTATTCAAACTTCATCATCAGGACTCTTTACTTCACTGAGACAGACTGTTCTGATATGACAGTCGGGATCAAATTTTTTCATGTTTGAGTAGATCTGAGCAGGATCAGGACTCCATAATGGTAAAAAAAGCTAAAGTGAGACTGTAGTCGCCTGACATTGCAAAATCATGTGGGCATTTCAACAACTTTTAATACAAATGTCCTCTTTTTTAAGATGGTGTGAAGCAGTGGAGAAGGGATGCTGAGACAAAGAGGGCTTTTATTTGTAAAAAAAAAAAAAAGACTGATGTGGACTGAAGAGGCCTCAGATCAACTTGAGGTGAACTCTGAAAGAGCATTTTCACACAGAAAGATGACTGTGGATTTGGGCTCTTATTACACTGAGTGGATCATTTTTTGTCCACTGTGCAGGAGACATGAAGACGGAAACCAACAACTGTGAGTATCTTTAAAAAACAGACTTATAAAATGTTAAATCTTTCTCTTAACTGTCAGATCTTTTGTATGAGAGATCGTATGCCAGTGTGTGAACAGGTGTTTTTTTTACAACATGCAATATCATGAAAAGATTTTGCCAGGATGCAATTATACACAAACAGCACTGGCATAAATACAACCATAAAAGCCACATGTTGTCAGTGAAGATCAGCGAGCTGGAAAATAATTATTCTCTGCCAAATGGAAATATGGCTGAGCTGGAAAGATGATCTGTGTTTTGGAAAGATATTCTTAGATAACCAGTGTGATTACCTGTTGTAAAACGTGAGTCCTGACAGCCTGGGAAACCTCATTTACATCCTACGTACATCTGTAAATGTTTGTTTATTTCTTGATTGGACCGATAAAAGGACCATGATCGGTGTGTTTTGTATGTTGGCAGAATTACTTCCCTCTTCCTCAAAGCATGACTTGGCAAGAAAACACAGAGAGCTCCCCTGAGCGTTGAGGCCAAAGATTGTTTGCAGGAGAACGTGACTGTTTTTCAGTTGTGGGTTGTAAAGATAAGCTGATGACCTGAGCTGGCTTACAGTAAAGTATAAAACAAACCCGCAAAAGCTTGTAAATCAACACTGCTTGTGTTTACCTGCTTTGTTTTGAACCACACCTGTCAGACACTGATAGGGCAGCAATTGTTCCAAAAAGAGGTCACTGAATCGAAAACCCACATCACGGTCTGATGTGTTTATTAGGATTTGATTTATGCGCTCTGTGGTTTATAACTGCCAGTATATTTTAATTCATGAAGCTTCTTGTTTTAAAAGAGAAGACCATGTTAGATCCCAGTTACCCCGTAATACTCCTAATCACCAGTAGGGGTGTTGTTCATTGGTTGCAAAGAAAAGCATAGTCTCTGCGGCGATGCCGTCCCCAAATTGTAAATGCTGATTCATCTTGAAGTTGGTTTGCCAAGAAACAAGCCAAGATGTCAGGCTGAACAGGCTCCAGTGTCCAACAAACAGCTACAATGCAGCCACCTCATCCAACTCACCCATACCACTTATGCAAATTTACAACTCCTGACCTTCATATTACTTCCACATCAATTCAGTTCTTGCCAGGTGCGTGCAAACTGGCACAGGGATGGTATCTGGTTAAATCGCCTAACTGAGCTTTAACTGTGTATGTAAACATACACTCTTAAAAACAACCCAATTTGGGTAGTTTCCTTGTAGGGGTGATGCAAGTGCTTCAAATATGGTCTCACTTGCACATGTCTATGTAGTTGCCCCTGTTAGAAGCTATGTGTGTATTATTTTTGTCAGGATGTAAAAAAAAAAAATCAAAGTATAGTATGATATAAAAATGTCATAGTATTGTATGATACAAAAAAGGCTTTAGTATTATATGATCAAAATGTCAAAGTGTAGTATGATAAAAAAGTCATAATATAGCATGATAAAAATGTCATAGTATAGAATGTAAAAAAGTTATAATGAAGTATGATCAATATGTCTAGAGCAATATGTCATAGAATAGTATAGTGTCTAGAAAGGAGAGTGAAATGGAAAATAACCACACTTCTCCTGAGTGTCCACATGGCTCAGAGGATAAGAGGTCTGCTTGGGCTCCTAAGGTTGTGGGTTTGATCCTTGCCTTATCCAGGTTGAGGTGAAATTTAAAGTCTAGTGTCTAGAAAGGAGACTGAAATTGGAAGAACCGGAATCATCCAGTGTGTCCACATTGCTTAGAGGATAAGAAGACTGACTGAGACTCCTGAGGTCGTGGGTTCGATCCTTACCTTATCCAGGTTTGAAGTCCAGAAGCCAAAGTACCAAGATAAAAGCGTGCAGAGCTCATACCCAAGAGTAGATTGTATCTTGTAGCTCCGTGCGATGGTCAATTGGCTCCTAATGTGGGTACCTCGGTTCGATTCCAGCTAGTGACAGGGAAGTTCAAAGTAATGAAATGATAAGAAAAAGAGAACTAAATCTAATGTCTCAAGACTGAAGAATTGATTAATAATTATCATCACATCTAATGATGCAAAAATAATCTGATCATTACTAATACTCTCCAGCCATCAGCTGGTATCAAACCAGGCCCCATTGGGTGCCAATAGACTTCCATACAGGGCCACTAAATAGGAACCACACTAGGGAATGAGGTCTGCCCGCTTTTATCTTCATGCTTTGGCTAAAAGACTTTACAATTCAACTCGACCTGGATAAGGTAAGGATCGAACCCACAACCTCAGGAGTCCCAGTCAGTCTTCTTATCTTCTGAGCAATGTGGACACACCAGGACTAATACTTCCCCTTTTTTACCTTTCCCTTGTCAGAAAGAAAAAAAAGGTTACAAAAAAGGTACCAAAAACAAAAAAAGTTTTAAAAATGTTTAAAGAAAAAAACCTCCCCTGTGACTGTTACCTTGTTGTGGTAAGGGAACTTGCATACTTCCATGAACCATGACGGCTTTGCCACTGGGAGGGAACTTCTGGCAGATTTTTTTCCAAATTGGACAGGTCAAGGGCAAGGAGTTGGACAAAACACAGTCAAGCATTTCCTTGTGAAGTGACTTATGGAGAATGTTTTCGTGTTTATATCACCAACTTTACATGACATGACTGCTGTAATGAGATGGCAGCCATCTTTTAAATGGTCGCCACCTTAAAATTTCAAGCAGCTTGTGGCATTTTCTTGTTAAGTTACTCATGGAGAATGGTCTTACTGTTTTTCATGTTTATAACACCAACTTTACATCATTCTACTGCTCTAATAAGATGGCGGCCATCTTTAAAATGGCCTCCATTGGGATATTTCAAGCAGCTTGGGACATTTTCTTATTAAGTGACTCATGAAGACTGTTCATACCAATTTTCATGGCTATATCACCATTTTAACAAGTACATCACCTTATTATTCCACTTAGGTGATGGCCATCTTGAAAAATGGCCGCCATCTTGAAATTTCTGGGATGGCAGGGACACTTTTCCAATCAAGTGACCCATGGAGAATGTTCATACCAATTTTCATGCTTGTATCCCCAAATGAACAACTCTGGCTAAAATTTATACTTGGCTGCTGCACAATAAAGCAATAATGGGAATGTAACAATCCTTGCTTTATACGTCTCCTCGCTTCAGCAGTTGTGGCATCAATCTGTTGAGTGGGTGGTGCTTGGTTTCAAACACTTGAATGTCTACCCAATGTGTTGGGAAGTCCACAATAAACCGAGAAAACTGTATAGAATCACAACCCAACAGCTAATAACTCTGTTCCCAACATAAATAACCTTGCGAGTAGAGTACTCAGAATACCCAACTCCATGAAAATAACCCAAATAAATTGACCTACAGGCTCAGCCTAGTGGTTGGGTTGAAAAAAAAACCCAGCATTTTTTTGTGTGTGTGTGTGCTGACTGTGGCTAGAGGCCCACCTCAACCCAACCTCTTTCTACCCCTGATAGGTCAAACAAGTTGAGTCAATAGCTGCACACTTTAACAACTCTCAGACATTATTTTGTCAGTACAGCTGTTTAGTTGTTTGCTCTGTTTTGATAATGCTAAAAATAAGAGGTGCTTCTTTGTGCTGACAGGTAGGCGAACAGTCCACAGGGCTCTTAAAGAACTGGACATTGAACCAGGACCTGCCTGTGTTTGGAACTTGACAGTATATGCCTTTAAGTGCTTCTTCTAGACTCTTTTCAGTACAGGTCAGGGTAAGAGGACTTCATTATGACCCTGTGGTCAAAGACTCTCACCACCTAACAGAAGCCTCCGGCAGCCTTTGTTGTTCATCTCTTTCTTTCTTTCTCTGTACTTTTCTTCCAGTTTTACTGTCACAAGTCAAAAATGCCCCGTTCTTAGGATGAAAGTGAAGTTATGACTGGAGAGAAAAGGAGGACACAAATCCTGAGAGTGAGATTCATGAATATCCCACTAAGATTATCAGCTAATTAAATAAAAAGATTTCACTTTTACGTAGTGAAAGAAAAAACACAATGTTTTCTGATAAGTGGAAGGTCTGAGTCTACGGGGATCATACTGTACGTACTCAATGAAGTTCCTTTTTAGGACACTTCTGCCTCTTTAGATAAATCAGCTGAAGAGAGGAACCAAACTGATAACTCGGTGAATCCCGAAAAAGTCAAAGAAACGGGAAGTGTTTCACATGAAATCACACTTTTGACCTAAATATAAAACTGTTTCCATTCCTGGAGCACATCTAAAAAAAGGATCGTCCTGTATTCAGGGCCTAGACTTTTGAATGCAACTATTGATTAAAAAAAACAAGTCAACATCAAGCTTTATGTAAATATCTCATGCAAATACACTGGCTTAGTGATCTGTGTAACACGAGAACCTTTTTAGTAACTTTGCACGGTAGAGATTGTCTGATAACTCCTCTGCAACATCTGCCTGACTCCAACGTTACTGCAAAACCTCAGACTTTACATTTTGAAGGCAGAAACTTTCTCATTTTTTTATAAGGTAGTAAACATATTACAAACTAAAGCTATAGTATGCATATTACAGATACATTTATATGATTAGCATGAGTAAAAGAAACAAAGTAAAACTGACATAAATAATGTACCATCTATGAAGAGACAGATTTAGCTCAGTTGATTTTAGCTGAAGGTCATTTCTCTGAGTACAACCAGCTGATGTGAAGAGGTGCACAGGGTCATGGAGTGAGAGAGTCCATGATTGAGGGGCCTCATCTTGTAGAGCTTTCAAAGTTATGACTGTAAATTCAAAATTAATGTTAAAACTTGCAGGAGGCCAGTACAAATAGGCCAGGTTAAAAAGGCGGTCATGTTTTTATTTGTTGATGCAAGAATAAATCACAGTCACCTAACTTCAGATACCTGATAACACAGTGACACACTTCATGAGCCTGTTTGGCTCCATCCACGCTGACCAGCTGAAACACATAAGCGATAACAGTGTGAGAAACATCTCATTTAGTTTATTGGAGTCCTCAGTGACCCACATATTCAGGTCACACGTTTGTTGTCAACGCCCAGACTGATAACGATCGAATTAGGTCCAATTTTTAAACTCAGTGTTATTCGTTTCCATCATCAGCTTAACTCATATCACCTTTTAAAGAAACTGGGTTTATCATGAGACACTGAACTCTCATTAAGACTTGAGGTGGTATTCCGGGGCACAGATAAGAGTTTACAGCTACTTTAGAGGCTCTACAGGCACCAGTGTTGACGCTAACAGCATATTAGCATTTCAGCACTCAAACATGTTGCTTGTTAGAGAAAATCACAGAGTCTGGCTGAAGCTGATGGGCCCTAAGTTCAGCAAGCACCAGAAAAATTTGAGCTGGTGGTGCTGAAGAAAAAGTCAGAGGATAAACAGAGGCATGAGGAAATGTTGACTTGGAACGACACAGGATTTTTCATTAAGCTATCCACCCTGTTTCTGAAAAAATCAGCCCTGTGTTGATTCAGGACTTCAGCAGTGTCAATCAGAGTCATCTCATAAAGGCATCTAATTATTGTTTAGATGCATCAGTCGGGGTGATGTAAGCCCTGAAGATGAGTCAGAAAAAAGTTCTGCTGGGCCACTTTTTGTTTTGGTTCAGTCTCATCCAAATTACTCCCATTCCTGTTTTCATAAACAGGCGTCTGAACATTTTCAGCTTCTAGGAAAATAAAGTTTTCTTTTAAGTTAATTTGTGAAAATAGGTGGAAAAAGTTGTACCGCAAACATGAAAAGTTCTTGGGCTTCTTTGTCCTCCCTTGGGGAAATAAATGGTTCGGCAATCATGTTTTTCTCTATAACACGTTTTCTTTCTACAAAAACTCTTTCACTCGTTTTCACAGACAAAAAAAAAAACTTTAATGGGAAACTTTTTTGAAACTGTTTGACCAGTTTCCATGGAGGAAATAAAAGGAACACAGAAGACTGGTGCTTTATTTCCATCCTGAGAAACATTTGTCTGTCCCGCTGTTAAAAAGATAAGATAAGAGGAGGTTTACTTTATCTACAGATTCATCCATTCCAACAAGGACACAAATCCCAGGGTTTTTTTTTCCTGGACTCTGTCCTTAAGATCCACGGAGGATACAGATTGTGCAATGAATAATAAACACACAATAACATAAGACACAAAAACACAAGGGCCTCATAAAGTAGAGAAACATAATATGCTTTTGAGATACCTGAGGTAACACGAAGCACAACCATGTTTTACTTTTTTTTTTAAAACCTTCCACATGACGAGTTTATGAAACGGATGGTTTTATGAAAATATTTTACTGCAATTGACTTGAAACAAAATGTTCATGTTCAGGCAAACCAGTGAAGACTTCAACAAGGATAAACTGCATTTTCAGTGAAATAATTACCGTAAAGAATCAAATATAGGACAACGCTGATTATAAGACAACAACTTTTGAACGTAAGCTTTTAGGAAGCTACCTTTTAAAGACCAAACTTGTTTGACAAATAAAGAAATTAAAAAGATAATATTTGATTTTTTAATGTCTTCAAAATAAAACTATGTCTTTAATATCCAGAAAATGAAACTACCGTATAAAATATTTAAGTGTGTAAATGAAGCACCATCGTCTTGGTACACACAAAGAGCTCAGATCTACTAAGTTCAGTCTTTTGTGTTTCTATGCCAAGAGTAGACTTGGACATCCATTTTGGGTTGCCCTCTTTTTTTTAAGTGGGTCCAGCTGATCATATTTATGGCCTCTGATTGGTCAACAGAAAAAAATGAGAATGCCAGCCTCTGTGTAGTTCAGTCTGCAAACAACACAAATGAAACTATTTCACTGAGATTCAAACCCAAAAATCACAGATTTTATCAGTTTCTGAAGGGTTAGATCTGGATAGTCTCTGATAATACAGAGAGAAGCTGTTGGTCTCACAGATATCTGTCTGTCTATCTATCTATCTATCTATCTATCTATCTATCTATCTATCTATCTATCTATCTATCTATCTATCTATCTATCTTTCATTTTTTACAGGTTATTGACATCTCATGTATTGCATTTTTTCGTCACTCATTTTGATCGGGTCATTGCAAAGATCAAAACAAAAACTTGGCATTCCTCTTTGGATTATTTTGAAAACAAGTTTGTTGCTGGCTCTCTGGACTGGGACTCTCCTCATCTCTCTTCTGGTAATAATGTCCTTTTTTTTTTTTTTGGAATTTCTGCTCGTGGGACGAATAAAAGAAAAGGAATTATCTTATCTTTAGGTCTAACTTAAGGCACCTTCATATATTTTATGACATAACAGGCTCCTAAAAAACCTGGTGGTGGATTTTATGAACTAAACCCTTCTGGATATAGGGTGCTAATAAACATATATAAACATATACTTTGCAGTGTTTTGCATTACTTCAGAGGTAAAGGTGCAGGAGCTGTGATTTTGCCTGTGCTGACTCGGTGACAGAGGTAGGAAATGATCATCAATGCTCTTTATTGTTGGTGTAAATGCGGGCTGAGTGAACACACAGTAAACATTGTGTCATTTTTACAGCCTGCCTGCACACACACAGCCTCTCTGCTCACGTGTTCGCCTCCCTAGCCTCACCTCTACCTCCCCCTGCAAAATAACTTACCCCAGCTTTTTACATCCACCCCACCACGCACTAAATCTTTGATATGTTTATAATAAAGCCAGCTCATGAATTCCAGTCAGGGGAATAAAACAGCTTTTTGATTGTCACTTTTCTCCTTCCTCAAAGCTCTCACAACTCTACGCCCAATAAATGACTCTGCTGATATGATACGGCAGTGTTTGTGTTTGGGTTACTGAATAACTCCCTCAGTTAGGCTGCTCTTATTGCAGAGACAGTCTGGTGCTAATGGCCCATGGCCATTAGTCATTACCATAAAATCAAATGAGTAATCAAACAAAAAGTCTGATATCCAAAATTGGATCATGAGAATGAGTGGGGACCTTTTTTCTGAAGCAAGTTTGTTGATTGGATGTTTATTACCAGGAATAAATAATTTAGATAAGTCATGAAAATGCAGATTTAAGGAGGACAAGTCCTCGAGGTGAACTACTGTACACCAGGAAAAACAAGTAACTGTCCTTATTGGGCAGAAACTTGCTGATAAACATGGTCATATTTGCTTTTAATTCATGTATTTCATTTTATCCCCTTTTTAAGTTCACTCATGAAACTTTTTTTTTTCAGCCTCAGCATCAAAGACAAAATTACCCATTTCTGCAAAGCCCCTTTCAGAGGTACAGTGAGTAGAAATGGGAATATTTAAGGATGTCTGGTGGTCAACCAGGTTGAGACGCTCCCTTGCTCACCCCTCATGAAGCAGTGAAGCAGTGAAGCAGTGACCTGACATGAAGTCATCGTTTTTCTCAGTAAAGACGCACTTCCTGGTCTAGAAAGTTTCTAAAAACACATGCAGAGCATCGAAAGTTACCCAAGAGTGTCTTCTCTCTTGTGTAAAAGTCATGACTACAGTATTATATTATCATACAGGCCAGTCAGGAAGTGTATTAGCAGGCTTTTCCCCACACACAGAGTGGGGCTTCAGTGGGAGTACGGTCCTGCAGAGACACCTGTTCATTCATCACTTCATGGAAATGATCCTCTTTGTGTGTAGTGTGTATTTGCTATTTTGGGTTTAATGTCCGAGCAGAGTGTTGCAAAACAATGGTGATTCACTCTGTTTATATTTCTTTATACTGATGGTAAAAAAATAAAAAAAAGATGCAGCATGTAACTTTATGAGTTCTGACATAAGAAGCTTTAAAACTTCAGCAGAAACGGCAAACAGACAAAGGATTTATTGCTGTGTGTGTGTCTGTGTTTGTAGACAGAAACTTTTTTTATTATGTGTGTTTTTGAGCAAAAGAGGATAAAGACATCACCACAGAAGGGAGTGTTGTTGGTGAGTGGACAAGAATGTGTATTACTCACTTTGACGTCTGCCTCCCTCTCTGTCCCCTCCCCCTCCCCCTCACCTCCAGACACCACCTCAAGGCCGAGACGCTCTCCAAAGACATTTGCATAAAGTGCTAAAAGGGGAGCCGAGGGATCAGGGCAGGTGATACCGACCAACAGACGCACAGGGGAAGGAGGACCCAGAGCTGACATTGACAAAGCGAAGCCCTGCACGAGCACACACCCACCAACAGAGACACACACAATCTCACACATCTGTGTCTCGGGGACAGACTCAGAGCAGTGCAGAGGAGGACTTCAGCCAGAGAGGAGGAGAATTAAAACCTCAACCTCTCCCCTGCCGGGATCTCAGAAGAGTTTGACTCAAGAAAATGTATTTGGGAGTGCTGAGAGAGTGAGCTGAGAGATACAGAGAGGATCATCTGACATCTTCTTCAGTCAACAGGTAAATTTACACATTTAAACATTGACTTTCAATGTGGCTTCAAGTTCTTGTGCTTTTTGTTCATGTTTGGGTCTTAAAGTTTGAACAGTTTCACTTTAGATGATGCTTTTATTTGTGCATTTTTTTCTAAAGAGAGCACTTGTTCCATTACTTAAGAAATTATCCTAAAACAAAAGACAGAAAACTCCATTACAAACCAGGACATTACTGTGTTTTATACCTTATTATCCTGAGTTTGTGTAAGAGGGTGAAAGAGGAGCAGCTGCACAAGTCAGGAGTCAAACTTTGTAAGTGGTTTTTCAGTTAGCACTCACTCCCAACTGTCTGCATACTGTTTCCTGCATTGCCTGTTTGCACATCCACTATCTGTTCATGCTCACGTTCAGTTAAACTGCCTCTAACAGACCCCCCCCCCCCTCCCCAAACAGCAGGTAGATCAAGTTTCATTTACTTTTCAGGCTGAGAACAGGTAGGACAGCATTAGAGACGATGCTTTTGAACCCAACGTGCAGCTGAAAGCACACCCAGGCGAGCTTGAGACAAAGGGGCTTAAAAAAGAAAACATGATGGTTAAGAGATGTCTAAATTTGACTAATAACCAAAGCAGCTCACGTGGCCTCAGCGGGCTGATTTGTATATTAGTGGGTCAGTAGGACAAGTAAGGAAAACATCAGCTCCAGAAAGAGATAAGGGACCATAAAAAGCAGCAGCTCAAAGTAGAAAACCTATAGAGAGATAATTGAAGCACCTCCTACATGTTTGAAGTTAGTCCTCGGAGTCCAGCTGCAGCTCAGTCTGAGTTACTGATTGACTCTGCTGTACATTATACATTTTACCACCCTCTAGTCTGGCCTCCTCGTGGACCCTGGGCTTTATTTATTTGTTTTTCAATGAAAGCTAAAATATCTTTTTTTGTATACATTATAAATGATGAAAAACTAAGAAAAACTCATGATAAATGTCTAAGTATTCAGTAGCATCAACACCTCCTGTGTGGAGTGTTTTCCAGTTATCAAACATACTGACTTGAATATGAATGTCCTCATCGTGTAAACAAAAGCAAACGAGGTCATCAGCTTCAACACTGACATATTCAATATTATGATTTTTTACGCATGAAACCAGATAAAGGGGGCAGGTCCCAGCAGAGCATTTGGAGAAACAAACAGTTTCTTATGTTTCTACGTAAAACATTCAAAGTCTGTGACACATTCGACTGTCCTGAGCCAGGCAGGATGAGATTTGTAATCAGAGGACACGATATGATACGATACAATTACGGTAATAAAAGACATGGTAATACTTTAAGATTTTGAGCCCCTGGGGAAAATTTTTGTTGGACTAAAGTGCTGCATATACTCAAAATATATTTAAATTAACAGTAACCCACATGCAACCGGTAAAACACAAATCAAAAAGACCACAAGTTTAGTGATAAAGACTGCACGTTACCCATATTGTGCAAGAGGAAGCGAAAAGGAAGAGAAAGATAAGGAACATCATGATGCTATTGCACAAGCCCCAGGGCCTTAAGAAATTTAAGTTGACGTGACAAAAGGAGCTTTAGCCACTGAGAGTGGGTTAAATCTCTTGGTGACAAAATTTGAGCAAAATGCATGTGTTTCAAACCTGCAGTTTTTGTAGCAGCCAGCAGAGAGCAGCTCAACTAGTTGTAGAGAAAAAAAAAAAAATGCAATTCACCAATGGATGGTGTTGGAGTGGTTACATTAACCTTATACATGCAATTTATAGGAGCGGGTTCAGTGTGGGTTTAACAGCTGAGTTTTTGCTTGTATTAGGTGCCACAAATGTTATTTTCCATTCCATTTTCTTTGGGGCATAAAAGTGACAAAGACCAAACAACAAAAGGACAGTAAAGACGCCCTCCCCCAGAAATGAAAACTGAGACATCCCTAAACCTCGACAAAGGAAGCCACACCCGAACCCAGAGCAGTTACAAAGCAGCGTCTTATCAAAAGAAAACAAATGAAAAACCATGTCATATAAAAAAGCTAAGGTGTACACACCCAACATCACAGACTAATTTAACTGTTTATTTTTCTGGGTGACTGCCAGTACTACCAACTCTGCATCTCCTGAACGTTATTGAGAGTAAAAAGCATATTTGCAACTTTGTAAGATAGACAGGGATTTTAAAAGGCAGCTCTGGACAGTAGTTGTGCATCTTCTTGACTTTGTCGAAAGATAAAAATTGAGATAAGTCAGTCGGCACTGTAAATAAATGAGGAATTGAGATATATTAATTTTACTGGGAGCAAAATTTATAGCTAACACACCAGGAGTGACAGTGAGGGCAGAGCTCGGCAGGCGTGACGTTTGTTTGACCTGAGCCAACAAGTTCAAAGCTAATTGATTTGATTATTAAACTACAAAAAAAGGTCAAACATTGGGGCTATAAATGCAGTCCTGAAGATTTGATTAAAAACGTTATATCATATGAAGCCTGCCTCTTGTCTGGACTGTTGAAGGAGTCATTAGGAGTGCAAAGGAGCAGAGCCTGAGGCTGGTGCCAAAACTGCTTTCAGCTGGTTGACATCTGACAATGTCAGACTGTTCAGTTGCTATTTACTTAAAGCTCATTCTGCTGGTAACATGGCCCGGGGCTTTGGAAAACAGTTCCTCTCTTTTAAAGACCTTGAGCTTGATCCCTCGACCCATGAATGAAGTGAAGCAGATACTGATTAACCTAATTTGAACCTCCATAAGATGTAAATAGACTATTCTAGTTAAACCAATGCTAGGATTCTGCCAACCTGCCTTTCTATAGAGAACCAAGGACAAACTGCAGCTGCACTGAATTGCTGCTATCAGCATCCATTCAAATGCAAACTGCTTTATTTGAACAAAATTACCACCAACTTTGCAGAGTGAAGTGAAAAACTGGAGACAAGTGACATAAGTGCTGCATCAGTCTCCATTTTACTGCTTTGTTCGGTTAGATTTTTACTGCTTGTGCTTCCCTTTCATTACTTTACTCATTCACCACACACAGCTTTGCATGTGTGTTTCATTTTTTATCGGTTTCCTTGAAATTTTACTAGTTACTTAACTTTCACTGGATGCACATGTGTTTTATTGTCAGTGACTGTTAAGATGAGGTGAATAAAAACAAACCTTTAACTGTGAGTTAAATTTTAACCTGAGTAACATTGGTACGGGACGCTCCAGCACATAACCACACCCCGTAGCTTATTTTTAACCATTAGGGAAATCAAGACTAGATCAGGGCTCAGGGGGAAGCTCGAAACTGATAGGTCAGGTGTAATTATCCTGAAGAATCTGTCCTCATCCCACTAAAGCATGTAAGAATTCAGCAGAGACTCAGAGAGCGAGAGTTGGCAGCGCAGGAATTTCAAGGGTAGATGGAGCGATTAGACGGGGAACAAGCAGGTACTTTGTGTAGATGGGAATTCTGGGGTAGGGCCAACCCTGAGGGCACAGAGAGAAGAACACCTGTGTTCAAACCATCCATCATATCTAAAACACAGACCCCTTCACATTAGGGGCTTTCATTACCTAACCCTTAACCCCAACGGGAGGGTTTTCACCATTAAATATCTTGTCATCCCAAAGGAGACAAGGCTAGAAAATAAGGAAGCTTACATCGTGACGCTGCAACTTTGAAAAGCTGTGAGCATCAGAAGCTAGCTTTGTGAGTTCAAGAGGCACAGCATCTGGAAGTAACCTTTAGTTTTTTGATGCTATTTGTCAAACATGCTAACATTTGATAACTTGACTTGTTAGTATGCTGTGGTAAGACCCAGTGCAAAATACCTGCAGTTCCTCAAGTGTCCACTTGAGGCTTGTGCAAAACCAAAGGAATCCCCATTAACGCTCATGCTCAAACATCATTTCTTCATCTGTACCCCGTGTATAGGGTAGAGGTCATTTCTATGAATTAATTTGAAGATATAACTCTAGAGGTACAACTTGTAAGATACTCTTGGTATGACATACTTAATTACACAAGACTTATTTGCAAGTTAGTAGAAGTAAAGCTTTCTTTCGTTAAATCAGCATTTCTAATATCACAGCCACCAAAGTTTAGCTGCAAAACTGCTTTTCAGAAACCAGTGGGTGATGTTGCTATACACCCATCTCTTACAAAGTCAATATTTAAGGCGATGAGGCAGACACATTAGCATTTTGTTTAACTTGGCTGTGATTAGCCTAGGTGTGAATTTTGGCATGTGTTAACTTTTCAAAAGACATCTGCTTTTGAGCGACCTCTGTCTTATAAAATCTGGTGTGTCCAACAGAGGCGACGTACCTACATCATTTTAGAGTAAACTCACCAATGCTTGCGTCATCACTCATTAGAAAACGTGCATTCTTAGTTTTGACCCCCAAAAGTGAGGTGAAAGTATGTGAAAGTACAGACGGCAGCAAAGAAAACAATACTCTGTTTTATATCATCAGTTAGATTGCGTGCTCTGAGACTGTGAGGACATTAAGTTTGCTCTCTGTGTTCAGGTCATGAGCAAACAAAACATCAACTGTTTACAATGATTCACATCTACAAATGTCCTACTCTCTGCTGCTGCTGAGCTCATGGGAAAATGAGTTCTTAACATTTTTGGAATTTAGGCACTGCAACCACAAACCTGAACCAGCACAGATCCCTCTTTGGGCGGGAAGATTCATTCTTAGATGTTTAACTCTGTTTGGATGAAGGGTCTAAAATGCGGCTTATATGATCCTTTCTCACTCAGGACATGGTACATGAATGCAGTCGTGATTGTAAATCTTATGTTCACTGAGGAACAGAGTGTCCTGAAGATGAATCACAGTCTGTACCTTCAAAATAAGGCATGTCTACATTCCATACAGCAGCCGAGTTGACATGTAGACTCATTTAACCACCTCATTGTTTGTGCTCGATTTTACGCTTTAATAGAGGGAACCCAGCGTTACACACCTGACACATTTGACCTGTTTCGCATCATGCCTGTGATTGTATTACTTATTAACAGGCCAAATCCTGTCAGCTTTGTGATATTATGTGTGCTCTGCATGAGGGTGAAAATAGTTTAAAGTTCAGCTTCGGAGGAAATGTGTCCTGATTGACTCAAAGCTTGTCGGGATTAGGTTGTGTGTGACGAACATGGTTTGGATTTGCCCAAACTGTTTTCATGATAACACCAGAAAAATCAAAATTAATCTCTGCTTCTCTTTCAAGGGAATCCAGAGGTCAGGAACAGACCAAGAGGAGGGAGGGCAAGGACAGAGGGTCCAAAAAGACTCAACAAAGGAGAGGGAGGTGTCACATTACTGAAGATGGAGGAGTCTCCACAGATCTGGCACGTGCAGGTCGACTCTCCTGGAGAGCAAAAGAAGGTGTCGATTGTTGGTCAGCCGGAGTGCTCCATCTGCTACAACACCTACGACAATGTCTTCAAAACACCCAAGCTGCTGGATTGCACCCACACCTTCTGCCTGGAGTGCCTCTCCCGCCTCATGGCATTCTCTGTGGCCGACCAGGATGAAAACACCGGCGGGACTCGCCTCTCCTGTCCCTTCTGCCGTCAGCCGACCACGCTGCCTGAAGAGGGACCCCCGGCCTTGACCACCAGCCGGGAGGTCCTCTGCAAGCTGCCTAGCCACCAGCAGCAGGAGGAGCCCGTATGGCTGGACGGGGAGAAGCTCTGCTATAAAACGAGGCACGACGCCCCCGACAGCCCCACGGCCTTCTGCGTCTGCATCGACATTGGAGCCACCAAAGCCGCTGCTCCGGTCCAGTCGCAGCCTCGGACTTTGGGCTTTCTGGATCGGCTGGCAGACTGGAAGAGGATGGTGCTCTTCATCATACTCATGGTGCTGCTGGTTGTCGTGGTGTTGTGGCCTCTGCAATGTGTTTTCACCACTGGGAGCATGCGCTGTATGCGGGAGGCAACCCCTAACCCAACTCAAGCTCCAATTCCCGTCACCGTCAGTCCGCAACCCAGGTCTGTTCTGTCTGAGTGAAATCCTAAACTGGATGGACTCGACTTTAAATGTACATAACACTGTATTTGACAGAGACATTGTCAGTTTTGCTCACAATTGCACAAAAAGTTGCTGAATACAACTGTCAACACCTCAGACGTTCAACCCTGATGTTCAAGATTTAAGGATGTTGGACTAAAATGATCCTGTGGTGAATCTGACAGAGTCCAAATAAAAAAGGGCTGGAGGAGAAATAGACTGCAAAAATTATACTGAATGAAGAGTTTTTGTTTCTTTTGCTTTCAGAATGATATGAAGTAGTTTGAATCTTAAACTTCTAATCACTCATAAATCTACAAACAGAAGCTTTAAAAGTGAAGAAAATCCCTGTCAAACTCCACAAAAGCAGCACTGAACTAAGACTGATGAAACAACTCAAAGATGAACTCTGACATGAAGCTTTTCTCAAATCAATTCCAGTGACGAACACTTTTTGCACTTAATCAACTTGATCGACTTTATACACAAATGTTTCACAGAGTTTGTTGTTATTTTCTTACTCTTTGTGGACACAGATTACCGGGAACATGAGTGGGCGGATATGTAGAAACTGATGGAGAAGTGATGCAGAAGCTCGCCACACTCATGCCAAAATATGATGCTTAAATTCTGACTGTTGTTGATTTAATGTGAACCTTGCTATGCAAATATCATGTTGGCTGAAGAACAGTAAACAGTCAAGATTCAAGAAAAGAATGTAATCATGATGTGCCAACTAAGAACTTTATAGAACTGTACATTTGATAGGTGTTTTGATGAGTCTTTGTTTACAGAACTAAAATAAAAGATGACAAATAAGCTCAGAGCGTCACTGTTGTAAATATTCTTAAAGCTTCAGTGAGTAACTTTTTGTTTCTTTTGGTGCCTTCAGTGGATAAAGTGACAAGTCTCACTTTTGCTGATCATGCCCTGCACATACATAAGAAATTACAGAGCCCTGTAGGTGACATGAACTTTTATTTTCTTTAATTCGTATGTGCGATTTAGTATCATTTTATTATATTTCACATGCAATTTAGTATCATGACATCCGATTTCATATCTTGCAAGTGCGATTTAGTATCTCGAACGCCCACTTTATACGTATCTCAAGCGTGTGTTTTATTTGGACGCCAAGGAGTTTTTGCAGATCATTTAACATTTACTTTATTCTTAAGCCATTCCCAATCAATGACCCAGATCTCTTGTCATCTTTTACTCTTTGCCTCTGATAACCTGCAGTTCAGTCAGTCAACTCACGTTTCTGTTTGAACTATTTATTGCATTTATTGCAGCTGCAGCAGCAGAGCACTGTTTGTTTGGTGTCTAAGCACCAACCCTAAGCATGGCAGAGGCAGAGTGCAGAAATCTTGAAGTTTTACGCTCCTATATGGAAATTTTTGATGTTTATGAAACAGGATAAAATTCATATTGATGCCTATTTATAAAACCGGAAAGCAAACAAGACCATCAGTGAAATGGTTATCTAATCTTTCTTCACACAAACTGGTGCCACAGGGTAGGTGTTAGCATCGCAGCTGAATAAACATACCTGTTTGTACAATTTGCACATAAAATATTATCAATGAATGATACATTTGTAAAATTTAATCAGGATGAGTTTTTTTTGTCAAAAGGTAACACAAGCATGTAGAAAGAAATGACATACAAAGACTGCTTTGTCCACAGGGGGCGCCAAAGTTATACAAACCAAAAAGTCCTCACAGGAGCTTTAATTGGAGTGCCAAAATGGTAGTGTGTAAGTCATGTGATAGTGAGAGTGACCCATGTCAAGTGAAAAACCAGCACAGCTGATATCTTAAGTTGACTGAACTAGCCCACAGGACTTAAGCTGAGATGAACTCTTGGTTTGTGTTGATGTTGGTGCCCCTTATGGACAAAGTGCACCCCTTATCTTTCCCCATAAATGTGAAAGTTCAGACAAAAACTCCACTCTGTGACTTTTAACAATGAAATTTATCACTGTAAGAATCAAAACAGCTGTTTCTTCAGTCTGCTGTTATTCATCTGGTCTGACACCTACACCCTCACACTGTTTTAAACCATTAAAAATGACTATAGTAAAACTACCCGCCTAGTTGCTGACAGTCTTGTTTACTTTTGAAGATCATACAGAGGAGTCAGTATCAATTTCAGTTTGCTTCTCAACCATTTCAAAAACCCCTTATAGTGCCTTTAAATATGAACCTTCTCATATTTCTGTTTTATCAGCTATGTGCAGCTGGTTGCAATCATGTCAGTCTGCACTGTCCAGTTGTGGATCATTGCTAAACTCTGTACTATTAAATCACCTGTGAGGAACGTTTGGATTAGTTTTTCAGGCAAAACCTCATCCTGTTGTCTTTTAAGAGTGAAATGTATCTCTCACTGTGAGTATTTGCTTGGAAAAAAACACCAAAAGGCTGATTTTAAGTCTGTCATCTGGCCTGACATGTAACCCCTCACAGCTGTTCTAGGCATAAAAACTACGTCATAGAAACTTTTAGTCTTGTAGCAAATGGTCCTGTTTGCTTTATTGGGCCTTTAAGGGACATCACTGTAAATATCAGTGGGTTTCATAACCAGCTAAAACTCCTCACTAGGTTATGATAGGTAATAATTACACAGTGTGACATTTAAGATACTAAACTTTTTCCGGCGGGATTTCAACTGTTTACACAGCAGGTTCAGTAAATGCCCCTCTTACAACAGGATATTCAATGCAAGTTATAAAGAAGTGTTAGTTTCAGGGTAAGTGTTTATTTCCTCCTCTCACCTGAACCTTAAACCCATGACTATAAACACAGCAGCCCTCCTTAGTTTCTATCAGGAAGTCCCCTTCATTTATTCCCGGATCAGGTGCGTCACATGGAGAGGTGTGGGATTTTCTGATGTAGTCACTCCAGACTCAAGACTGATAAGATGCTCACATGTTCTGTATGTTCAAGTGTAACGGTAATTTAGGAGCAGCCGTAATAAAAGTGCAACTTCCTGGAGCACCACGCTCACTACTGGTAAATGTGGATAAGCGACTGATGCGACAGGAAGAGGCACGGCCATGGCTCCTAAACAGGTGTGGCACTGATTTCCTGAGTCAATAAGGATGAAAAGGAGACATAATAGGAAGAATAAACATTGTATGTAAACAACAGGAACAAAAGATGCTTGTTACTTCATTTTAATTTGCTCTGGAAAATTCATGCACCAGAATAAACAGCTTTTTCTTAATGGATATTAGCTCCATAAACTAACCCCCAGATTTTTTTATCTACTTTTTGCAGCTCCCGTAGTAAATACTAGAAATAAAAAAAGTCCTTATCGGATGTGAGGAGTACACATCATGATGACTGTGCGGATTTCAGTAACGTGAAAACAAGTGGTCATGCTGGAGCTCACGTACTGTAGATGGAGTGTTTGTAGGAAAACAGCACAGGGGAAATAAGGGGAAATACACAGAAGTGGTGAAGGAGTGCTGCAGATGAGAACGCTGTGTGTGCCCTTTAATGTGAGAGGTGGGTCTTAACAGGGAGGTCATTGTGAATCTGCAAGAATCTGAATCAAATCTAGAGCATATATGAAGACTTTTAAATATGCTTTATACTGAGCAGACTCAATCTCATATAATATAGTGTGTTCAGGTTTGTCAGCTGTAACTTACACTTAAGAGGGACTGAAACTGATACTGGTTCCTCTTAATGACCAAACAACTGCCTATTTTGACTTTTTCCATGGCTGGTGCTCACAGTGAGGGACATGTTTTAACTCTTAAAGACAAAAAGAAGTGTTTTTTTCTGAAAACGTCACTTTGACATGTACATGACAAGAGATTAAAAGTACTATTTTGTCCACAGGGGCAGCTATTCCAACAAAACCAAAAGTTCCTCACCTGCTATTTCACTAACAAGGATCCCGCCATGAACAGGATGTGATTTGACTCTTATTCATTAGCATTATGGAACAACGATTCTGAATTCGCCATTGTGTCTTGCTGTTGTCAGTTTTGGAAAGCTAAGTGGGGGAATCCACCTTACCCTGCCTTTAGAGGGCTACAGGATAAGACAGAAAGAGACAGAGAGAGGAAGGGGTGCAAAAAGTGAGAATGAAGGCGGAGGCATAGGTCTGAGATCAAAGAGTGCAGGAAGAGGTGTAGCTGCAGTCTAAGTGGTCACTCTGCCGCCTCCCTTACTTTATAACATGTACAGAGAGCAAACTCATCTGACTTCTTCATCCCAAGTTCACAGTCAAGTTTTGCTCATCTGGAGTTCTTATAGCAGAGTCCTTCATGACCTGAGAGTCGACACAGAGGGAAAAACAGCTAAAACAGCAGAGTCCAACACAACCTGCACTTCATCACAAACCAAACCTTCTTATTACACTGATCTCTCTTTTTCAGATTTGAGCACAGTGTCTAGAAACTTGCTCCAAAATATGCTCTACTTTGAAAAAACTTTACGAGGTTCACAAGCAAATGAAAGACTCATACGTGTGTGACTTTCCATAGTGCCATCATAGATTTTTATTAAACTATATGATAATAAAACCATTTTGTTGCCATTTCTCGCAGCTTATTACATGAGCATTTGTAGCCTGTACAGCAAGAAGGCAGAGCCAGTGCAAGAAGAGGAACAACACTCAGGATACCACGACACACTTCAGGCATACTGTGTCCGAGAAAGAGAGGGAGGAACAAAAATAGAAGAAAAAGACATTAACAGCATGTTCAAGTACATGTGAGAGGTGAAGCAGAGAGAGAAGTATTGTGTTACTACTGCTTACACCTGTGTACACTGGTTCAACTCAGAGCCAGAATTAACTTAACCATGGTGAAATTACACCAACAATAATAATAATAATATTACAATAATAATAATAACAATAATAATCCAAACATGGTACAAAATGCAAGAAACAATGATTTTCAACACAATTCGAAACATTTCAGCAAAATAAAACAACATCAACAAAAAGAAAAGAAAAAGAAAAAACAAACAAACAACAACACTGATGTCTGAAAATCTAGTGCACTACCAAAAACACTTCCACAGTCAACGGAGATCATCCACACACAGCCTGAGGCCAAAGATTCAGCAGTTTCACACTTTCAAGTATTGATGTTTCTCAGCGTATCATAAAAAAATATTTGACCAACAGAGGCAGAGAACAACATCATAAAAGTTTAGAGTCATCCACAGCATGAGAGTTGAAAAACACAGACACAAAAGTCATTTCTCATTCGTCGGACGGATCAGAGTCTGGACAGGTATAAAGAACAAAGAGAGGATCTGGAGGGATTCAAACACCTTCAGCGTTCAGGTTCAATTTCATCAAGTGGAGCAGCATATCTCCAACAGACACAAGCCTTCAGGACAGAGCCACCTCGTTCATAAAACTCCCCCTCACATACAGAAAATAAAACTTTGACGAATGATGATATACTGAGAGAAATGTTTCTAAACATAAAGCTGGCACTAGGATAAATCAATGTGATGAAGCTCAAGTTGGGGTGATGTTTACTCTTTAGTAAAATCCTGTACAGGGTCTAAAAGCAGGATTTGAAATGAACTGCAGCATTCAAAGGTTACTTCAGCTTATAACCTGATTCTTAATCAAATGACTCAGAGCTCTTTTAGGCAGATCAAGGTTGTCAAACTGGATGATTTTGCTGCAGGTTGCACTCTTCCTGTACGTACATATCCCCCAAAAGGTCAACAGTACTGAATTTATACACGCTTCAGTCCAATGACTGAGTACTGCTACTTCAGTGGATCCTGGTTTGATGTACTCTGAATTGTAATTCATGCTGCAGCTGCGGATACTGGCCGGTTAAAGGAAACAAGGTGATAGCAGCCTGCGAGTGTCCTTGACACCGTTAGGTGCATATTTCTGTAGTTGGATAGCGAGGAATGGTTTGAGCACAAACACCATGACTAGAGCGGCTCATTTATGTTTTATGCCTCCCAAAGGAAAGTAATCTGAACACAAATACAGCGCTCTGCAGACAGATTCACTGCAACTGAACTTCTCAATATTTAGGAGCTTACAACCTGTACCTTAGATAGATCTATTTGGGTCATACACACTCAGGAATTAGCTCTAGTTTTTTTAAATATGAATCTAAATTCAGCCAGGACCCCTTCAGCATGCAGCAAGTTCTATTTGAGGGTATGGATCAGTTTGGAGAGCTTGGTGCTCTTCCATGTGGGTAAGTGGAATGCCAAGGCGGGCAGAGCATCAGCAAAGACTCCAAGAATAGAGTCTTCAGAGTCACAGAATAGAGCAGGCATCTGTAGAAATACATATGACACTGATGAATTCAGACACACCCTGTGCTCAGTATCTGACTGGTGAAATAGGAAACAGTTGATCTATTTAACACAGCTAAACACAGGATGACAGAGTTGGTGAGACCAAATTGGTTTTCTGACTGTGGCTAACGTTAGCAGAGCCAGCACCACCAGCCTGCAGTCCTCCTTGCAGGCTGATATTCATATTACTGTGCTGGCTCTGGTTGAGTATGTCAGTTTAATCAGACAAAGTCTGTATAAAACTCAATTTTCAAGATCCAAAACTGCCAAACCACATCATCCAAGCTGTAGGGCACTGTAGCGCTATGGTAGCAACCAGTTACTAGAGCTACAGCCCCGGCTAGTGGGGGGTAGTTGAACTACAGGTCTTAGGTACAATGTATGACCAGCATTTTGGGCCTGCAATAATGAAAATAGTGATTCATGAAATGGATTAGTCAATCTGGTTTTGATAAGTGAGGGTAAAAAAAAAATTAGTGACTTAGCGGACCCCATGTGCATACCCCTATTTGGCTCTTGCTGATCATATAAAAGGATTCCTGAATCATTAAATCAAATCTTTGTCAAATTTGTGGTCATGTTCAAACCATGTAAAACCCCCACCAAGCTTCAAAATCCTGGATATTGTTCAGTTGGTCTGATCCACTCAGTCCAAAAACCAGGACTGAATTTATTTGTCGGCTTAAAGATGACAAATGTGTAAAAGTCGGAGTAAATATGACATTGGGTCACTGTATTACAACATCTACCTATCATGAGAGATGTTATTTCCTTTTCATCATTTCATCTTAGAAATCACTATCATATCCACACTTGTATGAGAGGATCTATATTTTATCCTGGAGGCTAAAAATAGCTCACAATCTGCCAGACAGCACAGAGAGCTCAGTGCTCCACGCCTCCACTGTCTTCCTTATCACGTCAGTGACACCGGCTTACTCGTCCCGCTATCATCAAGCCTGGATTACGGCCATCTTCTAAATTACTTTTTTGGAGACAAATCTATTCTTCAATCTCAGGCAGATGGCCATCTGGCCTACAGTAATCGCCCTCCCCTTTCCTCGTCTCCTTATGATGATGTCGTTCGACAGATGTTGAACTGCTTCAGACCTGCTGATTACGAGGACAGCCAGTCAAACAATTTCCACTCAAACCATCTATTTAGGAATCCTTTCCATCCGTTTTCTGTCAAATGTGGGCTTCAATAAACCATCACAGGCGGGCGGTAAATCAGAATTAGTCCTGGGGGGTGCTCAAACATGAGCTCTGTCAGATGTTCCTCCATAAATATGAATTTAATTTCATGTATATTTGAAACCAAACAAACTCTCATATGTTACACAGCCATGATGCCAAGAGTATCGACAAAAACACAAAGACACAAAATCAAATGAGCTGATTTCATGGACAAAATATAGAAGAAGAGGAAAAAGTCTTTCAACAATGAGTTTGTGCTCAAAGTGAGACTATTTTTAGCCACATAATTAATACGTTTTAAAAGAAAAAAGGACCTGCTTGTGCTTCCTCTGCTCGTGTTATATAACCAATCCTGCAATCAGTCAGCAGTCGCATTAATAACCTCCACAGCTGGAGAGACAGATCGCAGCGAAAACAGTCTCAGGTTCAAGTTCAAATGACAGCCAGCCAAGACAGAGTGAGAAGACAGAAAACAAAGATTTTTGAGGACAAACAGCTTAGTTTTGACCTTCTCCAGATCCCACACAGGTCTGCCCAGTTCAGGCTGGGACATACTCCACTGCTAATCTCCGCCACCCGGAGGAAAAAGCCTCTCATGTCAACTTGGGTTTCCAGGGTTTGAACAGTAGCGGAGATGTAACAGCGGGTTAAGGGAGGCTGGATTACAGACACATCCTGTGACAAGGCACTTGTGCTGGTTAAGAGAGGGGGGTGAAAAAGACAAAAAAGGGTCCTGAGTGAGAGCGCTATGCTGTAGAGTCCCCCTCTCTACGGAGGGTAAGGCTTACTCCAGACAAAGAGGTCCAGCAGGACGGCAGCAGCGGGAGAGGGGTCAGCTCGCAGCCTTCAGCTCCAGCAGGGTCTTCAGACGGGGGGGTGAAGTCAGAGCAACACACTCCCTCCTACCCTGAGGGATTCTCAGGCGCTGATGAAGCAACACCTTTGCTGAAACTGAAGCAAACACAGACAGACAAGCAGAGTAAACCGATGGAGTCACTTTGATTAAAAGGCCACATTATAGGGCTGGGCGATAAACCGAAAATTTAACGTCATTATGCCCATGTCAATACATTCTGTGTCAATAAAATAAATAAAAGTTGGTTTTGGATGTGTGTAGCAGTGGCGGCTGCTGGTCTTTCAAGGAGGGAAAGCTCATTTTTCTGGCCTACATCATAATTGTATTTGTTTATTAGTATGTAACAGAACAGAGTCGCCAAACACAACGGCAGTCGTTTTTAACAAAGACAGAAGTCGCTGAGGATCGGTAAAGTCTCTGGAGCAGTTAAGAACAACGGAATGAATGACTTGGAAAATGCTCTGGTAGATGTTTTATTCTTCAAGATCGCTGATTCGCTTGTTTAGCTGTCAATCAAAAAAGGATTTCGCCTCAGACAGCTCATCCAATCATGAATGCAGAAGCTTGGAGTCCGGGAGAAAGTCGGGACCGCCCTCTCGCCATAGAACTCCAGTGAAGCTTAGCTTCCATTGGGCGGGACAAAGCCCAGCATTTATCCAATGAGCGTCTAGTTTCGCTGCTGGAACAACCCACTTTTAGCTTCCACATTGAAGTCAGCAGAAGCCCAGCGTCCGGCTGTTTAAAGCGCTGAGGCGCTGCAAGGATGAATGAGAACGAAGTTATGCCGGTTACCTGTGATTATCAGCTTCTTATCACAGTGTCTGAACAAAAGTTGAAGGCTTTCTAGTGCGTATTTAGTTAATGAAATGTACACACAGCCGTACGTATTTCACCACTTTTTCTTTTTTTTGGGGGGGTGACATTTTAAGGGAAGCCGAGCTTCCCTTGCAGTCTTAGAGCAATCGCCACTGGTGTGTAGGTAGGCTATGGTCTTATGTCCCTTTAAGACACTGTCCTACGTCAGAGACTTGACTCCACCTCATCCAGCATCAAGTCCGTAACAAAGAGGGAAAGACAGGAGAGGAGATGGAGGACGGTTCAAAAGTTGCAGCAGCTGGGGCGGCAGCTGAAGTAGACAAAGTTAATGTGGGAGAGGTGAGCAGCTTGTGGAGTAGTTATCGTCCATTTATCGTTATCGAGATGGACTGCTCAATATATCATGATATTGATTTGAGGTCATATCGCCCAGCCCTACCACACAGAATCAGAGGTGTCAAAAATTGAGCAAATGACCCCCTATCATGTAATTCTTATGTGACTTTTGTGACTTCTCTGTAAACATCTGCTGATCTCCTGATATGATCTGTCGCATTCTTAAACTATAGCATACACACAACTGAGTATAAAGAGAAAGATTTTAAAGGATCAAAACAAAGACTGCCTCCTTAAAGCCATTCAAATGTTATTGGGCCCCTGAAAGCAAAAGAGCTACATCTGTGACTTTGTGAAATAAACTAATCTGAGGATTTCAGGCGGCACTCTGGCTCCAAAAGGATCAAACAGTCATTGATGTATTCAGGGATCAGTCCTGTCCAGGCTTAAATGTGATGATTTGAATTTCAAAACTGACCCTTAAATGCACAGGTAGTCAGTGCAAAGATGCTTAAATTGGGGTTATGTTTACTCCTTTGTTAGAAATAGTGAGGGGTCTGACTGCAGCATTTTAAATTAACTGAAGCCTGGAAAGGTTACGTTTGCTTAAAGATCAGGAGAGTGAGGTAAAGTGGCTGGATAGGGATGTGATGATGAATGTATTAATGAGATTTTTCAGGTTCTTTGAATACAGAAAGGAGTGGATCTGAAAGAGTCTGTGACCATGAAATGTAACTCTAAAAGTGAAGAAAGACCGACACACACTGGAGAGAGAAACACAAAGAAATAATGATGCTTTTCTGTTTTTATCGGCCAATAAAACTCGCAGTGATACATCTGCGGTGTAAACAACACAACACAAACTCCTGCCTATTACCATAAATGTGCCAGACTCCTTTTCTATGGATTGATTTGATTTAATGTGTCTAATCTGGTCGTCACTCTTGACCATTGTCAGGGGGTTTTGACCAATCAGAATGAAGCTGTATAACAGCTGGTTGATAATTAGGGAAAAGGGGCAAATAAAAACTAATACCAGTGAGGATAGTTGATGAGTGCAGCTCTACACCAGTGACTGTAGAAAAAAGCTTCAAAATCAGCAAACTTTTACAAAAAGCAAAACAGGCTACATGTAAATTATTCTTTTTCTCTTCTTAATAACACACACAACAGTGAATCAAATGTGTTTAAAGAATTATCAGTTCAGCTCGGCCAATTCAATAAATATGTTTCTTCCCACTTAATCTTAACATCTTTAATGTTACTCTGTGGCTGCAAACATTCATTTAAAAAAAAATGTTTTCCACATCTTTCAAACAGAAGCTCTGACGTTCTTGGTCAAAGGAGTAAAAGCAGGTTTTTTTTAAGAAGCTGCCAACAGAGATTACAGCTTGACCTAAATTATGATGACCATTAAAAAGAGAGCATGGTGCTAAATAGAACCTCAAATTATCTATTACTGTATCTTAAATATTTCAAAAGAGCCTCAAAGAAGATATCCCAGGTCAACGTGCCCTCTGAATGAAGTATTGGGAGATCAAATACTAAAAATTAAGAAGTAGAGATTTAACTTCAAAGTTCTTACATGAAGAGAAACGCTGATCTATATTCATAAGAGCTATAATTTGATTTCCTGCTCACAAAACGTCTGTGTCGTTCATTTATTGGGTTTCTTATTTGAATATCCTGGAGTCTTGTACTGATGACCCCAAAGCAAAGCCAGGACTCCCTCTCCTCAACACTGTAGGGTTCCCTGTCTGCTTTATAATCAGTCTGAACGAGAGAAAGATTCAGCCTGCGAGAATTGAGGTTGATTATAATTTGAACCTAAATTGAATCTTTTGTTGCTTTAAGGGGATCTCAGCCGCTCCTGGTACCTTATAATTCGAAGTACAAAAAGAGAACAATACCCTTACAAAATTAATTTGACTCACTGGGAGACACTGAACTTTATCTTGAGGAAGTGTAAAACTTTTAATAAGTTCTGCATTAAGAGGAAAAATGTGTCAACCTCAAAAGGGGAGTTAAATGCATCACCAACGATTTACCAACATTACACTTTGGGAATTTGAAGCTGCTTTGCTTTCATCCACATACCCGTGCTTCTGTTAGTTTCCCCCTACTGTAAAACAGGACTTTTATTAGGTGTTACAGTTATAAAAGGATTAGTCCAGCATGTGGAATGATTTTATTGGTTAAAATAACCCCAAATGTTCTAGTTTTTACACCGCAAAGTAAAATTATAACCAGCGAAAAACAGACTGAAGTGACTGTAGTACTTACAGAGAGGCAGACAGACAGATACGGAGGTCCACAGTGATGGTTTTACCTCCTGGTGTTGCTGCTAAAAGATGACTGAGGACTTTTAAAGTTGATGTTCTCGTACACACTCGACGAATCATCATTTGTCATCCTGTATCAACACACAAGGACAATTATCAACCACAAACCTTTCTTTTATCGTCATTATAAAGTACATTTATATATATTTAACAGGCTAACTTCATGAGTATAGTTTATATCTATGTCTCTATGTATCCCTGTATTCAGTTTCCACATTCAGAAAATAACCTGATTCATCCTGTGAGAAAATGACAAATTACAGTATGTTACTGTAATAGCGGTTTTCTATGTAAACAGTTTATCAGATTTTCACTTTTTAATGTCAATCTGCTCTTTGCTGTAGGTTCCATTTTTTAATCATAACTTTATTTCCCTTGTCTTTCTTTAGGACATGCTGTAACACGTGAAAAATTTCAGCATCTTATTTTTACTGTTTTTGTGTTTAATAATGATGCTACCTAACAGTCATGTGTGTCATACTTACATAGAAGAAGAGCGTGAAGATGTCATGTTGGATTTAGACCTGGAATTGGTCATCTGGGGATATTTGATATTGGAATATTCTCTTTCCTTCAGCTTATTTCTCTGCAAAAAGACAACATGATATTATCCATTTAGTGATGGACATGAGCCTCTTAAAAAGCCACTCAATCTACCCTGTGAAGGAAAAAAGAGATGTTACCCTCTAGGAGTGTGATTAACTCCAGATTTAAGGTCATTAAGACTAAAGGGTTTCTAAAGCTTTTTCCCTTATCCTCGAATGCCTTGGTGCCCTGCCCTCTTGTCACAAACTATCCTGTGTTGATGAACATAATCTAACTTGGACAATCTCCATGTTTGGTTAAATACCAGCAGTAAAGCTCAAGTCAATGCAAAGATTTGAATGTAGAAAAGAACTCTCCTCTACTCGAAATAGACACAAATTAAACGTAACTCTTATTTTCTCTCTGGTCAATTTTCCAAAATACTTTAGTGAATCTTTGTTGTTAAAGCCCCTCAGTGTTCGGATTCTTGTGATTACCTGGGGTTGCATCAGATACACCAAAACTTCATTAAAAAATAAGCTTCTTTTGTTGAAGCCCTTTCTTCCTTGGGACATACTTGACCAGTATGGATTTAGAGGTTTTAACAAAAGTAAGGTTTGTGTGGTTTTTCTTCTTTTGAACACCCTCTGAGCTTGTTCTTTCAATTAAATCACTGCAGTGTTTGTTAACTTTGGTTCATTCTCCTGCAGTGAGAAAGTTTTTGGCTGACAAGCGACTCTAAAACAACCATGACACTTCAGTTTACTAGACACAGATAAAAAGATGCTCTGCAAAAGAGTATCACTTTGAAGATTGAATACACATCCTGCCATATTGATGTCTGCCTGACTTCTCTGGCTGCAAAAGCAGGACAAACAGTACACTGCCGACATCCTTCTCCTCTATCTAACTTCAATTTTTGTTACTCTATATCATTTTGTCCTCCTGTACCTGCTCCTCTTCTAGTCTCTTCTGGGCTGTGTCTATGTACTGCTGCACAGCCATGTAGATGAACTTATACTGGGCCTCCGTCTGCACCATGCCCGACCTCTGCTGCCGCACCCTCTGGATGGTCTTGGGGATGTCGATGTCACAATCTAGACCTGAAAAACACATATATTTGCAAGCAAATCCAGAAATTAGAGGCTATGCAGAGAAAAGTCCAGTGAATCAGTCTGAAATCTTTATTTCCCACCTTGGCGGTTGATGATGTCAATAAGGATGTCGATGACGATAATGGTGCCTGTCCTGCCAATGCCAGCACTGCAGAGGCAGAAGAGAAAAAACTGAAGTCAGGTGTCACTGCAGCAAAATGTCAGATCTTTGTAAGTCACTCATGAGGAGTGTAACATAAACACAGTGGGCATTTCCGGTTTCTTTAACCCACACATGAGATCCGAAGTGAGCTTAAGAGTTTTAGAGTGGACTGGCAAACATTCATAAGGTAGTTGAAATTTACAACTGTGTCAAAATATACTGTAAAATCACAAAGATCTGTATCTTTTACTCTTCAATGATAGCATTAAAACTATCAGCAGCACACTGATTGATGGAGCCAGGGTCAGACTTTTTCTGTGACTGTTTGAACATCTGGATTTAACATCTAATAAGGTCTGAGTGTGGTCCCTAGCCTCTCATTGACAGTCATACTGACATCTTTTGCTAGAAAAAAAAAACAGCCAATAAAGTTCATTTAGTAAAAGATCCTTGGCAAAAACAACCACTTAGTTGAGGACACAGATTTAAAAATAGCGTACCCAAGTGGCAAATTTTATTTCCTTTAAATAGATATTAATGTGTAGTTTCAGGTGTTAACATCGAGGAGACGACATTTCTTCACACAAGCCTTTCTTTGGGTGAGTGTTACAAATTAGTATCCACCGTAAACACCATGACACTTGCATTTTTAGTTTGTCTAAGTATGCTGTAACTGCCTCCAACCAAAAAAAAACATAAAAAGATCATGACCAACAGAGAGTGTAAACTTATCTCTAAATGTGAACCAATTGTTTCAAGTACTGGATATGTTTGACAACTTGCAGGGAACCAGATTCTTATTTATTCTTTCATGTGTTTAGATGCTAACTCCTCCGCAGCACTTGTTTTCACTGTTGTACCTGCAGTGGACGATGATGGGTCCGGTGTCTGGAATGCTACTCTGAGTGCGGTTGACTTCTTCCAGGAACCAGAGGACTCCACCCGGTTCATTTGGCACGCCGTGGTCAGGCCAGCTCAGGTACTGGTAGTGCCAGATGTATCTCAGAGGCTCCCTCTGCAGGGCAGTTGAAGCAAAATTAAGATGATTAAAAAATTCTGTTGACATTTGCACTGTCATTTTCAAAATGTGATAATATTGGTGTATCTCCCTCTGCACATTAAGGGTTTAATGCTTGTTGTCAGGCTGTATGATATCCTTGTGATGCCTCTGTAGTAACGTTCTATTAAAAACACCATCCCTTTTGAAGGCATCAGCTCAAAATCAACAATCTTGATTCCACACAGGTAGTGATGAAATAAAAGCTCAAAGTGCAGTCACTACAGCAGAGCAGCTATTTAATCTTATTTCATGTAAATTCACAACTTGGATTGTGAGAAAAACTTGGTCAGGTTTTTACACATTCAGTGAAATAAATACAAATCAACACACCAGATTTTTATATGTTAATGTGGCGTAACATTTCAAAAAGATCATTTAAAACAGTTCAGACTGCTGTCAAAGTGACAGAAAACAATGATCAGTCATTGCTAATGACTGTGCACACTTGTGCAACAACATCAGCAAGAGAAATGTGTTTATATGGTCTTTATTTTCTGTGGGTTTGTTGCAATAATTCCTAAAAGGCTTTGTGCACTTTTCCTTTCTTATCTGCTCCTACTGTTCCTTAGACGCACACAGTCAATCCTTCAATAAGCAAACACATGTGCAGTGGGATTGTGTATGTGGCTATGTGTGGGGGGGAGATTATCTGACCCCAGGTCAGTAGGTTAGCTCTGATTAAGTACACAGCTTTCCCTACCCGGTCCATGCGGGTCACCTCCAGCTTTCTCAGGATGTAATCTTGAGCGGGCCGCTCGTCTACATTTCTCACCAGCACCTTCCCAAACTCCTTTGTGCTGTGGAGGTCGGGCCAGTAACGGACACACTTGCTCTAAATCAGTAGAAAACAGAAAGGGAGAGAGATGGAGAGAGAGGGAGAGGAGGGGGAGGGCGGTGAGTATTAGACAACCGAAAGAACCGGCTCATCTCAAGCAGCTTTCCAATCAGCTTAACTGTCATACTATCCTAGTCAGCCGTCTCCCTCTCCACCCCCACACCTGAAACACACACACACACACTCACACACACACACACACACACACACACACACACACACACACACACACACACACACACACACACACACACACACACACACACAATCCCTCGTACACACAGCCACACCTCTCTCTTGGAAACAGCTAATGCTATCAAAAACGGTCTTTCAACTGAAACCGCAGCATGAAAATACTGACTTCCAGTAAAAGCTTTGGGGATTTGTAAAAGTCCAAACCTTGATTTATCTTTGAATTTAGACATTTCTGTGTGACATATTTATGGAGACTTTTTATTTGCCTTTAACTTCCTCTTGTTTGAGATGGAAATTTCCTGAAAAAAAGCACCTTTGATTTGTAAACATGTATCACAGTTAAGATGTTAAGTTAAGGTTAAGATGATTTAGTTTAAACTTAACTAAACACAAAAAATATGACCGCCCGCCATTTGTTCAGTGTTTTCATGTAAAGCTTCATATGACAGGTGAAGCACCCTGGACATCATATAAACTTGATTTTAACTTGAGATTTTAAGCAGTGCTCATTTTAGCTGTAGAGTGTTTTGAATATTCTCTTGGTTTCCCATCACAAAAGATCCATCAGTTCATCAATCTTCATCACAAGCAATCCACTCAAAGTTAGAGCTACAGGAGTGGATAAACCATTTAGGAGAGATTGTAGAAAGAAAAAAAACCAGAAAGAGAATCAGAGACATTTTGTTTACCTAACATGCAGAAGGGTTTTAGCCGCCCTGTTCTGAACTACACTGTCACACGTTTGTCAAGAATTACATGTTTTCTCTCACCCGTCCTCGCTCCACCTCCTTTGTGGTCATGACGATGACATGTGTGTTTTCCTGATAAACCATCTTCCAGAAGTCAATAACTGTGTTCTGTAGGCACCCTTGGGTAGCGATGAAGACTTTACCCTCCTCCACATGTCGCCCCTCTTCATGCATACTCTGTGCAGCATAAAAATACCTTTTATGAATCATTCCATCATGGCAGTTCATTCAAACACAGAAGATGTATGTAGGATAAACGTTTCATCCCCTGTTTACCAACAATAAGCCAGTTAATCTCCTTAGATGTGCATCATTTAATAGAAATCTATATCTGTAATTACAGTGAGGGGCATCCAAACTGGGATTCCCACTGAGAATACCCCTTAAGCTCACTTGGCCCAGTGACTGTGTATTTTATACTACATCTTCACTCTCCTAATGCCTTTTAATGCTTTTCCCTTTAGCCTCTGTAGTACTGATAGTATTTGACAGTAATGTCCATTTTTTAAAACTCAAGAATTTCAGTAAATCAGCTGTTTCTTGGCAGTCCCAATCATCAATTAACAACAGACACTACACTGCATCGACTATTCACTAGGTCACATAGTAGCTTTTTGATTTTCATGCAAGCACAGACTAAGGGATGATAAATACTTTGTTCAAAATGCAAAATTACTAAATATAATTACATGAAGTTTTTCAGTAGCTACGATTAAAACACTTTTGGGTGGAGCCAAAATCACGACTAAAACTGGTCCAGGAAAGACTTAGGGTCAATCCCAGTTGTACACCTTAGCTCTTGTCTTACCCCTTAGCCCTCGGTTTTGCACGTTCATGTCAAGCGAAGGGGCGTCCCAATTCTCTGTAAGGTTAAGGGGTAGGGCTAAGGGCAAGGGGTACACAGTCCTTGAAACGAAGGCAAAATGGGACCTCACTTGAAAGCAAGGTGTAAGATTTTGATCTGATTTTCATAGCAACGACACAAGCATTTTTATCACATATTCAATCCTAAGCTAACAAAGCTATAGCTATTAATAGCTACACTGATGTCAGACTCAGGTGACAAATTCACTGCAAATGGCAAGGCATGATGACGTAGCATGAATCGAGTGGCGTCTCGTTTCTTAGGAGCGTGTTTTCACCCCTTCACCTTGGCCCTCAAAACATAGGGCCAAGGTGAAGGGGAAAGAGTGGCAACTGGGACAGCCAATCCAAATGTCCTAATAACTGTGGCTTTTTGAGGGATAAATATGCAAGACTCTTATATCTATAAAATTGGGATAAAAACTTACAGTGTACTCTCTGATCTCACAACACCATTAACTAAGTAATTCCAGTAATGGATTCCCTACCAAAAATTCATCATTATCAACATACAGATTAGAAATAAAGGAAAAAAAAACATGTCATTGTTTTCTCTTGAGGTTATTTCATCCTACCCAGTGGCTGATTGTTCCTTCTGCTGTGTTTTCATTTTACACAGGTTAATGTGGCATCATATCTGGATGGACTCACTCTGATATAGTTTGCATTGATGTAGTCTGAACCAGGAACTTCTGGATCTGCTTCCCTGATTTCAACTCGAGTCGTGTCAACTGGAAGAAAAAGGAAGTTAAGCAGTCATAAATAAAAGAGTTTCCTGAGATCACACATGATGTTTTCTTTTAATGTCAATTAATAGACTGAACTATCAGATCAAAAATCTGCACGCTCGGCTTTGCCTCTGAGGCGGAGGCCTGTTGTCTATTTGTGTCATTCTTTCCACAGGAAGTTGGAGAGACAGGAAATGACAGGTTGCTGCGAGACACTCACAGGGGAGGATATTCTTGTATCTGTTTTTACTCTTGTTTTCTGGCTTCTGGCCTTCTTTCCGGGGATACAGCAGTTTGCACTCCTGCTGCTGAAGTACCTGTTAGATTAGCAACGAAAAAAGAAACAAAACAAAACAATGAAAAGACGGTGTGACATTTGAACACAGAAGTGTTCCGGGAAGTTTTGAACTGAATCAAAGTTGTATAACTGAGAGTATCCTTTAGATATGAATTATTTAAATCAGCCTCAGATATTAGATTAAAATGTTCTGATTCATCACAAAGTTTCCATGTAAGTTTGAAAGCTCTACTCGGAGTTCTGCTTCTCTGAGCAGAACCATTTTCGTGTTTCTCGCTCGAGAGACAACCGTCAGACCCCATTTCAATGATCATCCAGCAGCAGAGATTTACTAAGATGAGAAAAAAAAGCAGCAACAAAGGCTGGAAAGGAAACTACAGCAAGATGATGAGCATTGATACAAACATTGTAGGATTTGAAAGTCATTTAGCAAGTCATTTTTTTAGTTTTAGAGATGTGTTCATCACATTTTGGTGAATTAAAACTAGATGTGAACAAAGCTGTGTAATTGGCCTCTAATACAGTAGGGGTCACCCAAGGGCGCATTACCAGGAATGGAACAAGTTTCCATTATATCAACCATGGCTCAGAAGGCTGTCTTTTTTATTTTAGGTGCAAAATATGTGAAGCAATAAGAGCACATATCTGCAGCATGTCAGATAAACCCAGTAATGACTTAAAAGCACTGTAACCCCGAGTTTATTACGCAACAACTCACATTGTGTAACTCATTCAGACAGCATTAAGTATTTATCTTATAAATCTCAAGACTCTCTCACACACACACATCAACACAAAAGTTGTTGCGAGTAACTTAAATATGAGGACACGTTCTCTATTAACACTGCAGGCTCGGATCAGCTAATCAAACATTTATGCTTTACTGTGGGATTTTCTTGTTTGCAAATGTAGTGTTTAAAATCCAAGTACCAGACCAGTAAAAACACATTAGAGTTGAGTTGTAATTTACACTGACACAATAGGAATCCTGCTCTTTATAGGCTTGAGAGCCGCATGAAAGTGATGATAGCCAGGGACATGAGTGGATATGGCAGAAAAATCACCCACCATTACTCATGGGTTCAAACCACACGAATGCATTTCACTGATAAAACAAAAAATAATTAACTGGAAAAGCACAGATATAATCCCACGCAAATGCAGGTGAAACTGCTGAATATGAAGGGCTGTGGAAAGATTGGCCAACAGGGTGACATTTAATGTTAACTTACGTGTCAAATAACTGTTACAGAAAAATGTTGTGGTCTCTCTACTCATCGGAAAATCAAGCAGTTAAAACAAAAAGGTCGTTTATTTGGGGTAGTGTTGCGTAGGTGCTTTTGAAATTTAGATTTTTATCTGGATGAGTTAAAGCTTCCCTGGTGAAGATGACAGTCAAAGGAGTTATTTACAAAAGCACTTTCTCTGATTACATCTTATGCATATGGATCTCAGAGCCTTTAAACTGACTGATATTATTTCTTTCATAAGGTCTAAGTTTTCATCTGTCTTTAAAAAAGAATAAAGTTTCAAAGATTTGATTCTGAAACAGACAATGTTCACTCTACACACCTCAAATTCTTCCCAGAATCCTTGTTTGGGTTTCTCTGAGTTGTCTGCTACTTTGTTGAGCTCTCGTACCCGGTTCTCAATGTTGGCTGCATTTATCCTTGTGGCATTAAAGGGCTGTAAGACAGGAGGAATAATAGTCAATGTGTCATACCAAGTTATTTTAAGTCGAAATGGCCATAGTTGAAAGAAGCCAGCATGTTTTGCCTTACCTGTTTAAGGTGCACAACAATGCCACTTTTCTCCACCATGGGGTTCTTCTTGTAATGATCAACTAGGTCAGCGAGAGTGTCAAACCTCTCACCACCGCCCACATCGTATTTACCGTCCTGCTGGAGACATAAACATAAACACTTTAACGAGAGCAACAGCTGCTGTGGTGAGTCTTAATGGTTCAGAAAAAAAAACTCATGATCTGTTTTACAATTTTCAAATAATCTAACTCAAAGCATCAGCAGTAAACTGAGGAAAATTACAGGCGATTATAAACCTCTGCTTTTCCATTTCCAAAGGCACTGTCTGAGTATCCTCACCTGGTAGCGTATCATAACATGGGTGACTTTGGTCCTCCGATCCACGTTCTCGTGTTTCTCCTCATTGGTGAGAACAGAGAGCACAAAGTCGCCCGGTTTACTCTGGCTTTCCCGTACCAGAAAGCTACCTGCTTTGCCTTTCTCTGTGAGCAGTTTCTCTGCATCTCGCCCCGACAGATGCCCGTGGTACCACCTGAGAAAGAGGGAGACAATTTATCAACAGACTGTCTCAATGTGATGTTCTGGACATTCAGGGTCAAATTTTTTTAATGTAAACATCAAGTTAAAACAAAAAAGACCCGTTAAATATGCAGTACGCAAGACCTGCTCATGAAAAGTTATCAGATAAGACTGTTTTTCTTTCAGAGCTTAAAGCACTTCCCTTTCTTTAAGCTTGTCACTTCTTAGAAAGGATACTCTCACCTAGGCTGCCAGTGTTAACATGTAAGTTGCAAAAACATTAAGATGAGAAATTAACACATTATTATTATTTTTAACCTCTTTTGGTACATTATAGATGAGCTGCTTACTGCTGTTACTGTGGGGAAAAATAACAACACCACTGTCCTTTTAAAATACACATTTCACTTGTTGAAAAACTCTCTGTCAGCCAAATTGAAAAGACAGAAGTAGTACGTACTCTGTGTCCAGCAGAGTTCAAATATTACTCAAGTACTTTCAACTTAAGCTGCGAACCAAACATACAGGTGCAAATAATCAGACTGATGCCAACAGAGCATTACTCTGGAGTGTAAGTATCCACATAAGCCTGTGAAAAAACACCTCTCAGTCATGATTTCAGACCACACTGGTATATCAGTGCAGCATTTATTTGAATGTAAAATCCAAACTCAGGATCACAACACTCATTTCACTGAAGCCGTTTCTTGCCCAATTATTGATATTCTGGGATTAAACACTGCTAGCAAAGTATTCATTTGATGGATCTATTTGTTACTAAGGTTTTAACATGTAAACAGCTTATCTTGAAACAAGACATGACGTATTTTTGAAACTGTTAATTAAGGCTTACAAAAACAAAACAGCTCTAAGATATCAGAATTAGTTATTTCAAACATTTCATTCTTTATATCTTTTCACATTTTGAGGACTCATAAGAAGCAAAACTACCTTAGGTTTTATTGTCAACCTTAAATCACAGCACTAACATCATTTTGAGATGGACATTCAGTACGAAGACATTATTTAATTTATTGAATTTGCCTTCGAAGATAAATAGTTATTCTTTTTGTGAAGTTATTTTTATTCTATTTATGGAACACACTATGAGTCTTTTGGGTAATTTTGTGACATCTCAAAGTTGAAATTGGACTTGTACTTCATGTGGCAAAGATTCACGCCAATAAATTCCATGTCTAGTAAAAGTAGATTCAGTCAGACTATGTCTTTCAAGGTTAAGAAATTCCTCTGTAAATTCAAGGGCGTGTAGTCTCATTTCAGGACCATCAGAAATCTTATTTCTGTATCTGGACATAATTTTCTCACTTATTGGTTGTAGGGTGTACACTGAGTCCTACATTTAAAGCCATTTTCAAAAGAGTAGCTGGTGGTAGTCTGTAAATATTTCTTGTATATTTAGAAAATAAGCTTAAAAATCCATCTTTGTGTCTCAAAAAATGCAACAATTTCCTCAGTGAATCTACTCCCAGTTTGAAGGGTTCTTTGTTACTTAAAATTGTATTTACTGCAAACTTTCTGTTTTCACAGCCAACTTTTTCCCATATAAGTGAGTATTAATTCAATCAGACCGGCTGTGTCACTGTCTTGTTATATTACAAAAAAATGGAGAAGCTCAGCTTCCTGCTACATGCTGTTTCTAGGTAGAAGAATTAATGAGACAAGTTACGAGTTGAGACTGAAACTTGACAAACTGAGGAGGAGGACTGACAATATGCTTCCTCCCTTGAGGGAAAGAGGCCCAGATCGTAAGTGTGGGGTTTACATAATGTCTATCTATATGTACTGTTACATTGTGAGCACAGACTCCTACACAAGAATAAAGTGTCTGCACTCAGTTGCTGATGTGAGGATGAAAAACCTGCATGTGTGTGTGTTGTTGTTTTTTTTTTTTCCTGTGTGGTGAGGACAAGTGTGTGGGAGGTTTTAACAAGAGACGTATATGTAGAATGGAAAAACCACATAAGCCAAAACCAAAGATCACGAGTTTCTCTTCAACCTAAACAAAAACAGAGATATACACATCAGACTGAGAGGATGTGTAGAATAAGGAGGTGTACATAATAAGATTAGCAAGAGACGATACCGACCACAGCTGGAAAGAGATTATTTACACGAGGAAATAAATATAAACATGTACCTTTCCAAAAAGCTTCCTGTATATGTGTGAGTGCACACATGGATTCCTGGCAGAGGCTTTAGTCTCCCATTTCAATGAGCTGTGTAGGTGGGATAAAGTGTATGTCTGTTTCAAACCTGTATGTACTCCCTGGAGAGCGTTAGCCTGTAGATACTTGCTGCACATAAACAAAAACAGCAGCACCACCCACTAGGCTTGTTTGAAGTCGTATTTGCAAATAGACCAATATTTATGCATGTGGATATGAAGTGAGTCTAAATTTAATGAGTGGGAGTGTGTACGTACTGAATAATGTTTCCTCCCTACAATTAGAACGAGTAAACACAAGCACTGGTACATAGTGAACTAAAGGCTGATTGTTTTTCTGTTGCCATTTTATTTCGCAGAGGACTTGCGGCTGATATATGGTTGGATTATAATTCAGTGTCTTCAGAATACATATTCTCACAGATTCTGCTGGAAACTGAGGCTGGAACACAAACTGTACATATTTTTGTGTTGATTTCTTTTCAAATAAAAGCTCCACATTTTCAAACCTCAATTCTTTTCAATACCAAGTGCTTTTGAACGATATAATCTGATGTAATCTTTGCTATCTTTATGTTAAATAGGATCAAAATATCTAAAGCTTATAAAAAGCTTATAAGGTACACCATGAGTGTACTTCAACTACAAAAACCTTCACTTCTGAGACCAAACTTTTGGTTAACCCGAGACAAAGATGAAGAGGAAGAACTGAAGCAGACCGTAAACGACTGTAACCCAACTCTAAGTTGGCACCAACACACTCTCAGTTATGTTAAACTATGCATTACTCTTTGTAATGCATACCCCCCCACCCAGGCTGTGAACATGTTTGATTTTAAACAAAAGTTGCTGTGAGTGAATGACAGACAAATCAGAGAAGAAGACAAAAGCAGTGGTGACTTATCCACAAAATAGTCAAAAAGCAGGTATTGTTTATGGAACAAAGCAGATCTGTAGTAAACTCTGGGTTTATAAAAGAAAGATAGACACCAGGAGAAAAAAAGAATTTACTGCTTCAGACAATCAGACCATTCCCAAGTTTTGATTTCATAGGTGAGGTGCACAGCAAGGCTACTGGTACTAAGTTAAACAGAACAAACTCAGGCAATATTTTGGTTGCAGCTATTTGTGTGGGTCTGTAGCTCTATTAATAATGGAAACATATCAGGTTAGGGCTTGTATTGGCATGTATTCAATAATAAGAATTGGACTGGGATTTCTGACAAAGAAGCTAATGGGGACATTACTTGTTGACTGCTACAAAAGTTTGTAACCATTTGTGACTCGGCTGAAATTTGATGCCAATGAAAATGAATCATTTGAAATCTTAATTTGTGGTAAGACAAACTAATAACTCCCAAAGTACACATCTGCTCTGACATAGGTGGCTATCCCCTGCAAGAGTGTAACTCAACACTGATGTCAGCCTGGCCCCTTTTGCTTGAATATGCTGGAAAAGCATCATGATGACGCAAAACTTTAATGCATAGTATTATGTGTCACAATTTCATGGTCCGAATTAAATTCAAGAAATTCTAAGGAGTTAATACAGGGTGAAAAATGCTACAAAAACAGCATAGAGCCCACAACAGGATCCTGTAGCTGAAGAGAAATCTAGACTAATAACATTCCCAGGTGGTTTAGCTGCTTCTCACTGCAGGATGAGGCTTAACAGTCTGACAGCCCTGACGCTGGAAGAATAAAAATAACTTGTGGTCCAGAGAGAAACTTTCATGCACTTTTAATGAGTTTAGCAATATACGTGGCTAACCTGAGCTAAACTTCTGTGCCTGTCTGCCTATAGTTATCTACGTTGTGTTTGGCTGTATGCTAATGTGAGCTCATTTGTATGCATGGGTATGGAGAATGACTTGGTGTGCACCTTTCAGAGGTGGGGTCCTTGCAGTTGAGTGGGTACTTGAGCTCGATGACATGGCCGTTTCTCTCACGCAGGAGATCCTGTTGCTCGGTGTAATACTGCACTAGCTCGGCCAGCGTGGCAAACTTCTCACCTCCATACAAGTCGTAGTAGTCCCCTGAGTTCTGGATCTTAATGTGGGTCACCTCATCGTACCGTCTGAGAGTGAAAAACACAAAGAGGAAATAATATCACTTAAATATCAAAATCTTCCTCTAAACATCAACAAGCAGTTTTGCATTTCCCTTTTGATCATTTTCGCTTAAATGTTGCACTCAGCAGATATTTAAGCTGCAAACACCAACAGCCACCCACACGCGTATTCATACGGTGTATGTTCATGCTTAATTCAAGACTGTACACACTTTGTCGCCCACACTTACTCATAGAGTATTGCATGTACACAGAACTGTTCCAGCTTATCAGGCCATCTGTTTCCATATTAAGACTTTTTTTTTTTTTTACCAGCCTGTTGTCCTGGTGACATTTTTTGTCTCATCCAACTGATATTTTCTAACACAAACCTTCTTCATTTGGTCTGTAACACAATGAGTTTGTTTGCATCACAGGGATATTTTAATCATTACACATAGCTCTGAGTACTAAGTGAATAATCCCAAACATCTTTAACTTTTCTTTTTGTCTACACTAAAAAAAAGTAAGGCGCAACCCAGTGCAGCAAAGAAAATTGCAAGAAGCTGCAGAGGCCCACAGTGATTTGAAAACACTGAGGAATTTTATCAGACAGCGTTTTTCACTTTCACTTCCATAAGCAAACAAACATAAATCTCTTCACAAGGGATCATCCCTTCTTTAATTCTCTGTAGTTTTTATATCTAATGCATTTGGGGGGAAGCTGCATTGTGATTGCAGAACAGTACAACAGAGCGCACGCAGCTGCCCAGCTCAAAGACTGATAAGCCAGAAAACATTTGGTACCACTTTGCATATTCAAAGTCCCCTTACTGTTTTTTTTTTTCGAATATGTGCACATGAGGCTGAATCCACACACACACACACACACACACACACACACACACACACACACACACACACACACACACACACACACACACACACACACACACACACACACACACACACACACACACACACACACACACACACACACACACACACACACACACACACACACAGCACACATGCGCACAGAGGCTCTAAAACACCCAGTTCAACTCTGTCTGCAAGCAAGTGGAGAAGCAGCTGAACAGCTTGGGCGCTAAATCCACTTGTTTTTCCATCTTCCATCTCCAGTGACTTTGTCTGACATGTTTCTCTGGCAGAAATAAACAAAACGCCCTGTAAACGTATTAAAGATGACACACACAAACTTACTACTGAGTTTTAAGGACCACAGGGGAGTTGGTCAGGCAGTCAGTGCAGCAGTCTGATTTTCGGTTTGAGATACAAATCTCTCTCTCTCCATCTGTCTGTCTTCCTCTTCTGACTGTCTCTCTCTTTCTCCTAATTCCCCTCCTCTCCCTCTCTCTCCCTCTGCAAACTGATTACTAGCTAATGGCCGTATCAAATGGCACAAATCCTATTTCCCCCATCACTTTTCTTGCTGTCCTGGCTGATTTCACATTCCTTTTTCTCTATTCTTCCCATCCTTGCACTCAACATACTATAAATCCTCCCTTCATTCTTGTCCGATTATCCATCCCTCTCTCTTTTTCCCCTCCATCCCTCTCTCTCAGTATTTCCTGGTAATTGCTTTATGGCTCTAATAGAGGCTGTTGGCTGGGTGCCACAGGTCTTTGGCCCTGTTAAAGGGCCCTCCTTGATTCTCGGGCCAAAACCCCCTTTTCTCTTGGGGTTTAACACTGCTAACAGTGGGATGAGCTGAACACACCCTCTTACAGGCTTCTGCACAAATATTACTGGCTTCTGTGCAGAAAGACTACAGAGAGCCATCAAAAGTTTGTCCTAATGACCATCCAGCTCGCTCTGATAACAGGCTATATTTGGATGCATGAAAGATTAATTACTGTAATTCTTTTGTTTCATTTTGCCCTTTGATTTTGAGAGAGAGTAAGAAATGTCATTAAGATAAGATGAAATTCTCAAACACTTTGACTTAGCCAGTCCTTTTTGATATATACACACTGTAATAAAGACAAATCTTTCTATTTACTTCAAAAGAGAACCAAAGACACTTAGGTTGTCTTTAAATAACTAACTTAATGAAAAACAGAGATTATGGGAGAATCTTTTGTGCTTTTAAGATGGAAAAAAAGGTTTATTTTCAAGAAACAATTTTTGTTTCTTGAAGTAAAATTTAAACATGGTTGTTTATCAGAAAAAAGAGAGAAAAACAGGATATTGATGACCACTACTTCAAAGACAGATGAGCAAAATGTTGGTGAAAAAATTGAATTTGATGGTTTGCAAGTTAATCAAAGTTTATGAATCAATGAACATGGTACAAAGGCAACAACCAAATGCCAAAACTGGAACACTTCATTATTTTATAAAATATTCATTCATCTTCTATACCTCTTATCCCTTTCAGGGTCGCAGGTGGGCTGGAGCCTATCCCAGCTGTCATTGGGCGAGAGGCGGTGTACAACCTGAATTGGTCGCCAGACAATTGCAGGACCACGCAGAGAGACAGACAACCACTCGCGCTCATACTTGCTTATTTTAATTTGATGCCAGCAATACATTTCTAAATGTTTGGAAAAGGACACTGAGCTGCATCATCTTGTAAAAAGAACTAAATATGCAAAGATATTATCTGGATAGCAGCATGTTTTTCTCTAAAATGGCTAATTTTGCAGCATCCAAAATCCTGGTAAAATCAAGTGTACAGACACAAGACAAGAGAATCATTTATTGATGAGAGATACACATAAATGAACATGTACAGATCCCTAAATTCTTGAATTATAGCATGCCTCACCTTTAGGCTATTCCAAGAAATAGTCTTACAGCAAGACACCACTGAAAAATCTTCTTATACCACATTCAGGTCACTCATCCAACAATACATTTTTCACCTCTTTTAATACTTTGGTTCTAAAAGGAGGAAAGTTCATATGATTTGTCAATACCTTTAAGGATGGGCCAGAATTAGTTTTGACGGCTTGTTTTAATCCTTTATAGTTTTAGACAAATTCTTCTCAATGACACCTACAAATATTATGTCTAGCTTTGGTCAAAATAGAAAGTCATCACAACTGTTTCTCTCTTTAAATTCGTCTACTTGGCTAATCAACCTGGTATTAAAGCAGTGGCGATTGCTCTAAGACTGCAAGGGAAGCTCGGCTTCCCTTTAAATGTCACCCCCCAAAAAAAAGAAAAAGTGGTGAAATACGTACTGCTGTGTGTACATTTCATTAACTAAATATGCACTAGAAAGCCTTCATCTTTTGTTCAGACACTGTGATAAGAAGCTGATAATTACAGGTTACCGGCATAACTTCGTTCTCATTCATCCTCGCAGCGCCTCAGCGCTTTAAACAGCCGGACGCTGGGCTTCTGCTGACTTCAATCTGGAAGTTAAAAGTGGGTTGTTCCAGCAGCGAAACTAGACGCTCATTGGATAAATGCTGGGCTTTGTCCCGCCCATCGGAAGCTTAGCTTCACTGGAGTTCTATGGCGAGAGGGCGGTCCCGACTTTCTCCCGGACTCCAAGCTTCTGCATCCATGATTGGATGAGCTGTCTGAGGCGAAATCCTTTTTTGATTGACAGCTAAACAAGCGAATCAGCGATCTTGAAGAATAAAACATCTACCAGAGCATTTTCCAAGTCATTCATTCCGTTGTTCTTAACTGCTCCGGAGACTTTACCGATCCTCAGCGACTTCTGTCTTTATTAAAAACGACTGCCGTTGTGTTTGGCGACTCTGTTCTGTTACATACTAATAAACAAATACAATTATGATGTAGGCCAGAAAAATGAGCTTCCCCTCATTGAAAGACCAGCAGCCGCCACTGTATTAAAGCCATACGAAGCATTAACATGTAATGCATTTCATTCTCATTATACTGTGACATGTACAATATCAACAATTCCTGAATAACTTAGCTTAGACTTTCCCACAACGCAAAGCTACTGCTGTATCCCTGCTGATTGACTAAGGACAGGACAGGAAAGTACGCTGCACAGATAAAAGTGGTCATAAAGTGGCATGATCTTGGAACAAAACATTATGTCTTTGGCCTCCTTGGCTGTGTTTCGTTTCTTGCACTTCACATGAAGTGCAACAATAAAAAAGGCTGTATTGCTCTTATATAGTCCTCAACTCTGCCTGTGATGACAGGTAATGGATAAACAATCATTTTAAAGAGTTTTGAGCCGCATTGTCAACTTAAATGATTCAGAATTGATCAAAACTGTTGAATATTTTATGAAATAACACATCCTTAAACCAGAATAGAAGGAGGCCCATAAAAACAGCAATTTTTTAATATTTAAGTGGCAACACCGCCAGCAGCTGGTTGTGGCTTTGTCACTGATGTACAAAAGGAACAAATCATTAATGACAGTGAGAATCCCTCAGCTCATTCAGCCTGTTGCAAGACTGTATAACTTGTATTTGTACTGATGAAGTAAACACACTGTGGCGGAAAGTAGACTTTCAGTATCAGGAGGTTCTCTACTGACATTTGAGTTCTGTCTTCTTTGAGTTATGAAAATGTATATTTTTATAAGTGCTTTGTTTTTATGTTGTCACTGTCTCATCAACATCATGGAAAAAGGTTGTTGATGTTCATTTACTGAATTAACTGAATTAAAGACAGCTTCAGCATCAATACTTAGACCTGATTGCTGTGTGCATGTAAAATGCAGATGGAAGCACGACTCCTGCTTCTCTTAGCTGAGGATGTTAATGGGCCGCGTAAAGACAAAGCTAACTTTTGTTAATGCAGCAGGAGAAAGAAACTTCACTTAGAGCTCCATTTGAAAGCTCAGAGATAATTATAATTCAAATACATTAAACATTCATAGATTGACTTGAATGTTTTTTTTTTTCTCCACTTGACAGGATAGCCTGGTTGCAAAGGAAACTCATCTGAGTAAACTCTGGCTTGCATGGACCTGAAAATCCATTCCTCTCAGTGCTAATTTGCCCCGCAAAATTCTCTCTCAAGATTGCCCTCAAAAATTCCTCCTCAGGGTCTTTAGAGTTTATAAAGAGCATAAAAAATGAGAACTTGACCGGACTGCTCTCCTTATGGGGTTGGACTGTAAATTAGGACAAAACTTTCTCTGCTTCAAACTTTTCTCTCTCTCTTTCTTTGAGCTTTGTGAAACTCTGAATTGATTACAATTTTCAAAATCCTCAAAAAGCGCTCGTTAACAGCTCCGGCTTCAGAGCTGCAGATCAGTTCGACCACTGCTTCTGCTGTTCGCCTCCTGCTGCACTGAAGAGAGGAGAGGTGTGTGAGATAAGAGGAGGAGAGCGAGAGAGAGGGAGATAAGACAGAGAGAGAGAGAGACAGAGAGAGAGCAACAGACTCCCTCAGCGTCCATTACAATCTGAACATATCCTTTAACTTTCCTGCTGATAAGGGCCTGGGTAAGATGAAACCTAGCTAATGACTGGCTAATTAGCCTCTGCTCTGATAAGACACTCTGTGTGTCTGTGTGCATGAGTGTGTATGTGTGTGTGTTAGACAAGAAATGAAGACTGTGTTAGGTAGCATGATGCTAGCTAAGAATAGCTCCTGCTGATAAAGGATAATTAGTTATTTATCTTTACTTGGTTCCAATATTTTCGACACCAGACAGACTTTGTTAAGCTCAGTGTAATCAGTCAAATTAAGAACCTACATTTTTTACATTTTTCATACTGCACATGCCCTCAAGATGGTGAGCAAAATCAAAAATGAGCGCAGGTTTTGGTGACTCTCTTTCATGAGAGACAGGATAATTTTCTCATTTGACCTTACAGACTCGTGAACACTTGTAGCATCCATTTTTAGATACAGTCTATGGTCAGAAATGTTGTGACGTTGTGTATGATGTTTCTTTGTAGTACTTTATTAAGTTTGAAAAATGGAGGTCTCTTTTTACTCCTTTTTGAGAATTCAAATGATTCTCTAAAATCAAGTTAATGAAACATGTAATAAAGCGAGTGAGGTAATGGAAAGCAACTGATGTTAGCAAGCGCCTATCTGCTTCTTGAATACAGCACACAGGATAGGGCTGCGTGATAAACCGAAAAGCTACTGCTACCAAAATTTACAACAATAGTCGACGTTATTTTGCCCATGTCAATATATTCGGTGTCAAATAAATAAAGAAATAAAAGTTGGTGTTGGATGTGTGTAGGTAGGCTATGGTCTCATGTCCCTTTAAGACGCTGTCCTACGTCTTAGACATGACTCCACCCCATCCAGTCCGTAACAAAGAGGGAAAGACAGGTGAGGAGATGGAGGGCAGATCAAAAGTTGTAGCAGCTGGAGCAGCAGCTGAAGTAGATAGAGTTAATGTGGGAGGGGGTGAGCAGCTTGTGGAGTAGTTATCGTCCATTTATCGTTATCGAGGTGAACTGCTCAATATATCATGGTATTGATTTGAGGCCATATCACCCAGCTCTAACACAGGACTCTGCAAATATGACAAAAATGATCACAAAATCTGACAACTGATATTGAAGATATATGCTTTGATAATGCTCTTTAGTTTCCATCGTAAGGTCTGAAGGCTGCATGTTTTAATCAAAAACAAAACGATACAGCTCAAGTAATCACTATGAATTCTGATGGCTAGGGTGACTATGAATAATTGTAGAAAAGCCCAACTTTCAGTTTCTTCTTTGTTTCTTTGCTTGAACAAACATTGTATCTGGAAGGCTGCTTCAAACATAACTTCAGGTCGTTATGTTAGGATTTTACGAAAATAAAACGTTTTGGTGTTTCCACACTTCAGTTGGAATTGACAGTGTTGAGGGGGCTTGTAAGCCGGCGGCTTTAACTGTTAATTTAGTAAAAGTTATCATGCCATCCCTTTCAACCACAAAGGGTTTTGTCTTTTTTTGAATGGTTAAGTACACATTACTATGTAACTAAAATTAATATTGACTGTAACTGTCAGTGCAAGCCCAAATGTATAGCCTCTGTAGCTGTCACCGGTCAAATTTTGCTGTCTGGTTACTAATATGATAAATCACAGTTTCTTAACTTTCTCTGTTTTTTTTATAACTGTCCCCTTTGTTTACATGTTTGTATTCTGGCTCCTGAGAGAAGTAACCAAACTTTTTTTGTAAGAGAAAGTCAACTGCTTATCTTTCCTTTCGAGTTTCAGTCCCCCACCACAAGAGCTCAGTTCCTCCCTCTTTCTCTCTGGTCAATGTGACCTACCTTCTCTAGCAGGTGCTGAGCCTCTGCACACCCACTTCAATGTGTGTACGTGTGTTTAAGTCTGTCGAGACCACAAACTGTACAAACTGTAGCTACAACTAACCCCCACCACTCCTCCTGTGAGGGGTGTGATTTATGACAGAGCAGAGCCACATTTACACACACACACACACACACACACACACACACACACACACACACACACACACACACACACACATTAACCTTAGTGAGTGAAGGTCAAACCCTAAACAGGTCCCCCACTCTTAATATTATTTCAAAGCTACTGCATGTCTTACTTGACTGTTTCCTTTTCCTGCCCAAGTTTTTTTTTCCTTCAATATCTCTCTCTCACACACACGGCCTCTATATCCCCATGCAAACATGCCAGCTTCAGCTGCAGTCACACAGTAACAAATGTGTTTGGGCCTTGTTCCAGGCGCTTGGCCGACTGATGTATCTCTTAAAAGCTTCCGTTGCCAAGGAAAAGCCACTCTATAAACTCTCTCCTCTTCTTTCTTGGTTTGTTCTGTGCTCCCTGTGAGCACCGCAGCATGTCATGCTGAGCCCTTCTTACTAGAAATTTCATTAAAGAGATCAAGTGAACTTTGCTTTAGGGTATTACTGTGGTTTCTCAGGGTGTTACAATCTAGTGCACTTCTCTGACTCACCTCAGCTCTACCCCATTACCCCAAAACTAAGGATTTTCAGAGCTGTTTGTGTCGTGTTATCTGATCTCATAAAATCCAAACCAGTTATCCAACACTTTCCTAGAAACAATCACACAAAACAACTTCTGTTTAAATGCCACTTATCCAAGCAAAGAGAAAATGTTTGTTACTAGTTTATTGTCTGGATGTTCGTCATTTGCTCTGCCTCAGGATAGACCTTGAGTTCTTCTGATGGGTAAACATCCCACTTTAGTCAAACCAGCACAGTCACTGCTTATTCTCAGACTGAAACGGAGTAAATTCATGATTACTCAATAGTTTTTAGAGCGTTGACGGACAGCAGTACACTCCACATGTTAAATAATGAGAGTAACTCTTGATATTTCTGCTCATAAGATCTATAAAGTAGCATGTCACTCAACAAGAAAAACCTTAAAGCATGTTAGGGTTCCCACAATAAAATACTGTGCTGGCAGCCCCATCATTGTATCACTAGATATGTTTTGTTTGCCAAAACAGCACGAAAGAGACACTGTTTTGGAAAGGGTGGAGATCTGTGCCAGGAAATCAGAAAAGCCCATTGAGAATCCTATCCTTAAAACAAAAAAGTGGCATCATATTTAAAATGTAACTTAAATATATTGTAAATATTACAGTGATCATTTTCCAGGTTGACCCACTTGTCTTTTCAATCATCTGTTAAGTCTCTCAAAGTAAAACAGCAACAGCTTTGTTTGTTCTCAGGACTGAACTTTGAACCGGTGAAAACAGTGAAGTTAAAGAGAAAAGCTAATGGAGGGAAAACAAGATCAACATGGAAACAGAGAGAGAGGGTGGAGGTGAGGACTCACCTCACAGACAGGGTAAAATCCCCCGGGTTGCTCTTGCTGGGTCGGGCCAGGAAACTACCGTGGACGCCCCGCGTCAACAGGAGCTGCTCTGCCTCGAATCCGGTGATGTTAGGGTGGAACCACCTGTAAAAAAGGGGGAAATTGCCTGTTAAACCTCAAGATCACTGCTGCATCCCTTTTAGAAGAACATTGATCAGGTGTAACCCATCAGTGTCCAGCATCCTTTCTTATAGACACACAAAAGGCCTTGACACTAAATTTTCCCTGATCTCAACTCAGTTTGTCAAATCCAACGTTGAGAATATCCTGTGGGGTCCTAGCAGCCTAGCAGTCTACGCTAACCCCATACAGTTTAAGCTAACCTCATACAATGTTTAATGGTCTGACTCTCAGCCACGACCCTTTGCAGCATGTCAACCCTTGCTCTTTACTCTTGGCAAAAATGCCCTAAAACACAACTTAAAAAACGATGTCCTGTAGGTTCTTACAGACAGAAATAGAATAATAATGACAAGCAATATTTCAGATGTAGTAACTCTGCTCTATATCTCATGGCCTGATTCACAGGGAGTTGCAGCTTCTGCAACCACAATTCCATACCAATAACTCTACTTCTGAATGTGCAAATAGTGATCCATACATACATTTAGTCTGTTATCTTTACTACTATTAGAATAAAAATAATGTCTAATGCTCAGCCCTCGCGCATACAGACGCATTTAACCACATGATGCTGGAGAAGAATTATTTTTTCTCTTTTTTCCCAGATGAGCTGCTCCTGCTGGCTTGCTCCAGCTTTGTTATACATGAGGAAATTTGTATCACCCCTTTTGTCATGAGCCAATTCCACAATACATTGATAAGAGGCTTAATTTTCACGCACATGTGCAGTTTACAGCCCAATGGGGATGAAAGCCTGAAGCCGAGCTTATTGCAGCAGAGAGTGGAGATGCTGACAGCTTATCGCCACAATCAGACACAAAACATGAGCAAATTGTTTGAGGACTTAAACTCTGAGGATAGAAAGAGCAAATGAGCAATTTGAGGAGCAATTAGTATTCACAGTCCATTTTGAGGGACCTCCCCTCTTAGTGTGCAGACCTATAGGAGTGCTACTACTCACTTTATAAGCACAAAATTTGTCCATCCACCTACTTATCTACTTAATCTGGACCTACTTTTCTCTCTTTCAATGTCGATGGACACTTTATCATACAAATTTCTAAAATTTCCATACACTGAGCTTTTTTTAAATGACTTTGTTACTATATGGTGACAAATGCCCTGAAAGTGCAGCAATAATGCCGTCAAAACTTTTGATGTTAGATTCTTTCTAGACTGAGAGGGAAAGAAATACAGAGGGGAAAGCACAGAGCAAACAAAAACCATGTAAATACAAACCTAGAACACAGACATGCAAGTGCAGACAGGACCCATAGGCTCATGTTAACCCCCATGTCAGCGGGGCTTAAAAAAGTCTCGGCTTCCAGTCTAATCACGGTTCAGTCAGAGCAGCTCAGAAGCATAGACTTCATTAACAGGTCAAAGCTTAGTGTTCAGACTCGGGGATCTGTTATTCACTGAGTCAGAGGTGTTTGTCAACTGTGCAGACCTTCAGTTTCTGATCAAAGCTGGACTGCTAGAAAATCAGAATTAGGGTCCCTGTGCTCAGCTTTCTCTCTTGAGTAATAAGAAGTCGTCCCAGTGAATTTCAAAATGGTTACAGTTCACTAATTTAAGGTTTACTTGTTAGGGACAGATATAATATACAATGGCAAACTGAAAACAGCCATTCTTTTCAAGTATTAATTTGCGTATCATCCAGAGACTGTAAACTGGGTACAGCATGGAAAAATTCTTCACTCTGTTTTGGTAGCTTTTTTTAAAGCTCTCTTTTCAATAAAGTGAGTTCCAGGATTTTACCCCTCACAGAAAAAGTTGTTCAAGATGTTTTGCAGAATGAAACTTTACAATGCTTCAGTGGATCTGTTGCAACTCTGTAACATCTTTATGCATTTGGAAATACACGGAGAGGCTAACACAATTCCATTGAAATATCTAAACAAAGCTTTCCATGATGTTGTATTTACTTGGCATCGAGCCACAAAGATACTTATTAAAAATGTTCAGTTTGCGTAACTGCAACCGCATCTGCACCACCAATGGTACAACTGTATAACATCTGAAGTCAACCTCTGAGCTTCTTCCACCTTGGTGCTCCAAATTGGGGTGACAATAGAGAGCTATGGTACTTACTTTTTTATGAACCTATAGAACTTGAATACAGCTGAGTGGTTCAAAATGACTAGATTTGTAATTTACATAAAATTGCTGAAAAAATAGAGGTGTAGGCAAATTGCTGCAGATTTAGGGCAAAGTGAAAGAAGGCTCAAACTTAATGTATATTTCATCAATTAATGCCCTTTGTCTTCGAGATTTATTCCCACAGACAGTTTGTGACCATAAAGCAGCACCACCTGTTTGTTTCCTGATATAAATTATTGAACACAAACTGTATGTCCTCCTGTCGCACCCTGGTTTAAAAAGAAAGGACATAAAAGTTTACAGTACTGCTGTGCCAAAGCTAATGATTACATGTTACTTCCTCTATTGCAAATATTTATCCAACAGCTTCTCAGGTAGGTTGACCCGCTATCTGGAAAGAGCGCTTTCACTGGAGTGTTTGTCACTGCTACTTATCCAAACCAAGCCATAATCATTATTCATAAACATTCACGACTCACGAGGCATAAACCCAGTGCATCTGTGCACTTTTATTAGTAGATGGAGAGAAAAAACTGTACTTTATACGTGAAGGACTTTGCTTATCTGGAGGAAGCAGAGAGTAGGTTATACAGCAGTATTCAAGTGAATGGCTGAATGTCAGCTGTGTGGATTAAGAGCTCATGTTTAAGCAGGGATCATTGGGTTAAACCTCCCTAACTACTGTGTGCCACTGCTGGCTAATCCAGCGCACCATTAGCTCCAGGGCCCCATTTGTGTGTCAAGGAATGGGGTTTGACTGACTTAAATACTGAGACAGTATATAGTCAGTGGTGTGTTGCCTTTCAGTGGGAATACAAAGAATGTGATAGTTAAGGGCTATGATTGTGTTATTTTTACAGGTTGTTTAAAATTGTTTTCACAAATAGGTATTACAGGGTTTCCCCTACATGTAATTGATCATGGCGCACCGCCACGACAACATAAAAGCCGCCACACCTTAAAAATTAGGATTTTTTTCACAGGGTGCTACCTTCGATTTAGTATGTGTCAGTATATGCGGCGCTACACTGCGAGGCTAGCACACTGAGTATTAGCATTAGCGAGTTCACATCTGCGATCACACAGCTGATTCATTTGCCCCCCCTGCACCCCAAATCCCACACCACCACAGACAGATTCCCGTCCTGTGGGAAACACTGTATTACCTATTAATTCATTCATTTTTTGCTAATCTTTAATCAGACAGCTTGAGAGCAACAAAAATGAGGAAAAAGAGAATAACATGCATCAGATCTAATCAGGATAGGGAATTAATCCTAGGACTAGAACAATTAGAATTGTAGCCTCTGTACACGGGGCGCCTGCTCTGAGAGAAAGGTTTCACTTAATATTATGATCTGTCTTGACCTACTTTGTTCCAACAGTAGCACTTTTTAGTTTTAGGGGGTCAGAGACAGGTTTCCAACAACATAGTAGGGTTAAAGAACACTGCTGCAAAATATCAGTTAAATATTTTGAACTATGGATCAGACTAATTCACAATAATAATAAAAAAAGCATTAACTTTTCCCATAGGGAAAGTCCTGGGCTGTTTTCTATAACTGCATTAGTGATTTGCAATTCAAAATACTTTCTGAGTGATTAGTTAGCATTTCTAACAGCGGAAATTCATCCATGTATTAATTCTGTTTTTATTCTTTGACGAATTGAAATAAAACATTTATTTCTACATTGATAAACGAGAGAATATTAAAAGTACTCTTCTAGCAGCCTTTGACTACAAGAAAAATGCTATTAAATGTCAGTGATTCAACAAGCAGATTAAAAAAAGACTTTGAAACACTGTCATACAGACTAAATGAGTCATGGAAATCCTACATTTCATGTCTTAAATCATAGCTCTTCAAAGCCAGCTCGGGACAGTACAAAGGCTTATTATTGATGAATATTACCCAATGGAAAACAGGCAGGGGGTGACACAAGAGAACCTTCATGAAACCCATGCTGAGTAGATAATATCTGAAGGCTTCGACAGAGGTTGAGCATTTAGGCGTTTCTGTTTCTGTGTACTAGATGACACAGACTCATGACAGTAAGATAAAAATAAGACTCATGTGTCAGCTCAGCAGATCTTGTGTCACCTCAGAGTGGCGAATACAAACTAGAATAGTGTTGTGGTCACTGCTGGTCTAGATCTCACTGTCTGGTATGTAACACAGTTCTATTTATAACTTTCTACAAAACCTCGTAAAACCCCTAAAGCATAAACACTTTCAGCATGCAACAAGATATCGTACCTCTTATCTACTGTCAGAGTTACCGTTAATTTCTGATCTTAGACATACAGGCCAGTTTCAACATCTGAGACCCAAATCTTATTTTCAGATGCCAAACGAGTACACAAAAACAAAAACATTTAAAGTAAGCCTGCACTAGCTAGATGCAGCATTAGAGACTGTAATGGCAAAACGTAATCGATCCGGTCGAAGGTACTGCTTTAAAGAGTTTCCACTCAAATTGCTTGTTTTTTTAGTGATGGGCTCAGATTGAAATTTTTAAGTGTCTAATGATCGAGGAATTTTCTCTGCCTCGAGTACTCCTTTATAAGCTTAAATCGTAACTGTTTCGCACTAATTATTTTCAAGGTGGCACAACATGCTTACGTCACCACAGTAGAAGGAGTAGTAAGAGCGGTTTTGGTTTTGTGGAGCGGAAAAAATGAATAATGAGAGGGGCTTTTCTTCTGCAGAACTCCTGTAGCTCATTAGCAATTCGCCTTTGAGTTGTGGGCGGAGACAGCGCTGCTCTGGACACTCCTCTTCACGCTAGCTTGCAGCCTAATATTGCCGATGTAGTAGAAGCAGCGGGTAACATCAGAGTTATTCAGCTCTAAGACACTAATGGCTTCAGGGACATGATGAAAGTTAATACCCTAATTAGCTTTCTCACGAACATTGCAATCCGCTAACGCACACGCTTGTTCCGCTTTCCTTGTTCTAGAAAAGGAAACAATTGTTTTAAATTAAATATCTAATTTTCTCTTGTATATTAATAATTGCACTTAAACAAAAAAAAAAAAAGTTTTATCAGATTACTCGATATTTGATAGAATATTGGGTAGAATACTCAGTTATTGAAATATTAGGTAGCTGCAGCCCTAGTTAATAATAATGGAAGATACAGTGTGTAGAAATGGGAATATTCCAGACTAAAATACTCCCCTCCTATCAGTGAAGTGACGGTGTCCTTTGAGGACAAAAAGCTCCTGTGATGTGTGATGAGAATGATCTATAACACTGGTTCTCAAGTCCAGTACTCTAGGCCCACTGTCCTGCATGTTTTGGATGTTTCCCTGCTCCAACACACCTGATTCAAATGATCAGCTCGTTATCAAGCTCTGTAATCGTTTAATAACAAGCTAATCATTTGAATCAGGTGTGCTGAAGCAGGGAAACATCCAAAACATGCAGGACAGTGGGCCTCGAGCACTGGATTGAGAACAACTGATCTATAATAAACAAAAACGGTGTCAGCACTCACAGAGAAGTCCAAAACCTTAATAATAAGGATTAACAGTGGCTGCTGTTAATCTTTACAATAAAAGTTTTTGACTTTATTGATAGTGCTGGAAACTTTATCATTGATAGTGTGCATTTTGAGTCAGCACCAAGTGACTCTGAGAACACGTTAAGCTGAGCCCGTCAGCTCTTTGTCTTACTGATATGTATGATCACCGATTTATCGAGTTTTTACTATGAAAAACAAATAAAAACAAGGAATTATTCAAGAAGACATAAGGCCACCTGTCTGCAAAACTTAATGCTGTATAGGATCACCACCCAGCACTGCCCCCCCACCAATTCACATTGCATTTGTGGCAAGAAACCTCCTAAAACATTTAGCTGGTGAGGTATTTTGTACAATATTATTACTGTGTTACTTCTGATCCAAAAAAGTTACTATAAACAATACACCTTATTTTTAAAGAATAAACGTGTGAAGTTATGCAGTATTGATGTTGTGGAATTGATGAATGCATAATAATCATAATAATCGAGAAACCGTAATTATTACTCAGACCATAATCGTACCATCTAAACTTCACACCCCTACACAGAATGTGATCCAATAGAAAGTAACCGTTTTTGTTTGAGAGGATGATTTGTTTTCTAACAGAGATTATATTGCTCCTTTCAAAGACACCAGATAGTACTTTTATCTTGCAGAACACAGGAGCTTCTAGCTAACTGTTTCCTAAAACGATAAGATATTCGTGTTATTGGATCTGAACAAGCTATATGAATCACCTTAATCAAGATAACAAAGTAACAGATTGAGTTTGCATTTGACAAAGAATCCAGTGTTCTGAGGGGTAAAATGATTTCGTTGCTATTGCAGATTGTAATGTCTTTGAAGGGGGCAATCTCACAGCTGTTTCCGCTTGGACAAAAAGGATCTTACCTTTGCTAAAAGGTCTGTTTAGGAGAGATGCAGGGATCCTTTTTCAGGGGATGTCAGTGGTAAAAACAAGCAGCTAAGTGGACCTACTTCTACCGGCCACATTTGCCTGCAGGCAGGGGTAATGCTGCAGCCATTAGGACAGACTCGAGGCAATTCCAAAACATTTTGTACCTTTTAGTCAGTAGGACACAAAACAAGACAAATACAGGCCCAAGCTAAAAGGAAGTGGAATTTCCCTTTAACTGTTCAAATCAAATGAACTTTGACATTTATTTAAATTTACTTAGTGACTGCAAACTTCTCAAAAGTTGGTTTATATGTGGTTCAGTTAGAAGAAGATAACAGATGACATATACTGCAACGTGATCAACACATTGTACTACAGTAAATGTACCCATTTTACTCATGAATTATTTTCTACTGTTGGTTGTTAACATCAGGACTGGTCTAGTATTAGATAAAATCTCCAAATCTACTTAAACTAAACACAAATATCAGTCCAGCTCGTATAAACACACAGTTGTGACTGATTGAAGTAACTCAAAAGCAGAAAACCTCGGGTAGAACAGCTTGCCATAGAAGTATCACTACAGAACAGACCAGACATCTGACCCAGACTGCACCTGACCCTCTTATCCTCACTGAGGGGGAGGGGGGCAAACCCGATATGCTGTGCTTTCTCCCAGCCCACAGACTGAGGGAGCAGATTATAGGAGGAACTTTACAAATAACCGATTACAATGGGGATTAGTCATTAAAACATGTCAGAGACATTGCCCTCTCTTTGACATTAGAAACGTATCTCAAAGTCTGGCAGTGAGGATGGGCGGTTGAGCTTGAGACAGATTTGTAGACATACAGGAAATTACTTGGTGGAAAGTTTTAAGTATTATCCCAAAATCGCACAGTATCTTGTCCTTAAGGCCCGCTTCACATAGCAGCATGTTGTCTGCGTGACAGCTGTAGCTTGTGCTGCACTGATCTTCACACAGGCTGTGTGTTTGCTACGTGTTTGTTGTGTGAGTTGCTGCTATCAGCCCCATCTCTCCTCACAAGTTTGATACAGATAAAGACCATAAACTTGAAAATATCAAAGTCAGCTCATGAAAGGGCACACAGGCCTGGGCTCAACTGTATTTTATAATTATTAAATGTGAACAAAGCTATACCTTTTAATCACTCTTTACTTTGGGGGTTGTTTATCAAACCTACTGCTGTGTGAAAGAGACAGAGAGGAAGGCAGAGAACAAGAGACAGATCGCAAGAGAAGAAATATTGTCCATAAGCTGGAGTCATTAAACTATTAGCATTGCGTATCCACATTACCCTCCTTGACTTATGAGTGTGTTTTCTATCAAAGTAGGTTTAGCAGGAACCCTAAAAAAAAAAAAGCTTTGGATCTTTAAAAGGGACTTCATTCATTGATCAATTACCTTGGATATGAAATTCAAAAACAAGTACATTTGAATGAAAAATTTTGATACATGCAATCAATATTTTTTTACTTTTACAGGTAGGGCTGGGAATATGGGAAAAAGTTTATACATATTTTTTACATATCAGTCAATATAAAACGATCTAAAAAAATGAAAACAGTGCTATTTGTAGCGTGTCTTTTGCAGTACAATAAGCTACTGCATCCGTGAGGTCTTTGTGTCTCTGACGTTTTGTCGTAAGGCGTTGCATAGAGAAAGAGGACTGAATGGTCTGCTGTTTTGGCTGCACAGGGCTCCTAACTCCCCTCAGGGGTTTGTAACCTTTTGCATTTGCAATACTGTTCAGTTATATTGTGTTTTACTGTGAGTTTTCATTTGTCCTACGCTCGAACGCACAGCACCTGTGTGAGAGATGCTGCAGCTGCGAAAGTTTCGTTTTCCTCTTCATGCAGCAGAGGATAGTTTGTAAATTTCCTCTTATCTGTTTTACCCAATATTCACCCTCACATGTTGGGTTTATTGTGTGTAAATGCCAGAAGTGAGTTTTATGATGTTTCACTGTCTAAGTTGGATATTGTATTAAGGTATTTTTTTTTACTGTGAATATGGCTAATGCTATCTCATGCTACTCAATGTTCATGTAATGTATGGTGTGAGCTGTGCTGATTGTTGTTTTGTACCTTCATCTGCAGAACCACAGTCAAATAAATCCACCACTAAACTGGACATCTGTATCTGTGTCTTTTAACGGGGACACACAGCATACACCTTACCACTCTAAACCCAGCTAAATCCTGGAGAACGCCCTTCTCTCCTTTTTAATGCCGACTATCGAAAAAGCATATCGAACATGTTTTATGACGATAATGAGGATAATTAAATTTCAATATATTATCGTTTTATCGCCCAGCACTATTTACAAGTATAGCATGCATACATAGTTCATGGTAATTACTTAGCTTTTTTTATCTTTATCTTTTGATGTTTGTTCTGCTGGTTTTTAGATCTTATGGTAAATAAACTGCATTTAACTTTTTTTAATTTTACCCTCTGAAAAACTTGAAGTAACTTGAACAGGCTTTCATAACTATGTACTACAGCAATCTAAATATACATTTAACCTTGAACCCTTATAACCTTAAAAATACCAGGTCCTAACCTGGTATCATTAATACTGGTATCAACATAGTGTTTTAAGTTTTTGTACATTTTAGAAAACATAAACATTACTTTGATAATATTTGTTATTTGACCATTAGGGACATTTCAACAGACATGTGTCAGAAATAACCATTTGTATCTTTTTTTAAATGTATTTATTTATTTATTTTAAAATGTTTTAAACAACCCACATAATGAACAGTGGGTTCTGCTGTGTAAAAAAAATATATATATATTCAAAATATATAGCGACAAAACACGTTGATTCAAAATTACTCAAGATTTCAATCCTCATTTTCATCAACAGAAACTATGAGTGGGTGTGAGTGTCCTGGTTTGTTTGTCTTTTAAACAAAGACAGGATAAGATAAGATCCCAGAGTGTCTAAATTATTATTTCTTTGTATTTGATGGCATTTTGTCAAGATTTTAATGTTATATAACTGAGACATGATTTTGTGAACAACACTATCTTTAAATCACTGGCCTTTAATGCCACAAGAACAAGTTTCATAGCCTTCGACACCACAAACGTTGTCCGGCTCTACCATAGTTAACAAACATAGATTATCCAGTCCTTGGCTTACCACAGCAAAATGTGACTGCTGCAGCCATTACAGATTTTATTTAAGAAAAATCTGAACAGGACATTAAAGAACAACTCCCCCTGCTGCATGCAGGAGGTCAGTTTTCATACACTAATATATTTTCATGCAAAAACAAAGTCACAGAAAAAAAATGTTGTTTCATCAGAAGCTGCTAAAACTTGTAAGCTATGGACAGAACCAGCAGCCAGTTAAGGAAAGACTTTTTGCTTGGACTAATGTCATCATATGAAATTTAACAAAATGGATAAAAATCTATTTTCAAATTTTACAAACATTTAACCTTTGTAAAAAAAAAATTTCAAAAGTTCCACGTACTTGAGTTTATCTTTCAAGATGTGACTACAATAACGTCTTCCATGAAAAACAGACTTTTAATCGCCATGAACTGAGAACTTACCACATCAGAGAATCACTGATACTCATGTTTTTGCATTCAAGTAAAGCGGAGTATCCCTCGAGAGCTTAGTTTGACTTCAGCTTCAGTTTTTTTGCCATTGTCTCCTGGGTCAACTGCCTCATCACGCGGTGCCTGGTCTACTCCCTTTACCCTTGTCTGACTCTTCTGTGCTACATCTCTACCCCTGCTGTACTGAGCTAACATTTCCAGTCTACACTTGTAGCATCTGCTGTCCAAATTACTGAAGCCTCAAAAAAAAAAAAAAAAAATTGACAGTAGGCCACGTCTAATCGCGGGAATGCCTAAAACTGCACATCTGGTATTACAGGGTATTCCTGCAGTTTACTACAGACCCCATTTTATGTAAAAGAAAAAAAAATACGTTCTTTGTCTTTGACAGATTTGTTTTCACTTGTCATAGGCTTTAAAAAAACTCAAACTGACAACGCATTTAGGTTACTGTACTGAAGAGCCAACGACAGGTCATGTGTGTCAGCCGCTGGTCAGATTACTCATTGTACTGTCTTTTAATCCCATACAGATTCATACAGAATAATAACAGTGGAGCAAAAAATGCCTTATGTCACTAATCCATATTTAATCCCTCATCACAGCACTGCTGCCACTCGAAATTTTTCAGAACAATGGGAGTGGACTGGCAGGCTGAAATACTAGACTAACATTTCAATCACAAAACGGCGGTAGCAACAGCTCCTGCGAAATGGTTTACCTGTGCGGTTGACAGGCAGCTAGAGCCAGAATGGCACTTTCCCCTCGACACCACACACACTATTAATTTTACCCGTCTTACCAACCACAGTGCAGTCCTAACCCTTTAGTAACCAAGCATCCTTGAACAGCCACACGCACACACAAATATTAATGCACTTGAGAGATTACTGTATACACACACACTCCACATGTCCTCACTCAGGAGTTCACTTGTTATCCTCAGCCCTGCTCTGCATATAAGATTAAGCAAAATAAGACAGAATAAAAAGGGAATATTTACAGAAAGAGGAGGATGAGTTATAAAGTGTGAGGGTTTGTGGAAAAGCAGAAAAGACGCCAAAGTTTGAATGTTAACATTTCTGCCCTACCTCACCATTCTGGTCGAAGCCTGCCACAGCCCCTTGCTTCAGCAGCCTCAGAGCTTAGTAATCCAGCACTGGGCACAGTTACACAAGAGAGGGCGGGAGGGAGTGAGGGAGATATAGAGACGAAAGGGAGAGAGAGGGGGGGATTGCTTGTAAAAGTGTTACTGGGTTAGATAGAGTAAGACCGAGACAGTGAGAGAAACGACGGGGGGTGCTTTGTAAGAGTGTTAAGGAGAGAGAGAGAGAGCAGGAGGGAGAGCGAGTGAGTGAGTGAGCGAGCGAGGAGGCGGGGGCCTTTTAATCTTGGATTTGGATGAGCGTGAGCAGGCCTGATACCAGTGCCCGTCAGTGCTATCAGTCGACCCGCCTTTCCCACCTCAGATGAATGTGACAGGCTCTGACAGACTGGCCCAGCCACCCTCTGCGCTCCTCCCCGCCACCTCAACCTCGTTCTCCCCCCTTCTCGTACCCAAAGAGGACAACAGCTATCAGATGGCCCAACTCCAAAGCCCTCTCTGTGATCCTAAAGCTAACAGAGCTTTCTCTGGCTGTAACACAGACCAGGCCAGGCCAGGGCTGCATCAGGGTGCCAGAATCTCCAAGAGCGACAAGGTCCCTGCTATCTGGTCGGAGGCTAAATGCAACAGCTGTGTTGCTTGTGCCTGGAGATTACACCTAATCGTGCATGGCGTAGTTACACTGGATCATAGTTAGCCTTCACGAGGCTAAACCCCCAGATCCAGCCAATTCAGCTGTATGCCATTAGAGCTATTAATTATCCAGTGCTAGGTTACAGAGCTTTGCAGATGAGCTGGAAAATAAATGCAGGGAACAAAAGTCTGACAGCAGAGTAACTTTTAATGGCCTGACAATGACCTCGAAATTCAACAGCTCTTACAGGGTACAGGCACAGCTCGATTTGGAACACTTTTTACATCATTCAAGTGCTGCCAGTAAAGACCAAAAAGATTGAACAGGATTTTTTTACAGGATATCACAAGATGACAGATACTTTGTACACACTGTTTGGCCATACACACCTGAAGAATAAAGGTCCTTTCACAACGGGACCGTTTATTTCGTGCGATTATTTCAGACGTCAGTACTTTTTTCGAACCCGTATCCTGTCAATACAAGCGTTCACATCAGCAATGTTTTCCTGTCCTGTGATATTGCTGCATTTATTTTTTCAGATAATGGTCGATTTTTCTAAAGTTTCGCTTACTGTGTATCCACTTCTGACCAATCAGATTGTGTGTTGTTGTGACGTCTGACTCACCGGTATATCCAACATGGCCGACCGGCTGATTGTTTATGTGTCGGAGAACAGAGTGCTTTTTGAAAAAAGACACACACATATTACAAAGATATCAACCTGAAGGACAACTTGTGGAGAGTCATAGCGTCGGATTTCTCATATGACGATGGTTTGTGTGCTTTAACAGTTTGCTAAACGTTTTTGTTTTAACTTTTATCTGTGCTAAGTAACTTTAGCTTGTAAGCTAACCTGTTCAGATACAACATACCATATGTATTTTCACTGTTTCAAACTCAATCACATTGCTGTCACAGCGCCATTAGATCTCGGTTGATACCTTACGTTTATGGATTATAGTTTCATGTGTTTATCTGGTACTGGCCCCGACTCAGTACATGCTATCATGACAGACAGCCATCTCAACACTAGTGTCTAATCAGAACTAAAAAACAGTCAGTCTGCTGTTGTGTCAGTCTTCTCGCTTCCACCCGGGATGCGTCTTTTTCCCCCCAGAAAGTCGCAAAATCGCATTGGGCTTATTATTTATATATTACAATATTTTGCAATTTCGCATTCTGTATTGTGTTGGCCCCGGTGTGTAAGGACCTTAACAATGAGAAACTACAGCCTTTACAATGACGCTGTTATACTGACAAAAAATCTACTTTTGACCAGATGATGTAGCTGAAATGACACTTTAATTTAACACTGGTGCGGTAGGAACTCACAAGTCAATAAAGGCATTTGGTGCATCCTCTGAAGACCATGAATATTTGCACCCAATCTCATGACAGACAGACCATCTTACTGGTGAGAATGTGTGCTGGTTTAGTCAAATAAACAATCAAACATGGTCACTCTCCTTGTCCCCAGAGTTACTGATTTGTCACACAGGTTTAGTCCAAGCTTTAGCTGCAGTACGAACATGTTTATCACTGGGAGTAAACGTCGATGCAGATACAACCAGAGAACAGAGTCAACTTCTCATTTTCTGCTTTTGTCCTTTATTAAAATAAAAAGGGAAGTTGAAAATCAACAAATGGATCAAACAACACTCCTGAAGCAAAGCAGCCTACTGCTCAACACTGAAATCATAGAGTAGACCAGACACAGTGACTTTTTTCTATTTGTTTTGTTTGTTTGTGTTTTCCACTGAGGGATTCAAGTCAACTTACATTAACAAAACTACTGACATATAGGACTAGTTCTGTGCACAGTTGAATGCAATGTCTCCACAGAGAAGACCTACAGTCTGATTTGGTTTGTGACTCCAGTATTGTCCTTTACATAAAAAGCTGATCAAATGAGACATTTATTCTTAATTATGAGACTCAGTCTTTGAAATGCCACTTATGTAATCCTCCCTGCAGAAATCTTGCTAGGTTTTCCACAGAACCTTTTACTTCAGTGAACTATTACGTTGTCATCGGGCTGTTTGTGTCTAAGCACAGTACAAAATGTAGTTGCCCTTTCTCATTGAGTGAGTTGCTGTGATTAATGATTTACTACAAGGCCACCAGTCATAAAGAGCTTGTGGAAACAGACTTGGTTATTAGGAACCAGCGAGATAAAGAGAACTGTTCTAAAGTCATATTCACCAGCTGCACTAAAATACTGTTAACAACCAGAGCAGTTGATGTATTTTCAAAGTAAAATACACACATTTTATCCAGTGTTCACATGTTGATTGGCCACATATGGCTGGAAGGCGCCCTTTCAAAATTCATTTTTAATTGTGAAATTAACCCACAGAGCATGCAGAAGTCCACTAACAAAGAAATCCTTTTCAAACTGCTACTCTCTTTTTTAAATAGTTACAACTCTGCCTCACAACCAGAAACTCTTAATTTACTTACATGTATTATACTTAATGGTCATTTTAACATGGCTTAGATATGAACATTCCAAGGTTTTGAAAGGCCATTTCAAAAATCCCTAATGTACTTCCTAATGTCATTTTGAACCTTGATGCAACACTTAAGTTAACAAATGAATAAAGGAGATTTGAATGTGTCTGTGGGCAAATAATGTACAAAAGAAACATTTAACAAAATCCAATTATCCTAAATATTTATCTTCATATTTTGGGTAGTGCTAATCACCCGTTTTTCAAACACTAAGTAATCTGCTGAAAGATTGCAAAAGTACACAAATCCACAGTTCCAAAACCACAGAGATTTGTTATTGCAACAGTCAACTCTGGTGTTATTCTAAGCATCTCAAATATTATATCCAGCATGTAATTCGGTCCTGGAGTGAGCAAATTTAGAGAAACTGGCACATTTTTTTCAGAGGCAGCCTTTGAGATACTGTTTGAGGTATACATTTAAAACATACAGCCAAAATTACCTGCAAGCGGTTGAAAACTATATATAAAGGTTAAGGTAAAGATTAAGTCGAAAGGTCCTTTCACAGAGGGACCGTTTTTTTACGAGCGATTATTTCGGACGTCAATATTTTTTTTCGAACTCATATCCTGTCAATACAAGCGTTCACATCAGCAACATTTTCCTGTCATGTGATGTTGCGGCATTTATTTTTTCAGATCATGGTCAATTTTTCTAAAGTTTTGCATTCTGTGTGTCCACTTCTGACCGATCAGATTTCGTGTTGTTGCAACGTCAGATTCACTGGTATATTCAACATGTCCGACCGGCTGATTGTTTATGTGTCAGAGAACAGAGTGCTTTTTGATAACAGACACAAACATTACAGAGATAATGACCTGAAGGACAACTTGTGGTTTGTGTGCTTTAACAGTTTGCTAAACGTCTTTGTTTTAACTTTCTTAACTTATAGTCAGGTGCGTCAAAAATCTCCGAATATTTCGTAATTTCGTGTTCTATATTCGGTGTGTAAGGACCTTAAGAGTAGTAATATCTACATCCAAAGCCCTCTCTGTCTAATAATGTCGATCTGGTTTCAGCTGACCTTTGTAGAAACACAGCACATGGAACAAAAACTAAGTCAGCATCCTCCCTTATAAAGAAACATCAAAGAATTATTTCCTGCACCAATTTATGAGTTCTCTGCATCATTTTCAAATGTTTGTCTACACTTTGCTCCTATTTTGTAATTACATTGTATTTTACATTGTTTTTTCATCTGGCACCCTTTGACATCAAGAAGTTAATATGGACTCTGCATTGGCCAATGTATAAACCCTGATCATTAAGGATCATTCATAAGAAAAAAAAAGTGCGAGCTTCAGTGACAGCTAACTGAAGCAGGCCAAAATCTGTCCTCACACCGTCACTGTTTCAAAACACATGTATCTACCGGCGAACAAAGTCTTAACTCTCAAAGTTACATGAATGTGGAGTCGTTGCAGCAGCGCAGAAAATCATCACAAACAGTTAATATGGCACTGCTGTCCTTTTAAAATAGGCCAGAGGAGCTGAAAGCAAAAATAAACTAGTATCAACTACCTACTTGGGTCTCAAGAGTTGATATTTTATATTGCAAAATCTGTAAGAACAATCATATCCCTGATCCATACTCTTACATATCTTATAAAAATAACAGTTATTACAAATCACAGGTTTTTCTCACACACTACACACAGGTAGGCAGGTCGGTGGGCAGGCTGGTAAGCTGTCCAATCATTTCTTCTTCTGGGCCAGTGAAACACAAAGATACCGAACAGTTTTTTTTTTCTGTTGTGACTCAGAGCTTTGGATTATAGATCGCTGTTGCCATATGAGGGAGAATGTCAACAAATACAACAAAAACAACATGCTCTCATCAGCTGCCTAACGTCCATTTAACTCGAGGTATCTCTTTGCAGTTCTGACAGATTTGTGTCAATATTAATCGTAAGTCTGACTGAACAGAATGTGCTTCATTTTCAACCATGTCTGTACCCACTCCCCCCCTCTTCCCCTCAGATCATGACTGCAGGAGCAGGAGTGACTCAGGGCTTTCCAAGAATAGGATTCCCTTTGACAACCACCAGGCGCCCCATTTCCCTGCATCCGGCCTTGGGCAGTAGGACAGAAAGAGACAAGACAAGGAGATTTCAAATAACCAGGTTTTGTCTGAGGAAACGTTGTCAGGGAAGAAGAGAATTAATTGTGTCAACTGAAAGAGAGAGAGAGAGGGTCAGCAGGGAGCTGAAGGGAGCTGCAGGTTAGGCCTGGAGCTGGTTGAGGGGGAACAGACCCACTGTGCATCCAGCCACCACTCTATCCTCTTACATAATGTCTCAAGTTCAATACAGCCCTGGTCGGCTATTTAAAGCAGGCCTGTCTAGGCCCTCTGACAAAAAGGTGATATTCTTAGTAGCCACAGCGCAGCATGAAAGCCTCTGCGGGGGGCTATATTGGTCACAGACAAGCCTGGGGTGTGGGTTTTGGTAATGTCGCAGATATTTTTAGGTCTGCCAATGATCCTGGGTATTTACATGAGGTGCAAAACTCACACACCCAATGTCTCTGGATGCTTCTCTTCTCTGTAGCAACAGTCAGCTTAGCAAAATGAGCTTAATGACCAACTCAAGCATGCACTGTGCATGTGCACACAAGCTGCAGCTGTTAAACAAAAATGTCACCAGTGGTAGGATAAATGATTTACAGATTTGAAGGTAGTCAGATAGTGATTTTTAACTTCCAAAAACAACTAGTATCACATAGTTTAGGGTTTTTGTCTGAGCAGGAGTAAACAAACAGTACTGGTCAAAAGCAGAGCAACAGTGGCTCTGTCCATTATTGGTTAATAAATAACCACTGTGCTGTTTCACAGACACATCTGAGCTCTTTTCCTCTGACAACATGGCTGACAAACTTTCTGAAGTTGGGAAAAAAAAAAAAACAGCCTCTGATCAACAATTTCAAAACCCAAATCGTGAGAACGTGAGATGAAGATTAATTTCTCATGAGTCTTCATCATTTCACTCCATAACACCCTTTTTTTTGCACTGTTATTTGTGTTTTTCACAGCCTTAGCCTTCCTATTGTGTTAGGTTACTGTACTATACTAGTTACTGGACAAATTATATCATTATGGTTTTATTGAAGTCAGAAATTTAGCCCCAAATTATTTGTGAAACTAAGATCACCTGAGTTGTAGTGTTTTCCAGTTTAAGATATACATACTGGATAAAACTAGGGCTAGACAATATGGCCTCAAATCAACATCACAATGTATTGATCAGTTCACCTCGATAACAATAAATGGACATAACTACCCCACAAGCTGCTCACCCCCTCCCACATTAACTTTGTCTACTTCAGCCACTGCTCCAGCTGCTACAACTTTTGAACCATCCTCCATCTTCTCACCTGTCTTTCCCTCTTTGTTACGGACTGGATGGGGTGGAGTCACGTCTCTGACGTAGGACAGCGTCTTAAAGGGACATGAGACCATAGCCTACCTACACATCCAAAACCAACTTTTATTTACTTATTGTTTGGACACTAAATATACCGATATGGGCAAAATGACTTTGATTATTGTCTGCATTTCAGTATTGGTTATCTTTCGGTTTATCACCAAGCACTAGATAAAACTACAAAACCACATGACCTCTTTTATTTGAAGTTTAGCAATCTTACTCATATGGGGCACTGAGAAAAAAAAAAAAGCAACCCCATAATGTGGACGTGCTTTTAATACCTAAGTATTATTTACAAGCAAAACATCTTCAAAACTTTTGCCCATTGCCTAGACAGACCATGACACATCTAGATAGAGCTGTTACGGTCATTTTTAGTTAGGTGGTCTAATAAGTTGTTACTCTTTACCAGGATGCTGTTTTAAAGATAGTGACAGAAGTGCTTTTAGTGAAATGAGATGAGGTAGACTCGTATCCAAAGTTGGTCATCTAAAGAGCTCCCACAGGTATGTATGGCAGAAAAAAACCTTATCATGGATGAGCTTGGATTTACAGGACTATGTCAATTTTAGTGTATTTTTTTAACAAAATATACACCTAAAAAAGAGGGTCTCTTCTACTTTTATGAGGACTTGACCTTCAAATAATTCACCTGACAAGTCCGAACATTGCAGCTCACACGTGTGGGGCTTTTGTCTGGGCTTTTGTCTTCTTCCGCATGTTTTGAGAGAAAATAAAATGAAAGAATGCAAACCATTTATCTGGAAAAAAAACCCTAACATTTGGTTGAGAGCACTCCTGGAAACGTTGGCAGTGCTATCTTATTCCTCCACATGGGCTGTTGTTTTCCTGTCGGCTTATCGACAAAACTGACTCACTGTTCTCAGCTGGTCCAATGAGCTCCAGTGACAGATGAGATCTCCTCTTTAAACAAAAGGGGGGGCGGCAGAGGTGGTTTCTAATAGTGGAAAGTTTACAACACTACATAGTATCAATTGGGGAAATAAAAGCAGAACAGCCATGAGAAGGGGTTCTGCATCATTGTTGGTGGCACAAACAATGAGGGACTGTAAGTGTGGTTCCTTTATAGCTTAACTGCCACCAACATTAACAGTAAGAACAATAAGGGTAAAACCTGTGGAAACTCCAACTGCCCTCCCCAATAGTATGATGAAGTTAAATCCTTCCTGAAACAGGGAGTCGAAGTGATACTATCAACATGAGAGCAGGTCTGTCACATCACGATGGCACGCATGCACTGCAACATTGTTCCCCTGTGGTGTTTCAGCTCAGGAAGTACAGAACGAGCCACAGCGCAACAGTTGTGCCTGTTTCGGCCCACGAACTGCCATGGAAACTGGCAGACATGAAAACAGCATTTTACTGTCTCAGTACTTTACTTTTCTCTGAGTCTGCTGGTGGCTTTGGCCCCTGAGCATGTTGAACATTTGGCCCTCTGTCAACTCAGAAGTATTTATTATTAGTGTCTGAGAAAAAATATGTAATGAATATTTGTCAGATGAGATAAACTTTCTTCAAATAAAACCCCACTGATAAACTCAGAACTAGACATTCAAGCTAATTTGGCACTGACTGTTTTTCCCTCCTCTTTTAGTAATCCCAAAATACAACTGACAAATCAGCTCACACAAATCTTGTTTTCCTGTAAAAAGTTATTATACTGTGGTTTTCCATGAATGCCAGCAAACAGCTCAGATTCAAAGTCCTGCCAGCTGACTAGTGCTTCAGTCCCATTGTTTATGCCCATATAATTCGACAATTCTGAATCATCCAGTGAGCAAAGGTTCACAGCAGCTCAGCTCACAGCCCCCAACACTCTACAGAAAAAGCACCAAGAAAGACAATGATTTATTTACTGTGTTGTTGCGACGTCAGATTCACCGGTATATCCAACATGGCTGACCGGCTGATTATTTATGATCGTTTACACAAACATCACAAAGATAACGACCTGAAGGACAACTTCTGGAGAGTCATAGCATCGGATTTCTGACATGATGATGTTTTGTGTGCTTTAACAGTTTGCTAAACATCTTTGTTTTAACGTTCATCTGTTCTAACGTAAGCTAACGGTTGTTGCCATAGTTCCATGTACTTGTCTTATCGCCTCCTACTGGCTATAAGTTCTGACTGGCTTGAGCGTGTGATGACGTTTCCAGCTTTTCTAGCCAATCAGAGGCGAAGGAGGTGGGACTTTCCCCAGGAAAAGTCGTCCTCGGGATGCGTCTTTTTCCCCCCGGAAAGTCGCAAAATCGCATCAGGCTTAATGTGTATCAGGTGTGTCAAAATTCTCCTCCAAATATTTCGTAATTTTGCGTTCTATATTCACGTCAGCCCCGATGTGTAAGGACCTTTAGAGCTAGGTGATGAACCAGCAACCACACTGAGGAGGACTATAGCCTACGTGAGGCATTAAATTTAACCGTAAGGCCAACAATAACTACTTAAGAGAGTTTCAGAGAGTTATGTACAGTCAATCAAGTATTGTGTTACTCATGCATCACTGGATCATATGTATAAAGCAAAAGCATAGGGATTTAACTGTTAAGTGAGAGTAGACTGGATGTAAACAAACCAGATGACAGATAGCCTCTAGTAAACAAAGAAGAGCAGTCTGTCAGTATTTTGATCTTGATAATGGACATAAAGTTGTTTGCAGTCCACGTCTGGTAAGCCCGACAGGATTGGTGTATAACCAAACCAGCACAGGCATGTGAACGTTGGCCTGCAAGGAAAACTGAAGGCTGGTGGTATGAGCTCTGCTATTGTTGGCCACTCTCTGCAAATGAATTTGACATGGTTTGGCTGCAGACTCTGTCATCCAGTGTTTGGCTGTGTTAATGAAATTATGCTCGACTGTAACTGTTTTCTGAGTCTTTGTTTATTTTGAAACTACTCAGCTAGTCAGGATTTAAAGTTCTGTCCCTTCACCATCACTTGTCAGTTTTGGACATATTTATTACCCACCAGCCATTTGACATTTCAGTCAAGAGATACAGAGGAAGACACTTTAGTTCCCCTAAAGTTCCATTTAATCCAACAATCTAATGCAGATTGTTTGAACGTTTAAGTATTTTAAAGTTTCATACAAAATTCCCATAAGCTCTGACTGTCAATGTGCCACTGCCTAACATGCAGGAATGACCTACCAATACATACACAGATTAGTTAATGAAACATGCAAATGTGAATTATTATTAAGCAGCTACTGCAGAAAGTTCACAAGAATTTAGATTTGACAGGGGAGTTTATGTAAAGCTGAGCCCCAAACAATACCACTTTTTATAAACTTGTGTATGAAATTTGTTCATATCCATGCATTAGGCCACCCCAAGAAACAGCTAAGCACAAACGTGCTTGATTTTGGCTGAGCTGGAAAAGTTTATTTTGCTTAAATGCAAGAGTCAGCTTGCAGGTTTAGTCTTTTATAACTCTGCGTGTTGAGGTTTGAGCCATATAAAGAAATTTAAATGGTGTAAAAATACCACTTTTCTGATTAGTATGGCCTGAATTTAAAACTCTGTGCTTTGGGAGTAAATACATTTGTGTTCGGTGAAAAAAATGATGCTTAAATCTTAAAACTAGCATAATTACACCGACATCATTACATAACCAATGCAATTCATACTACTACAAGGGAGCACTGCAGCAAGAAGATGAACAAAGCACTACAACACAATTGCAATATTTTCCACCCTCACACTAGTAGGAAACTTGTTGTGACTGTAAACTCTGTTTGCCTACCTTGCATTTTCTTATGTCCAAAACAATCATAATGGACAAGCGACAAGTTAATTGCAGGAGCACACTTTTCAGCGGTCACCTTGCACAGAAATCTCAAACAAAACAAAATAACTTTACACTTATACAGCCTGCAAGTTATTATGCAGGATAGAAAAAGTGTGAAATATTTGAATAACTATAAAAAGGTTAAAGGTTTGTCAACTGTGGTCTGGAGAGAGGAATTGGAAACTAATTCTTACAGCATTCAAACTAGTAACTGTGCACACATATTCATTGTTGTTTGGCACAGCCTGCTTTTGCCTTTAATTCCTCACACACTAAGCCGGTCAATGTTTCAGAAAGATCTAACAATGATTACTATTCCACAGATGTACATGTGGTTAATAACACATAGAAAGAGGACAGTCACTGGTATAGGGAGCGGACATACTGTACAACAGTAACATCACATTAAGCTGAGATGTCAGTACATCAGGCCTTTACGTCAGAGTTTTTAAAAAGGTGCAGATCTTTACTATATAAATGGGTGGTCAAAGTTGATAGTGGTATTTCTATAAATCAAGAAATTCATATTGTATATTCTAGAGCATGTTGTTGTTCAAAGCTTCATTTACTTATCAAATGCACACTTGTATGAGTTTCTTTCTGTTTTTATGCGCCTAAACTCTGGAACTCCCCATCTTTGGAAACTAAAACTGCAACCTCTCACTGTGTTTGTAAAAGGAAACTTAAGACCACCTTTTTGATCTGGCTTTTAAGTCAGTGTGTCTCTGTGATTTTGGCCAATTTTTTGACAGATTTTACAAAAGATTTATCACTTTTTTAAGTTGTTTTTTGTTTTATTTAACTTTTTTTTTTGTTGTTGTTTTGTTTTTTCACTTATATTTGCTGATATTGCTCTTTCCTGTTATGTAGCACTTTGGGCTGTGCTATATGTATACAAACAAATAAAGTTAAGTATTGTTCACGAGGTTTCGGGTATATCATTGGAATCTGACACTGATGTTGCTCTAGTTTTAGTGCCTTGATTTATATCTCTGACTTTTTATTTATTTATTTTTAAAATAAAACAACACTTGATGTGTTGAATTAGGATTCTCAGGAGGCTGAAATCAAATGAAAAAGTGGGGGCAGACACTGGAAAAGCTTACAGACACAGTTGTTTCAGGAAAAAAGTTGTGAGATATTACATACAGCCTTTTTATTTAACGTAAACTCCGACTTTGCTACGCTCCTGTCATGATTAGCCCACAAAAACTTAATATAATTGCAAAATATAAAATCTTAGCCACTTTAAGACTGAATTTTGATTCAACTGCTGACAGGTTAATCGAATGTAACGGTACCAAATTTTTAAACGTCGTCACTTTTTGTCACTGTAAAAACAGTTACAAACTTGTCACTTCATAATTCACGAAACACACGCTTGGAAAATGTGATATCTCTTTATAAATTCGTAAAATGAGGCTTAAGAGTCTGTGGCAGTGAGTAAAAGTTGAGGTTGCTCTGCTCTCTCTCCGGCAGCCTCAGTTTCAATCTCGCCAGTTGACTATCTGTGAGCGCTCGTGCAGCGCAAAGAAACGGTTAATTATCGTGGTAGGGTTAGTGGCAGCTTGAAAAAAACGAAACAAAACAACCAAAACAAAGTCGACTCTACCTGCGAGATGTCATAGCAGTCTCTGAAAGCTGTCAAGTATCCTCAAACGTTCCCCTTTTACCTCCGATAACTCGCTGTGAAGAGTGAGGATCCGCTCAACCTGCGCGAGGAGCTACAAATTTCTGTTGACACGCCTTCCGGTTGTGGTTTTCAAAACAAAGGCCTGGCGCGCGGGCGTAAGTCGATAGCAGTAGCAGCTTGGGTTTGACATAATGATTTATGCAACTATTGTTCGATTAATTTAGTCATGTTTTCTCTAAAAATTTCAACTTCTGCACGGAAGTTCCACCTCCAAAAGAAAATTTGCACAGAAAATTGGCTGTTCAAAGGAAATACCTATGAGCTCACAACTATGCTAAACTAAATATTCAAAAACTATTTTCCATGTTCTGTATGCATTGTCAAATTTCTTGAGCAGAAACCTTAAACTCATACTTGATATTACAAAACCAATTCCTTTAAGAAAAGTAGAAATATAACCTACCTACATTGAAATATCCCATGAAAAACACGGTCTCAGGAGTGTGTGGTTTATTTTAAAACATGAAAAAGTCATCAAATGGAACATAATCAGAGCAATGAGTAAGGAATCAATGAGATTTGTGCACAGACTGTTATGTGGCGTTTGTTTGCAAATGTTTCTTTTCCTGTTCTGTCCTGATTAAAAACAGCTAACTTGATGCATCTCTGAACATATTAAAGTCTGCATGAGCAGGTTCAGGTCAGTGGCCTGTTAACTTTTACTGTGAGAGAGCCATTGTGAAACATCTCTATTCCCAAGCCCTTGTTAGTTGAGGTAAATAAACTTAACATATTTATGTGTGCATGTAAACTCAGAGCTGGTCACATGCCTGCTAATCTGACAATCTCAAAGGACAACTTATTTCTGATTAACTTTAAGATGATGGTTGGAAAATGAATACCAAGTGGCAATTTTCTCTCTGGCAGGTGCCATAATTGGTAGTTGTGAATTTTTTGAGGGTCTTTTAGACTTTTAAACTCTTTTTTTTAATTCAGTATTTTTGGGGGGACTGGGTGTTTTACTATTTTTTTTGTTGTTGTTGTTGTTTTGTTTTTTAATCTTTGTATTTTATAGTGTGATGAATAATAAATGATGGGAAAAGTTTTTAAACCTTTGCATCTGTTATTTATTTTTTTTTTTATATAATTTGTTTTGCATTACAATTACAGAGTAATCCCACTGCTGACTCACCTGTACTATAATGCTAGTCATGGACAAGCATTATAGTACAGGTGAGCATTATATGGCACTGAGAAGCCACTGGAGTTGGTGCAGTAATGTCTGCATACTGCAAAAAATGTTTCTCAGAAAAAAAGGAAGGATCCAAACCGTACTCTTACATGGTAAGATGGATCTTGGACAGCTTGGGCTGGAGCATACAGCCTTGGTACAGTTGAAGTAATCCGCAGATTTTTATTGACATATATATGTGTCTGGATTTAAAATTTTACTGTATCTCAAGGTTTACAACTTTATAAATTCATCACGTTTTACAGATTTTCACTTTTGATTGACTGTGCCAACATCTGTGAATACTCTGTACCACTCCTGCAATAAAAGGGTACCCCAGTTTGACCACCCATGTCAAAAAGAGACTGGCTCTGCCCCTGCCATAAAGTAACTACAAAATAGGTACTAAAGCTGATTGCCAATATCTTAAAATACAGAAGCTTTATCTGAACTTCCCCGTTAATGGAATTGGAAACTTCTTTCTCGATATAATCTGTATTTTTCCATATACTTATGGTTTCATTTTATTTTTCATATTTTGCCTGCAAAGCATTTAATTTGCACCTTTTCCCCTGTCAGCTATTGTCATATGAGAGATAAGACAAAGTGTCTACAATAATACCCTCTTGATGGGACAGCCTCCCAGCTCAGAGAACAGTGTTGGTGATTGAGGTGGTGGGGGTGGCAGTAATAGAGGCAGAGCAGTATTGACGTCACCCTCCTGTGGTTATCAGTGGAGGTTAATCTACTGGGGGATGGATAGGCTTATGCAATTGTCTGTGTGCTCACAGGCTTCACACGTATGGATTTGCTTTTCCACTGTTTGACCCACTGCTGCAGCTTACACACAAACGCTGAGGCGATGTGGAGGGAGTTTCTGCTCTCTGAGGGATTTCTTATTGAAGTAGATTTTTTCCCTCCCTGCCAAACTCCCTGGGCCCCAGGCTGGATAGATGGGTTTGAACACAGGGTTTATTGTAGGCCTGGCAGTTAAAATGATCCTGTCAACAAGGGGAGGACATCACTCTCTGATCGATACCCAGTGGAAATAAATGAGGCGCGTGAGAAATTGCTGGATTGGAATTGGACTAACACAAAGTGCACATTAAGTGTTTCATACTAAATGTGATTGATACAATGCGGAGGGACTTGAAAAGTAAAGTCATAACCATTAAGTGGATGGTTTTAAAGTTGATGGGATATCCTGGGATACATGTGCTCCTCTTTCAGGCTCTCATTTTAGGAGATAACTGGGGGAGATTATTCTTGATGTGCAGCTACACAGTATGAATGCAGTTTAATTGAAGAGGACTAAATTGCATCAAAACCAAAATGATTGATTTTAATGCCATGAAAAAGAGAGATAAAAGTATCTAAAAGAGTTTAAAAAAAAAACTTCATTAAAATTCTGAATTCCCTAAAAAGATAGCGATGAAAAATAGCTCAGTCTTCCACAAAGGGCACATTGAGTGTGTAATGATAGTTTATTCAAGGTTAATAATGAAGGTTTGACAGTTATTGGGCCCTTTATGGTTCCTTTGGAAGGTGTAGAGTGTTGCGCTGCCCCATGAAGGTCATATTTTAAAAAAATACAGAAAGATATTAATATTAATCATTGAAATTAATTTTCTAATACAGTTTGAGCGCATTTTGATCTTGAATAAAACTTGCACTAATAAATAAATTCATGGGCCAGAAAAATCCAATCCCCCAATTTTTTTTTTTTTGCCCACACCATCAACAACCTGGAAAATGTTTCAATCAAAAAGCTGAAAAAACTTAATCCAACTGAGTTGACAGGGCCTTTTCAGCGGTTGCCCCTAGACTGTGGAGCAGTTTACCTGGCCATATTAGAGCCTCTCAGACCTTAGGATCTTTTAAATCATCTTTAAAGACCCATCTTTTCTCCCTTGCTTTTAATAAATGAGTACACAGGAATCAGAGGCACTGTAGCTTTTATTCTTTTACTGTCTGTATTTTATTCTACTGTTTTTAATTTTTATTGTTATCTATCTGCTTAATTATTTCTTTTATTTATCCCATGTACAGCACTTTATTTGACTGCTGTCTTTAAAGGTGCTTTATAAATAAACATTGACTTGACTTGACTTGACTTGACTACTTTGCACATGGTGTAGTTGTTTCAAGACAGAAAAATAAAGTTTTTAACTTTGCAATTGAGTAACTGAGACTGGGCACTCTGTTTTGTACACTCTATGACCGGGACACCACAGACAAAATACGATATCTGTGGGGACTGTGAGGGGTGATGTCAAACTGGTACATTTGTTTAATTTTTTATGAGCTAAGTTATTGTAATGGAAAACACTTCCTGTATCGTCCAACAGGGCTCGTCATCAGAATCAGCACGACATAAAAAATTCTCACAGTCAGTACATTGACATGTTCTACAAAAAGAAAATAACAAAATTCACCAACTGACTGAAACACGACTCCATCAGTCTGACTGAAACTGACTAACATACCTAGATAATCAGGGAATCAGTCCAATCTTCCATGTTTATTGCTCAATCAGATTAAAACTGCCCATAAAGATCTGCTCAAGAGTTTGAGCCTGAAGTTGGTTAGCATATGTGTTGAGAGAGAGCTTGGTGAAAAACAAAATCTCGATAAACAAATAAAGGACGTAAAAAAGATGAAACTTTCCTATCCTATAACTAAAAGTTCAGAGCTGTAGAAGTGACCATGTTTTCATTGTTCAACAAACACCCTGTTAGCCTCTTGTTTATGTGTTCTGTCGATTGTTTTGGATCGTAATAGGTCAACCAAGAGACACCACCTTATTGTTACGGAGGAGGGCATGCTTCTGTTAATAATCCAGTTCTTTCCTGGTGCTTGTAAACTGCTGAAAACCTTGGTGACTTTGTGCTGCACCTCCAGTCACATATCTTACAAAATATCTGTGGGAGTGTATTTCTGATGAGCGGAAAAACAATATAAGCACATTTGCAAGTAAACAAAATGACACGACTTAAGAAGTCATCAAACTCTGGAAATAATTACTCTTTGCTTTAGTTTCAATCTATCTGGAAATTAAAAGAAATGACAGGAACTGAAGGAGGAGAAAATTATTTTTAAGTGTGAAACTGCGCCTACACGGTATATAAAAAGCGATTCTTGGGTGCATTAGTACCGGAGGAAAATTTGAAAAACAGAGGAGGAAATACCTGTTAAGCAATTTGACTGGGCTAAGAAACCACCTAAGAGTTCACAGGCTCAGATAAATGCAAAACCAGTGTGTGTGATTGAAACAATAGGTGCTCACAGTTGGCGGTGAACGAAGGTGAGTGGTTTAGAGTGCTGACCTTCTAACACTGTGAGTATCTGTTCTTTTAACCACTCACAATTTCATTCAAGAGACTATTTTGTTCTTTTATCTCAGCCCGTGGACTTCTATGTGGTTTCCTAGCCCACTTCAATTGACATGCAGGTATTTCATGAGCCATTTGTCCCAAACTTGTTGAACATAAATACAGCAGGGTGTGTAACATGTTGTCAGGAATGCAGGATAGAGTCAGGGATGGAAAAAGGTATGACGAGGTTCCTGCTCTGAAACATCATAATCACCCTGCAGACTCATGTCCTGTTGAGTCTAGGAGGGACAAAAAAACTCAAGAGCACAAAGCCGAGTTTCCCACCCAGGGGACTGCAAACCAGGATGTCCCATCTACCCTGAGGTTGCTGCTTCTATAGGCTTGTGACCTCTGACCCCTTTTTGCCTCCAGACTTTTAAATCTGTCTGTCCAGAAGCTGAAAAATCTGAAAAGAGGAACAAAGAGGACTTTTATTGAGAGACAGCTGCAGCCTCGTCACTGAGAAAGAACTTTTTATTACCACATGGACATGAAAAG